AAAAAAGAAGAACAAATATAAAATGATGAAATATTACATACATTAGTGGAACTGTCATATTTCTAGCCGCGGTCGATAAAATGTGGCCAAGTAATTCATTACCCTGTTGTGACGTCTTCTTGCTGCTATTTTAAAGATGTGTAAGTGCAATTGTATTTCCACCATCTCTTACCATGTTATCTATTAATCATCAAATGTCATTTATCGTTTCACATTGACGTATGTAATATGTAATCTTACCTTAATTTTTTCTTATGATAATGATGATAATATTACCAATGGAAAGAAGGAAAGAAAAAACAAAATTAAACTTCAATCTAAAACCAGAACAGGGAAAAACAAAATGTAAATTACTAATCTTAAAAAGTATCTAGAACCTAAACTTGATGAGTAAGCTTTTTGTTGGATTTTGGTATTATATCATTGTTGTTGTTGTTCATTTTAGTTGATTTACTGTCAACCAAAAATATTTCTAAAAAATCTCCCACTCTCATAACCAAAAATAGTTAAATAAATTTTGCTGTGTCCATTTGTAGTGATAATGTATATTGTTACTTTTCTCTAAGGCGCTCATTCAAATGAAAAAATAAAAAAACAATGCAAGAAGACTATCTACATGAAAAGGGAATGATAATCCCATGGTTATATATATATATATAAAGAACAATTAATGATTATGAAAAACCGTTTCATACGTTAATTCAATATGGCATATGATCTTTAAAGAAAGTGAGGAGTAGGGAGGGAGGGGGAGGAAGGTGTGGCTGATATTTGTTAGGGGTGGAATTAACCATCTGATATTATTCCGATTTATGATTTGCGTAACGGATCAACGTAACTTCGATCCAATTAGTAAGCCATAAAAAATTCCCAATACAACAAGTAAGAATAAAGAATGTAAAAAATTGACAAATTCCATTCAATGTGTTAGCTTTCTTTTGAATTTAAGTTTATAACCATAACATACACACAAGTTTTAGTGTAAGGATATGATAATTTGCGTTTTTCTTTATCATTTTTTTTCAATTCATAAAAGACAATAGATTAAGTATAGACACATCATATTACCCAGAAAATCAACGGTAATTGAACTCCACCGTATAAGTACATCTTCTTTTCAAATTCTTGTAGTGTTAATGCCTTCTCGATCCTTAATTTTCATTTTGGTTGCGAACACACGCGTATAGGTTATGTTACGATTAATGTTGCTCTCTTAAATACAAGGATCGACAGTTTCTTAGATTATTATACCACTTTAATCAACATTAGGAGATAGTGCAAGCAAAAAAACATTAAATCCGAATCAACAAATCGATAACAATTACCTATTATCAAATAGATCAAAAAGAAAAAAAAAATTGCTTATTGCTCAAAACGACAATTAAAGTTGGTGGTCTTGTTTTTTGGTATAATTTATGAAAATGAGGGGAGAAAGAAACAAGCATATTTGCGTGATATACTTTTGTAGTAAACTTTACATCTACTGCAACTCCATAAACTAAAACTAAAAGAAAGAAAGAAAGATAGAAAAATAAGGCAAGTTGCTCATAACCTAAATTGCCTGATATGTGATTATCACCAGTCTTGAGTACATAACTCCTTAGTGGCGGTGGTGATCGTGGTGGGGGAGTAGGAGTGGGAGTGGGGTGGTTGGATTTTACTTTTAAAAACTCCTCCAAAATTTAGTGAAAATTGATAAAGAGGAGATACCTAAATCGCAATACCGCGGCTCCAAGTAATTCTTTTTTCTTTCTTTTTCTTTTGGGGTGTGACAATAGCAAAGATGATTAAAATTTCTATTGATGGATAAATGAACAAGCACAATTATATATCATCTACTTTAATAGTATATCCGAATAGATATAATATTATAAGGTGATAACTATTATATATCTGTTGTATTTTTTTGGAAGTGGTTGTTTGTCCTTTATCTCCAGCTTTCATACATAGGAATTAAGGAAACGGTAGAAACAAGCAGAAAAAAATTGCACATGCTTACCTAATAGTTGCAAATTAATAATCGAATTTCTTTTTTTCCGACTGATAATATAGAATTGTTCCGACAATCAAATAATAAGTAGAATAATAAATTATATATTCATGAATACGATTTACAATTAATATGACAGAACGGAAAAATGTTCATCCAGTAGAATCCATGAAAAAAAAGTCACCCGATATTAATTGTAACTCGATATTCATTTATATTCATGTTGGTCTTTTAGTTAACAAACCTAAACTTTCTGTTCTTGTTTTGTCTCTCTTGTGAAACCTTTCCGTTCACTCTTAAATTGTAAGGGGTCCAATAAATCACCAACCAAATTAAGACAACGACAAACAAAATAGAAGCTTATAGAGTTCATGAATATATTTAAATATTCTTTACCAAAAGAATATAAAATATCTTTGATATGATTGAGTTCCTCGGTACTTCCTTGTTCATAATTAGTCGGCGATAGAAAAAGATGAACTTATTTTTGATTGAATGGAACATTTATCATTATTATAATAATTGATATTATAAATTCACTGGTATTTTATTAAACACCTATATATTCATAGTGATATTTTTCCGCAAATAACCTTTGCCTTCTTGTTTAATCAAACACTTCCCCAATCATGATAGAAGACTATCATAGTTTCTTGTCACTCGTCAATTTCTCTTCATCTTGATCTAAGAGAAGGATTTATGACAAAAATGGTTCGAAACTATAAATACTTATTTTTTTTTATGGCAGTTTCAAATTTATTTAATTCTTGGTATTGAGACCTACCAATAAAAAAATTATGAAATGAAAATAAATGAATCCAAAAACAATGACAAAAAACAAAAAAACAAAACAATTGTATAGTTCGACTAAAAGTCAAAATTAATCAAATCTTGACAAAAAGAATGACTGAATCATAACATAGAACCAGTCAATCTAAAGATTCGAAAACACTTTATATATCAAAACTTAAAACAAATAAGAGACAACTTACTCATCTCCCCATATACCACCTGCTTGTAAAATCTCTCTTTTTTTTATTTTACTGTTTCTCATCTTGTTAGATTAATCTAAAATCCAGCATATTCGGTAAAACTCAAACGTACTTACCATCAGACCATCAAGGACAAGAACATTGCAAAATTACAGATATAGATAGAAAGTAACCTTATATCCACTCGTATTATCTCTACTGGTGTATCTTTGTATGATTGAAAGAACTCGTGCTCGTAAAATCCGTCTACTAGGATGATTTCATTTGTAAAGTGGAATTTTGCAGACAATAATAATATTATTAACAAGTTGCAATAAAAATAATACTTGGATGAGAAAAAAAAAAAAGAACTCAAAACTGGCGTGCTTAAACCAATGTCGTTTGTTAGTAAGAGAATGTAGGAAGTGTTGCATCAATATTAACATTTACCCGTACATATAGTTAATATTATCAACAGCAAATATGATTTCGGAAATGCAAATATTTACGTGCATGAAATTCCTGTCTTTCTCTCTCTATCGATTTCGCTTGCGATTTCATTTTTCTTGCAAGTGTAAGCGTAAGGGTGAGTGTGATGACGATGAAGGTAGGTATGAAATGAAATTAAGCGGTATTGCATACATTGCATGGGCTAAGCGCGTGCGCAATATCCTTCTTCCCTTCCATTTCAGTTAAGCAGGATTACATAAGATGCATGCATTGTACACAAAATCTATAACGCAGGCGGTAAGAAAAAAAGACATCGATGTTGTGTTCAGGAATTTTAAAATTTTAAACATTGCCCATGATGCATATTTCTTTTTCACAATTTAAAATCACAAAAATGGAGCATATCACAAAAGCAAAGAACGATTTTCATTTTTATTATAATTTTCTTGTGAAGGTTTGTGTAATTAGTTAACATTTCTTTATGGAACTTTTTTTTTTTTTTTTAGGTTTTCTATTTTACTTCTTTTTTTTGTTTTCACTATTTTTTGGAATATAAATATAAGCTCAAAAGATCCCTTGAATTTCTAATTTTCTATTTTTGATTTCCCTTCTTTTTTTTTTTTATTCATTATCAAATTAACATTCATTGTTGCTTTCATTTCATTACAACTTAATATCATAATGTCTACTATCTCGTCTCCGTCATCTACTACTACTGCTACTACTACTACTACTGCTAGTACGCCGATTAGATTACCATCTATAAATGAGTTGACTTCTCGTAGTAATACTTCTCCAAGATTATCAGTATCTGATTCATCTAAATTATTACCAAGCATTTCTGCTTCTGTTTCATCTGCCAACATTACTTCTCCATTTAAATATCAACCATTGAAACCAACTACTCAATCAAACTATATTTTACATAATGCTACTGCTCCAGTTCCAGCTCCTATGACTGCCAACAGTAGTACTTCTATTAATACTTTACCAAAACTTACTTCTCCTGCATTACCTCAACCACAACCACAACAACAACAACAATTACCACCTGCATCTTCTATTAGTCCGGTTAACAGACTAATCAACACTCCTCCACAACAATCTGCTTCTACTTCTGCATCTACTTCTCCAAACAGTCATTATCAATATTATCAATACCCACAACAACAACAACAATCTCCAATCATGCATCCTCAACAACAACAACAATACCCACAACCAGCATATTATCAACAACCAGTTTACTACCAAGGTGCTACTGCTGCTGCTGCTGCTGCTGCACCAGGTGTAGTTGCTATTCCTAATCATCAACAATACCCACAAAACCCAACACCAGAAGTTATCAATAAACCAATTAATAAATGTCATAGATGTGGTACTACTGAAACTCCAGAATGGAGAAGAGGTCCAAAAGGTGTTAGAACTCTTTGTAATGCTTGTGGATTGTTTCATGCTAAATTAGTTAAAAGAAAAGGTGCTGCTTTAGCTGCTGAAGAAGTTTTGAATAATAAAGTTACCAAGGGTAAAAATGGTAGAAGAATTAGTATTAAAAAACATTTATTAAATGAATGTTTAAAAAATAAAACCAATACTTTAATTCAACCAACCGCAAATACTCCTAATGGTGCTCCACATTATTATGCTCCTCAACCACAACCTCAACAACAACCTCAACAACCACAACAACATCCAATTCATCCTATTGCTGTTGTTGGTCATCATCAACAACCACAAGGAATTGCATTACCACCACCTGTACATTTTAACAATGGTATGATGATTCCTATTCAACCACAAGTCATTCCTGTTTATCAAAATGGTCCAGTTCCATTGATTCGTAATTAATCAGAGAATAAGTCATTACTTTATTAAAATTCATTATATATTGGCATTGGGGGATGGTTCATTAATTATAATTCTAATTCTTTTTTTCTTTATTCGTTGCAAAAATAAGGAAAAAAAAATAAAATACAAAAATTCATTATCAAATACTTTTTCTTTTTAGTTCTCTCTGTTTATTATAGTTTTTAGTTTATTATCATTATATATACATATATTTATTAATTAATTAATCAATCAATCAATCATTTGATGTAGATTTGACAAATACCAATCAAATCTTTCCTAACAGTATCTTTGTCGTAAAGGCGATTTCTCTACATAGTGTGGTTGTCAAGTCTCACATAAAACTTTCATTTTTTCTATTTTGTAGTTGGTTGTCAAAAAAAAAAAAAAAATAAAAAAACACAAGAGAGAAAGATCAGATCCGTCAAACAGATATAAAGAGAGACGAAGAAAATAGAATCAATTAATGAATAATCCAGACTTTCAAGATCAATTACTAATCATGATAGTATCATTTGATTATTATTCTCTCCACAAGATAATCCTTATGATCAACCATATGTTTTCAATATAAAAATAGATTCAGGTAATTCCCCTTAATGTGTATTTTTTGTTGTTTTAGGATAAATTATTTCAAGTTTTTCCCTATAACATTGTAAATCCTTTTCATCATATAAAGCAATGAAACGCAATTTGTTCTGGAATCAATCTTGAATTACTAATTGTTAATCTTAGAATCACCACGACGACCCACGACGACGACCACCACCACAACCAATTGAATCGGTTCCAATGCCAGCGCGCGCCGTATTAATAGAGATATAGATGAAGTAAAATAAGATACTGTAACATTCGATCCTAATTTGCTGAGATTTACATTTTTGATTTTTGATTTTCAAGTTGTATATGCAAAAGCTCATAACAATAGTCAATAAAATTATTCTAACAAGAGCACAGAGAATTATAAATCATTAGGAAAAACCAGCAACAACAACAACAACAACAAAAAAAAAAAAAAGAAAAGGAGATCGACGAAATTAAAATTCTTATATAAAACAATAACCGGGAAAAACTTATTCCATCATTTGGAGATTTATCTGGTATTGTTGATGAAAGCAAAACATGTTAAATGAAGAAAGAAAGAAAGAATGAATGGTTATGTGCTAAACCTACAACAACAACAACAACAACCAATAATCAAGTCTTTTTGCTTTTCTTTACATGTATGATTGAGAAAAAAAAAAAAGGAACATAGTGCGAAAAAGTAGTGCAAAATAACGAAAATTAACAAAGTAGAAGACGAGAGATTTACTATGCATAATGGTATGATGAAATCGAATAATAATAATAATAATAACGTACCGCAATGATTAGTTCTGGAAATTAACAACAAAGCGAAGCAAAATCGATTAAAATAAAAGATGAAATTCTTGGGGCTCATAGAAAAGAATATGTGTACGTGTGTGTGTGTGTGTGTGGGCATGGGCGTGGGCATGTGTATTTTTGTATAGTGTACCTTCAAACATATCTTGCATCTAATTTTAGAACTTCTGTCGATAAATTTGTCCTCTTTTTTTTTGAGAGAATGCTTCTATTCATAAGTTGATGAATAAAGATCCCTCTATAGGTTTAGAGAATTTTGCTTTTCTTTTTTTTTTTTCTTTGAATAAATTAAATAAACGAACGTTGGTTATGTGATGTGGATAGATCATCTATTTTGGGTGAATTACATATTAATGAAATAAATAAGTAAAAAAAAATGGACCAATGAAATAAAGCAGAGTGTGACAAACATTATCTCGTACAATGATACTGAAGGAATTCCTCAGTTATATTTCACTATTAATAATAAATTATTATTTATTTATTTTAGTGTTTAATGGAAGGTCTATGAAAAAGCATGGAACACTTGTATTTTTTTTTTTTATTTTAGAAAAAAGAAAAAGAAAAAGTTGTGTAGAAGGCTACGTGTTAAAGTGACGTAATCCCGGGATGTTTTTCTGTTCTTCTTTCATCTTACCAATGTTTAAAAATTTTTAGTGCATACGTACTGTGTAGTGAATACATAAGGCGTCAAAGTTGAAGGGGGGAGGGAAACAGAAAGGAGGAGAAATAGGAAGATATTTAAATGCATTATCAAATTTTGAATCAACAAGTTCGTAAGATACATGATTTCAATGATCAATATATAGCAAGCATTAACAACAACAACAACAAAAAAAAAAATTTACCTTGACAATTTCATCTAATTAATATTCTGTTATTTTATTTTAATCTGCATTTGCGTTTGCGAGAATCAATTCTGGTATCGTGTGTAAGTAACCCGCCCGGTAGTAATTGTATTATATGATTTTCTGTTACGATTCTGGAATCCAATTGTTAAATCAAGTTTTATTTTGTACTTTGTTATTTTGACATGTATCCAGTGTTATTAACTAATTTTTAATCGTAGGGTAAAACACATATTGCCGTTATTGCTTTTCATCGACTTAGCCGACAATTACTTCCAAACAAATATATACATACATAAAAAATAATAATAGTTTAGATTCAATTGCTAAAATAATTTACCAATATCCAACAACAAAGAAAAAGGCGGGGGGAAGAGAGAGCGAGGGAGACATTTGCATTGTTCAAATGGTTTGTTTCTTTATTTAAAATATGTAGGAAATAATACATATAAATTATCTCAACCAATAGAGAACATTTAATAAATAGTAGCCCTGTGAATATATTCTATATGTATTAAATTTCGTAGTATAAAATCTACCATTTTTTTTTTTTGTTTTGCTTATTCTTGAGTATGGTTAAGGGACACAATCAAGTTTTGATTGCTTCTTAATTATGATATCATAAAAAGTCATCGCAGTTAAACGGAACCGCTCATTAATACCATTTTGGTAATAAAAGGCGTTTTTCTATTTCATGTCATAAATACTGTATGGAAATATCCCTACTAGACTATGCAGTTTGTATCACTTGTGAGCAAACAAACCTTGAATGCCATCACTTCACTGGCAATCTTTTTTTTTTCTCTTGTTCTTCTTTTTCTATTTTCTCGCTTTAGATTCTGTGGTGTGCACACAGGCTCCCGCTTTCACACAAAAGTTGATGTTTCCAAGGAACTCGATTTCATATTTCATCAACATGTATACCCAACCATACATACACATGTATAGGGATGCACATGGAATATCTAACAGGACAGGGTAACATAATTGATTCATATCTCTTTTGTGCTTGGTTTTAAAAGAATTTACAAGATACAAAATTAATAACATCATTCGATATTTATGTACGGAATGCTAATCATAACCAGAAATTTCACATCTTAAATCTTTACCCTTCGATATTTTTTTATTTTATTTTTTGATGTACAAGTTACAAACATGCTTTATACATTATTAATTTCCCATTTTGGTCTTTTTTTTCTTTTATGGTTGTTGTTGTTGTTACTTAATATCTTGGTTAAGAAAATAAAAGCGTCTGTGATACATCACAAGTATTCCATATTTCCATGTTAACACTGCATAACCAAACACAGTGGACAATGATTTCCACTATGGTTAATCCCCTCATCAAATCTTGATTTACCATCAATACCCTGTTTAACAGGTTTCACATCTATCGTTTTATTATTCGTATCTGTGAATAAACTTGTTTTGTTCTGTATGATATTCTTGTCATTATTGCTTTAGATTTATTATTTTTTTTTTCATTTAACTTGATGTCTGTAATAATACAATGAACACACACTTTCTCTCTCCGGAACCTATGTAGGTTGTTTGTGGAGAGAAACCAAGGGGAAAGAGGAGGAGGAGGAAGAACAAGACACAGAGACGTAGATACCCTTTCTTTTAGTTTTCGTTTTTGTTCTTTATGCTTTCATTGCATGGAAATTTGTATTTCGTTTCTTTCATATTTGGGCTATGTTTAATCAAGCTGCTACCCATTTCTTTTGTGGATAATTTCATCTTGTTATTATTTTTAGTATTATTATTATTCTCACTAGGGTAATGTTATAACCGAGCGGGTATGATATGTTCTTAGTTCTTTTCTGTTTTTCATTGAAATTATTCGTAATAAGAAGGACAAGCCCAGGTTCAAACACATACATACATATGTAAAGCAAAAATTTAGAATCTAGAGTATACTGGAAAGAAATTTCTATGCATTTTTTGATGTACATATAAAGGACTAAAGATGTGTATGAATAATAAACTCGTAATAGAGAATAGTAGTTAATATGGTGATGAAGAATATATATATATGTTAGCAATAGTGTTACGCAATATACCATCAAGCCATCGTCATTCATTTCTTCACATGCAATACAACTCTTTTGGTTGATCGAGATTGAGATTGCCATGAGATTTAAATCTCTCTTAACAATCTTGATTTCCGAAGCGAACAAAAGCAAATTCAGTTCTTCCATTAATACCAAGAAAAAAAAAATTGAGAAGAAGCAGATAGTCAAATATCCAGACTGAATGATTGAGTGAATGCACTTCATGCCTATATATGTACACACATACGTGCATATATACATACAGTAGAATTTTAACATAAGGTACATGCATGATAAAACCGCCAATCTCAAAACCACAAAGTATCAAAACCTAAAAAATCGATTATAAAGGGAGGAATTATAAATCCATTCACTTCTCAACCATTTATGTGTAATAAACTATTGGACGTATTCTATTAACCATTACGTACATGTATATTAAGTACTAAAACATCTATTGTTATTTTTCATTTTATAAAAAAAAGTAATATCTAAAACGTCCGCCCTCGTTATTGTTAGGCTAACCTATCATTTATTTTGTGAGGTTTAGTTAAAGTTGAAACCCAAAAAAATACAGAAGTCAAACTAATTCTAAATTTCTATTGTTTAGGAAATGTGTCATGTGTAAATATTTCATATCTCCCTTTACTTTAATGAATAATGTTGGGTAAGAAAAAATGAAATCACATATGTACTCAAGTTGTTAATTGTTGTAAACGCCCTCTCACTTTCCATCTCCTTCAAGTAATATTAATTGGTTTCAAAAATGAGGATCAACGATTCTACAAATCATCTTATGACAATTCAATGTACAATATGCTAAGTTTTTGCTTTGTTCTGTTTTTTTTTTTTTGTTCTACTGTACATGATTCAATAGATTTACGTCTATCGTTCAGATGCTATTCGTTGTATAGAAGATAGGAGACGAAAAGCGATTTTTTTTTGGCAAGAGGCATCTAGATCGTTTATTCGATCTTCATCATGGTCATCCAGCAATCTATTTTTTTTATTATTATTCTTATTTCATCTTGAATCGCTTAATTTCGCCTCAATTTACCCTGTTCTTCATCTTCACCTCCATTTACTTAATATATACATTTGGATCCCCCAATAATCATGATAGTTGACCCTCCACGTCTAAATATGTATTTCTTGTCATCGCCACTATATATTCTGTCAATAATATCTTTTGTTATACAATCTATTTAATTGCATTTCCGATACCCTAAACCCAAAACAAAACAAAAAAAAAAAAAATAGTAAAGTAATATGTATGAGCAATGTTTTGAATTGCTACAGACACATTTAAGTGTTAATTATCTATTCTCTTTTTGGCGGTCCTAGTTTTTGTGTACAATGTCAAATATCCAATGCATAAACATATGTATTAAATGAAATTAAGCCACTAAATGTAAAACTTCTAGAAAAGAGTGATGATAATTTTTAAACTTACTATTTTGTTTTTGTCTATCAGACAGGCGTGTCATTCTTAAACTTGTTCGTACACGATGATAATAATAAAGTAATCAAGTATTTTTAGTTCTATTTAATATCAAAATGATTTAATTTTGTCATAAATTTCTTATGTATCGTCTTAAGCATAATGACATCAAATAGAGAGAGAAACAAAAAAAAAAACGATATATAGATTTCAACAAATAAATTTTAACAGGTCTAGATACATGTAATCCGTGCCTATTTCAGAACAATAGCTCGCCTTAATATTATTGCTTGAGGCGATCTTTCAGCATGAAGATTAAAAAAGTGGTATTATTTCATTTATTTTGTGGAGTGTCAATAATTGTATCCCAAAAGTTGAGGCTTATGTAATAATTTTTTTTTTGTCTTGCAGTAATTATTCAACTGCAAAATTTCATAAACCTCTTTTAAGGCCAAGAAAATTACATGTAATAATGAAAATGGGTTTACTAACCCTTTGGTTGAGTTTTTGCATGTTTGATATTCTACTAAAACAATTTTTGTTAACTTGCTATTCTTACTTCTAATAATATGGTTGTGATTATTGTTAAATTTCTTCTTCTTTAAGATTTAAGAATTCCAGATTCTTTTGTTCTTGGTTCAACTTCGACAATATATTAATTAATCTTACAAATAGTATAATTCTCATCCCTCTCTAACTTCTTCGTTCCTTCTCTCCTCCTCCTCCTGCCCCCACTGTTAGCTCCACTTTTTAGGGGAGTTTATTTTGGTTTTAATCTGTTCTCTTACATTTTTTTTTTTTTTGTATTTCATTGAACTATCCGCGTCGAGCAGAGCAGAGCAGAGCAGAACAGAGCAGACCCGCAGTAGACACTAAAGCTAAAACTATAACTAAAACTAGAAAAGAAAAAAAAAATTATTCAATCCCTCTGATGATGATGATGATTATGATGCTGAATGACAAACAAGCACATAATGGAATTGAATCCAAATTGCATGAAAATAAATAAATAAATACAAAATCATGTCGGATAAGATAAACTCTTTTTAGAAATTTATTTTTAGCCTAATTAAAGTAATCACAAAAAAAAACGTTGAGATTCATTTCAAGATTCAACCAACCAATCGAAATCTTCATAACAAACCTTTTTACTGATAACTAACAGGATATAATCTTGGTTCACAACAAATAATAATATTAAAAGATATATACAATTATTGCCGATCTTTATTGTACAGATATATACACTTTGCATCTATTCATGAAGCTCTTTTTTTTGTTTTTTTTATGTGATTGAATGTTATGGAAATTATGTAACTCTCCTTCATCCATGTACCCTACGGAAATAAAAATAAAAAAATAATGAAAAATTAAACGAACATTCTTTATCATTGCTCTTGGTTACAAGTTATCAAGCATAATATTTTAATACCTTGTGAATCATTTTTACTTACTTACTTACTTATTTATATTCATGTGAAGATATGCAAATGTACAAAGCATGTATTTCTCTATATAAAATATGTCATATTTGTTATCACCCAAACTGTAAGTTGTTTGTGAAACTTGAATCTTGTTATATTTAGCGTGGTTTTGTATCGATAACTTTTAGAATGCGCTTTGCGCTTTCATAGATTGGTTTGTTCTATTTTTTTTTGGCAAAGATGCATACACATACATTAACATTAACATCACACATAATAGAGAGAGAGAGAGATTCAATGTTTATGACGTAGTGCTCTTATTTCCTTTCATGTGGCGGTTATGAGAGTGTGTGGTTATTTTCCAGTATTTTAAGAGATTGATTGATCGATTGATCAATATCCGAGATTCAACGAAAAAAATAAAAAAAAAACAAAAAGCAGGATTGCCGCTCACAACTTCCCAAAAGGGAAACTGACCCATGATACACACACACACAATTTGATAAGTTAAGGAAATGTCTGATTTATAAATAAATAAATAAATGTGTATATTTCAATGACTATCTCTTATCTAATGTAGTGATTTGGTTTTAGTTTTTTTTTTTTGTTTTTTTTTATATACAGCTAACTATAACTCTAAAAACAAAGCTACTATTATTATTTCACAATCATACTTTAATACCATGTGATTCCAAGATTTCAATGACTGCATCTTCAACATTATTAAAAACACCTACAGTTGGTTTAGCAACCATGGTATTATAATCATCATCTTTGTAAACTCCTGTTCTTAACAATACACTTTCCCATCCATTATCATTGGCACCTTTAATATCTGATTCTGGATTATCACCAACCATATAAATCTTTCTAAATGGAGTTTCATTTGGTTCAGTTCCTAATTGTGGTAAAACTTGTTCAACATTTCCTAGTAAATGTTCATCTTTAATTAATTTATTATTCCAATCAATCAATACATGATGAGCAAAATCATATTGAATCTTGAATGGTTTACCCAAGATGAATGATTCCAATTTTTGATGTTTTTTCAAATTATTAGTAACTTTGTATAATTTTTCAGTGATTATTCTAAATTCTCCTTGTCCAAATCTAGGTAAATTATAATCATTTGCATATATATAATCATTATTACTGAAAATTATAGGTATTGCCGGTTCTTCCAAATTTCTAATATGATGAATATTTCTTTTGGTTCCAATCAATCCATTATCTGAATTTAATAAATCTTGAACTATTTGAATATCAGTATTCATATCTCTTGGATCATTTAAAACCAAAATGGCGTCAATTGGTTTAGAAATATCAACAGGTTGGGCATATCTTGCAAAATCTTCTTTAGTAAATCTATGATGTGGTGAAACTGAAGGATTATCATTAACTATATCAATTGGTAAGATTATATCTTTAAATCCATAATCTTTAGCAACTACACGTGCATTATCACCATCTCCTCCAATCACCAATACTCTATTAAATCCATGATTTAATGCAAGTGCTTTAATAGGAGTATGACTTTGAACTACTTGAAGTGGGGAAATAGGTGGGGTGATTCCTGTTATTTCAGTAACTTCATCAGCTTTAACTTTTTCCAATACACCACCTCCATTAGTCATTAATATATATGGAATTTTATGTTGATTTAATATATCTAATGCTGGTTTAGCTTGAAGTATAGGTTTTTTACCTCGGATTAATACACCATCAATATCAAATACAAAGGCAAAATCTTTGTTGAATCTAGGGATTGTGGTATGAAAATTATGATATGGGATTCTTTTAATTGAACGAAGGGATATTAATGAACGTCTTGTAAGTATCATTCTAGCAATTGATTATCTTGTTGTGATTAATTAAAATAAATATAAAATAAATATAAGGAATATGAAGAAAAAGATGAGAAGGTGGGAGAAAAAAAAAAAAAAAACTCGGAGAGTCATAGGACGACTCAATTTATAAATATAGTGAAGAAAAACAATAAACCACCGAGATATCGGAAATATTAGTCCGGGGAAAATTTGTGTGACACGGAGACAGGGAGAAATCGAAAAAAAAAATCATACGGCACGTCATCCAATATCCCATACGGTCGGATAGAAGGATTTTTTTTTCTTGTACTCTATTCTAATCATCTAATATATAAATATGAACACATATACACATATGGTAAAGATATAATCGCCGTATACTGAATGACCTCGATTAAAACTTCACAAAATTAAATATTCTTCTATTATATCGAACCACCTTTTAAACACCAATCCCTACCTCGACGAACTTGCAAGTTACACAACTTTATTTCTAACCACCAGTTGATACACCCAGCTAAAACTATTCCTAATGAATCACTAATACTTACACAACCCATACTAAACTCTCGTTTCGTTCGTGGTACATCTTCACTTACTGATCTATAAGTATTCACATAACTAGCACCCCCTAATAACCCTTCATAGAAAATTAAAACCAATAATAGCCATATCTTACTAAATGGAGAATCATAGATGGATTGGATCAATGTTATCAAAACGTTGACAAATTGCAACACAGATAATATAAACAAATGCTTAATTCTTATACCAAATGAAATCGATGATCTGGATATAAATACACCAAGTTGATATAAAAATCCATATACTACATAAATGTCTCTATAACTTGAAAACAACCAATGAGGTAATTCTTCTAATGGGAATAATAAAGTTGGAGAAATCCCTTGATTGATAACATATTCGGAAATATAAACAGTTGTTAAAGGTACCATATATGGAATAACAAGTGGTTTGATTTCAAGTAAAGTATGTCTAACAAACTCCAAATGTGATTTAGTTTCAGCTTCAAAGATTCCTTCTCCTTCCTCCTCCTCTTCTTGTTGATTTACCAAATCATATTCATGTGTTGGTGTCGGTAACAATTTAATATACGTCATGATAAACCCAAGTGGTAATACTGAACATAATAATAATACAATCCAAACTGGAATATTTAATAAATTTGTCATCATCATAAAGAAAAAACTTCCAAATAATCCGGCACCACCAGTACCACTAGAAAATCCACCAATTGAATCATCTTTATTAAAATAATGAGTCAATTGTAAAAAACTAACTTCACCTAATCCTGAGCTTAATGATGCTAAAGAAATCCCAAATATCTTCCAAAAAATAACATTACTAGAACTTAATGAGAGTAACAACATTCCAAATGAAGATAATCCTATTAAACAATAGATTCTTTTAATATAAGGAATCTTATGGATGAAAAATGGAGCAAGTAGTTTAATTGTAAATGAAGGTAGAACATCAGATAATAAAACTATAGCTTTTGGAGTTGATGGTCCAACTAAGTCAATCGCTGCTGATAGAATAATCACATATAAGATATTATTTAGTAATCCAAATATGAAAAACGAAGCAAATGTCTTTTGTGACTCTGATACTATGAACATATTCTGGTATGTAAAAAGAAGTAGATTCTCGTTATCTATGTTTTATAGCAAAACAAAACAAAAAAAATAAATGAAAAAAGATAAGTTGAATGACGAGACACTGAAACTTTCTCTCCCCACGCGTGAGATCTTAACGTGACTAAAAAGTTATGTATTCTAAACCGGACATATGTTTCCTATTACGGAAGTCTAAAAATAATGCCCACATGGCTTGAGTCTAAAATTTTTCTCATCTGTTTTCGCCGGACTCGCTACCAGGAACAATTCGTTTTTGGCCGGAGTTTTTTTGCTGATTTTCGTTTCCTATAAGCTAAGAAAAAAAAGTCTAACACGTTTCATGATCAGTCGTCAGTGAAAACTTGGATTGTAAAACTATGAGTCACTTCTAGGTTAGTATCCCCAGTCATTGACAGCTTTCTTTCCCCATGTGGCAATAACTTTGAAGTTTTATAGTTTTGATAGAAGATGTTATAGGGATTTACTCATAATTTTTCCTTTGCCATTGTTTTTTCTTTTCTTTTCTTTTTTTTCCGTCCTTTTGTCTTCGTCGTCTGTCGACCAAAAAAATAAAAAAAAAAAAAATAATACCTGCATCTGCATTATGACTAACAAAAAATTTCACTGCTTCTTCTTCTTCTTCACTAAATTTTTTTTCAATCTCACTCTCTTCCGCCAATTGTGAAAAATTTAAATAAACTTGTACTTGCCCTAAATTTTTCAATCCTCTTGATTTTTTGTTTTTCTTTTGTTTTGTTTAATTTTCAAATTCAAGAGTTTCAAATTTCGATTATTCTTTTAGAGTATTATTATTATTATTATTATTATTTAAGAATCTACTAATAATCATCATCATGACAAAGACACCAGTTCCAACTGAATACGACGATACTAGAATTTTGGGTTACGATCCATTAATCCCACCAGCATTATTACAACATGAAATTAAAGCTTCTGCTGAATCCTTGGAAGTTGTCATTCAAGGTCGTTTGGATTCTTCAAATATTTTAAAAGGTACCGATGATAGATGTCTTGTAATTGTTGGTCCATGTTCTATTCATGATCCAGAAGCCGCTTTAGAATACGGTAAACGTTTGAAAAAATTATCCGATGAATTGAAAGATGATTTAGTTATTATTATGAGAGCTTATTTGGAAAAACCAAGAACTACAGTTGGTTGGAAAGGTTTAATTAATGATCCAAATGTTGATAATTCATTTGATATCAATCGTGGTTTAAAAATTTCTCGTCAATTATATTCTGATTTAACCAGTATTACTGGTTTACCTATTGGTTCTGAAATGTTGGATACCATCTCCCCACAATACTTTTCTGATTTCTTGAGTTTTGGTGCTATTGGTGCCAGAACTACTGAATCTCAATTACATAGAGAATTAGCTTCTGGTTTAAGTTTCCCTATTGGTTTTAAGAATGGTACTGATGGTGGTTTAACTGTTGCATTAGATGCTTGTCAAGCTTCTTCTAAAGGTCATCATTTCTTGGGTGTTACAAAGAATGGTATGGCTGCTATTACAACTACTAAAGGTAATGATAACTGTTTCATTATTTTAAGAGGTGGTAAAGGATGTACTAATTACGATGCTGAATCCGTTCAAGCCGCTAAAGCTGCCATTGCTAAATCAACTGATCCAAATATTAAATTAATGGTTGATTGTTCTCATGGTAACTCAAGTAAAGATTACAGAAACCAACCAAAAGTTTTGGAATCTGTTGCTGAACAAATTTCTAATGGTGAAGACTCAGTTATTGGTGTTATGATTGAATCTAATATTAATGAAGGTAGTCAATCCATGCCACCTGCTGGAAGTGGTAAAGAATGTTTGAAATACGGTGTTTCCATTACTGATGGTTGTGTATCTTGGGAAACTACTGTTGATATGTTGACTAAATTGAGTAAGGCAGTTCAAACTAGAAGAAACTTGAAGAAACAAAAGGTTTAATTGGAAATCACATGAAATATAAAATGAATAAAAATTGGTAGTATAAAATTATATTTATATATATAAAAAAATCATGTCAATAGTTTGGGATCCTTTTTTTTTTTTTTTCAAATTTATTTCTTTCAATTATCTTTTTATGTAATAATCAAAAAAAAATGGTATGTAATATAAAGTTCTAAAGAAATGATCTACTATTTATTCTATCCAAGGCATATGTAGAAGTAAATCTCTTATTTTCTCATTTTCATTAGTTTTTGATGAATTATCATGAATGGCAATTAAGAAATCTGCTAAATGAGGATTACTTTGTACATATCCATGATATCTATTAAACGGATTTCTTTTCATTTTCTTTTTCAATAATCCACTATTTATTCCATACCAATCAGTTTCAAATAAACTAACTGCAAATTTATATTCATTCTCATCAATCTCTTTAAAATATCTTTCTTTTTCTTCTTTATCAGTAATATCTTTAGGATCAGGTGCATTACCAATATACACAACTTTTTCTTTAGGAAATAATAAAGCCGTTTCCAAATGAAGATCCAAGAATCTTTTTCTTTTAAATTCAAATCCAACAATAGTTATACGTTCAGGATATGTTCCAAATATTTCATAAAATCGACATATCAGAAACACAACATTTTCAAAAGAATCTCTAGCAAAAGTTTCAGTAGATATTCTATCTAAAATTAATTCTTCATCATTTTTAAATAATTCTTTAGCTAACATATAATAACTTAAAGATTCAGAAATGGGTCCTGCTTCTTTTTTAGTTTCTCCTCCTGATATAATTAAATGTGATTTAGGATCTTGATTTAATTCAGAAATACTAAGTAATATATGATGTTTCATTGAAAGATGATCATATCCTTCAATTTGGAAATCTACAAGATGCCATTCATCACGTGAATCACCTAATGTTCGACCGCCTTGTTTCCAAATGGAATGACATGGAAGAATAATTAAATGATTTGTATTATTGTGATTTGTCATTTGGTTGTAATTTGATTTGATAGTGGGTATAATTGTGGTGAGAAATTTTTTTTTTTGTAGTAGTAGTATTTTGAGCGTTTTGTAAGTACTTTTGTTGCGAATTGATAACATCACCAGTGAAATATCAAAAACTAGTGCAAGTTTCATGAGTGGAACATATCTGAATCCAATATTGAATAGCTAATGGGAAATTTACAACGGTTATAATAAATGTTGTTATAGTTAATAGAGATTATTCCTTATTTTTATAAAAATTTTGCAACCATTTTCAAGTAATTCTAAAATCGACTATTAATATAACATCTAATTCTATACAAAACTACTAACTTACATGCTTGGTAATATTTGCAAATGCAAATAATGATAAGTTTGAACTAATGCTTTCCAATGACAAAAAGCAGATAAAACAACCATTACATGGAAAATTTGATGAGAATGTCCAAAAATATCAAACATACCACTGTGTGGATTTGTTTCTAATTCATGATCTTCTTGATGTTTATAAGTGAATCGTTCTGGAATTCTTGCAGCATATAAAACAGCACCAAATATATAACCAATTCCTTCGGCAAGTACCCAATAAAATCCACATCTTTCATTAGTTGTCTCCACGCCAAATAAATAAATCCCAGTACTTATTGGCAATACTCCTGATAATCCAAAAAGAATAAACATAAATGATCTAAATGGACGATAATCCACTGAAGCAAATTTCGGATCTAAAGTCAATATCGTACAAATCGATCCAAAAAATACAGATAAACCAACAAAGACATTTCGAAGAATAGGATAATCATAATAAGCAAAAAATACAATTGAATTTAAAGAACATGTGATAAGAATAATGATTCCGAAATAATCTAATTGATTTCCAAATTTACAAACTTTATGAGAATGTGATTTTAGACAATGAAAAGTTGAAGACATAAACATACAAAATGTAGCAGCAGCACCAAATTGAAGGAAATTTAACTTTTCCCAAGTTCCTAAATAATTAGAATATTGAGGTAAAATATAATTGATATAAAATAAAACAGCCCAAAATGAAATACTAGAAGGTAATAAATGGGAATAAATATTAACTGATTCATTATGTAAATAAGTTAATGAATTTAAACATTCTTTATAAGAATCTGTTTGTTTAACATATCCTGATCTAATAAAATGATTATCTTGTTGCCATTCATCTAATTCATGATAATAATGTAATCGTTTTTGTAAAGGAGTCTCCGAATTTAAAGAAGAATATTCATTAACTTGTTGCTGTTTCAGTTGCAGTCTTTGTCTAATAGTAGTATTTGATTTCAGCATGATAATTTTAACAAAAACTAAAATAGTGTAATCTCTTTCAAGAAAGAAAAAGTTATCAACACTTAAGAACAATCTGGATTTTTATAAAAATTTATACGGAACATATCTTGCATATTGTTAATGTGTTGGATTCTTCTTTTTATTTTTACTTTGTTGGGTAGTTGGCTCGGTTTAACTGGAAATCAGAACAGGAGATATTAATTTTTTCTTTGGTGTTTTAAACTATGCAGAAAAGCCGAGGAACTGTAACACAAACTAAAATATTAAGTCGGATCAATTACATGTGACACGTACCACGTGACTAGCACAATATATTTACCATTAATTGTTTATTGTATCTACTTAAATGAAGGAGTAATTCCTTCACAAATTTCTGAATATTGATGTAATTTTTTATCAATATTAACGGTACCTGATTCTAAGTACAGTTTTCTCTTTTTCTTGAATCTATCAATCTTTTTATCAAAAATTTCACCAGTATAGAAGATTTTCCATTGAGATTCAGGAGCACTCATACAACCACAACATCTTTCAAAATACCACTTGTTAACCGGGTTGGTTTTTCTTGATCTCCAGATCAATTCAACAGGATGTGATTGAAGTATAATTTTGAAAATAACATCTGCAAGTCCTGGCAATCCTTGGTTCTTTTTGGCAATGGCAAATTTATCCAAATAGGCAATCTTATCTCCTTCACTATATTCCCATGTTATAATTGCCGCACCATCATAATCTCCAACTATCACCACAGTTGCAATATTCTCATTAATACGATCAAAATATGGATCAACATCCAACTTTTTCCCAAACGAATCGTCCAACAACTCAACTAATCGTTTTTTATCCACTAAACCATCATTAAATAAATTATGTAGCGTAAACTTTTTATCATAATCATCTGCATCGAATATCTCTACATCAACTCCCTTTTTGATAATAGTGGTTGATAATTGTGGAGTTCTATTGTTGGTGCTTGGAAGTGAAGATGATATGATAGCACGATCAGTGAGAACGTTATAGATAATTGGATTCAATTGATCGTCATTCACGGACATAATCTCCGGTGTAGTAATTATTCCCGTGGTTTCATCATTGCCAGATTTTTGATAAATAAAAGTCAAAATACTATTCATACTGTTCAAGTTATTAACATGTGTATCACGATTCTTTGGTTGAATATGTCCAATATACAACTCAGAAAGAATATCCGAATATTCTTGCGATAAGTTAATAAAAACATGACTTGTTTGATGTCTTTCGATTGAAGGAATACCACCACTTGGATCAATCATGACAATTTTCTCAATTGATAACAAATCCGTTGTTCGCTTTTCAATCAAAGCTGAGCTCAAACCATATAATAAAGTATCGGAACTTAAAAATTCCTGTTTACACAAGTCGGCATTGTAAACAATTGGTTGTATAATTGGGATAATTCCTTGATATAACGGGATGAGAATCTGTTCTAAACTATCCAAAGTAGGATGTCCACCACGGGATGTAAAGAGTGAACGAAGGAGAGTTATTTTCAAATCACCTTCTTCTTCAGGTCTTCCTAAATATGTCAACATTTTATTTCCTTGATCAATCATGTAAAGTTCATTATTCTTAAAAGAATCTGAAGGTAAATGATCATAGTCTAACATTATAATTGGGGAAATACCCAACGTGATCAATCGTTTAAATGTTTCGGCAATACCTTTCCATTGTTTAATGGTTATTGTTGGGAATTTGATTTTAAAAATGGCCAAACGAAGAGGAACTTTCTGTAGTTTTACCTCTTCATTATCATAGATATTAATAAATGGATTCAGTTGATTGAGATACCGATTGATGAACAACTCTCGTTGGGAATTCTTCTTCGTAAGTGAGTTTTCATCTATTTTTATATTCTTGTTTGCATCTAGATCACTGAAATCAAATTGGTTCTGATACTTTGTCAAGTAATTCTTTGCTTCCCTCTTAGTCGTAGTAGATTTCAAAATTGAAAGAATGAGATTTCGTTTGGCATCAGTAACAACTTTATGGGTATCTAGATTTGAAATAAACTGTCTATTCAATGACTTTAGTTTACTCATGCTTGATGCTCTAAATTCAAACAGATCAAGGGTAGGGATTGTAGAAAGTGAAAATTTTGCTGGGGGAGACCAATGGGGGGGGGAGAGGCGGTTGACTCACAACTGGTATTTTTTTTTCTCGCTATTAATTATTCTGTGCACTTCGTTTGGCCGGATCGAATGCAGTGTAAAATTAAGCGCGGTGTGAAAATTCAGATTAAGTTTGCTTGTTTGAACCACAGTTTTATGTTCCTCTATTTTGCTTTTGCTTTTGCTTTTTTTTTTTCTCCTAAGTGTTCTTATAACCGATCATACTAATTACCCCAATAATAAAGACCCCTAACATCATTGATCATCAAAGGAACCGTTTTAATTTTTCTTCCATACCTAAGCCTATACTTTCTTTTAAACTTTTTTTTTCATACCATCTTCTTCCTCTTCCTCTTCCCACCAACACAACAACTTTACCCATTCCCTCTCCCGTACCAATATGTATTCATTAGCCAGATCAATTCCTAGAGTTCAATTAACTGCCAATGTTTTTAGAAATTCTTTAAGAACCTATGTTGCTGTAGGTGACAAAATCCCCCACACCACTGTCTACGAAGGATCTCCAGGAAACGAAGTTGATTTGGCCGAAGAAACCGCCTCTGGCAAGTCAATTGTCATTGGTGTCCCAGGAGCATTTTCACCAGGCTGCTCCAAGTCCCACGTGCCTGGATTCATCAAGAATGTCCGTGCTTTCAACGACAAGGGCTACCAGAAATTCTTTGTTGTTGCCGTGAACGATGCATTTGTCACCAAAGCCTGGGGTGACCAATTGTTAGAGTCAATTGCTGGTCAACAAATCAGATTTATTGCTGATCCTTCTGGTGCCTTCACCAAAGATCTCGACTTGTTGTTTGATGCTTCCAAGTTTTTCGGTAACGAGAGATCCAAGAGATACGCCTTGATTGTTGAGGATGGTGAAGTCAAGAAAACTTTTGTCGAGCCAGATAACACCTCTGTGGAGGTCTCATCTGCTGCCAAAGTCTTGGATGAAGCTTAGATCTGTGTGATTGTACTAGCCCATGTCTCTATTTGTATTTGTATTTGTATTTGTATGTATTTGATTTTGCTTTTAATGCACAAAAAAAAAATACAAAAAGAAAAAACAAACAGTGATTGAAACTTTATACTTCTGTCATCACATTTCTGCGTTGTCTATATCTCTACAATGATCAGAGTGGGTCTTACATCACGTTGTTTCATCAGACTACCGTATTTCAGATACAACTCCACGGCTCAGCAGTTTTCAGAGAAAGAGATTGAACTGGCCAAGAAATGGGTTGACACGTTCACACACACCGAGATTCCAACACATGTATTTGACATCTCGTTCAGCAGATCGTCCGGACCAGGTGGGCAGAAGGTCAACAAAACATCGTCGAAAGCCACGGTGTCGTTAGAGCCAGGTCTCTGGTTGAGTGCACAGGTGTGTTACTGGATCCCGAAGCCAGTGCAGGCACAATTGCGAGACAAGGGGATTCGGTATGTGACCAAGACTGGCGGACTACTAATCCAGTCAGATACAAGCCGAAACCGAGACATGAATGCAGAGTTGTGTTTTAAGAGACTTCTCGAGGAGATCAAGTCGAAGGTTTATTTTGCCAGTGAGGCAAGTGAAGAGGACAAGGAGAAATGGATACAGTTGGAGGAGGACTTCAAGGAACGGAAGAAGTTTAACAAGAAGAAACAATCAGACAAGAAGAAAAACCGATCCAAAAAGTTTGACTTGTAGTGGAAAAGAGTGAATGTGGTGGATGATATTTCTGTATATATATATATTTGTAATCTAATCTAATAACATGTATGTAGTGTGTGTGTGTGTGTGAATAGTTCAAATGGAGGTTTGCTCGATCGTAGGTGTCTTCATTGTGCTTTATTTGTGAATGAAAAAAACCGTTCACATAAAGAGCACTGAAAAGATGAAGAAAAAAAAAAAAAACACAACAAAAAATAACCTGGAAATACTAATTCGTCGGACCTACATCTTTTTGAAAGTGAACATTATTGAATAAGACAACATGGCGACTAATCCAAAGGTGAATAAAGCCATTCAATCGGTATTAAAGATAATTCAGTCTTTAGTTGAGAAGAATTACAAGAATTTGGAAAAAGAATACTACTTAGACTCAATGGACGACTCTATTTTTACAACTGGAAATTCACAAATTCAGGACGTATTGAAGAAAATAGAATTGGAGTATTCTATTACTGCCACCGATGAATTTTCGGAAAGTCAAAAAAATGAAGTTGAACAATATAATGAAAGTATAAATACTAATGTGCAAGATTTTATCCTTTTGTCTGCATTCCATTCTTCAATTCAATCAAGAATCGAAAATTATATTCAATCCGAAACCACTTCAAAACACGATTTCTTTAATTCATTGGCATTGATTTTAGATTTTGAATTATCGTATGCGGCAAATGTGAATTTAAAATGCAATACTATATTTTATGACAGCTTGAGGCAAGTTACCAGACTGTTAATGTCCATTTCTACTGCAACAATTGAAGGATTTTGGGGTTATTTTGAATCAAGACTTGGCGTCATTATGAACAAAATATTCGGGAATACAACCGTAGAAAGAATTTCACTTTTATATACCTTTAATTATTTGACGGATAAATTTCAGTCCAAGGATGAATCAGGTAAAAGGGATTCTTACAAACGAGATAGTTTTAATGATACATTTCATGCGAGAGTTCGCTTTCTTGTGGTTAATATTTTAGATTTTGAGGATAATACTGGTTTAAACAAATACTTTCTGGTCTCCAATAGAACATCGCCGAGTCTTCAATCGAACGATCCTTATTTGGCAAATATACTTGAAATTCAAAAGCTTTTGAGAGATCCCTTGCATTATTTAAAGCCAGAAAACCACAAGCAGTTAAAGACATTATCCGACAAATGTAAGAAAGTTGCTGAGGAAATTATCAACAAGGAGTATCGATTCAGAATGGATTACCCATTACATGATCAATTCCACATTGTTCCCCCAAAATCAGATGACGAACAGGAATATTTGATGGAAAAGTATTCAAAATTGACTTATGTTCCAGAAACTTACTTCACTTCCTTGTTTAAGAATAAAGAAAGAAAGCTGCAATTCGAAGATAAATTATTGTTTGAGTCTTCAATGAAACAATCTACAACCAGAATGCAATACTTATTTCTGATCTGTGTGGTAGCCCACTTGGTTATAGAGCTGCTGCAAAAGTATAAGCGACAATTTTTAGACTCATTGGGTGCATCTTCAAATGTGAACCACTTTATCGATTTTTCAGCACCAGATGAAGTTGTAAAGACATTCATAATAACCAAAAGGGAAACCCTAAGCGCTATCAAAGATTTTAATATGCAATATTCATACTTCATACAACATTTGTTGTTATCAGAAAAATATTTGTGGGGTTGGGTTATATATGGTAAAGATCCAAAGACCAAAAAGCCATTGCTAGCTGATAAACAAACAACAGTTGAACAACTTGAGAAAGTATCAGAAGATTTTAAAAATGTGTATCGCTACAAGGATTCACGATACTTTAACACTTATGTTACACCACAAGTCACTAGAAAGATGAGAACAAAGCGCGGACTATCTGAATTGGATTCCGTCGATGCATTTGCAATTGAAGATACAAAACGAAATGTCGAAGATATTGATTATGAACTATCAAGCACAGACGATATCAATACCAAGCATGAATTATTAGAAAAGAAATCATTACTTTCCTGGAGATTATTAAGAAATGAACGATCAAACAATTGGTTTGATGCTGCACAAAAATTTAGAGAGGAAATGTTATCACATCAAGAAGAGATCAAACTTGATGAAGATGATATAGAAGATGGTGATGATGAAGATATGCCGGATGTTGCAGAAGGGAATGCAGCCACAGAGAATGAAGGCAAAAGACAGTTGGAAGAAGATAAAGATGAAGCAAATGATACTAAGAGAACGAAACTTGTTAAAGAGAACACAAATTCAGATTTACAGGAGTCTCACGTTACCCCACAATTACAGCAGGAGCCTGAAGCTGAAAAACCAAAGGATGAACTGGATGAAATTAAACCGGAATTAGAAGAACCTGCTAAATCAGATCAAGGTATTGAAACTGGAGGTAATGATGAGAAATAAGAAATATCTTCTAACATTGCTCGTGATGGTTTTTCCTTAAGACGTATTTGCTGTACTCTGTAGACTACATAGAAACACATAATAGAGGCATCCTGTAAAATACACGATGCAAAAATTATAAAAACAAAAGGAAATCAAAGAATGAAGACAAAGAAAAAAAAAACGAGACTGGGAATTTTACCGCTACCAATCGTATGAGACGCGTACGTGAAAGGGAAGAGAAAAAAAAAATTAAGAATTCTACGCCAGAATATAAAAAAACAGAGAAAAAGCGAAGACTCACAAGTTCAGACGATTCATTACAAACAAATATCAACAAGTTGAATTCCCAATAGTTTTCTTTTTTTAAAAAAAAAATGGCATTGACAAGGAGAAGACTGCAAAGGGAATCGAAAACTCCACTGTTAACAAAGAAGAAAGTGACTAGAAGGAGATCCAGCAGGAGAAAGAAAGAAGATTCTACCAAGACTCAGCCTGTTGCACAAGAAGAGGATACTACTATTGATTCGATAAAACAGGAGTCTGTTTCCTTAAATTCTTCACCAATAAAACTGATAAACCGAGAATTAAACAATATAACTCCCACAAAGAACCTTCTATCTTCATCACCAACAAAAAGAAAGAAAAGTGTGGCATTTTCAGACGATTTGATTTCAGATGTACCAAGTACTCCTGAGGGAAGCCAAACTTCGGGTAGATCCATTTTAAAAGCATGTAACTTAAATTTATATACTGGGTTGGTAGATCCAAACAATACTTCATTATGGGAGAAGGACAAACCAACAGAGAGCCAATCATACGGTCCCAAGAATCCAAATTTCTGGCTCCAGGGTACAATTGTTCAGCTTCCAGCAAATTCACCTGATTTGTATTATTTGGTTGAAGGTTGTATCATGGTATTGGAAGATGATGATTTTGACAAGAGGTTTGAAGTTTATGCTACATTAAACAGTATTTACAAGACAAACACAGCTGATAATGTTGTTAGATTATTTTCCTGTGTTTTTGGTGATAGCTTGGCTGCTAGTCCTAGCAAGCGTGGAAAACGTAGCCCGGCTTCAAAGAAAGCCACTAGTCCAACCAAAAAAGAATCAGCAAAACAGTATGTTGTACTTTTAACAAGTCAGATCGTCAAAGATATAGAACTGATTGAGGACTTCTTATATGACAGTGATGTGAATAAAGAAAATAAAAGCATCTCCAGAAGTGATCCATTTCGTATAAGAGTGATAAACCAAGCATTGAAATTATTGAGTTATTTTATGTTAGATCAAGAATTGAATAAATTGATCCCACTTGAAACAATTGATTGGGCATATCGTCGTGCCTGTGATGTTTTAACTAATGCCAAAGTTTCAAAAGCCATTTTATCTTCATACATGGTTATTATCAAGGACTGCAAGTTGGGCGCCAAGAGAAGAAAGCTTTTATTTGATAATGGTGATTTACCCGAAAAGATGTTGTTCAGTTTGATTAACATGACAAAATTCCCAAGTTCTTCTTTGATCTCGGAACAGTTTATCTGTTTCAAGAATTTTGTTAATTTATTTCCTAATATCATGGCAAAAAATATTCATCAATGGTTTGGAATGTTGTTATTGAACATATGTCAAATTGGATCACCATTCTACTTGAAATGCTTCACGATCGGTGTACATTGTTTATTAGAAGTCACAAAAGCATTTTTGGATAATCGTACGGTCATGATTTATGTGAGACGTTTCTTATCATCACCAGTTCCGTTAGAAACCAAGTCAATGGCAAGTAGTGAGTCTATTGATTTAGACTCTGACCTGGTAAGTTCACAGGATACCAAGGTTGTTGATATGGTGTTAAATAAACTCCAGGAATTAATCCGTGAGTCTCAGTTCAAAGCAGCCATGGATATTTGGGTAGCGTTGACAGTCTTGGTTGGAAATGCGGGTTCATCTTTTGATAAATGGGAGCATTTGAATAAGTGGCTACAAATTACCAAACATTGTTTCAACTCACAGGATCCAGATGCAAGAGTCTTGGCGTTGAGTTGTTGGAAGGCAGTCTGTTTCAATTTATCGAGAGATGATGCGGAGGATATACGAAAGGCTTTAGATCCAATAATAATGGGATCACAAAATGCAAAATCAAAACAAACTTTGATTAACAGTGCTATGAAGCCAAAGGTCAAACTTTTCACCTATTTGTTCCACAGTTTTAATGCAGCTGAAATGGAAGTTGAAATTATCGATACAATGCACAATTTATTCATTGCAATATTATATTCTATTATCAACCCAATAGTAATCAAACAACGTACAAAATATTTGCACATCTTGTGGGACAAGGTTTTCCAATTTGTGTTTGTTAATTTTTATTTCAAGAAGGGGTCATCAAATGCCAGAATGAACCAATTGGGGTTGAAAGTGTTAATGAGATTATTAAAGCCATCATCACCAATCAATGAAAAAAATTTCAATGAAATAAGATGTTTATCAAATGAACCTGTATCAATTACTGAAATCAATTCTTTGCCATCTAGATGGGTTCATGATAAGTTTGATCGAATAATGCAAAATATGATTTTGGTTTTCCAACTGGAGTATTTATCAGTAGAGGACAAAGTTGGATTTTTCACAGCATTCTTAGCAAGTATCAAATCAATTACACGCAGTGAATCGACAATTTCTGCTGCTACTTATGATATAATCGATAACATCCCAATTGTGTTGAACCAGTTATTTAAAAGACGTGCACTTTCTCATGATTTGATTATCAAATTGATTGTTAACTTGCATGACACATTCACCTCTTCTTTGCTAATCAGAAGGGTTAACGAGAATGACGAAAATGATATAAACTACAATCTTTATCTTCCTATACTTGAAAATTGTTCCAAGACCTTGTCAAAAGAAGAATCATTGGAAGTATTTCATTTAATTATTCAATCGCTTTCACAAAAGAAAGTACTTATTTTCATTGCAGATTATTTACAACTGGGTGCTGCCACTGATGAAGTCAAGAATGTATTTATTGATATCTTGAACAAAAGGGCAACTGATACTTCCAAACAAGAATTACTCCTATACGGTGAAATATGTCAATGTTTAGATGCCGGTTTTGATGTCTTTGTTAAAAGGATAATTCAATCCATTGTTATATCTGATTCAGAAGAAATGCGAAACAGTTTTGAGTACTTGAATATTGAGAAATGGAACATCTCGATTGTTGTTTTCTTCTTGGTATTAGTAAAGAATGCTCCGAATAAACACGTCCACCAGTTTACAATTGATATACTTCGAAAGGTATTGAAAGCAAAGTTCATTCCAATGTTGGAATTTTTGACACTCCAAGATTTTGATGTGGAACTTTTCCCATTGTTGGATCAAGTTTTTTTGACCGCGTTGGAGTTTGTGGGTGAACCATTATTTAAAGTTTGTCTGTTATTAAAAGACTATTTAGCCAAGAAGATGGATCAGTCTGACAATTATCCATTAATTGATAAATTATTGATTGGATGCTATGCCGATTTAGGCATTGATGTTAGCAATTTGATTGGAAAGGATTGCTCAAGATTTCCCGAATTCAGGGCAGCTTTGGAAGACAGAGGCATGTGTTTGGTTGAAGGAAGGATAATCAGTAAAAGCGAATTGGAATCACAAGAGAGTACACAGGAAAGCATTGTAAGTGTTGACGACGATTTAGTTGAAGATGGACAAAGACCTGAAGATAGTCAACAACAAGATGATGCTAGTAATTTAGAATTGGTAAGTAAATCTGAATCAGCTGAATTTCTTGGTACCCAAATAATTGAAACAAAAGAGGAGGAAGAGGAAGAAGAAGAAGAAGAAGAGGAAGTAGTCAATGAGAAGGAAGAAATAGAAGTGAAGGAGAATGAGAAGGAAGCAAGAGTAGAAAATGAGGAAAGTGAAGTAGACGAAGAGGAAAAGACCGAAGACAGTGATGTAGGTGCCAAAGAAACATCAGACAATGAAGAGGCTCTGTTGATACAGGAGGAAACAGTAGATGCCCAATTGAAGAACAATGTGCTGATTGTTGAGTCTGTGACAGTCACCTATGCAGATGGTGAGCAAAAGGCAGAATTAGAAGAGGGTAAAAAGGAGAATGAAGAGGACAATGCTGGCGAGGTTACAACCATTGCTGATGATATTTCTCGAGATGAGATTAAGGATGATGTAATGGAAGAGTCGCCAGAAAATAAGGATGGTGACCTGTCTGAAAATGAAGAAATGTACCCATCCGCAATTCAGCGTGCGTTTGAATTGACTCAGATCGAAAGACCAATTTTATCACCAATTGAGGATTCACCAATTAAAATTAATAAGAGAAGAATATTACTAGATGACTCACTTAAGTTGGATCTTCGAGAAGCAAGCAAGAAAGATGATGAAATAGAAAGTGATACTGTCGGTAGAACAAATAAGAAACGCAGAGCTGAAGATCCATCTGATGATATGACTTTATCAAAGAGAAAGAAACATGGACTTCTGACTTTAGCACAAGAAAATCAAGAGATTGATAATTCTGGAGAAACATCTACAAAGGAAAGCAAATACGGTGAGATGGAACCTGATACCGAGGTGAAAGAAAGTGACGAAGAAAATGAGCAATCGACTACATCAGTTGCAATAGAAATCAATAATAATCAATCTAACAGTCATGACAACGGAGATAACGATGTTGTTCAGATTGAAAACGCAGAGGTTCCAGAAATTAATGAAGAGCAAAAAGTTGAAAACAACAATGATGTACGGTCCGAAGCTGACTACAATAGTGTGGCTATCCAAACAGAAACCATAGTTTCCACCACGGATAACAGAACTCCATTACTGCCAATCAAGACCATTCCAATTGCAAGTATAATTGATCAGTCTCAACAACCTCTGTCAGAGACTGTAAAAGAAAAGGAATTACGTCTTTCTCCGGTCCAATTAACTGCTATGCTTGAAAATTTGTCCAACGAAGAATTATCAACATTATCACCAGATGAGAAGTATAACATGGAAACCAAACTACTTAATTTGATGCTCCGCTTAAGGCAATCGTCATAACCGATGAGGCTTCCATCTCCCCCTTTTTTTTAAAAATATATAAATCACCAGTTATTTTTTTTTTCAATTTTGTTTTCGCTTTTTGTAGATTCATTTTTGTATGCGCTTCTTTGTAACCTTTCAAATTACAATTGTTCGCGAAAGTTCCTTGCACTTTGCTACGAGTCTCCACAAATAAATAACTATAGACAATTCCGAACTTCTCTCTCTTTTTTTTTTCTTTTAAAAAAATATTACTACAATTGATTAATTTATTTATATTACTATTTATGCGTGTTAAAAGTTACTTCACAGCCCAGTATGTCAGTAATTCCGTATAATAATGGGAATAAAGATGTACTATATCATAATCCAAATGATGGAGTTTTGGTGGTACATGATCGACAAGAAAATACAATTAGTTTGGTATCCACTATGACCCCTGATACACGGTCTGAGAATCATAACAGACCAAGAACATCATCACAATCATTTACAAGTGACCAATTCCCTCATTCATCAGGTCTTACCAAGTGTCCAAATTGTGGGTTCACCTGGAACGAATATCCTAATACCACTTCTGGAAGAAGGGGGTCGCAATCAAGTGGAAGTTTGTTCAATATATCATTACCTAAAGAGTATCTCTCACAAGGGTTTATGCATACAGATTATTTTAAACTATTGGGGAAAATACCTACTGCCGAAGAACGAACAACGAAACCATCTATTAGGAATTCTCCATTACCTGATGGAATTTTTAATCAAGGATATTTCAAACGATTTTTCAAAAAAATCGATCCTTTCACACTTGGGTCAGGGGCACACGCACAGGTTTACAAAGTAAATCACGTGTTGAATGACATCAACTTAGGAACTTATGCAGTGAAAAGAATCAACGTGGGAGATCAATTTGAATTTCTCGACCAGGTTTTAAATGAAGTTTTAATATTATATGAATTATCAACAACCGCAGCCAATGAGAATAACTTGATTCGGTACAACCATGTTTGGTTAGAAATGGGTGAATTGGATGATCTGTCTGCATATTTCCTTCCCTCGTCCCTGCTGAATGAAAAATCAAGACAAACAACTGTCCCTTATGTGTTTATTTTGCAACAATATTGTGATGGTGGTCATTTAGAAGATTTGATCAATAATAATTTTACCGTTGAAGAAAATCTAACATGGAAACAAAAGGTGGAACTAGAGCGGAAGAAGAGAAGAGCAGAGAAAATGGGCCAACTGGACACCAATAAACTGAAATGGCTAACCACTTTTGAGATTTGGAAGTTTTTTCATGATGTAGCAAACGGTGTTAATTATTTACATAAAAATGGTATTTTACATCGAGATATGAAACCATCCAATTGTTTATTAGATGTCAAGTACCGAAAGTTTGAAGATCATGTACAGAAGTTCTCAAGTTTGGAAGAATTCGAATCAAGAGTTTTTGATTTGCCAAAAGTGTTGGTTTCTGATTTTGGAGAAGGAAAGTTTATCGAAAAACGACACAATACTGCGTTGGAAAAGTTGACTGATAGACAAGGGAATACCGGTACTTTGGAATTCACCGCTCCAGAATTGTGGCTATATTCCAATGATCCAACATTAGGTGGTGATAGCAAGAAATTTTTCAATGATTTTACATATCAAAGTGATATCTACTCATTAGGGTTGATTTTGTGTTATTTGTGCATTGGGAAGTTGCCATTTTCTGGTATTGTTAGAGACGAAAATGATCCACAGGAGGCAAGAAACAAAATTTTGAATTGGTATTCTACATTGACATTTGAGTGTTTTAGTGAATGGTTTGAAGAGCAAATCATCCAACGAGAGGGTAAAGTGGATGACTGTATGAGTGATTTTAAAGATTTAATTTATGTGATGATTAAGGGTGATAAAACCAGCTCAGGAGGTTCTTCAGATTCAAGAATTGGATCAAAGGAAGTATTGGTACAATTGAATGAAATCAAATGGAAGAGGTTCATTGAATCTGATGGTATTAGAAACCGCACATACAGTAGAGAATCTGCCAACTTCAATGATACAGCTATTAGAGAAGAAGAAGAGACATTGATGTTGTACAAACCATACCATACTGAGGTTGCCATAGCTGATGATCAAAATAGATCAAAGCAAACAATCGCCCAAGATGACGATGATGATGATGATGATGAAGAAGACGTCGAGTATGAAAAACTATATGAATCTGATCATATTAATTTAACTGAAGATGAACTTGAGGATGATGCGGCACAAGATTTTATTGAGAATATGACGACACTGAATAATGAATATCTTCAATTGCATAGATACACGGCCGTTCCATTCTACTGTTTCGAGTTGCTACTTTTAGAGTATCTTTCATACTTTTCTCCTAGTTTTAACAAATCTATGTTGAAGATTGGAATCTTTATTTCAATTGCAATGGATCTTGTCTTTGCTGATCGAACTAAAATTAGAACTGTCATGTTCGTATGTACTTCCATGATATTGTCAATTTTCCTAGCATATGAGCTTGGGCGTCCCGACATTTAAGTAGACAAAGTAGAGGTTTATATTAATATACAATGGGAACAAAATGTATGTGTCTTAATGGTCGCACAAATTGATAGTTGAAAGTTGACATTAAACCAGGATAAAAAAAAAAAGAATCGTGAAAAAAAAAAAAAAAATATACTAAAAGGCATCTCAATCAGTTCGTAAGAATCAAGAAATACTTACAACAAAAAGTAATAATACACCAAAAGATCAATGTCAGGAAATAAGCGTAAAGGAGGATCGATTAATTCAACAAAACCAAAGAAAAAGAAAGTAAAGTCCCCTTCAGTGGATGTTCAACTAAGTACCAACAATAATTTTGTAGCTTTACAAGACCACGTTGATGAGGATTCAGATATAGAAGTTATCTATGAGTATAAAAAGCCCCAACAAGAATTAGTGTTACTTGACAGTGAGGAAGATGAAGATGAAGATGCAGAAAATGAAGTGGAAACTAAGAAGTCAGTTGACCAATCGAACCCAAAGAAGCGTAAGTTTGACGAGGTTAACGAAGCTGATGATGATATTACTACTGAAACAAACGAGTTGGCAAAGAATGAAGATTTCATTGGATTTGGTTTTCTGTCTACCGATGAAGAAGAATCCGAAGGAGAAGAGAGTGAAAATGATGATCACAGTGGTGCTCCAAACTCCCAATACCCGTGGATTAAAGATCATGATCATTCTACTCAAAAAGAGATTGCCGATTGGCTTACCATGGAAATACGAGATTTTGTCAACTATATCTCCCCATCTAGTGATGAAATCATTACGAGAAATAAAGTAATTGCTGCTTTAAAGAAAAGTATTTCAGATTTTTGGCCTGGTACCACAGTTCATGTTTTCGGGTCCTGTGCAACTGATTTGTATTTGCCTGGTTCCGATATTGACATGGTAGTAGTTTCTGATACTGGGTCGTATGAAAATGCGTCCAGATTGTACCAACTTTCTACATTTTTAAGAACAAACAAATTGGCAACTGAGGTAGAGGTTATTGCCCATGCCAAGGTCCCAATTATAAAGTTTGTGGATCCGAAATCACGTCTTCACATTGATGTTTCTTTTGAAAGAACAAATGGTATAGATGCTGCTAAAAGAATAAGAAGATGGTTAGTCTCAACTCCAGGACTTCGAGAACTTGTTTTAGTTGTGAAGCAATTCCTTAGAACTCGTAGACTTAACAATGTTCATGTTGGTGGTCTTGGTGGGTATGCTACTATCATCATGTGCTATCATTTCTTGAGATTGCACCCAAAAATCACAACCGATGCTATGAGTGCATTAGACAATTTGGGGGTTTTGTTGATTGAGTTTTTTGAATTGTATGGACGCAATTTTTCATACGACGATTTGGTATTGGCGTTAGATCCGGAAAATGAAGAGCCGAAATATGTTAGAAAACTGAAGTCACCACTCCAGCATTCAGCTAGAAGTCTGTTTGCTATTATCATTCAAGATCCTGCAGATCCTTCGAACAATATAACGAGATCGTCTTATAATCTTAGAGACTTGAAGAAGGCATTTGGTGGGGCGTACCAGTTACTTCTGGAAAAATGTTATCAATTGAATGCGGCTTCATATAAAGAGAGATTAGGTTCACTGATATTGGGTGATATCATCAAGTATACCGGGAAAGAGAGAAACTTTAGCGATGATCGTCATAAAGTTGTTAATCATGCTTTGGTAAAACATGACGATGACGACGATGGTCAAGAAGATGATGCTGAAAGTGATGGCCAGAATGGAAATGACAAGTATTACTTCTCTGATATGACTGACGAAAGTGACGAGCCATATGTCCCGTCAGTTGCGAAACCTACACCAACCCCTTTAACCAAAAAGCCGAAGGATACTAAAAAATTAATCGAAAGTATGTTGAGTCTCAACAACAGTAGTGATGAAGACAAGGGACTGAAAGAAGAGAACGAAGAATATGTTCCAACTGTTGGGACCAAGAAACCAAAGTCAAATCTAGATAAGGATGTAAGGAGAGACTACTGGAGACAAAAAGGATTAGATTTGTAATTACTAAACATTAACTGTAATATTAGCTCTATATGTATATATGTATGTAATTATTAACTCTGTCATTTCTTTTTAGGTCACTAACAACAATTTGAAATAGATGATGCTCGTGTGTTGAGCATGTTTCCAATTTGATCTTGTCGATTATTCCTGGTCTGCTCGTAATAGTTTGTGAAAAACTCTTCATCAATGTCTTTGACAATCTGGCTAAATAGCTCCACCACACCTGTACCTTCTTTTGAGCTAGTTTCATGGTACTGTTTAATGTTTGGTTGTTGAGCTATTAGCTCATCGATCTGATGCTGAATCTCCGTTCTTTTGTTTGGAGCCAAGTCCAATTTGGTACCAACCAAGCGTATCTCTACTTTGTCACTTGCATCTGAGGAATTATTTAACTCCAATTGTTGAATCCAATATTTTGCTGCACTAATCGAACTTTCAAAATTACTCAAATCAAAGCAAACCAACGCTGTTTTAGCGTTTCTGTAATACATAGGAGTAAGTGAACGGTAACGTTCTTGGCCAGCAGTATCCCAAATCTCTAGTTTTACTTTATGTTCTTCATTCTGAAATGGAGAAAACACTTTTGTTATAAATGCAGCCCCAATAGTATTGGATGTGTGTAAATCAAACTTGTTGGTTGTAAATCGATGCACCAAAGAAGTTTTACCTACTGATGAATCTCCCAAGACCACAATCTTAAATGGAGGAACTGGAACTGAGTTCAATGATGAACGACGCGAGTTTGGTGATTCATTAGATGCCATTGTAGTACTTTATTCTGTGTATGGGATGTTGGTGTTGTTATGGTTGTCAATACTTGATTTCGCTCGCGTACTGTACATTTTCTGATATTTTTGAGTATTTATTTTCCTCGTTTATCATACAAGCACTTCACATACATTGGTGTATTATATCTTTTGAGTTCACAAATATTGGAACAACCGTTGAATTATTTAACAAGCATATTCGACAAATTACTTTGACATATATGTACTTCCGCTCCCTGTGAGTTAGGATGATCATGGTCTGCATCATATTGTAGAGACCAGCTTATGAAAGTGAGTGACGGGGTTTGAAATTTCCGTTTTTGGAAGTCAAATATAATATTTTTTTTGTCAGTCATTGACTTATATTTCTTTTTCTTCTTTGTTTTGTCTCATAGTGTGCACTGGAGAAACGTTACTTATTTTTTATTCCCTCGTTCTAGTGAGCCCCCAACAAAGAGTTCTTAATGAAATATAATGAGTAAGAAAAAAAAAAAAAATCATACGTTCAAATCCCGTTCCACTATAATCACCAATTTGTTTAATATACCCAATTGCATCCACCATTATTATTTTCTTAGAGTCTACTAATAATATCTTCAAAGTTATTTCATTTCTTTTTTTTTTTTGCTTCTTCTTCTTCTTCCTACTTCTTGTTTTTCTATTCAACAATTCTTTATTAGTTGTTACACCCTACAAATTACAAATTACAAATTACAAACTACAAATTACAAATTACCTATTCCCTTTCTTTCTTTTGCTGAATTTTTTTTTTCTCCTTAATTCATTTACGACCTGCCAGTAGATCAGAAGAAGAGAAGCGTTAAACATTCCTGCATTTATACATTTATCAATCGATTCGATTTCATTAATATCAGAGTATATCGAGTATGGAAATGCCAGCTAAGGATAAAGCCGTAAAGGTTCGAAAGCATGTGAGTAGTGCTTGTTTAGAATGTCGAAGAAGACATTTCAAATGTGATGGTAAACAGCCTATTTGTGACAAATGTCTAAAGTCTAACAAACCTTGTCAATACGTTGCAAGCCATCGTGGTGGTTCTCGAAAAAAAGGTGTTTCCACAAAGAAGAAGCCTATAACAGTTAATGATGTGAACCGTGGACCAGAAATGCCAATGTTTGTTGCTGATATTGAAGATTTTGGTAAAAAGAGCCAACCTCCTGTTACACCACCTGTTCAATCCACAGAAATCAAGACAAATGAAGAAATGTTCCAGCATGTAATGGATTTACCATGTGCCCATGATAGTAACAGATGTACGGGACTGAATTGTCCAGGGAAAAGTGCTGTAGAGTACATGAAACAGCGTCCTAATAAGCATGCGCATATGAATGATACTGAAGCCCAAATGATGGAGACTTTGAGAAAGAAAATAAAGTTAGAAAGCACAATGAGTAATATTAATTGTCTATTTAGTGACAACAATCCTCCAATTGATATAAGGTCATTTAAAGAGCTAGAAATGACGACTAATATCCACAATCCAAACAATTTTGTTGATCTCATGGAACTCGACAAGAGCGAGATCATTAAAAACTACTACGAGATGTTTCACCATGCTCATCCATTCTTGCCACCTAGAGAAGAAATGTTGATTTACATGTCAAACCTGTCAATAGAAAAGGAGTTGTTGCCTATTCTTAGTGTAATCAGTGAAGGTGAAACTTCTTCGGTTACGCTAGAGCCGTTGACTTGGTATCAGATAGATTGGTGCAATGTATTGACGTGGTTAGACAAAATGGGTATATAGACATAATCTCATTACAGGTCTTAACATTGGCGTCGTTGGTTGCGCACGTGTCATCCCTTCATGTTTTGAGTAAGAATCTCAGATATTTTTGCATCTTCTTAATCCAAGATCTCCAAATTCACCTTATTGACTCCGCCAGTGCACAATCGACAAGTGATATGACACCAAACTCCGAATCAAGTCCTGTTCTTAAAGTCTTCACATCCCCAAGACTACTGCATATACCAAGAGATAGCATTGTTCAATGTGCTAGAAGACTATTCTGGGAATTGAATTTTGTTGACATTATCACAGGTTCTGCGGATGGTAAGACTGTATCTTCATTCGACGGTATCGAGTCGTATGTTGATTATCCCACTGTTCCTCTGCGAGAAGAATTTGACTACAGAGGTCGTTCAGAAGCTGGTCAATTGGTGACGACTGCGGTTAAAATGAATATTGAAATTCACCACAAGAGACCATATGATGCAATTCTTACAAGACTAAAAGCTTCATTATCAAGTTGGGAAATGAGACTTGAAGACCCTTCTCTTTTTGATGCACCACCTCTAATTGATAAAAGTGGAAGAGTCAATGAAGGTGTTCACCAAGCCATATTGTTATTCAACTATGCAAAAGTTTTTGCCCATAGACCGTTCTCATATCTTTGGAAAATTAATTCTCCCCAACATCCAAAATGTAACGGTGATGCAGTGGATGCTACTGATTTAACTACCCAAATTCAAGCCAATTCTAGAACTACTATTGAAACTAGGAAAACTATTGAAGGGGCCAATTCTATAATTCAAGTGCTAATAGATACAGGAGCATCTAAAGTTCTTGAACGAACCCATTTTTTTGCTTGTGCTTTGGCTCTTTCGTCATTGGTACATTTAAGTGCATATATTTGGATCGAGACTACCTTGGCTATGGATAAGAGTCAGTCATTTGGCTTGAATTCTGAAGATTTGGACCTTTATACTGAATATATTAAATTGGCATTAAGTGCACTTTATCCGATATCAAAACACTGGCAATTGTCAGGGAAATTGGCAAAGCATATAAGAGATTCGTTAACCACGTTACGACCAAAGCTTTATTCAAAGTTGAAGGATTTTTTACCGCAGTTGGAGATCGGCGTTGAAAAAATGAATATTTCAGGTAGTGAATCTAACGGACCAAATTCTACAAGAAGTCTGACTATGCCTGTTGATTTATCTACAACTCCGACAACTGCAACAACGAACTTTGGTGGACGTATTGGTGTTTCAAACCAAATGGAAAACCAGGTACCGTTACCACAACCTCAAGGTGGTGGTGCTGCCTTAGATATTAATGATGGAGGAGTACCAAATGACAACCCGCTTTTCAATGAACAATATGATTTTGGAAATCTTACTTGGGAGCCAGCGTCTCCTGTTTCACCCTCTGGTTGTGATTGGATTGACAAAGGTTTGGTGGATTTTAATTTTGATGCATTTGTATAGAATTTACGTACATATAAAAAGTACCCTATTTATTTAATGAACCATTTATTTATTTATTTATTTATTTATTTATTTATTTATTCTATAAATCATGTGTAGCCGGGCTACTTTCTTTTTCTTTGGAGTCATTGACTTGAATATTAAACTTGTCACCATATTATCAGTTTGTGCACTTTTCATTAAGGTAGATAAAAGTAAAAAAAAATTCAAATTCATCAAGGAAAAAGAAACAAAGGCAATTTGTGCGGATTTTTGAAGATCACGATGTCCTAGACTCCGCTATTTTTCTATTTATATTTTTCGTTACTCTAGTCTTTCAAACAAGACTTTCTTAAAGTCAAATATTTATTTATACATCTCCTATATTTGCTTGACATTATAACATGGCCAACAAAAGACGTCCAAAAAAGATCAAAGCACCATACAAGAGATACGTTTACAAATCCAACAATTATGCAACAAATTCAGATGATGAGGAAGAAGAAGATGTAATTAGTAATAGCAACCACCTGGAATCTACACTACACGCAACAAATAATGCACGTTTCAAAGGGGCCATTCAAGTTCAGTCCATTTATGTACTAAGTGATCAGAGTAATTATCAAGGTAAAATGTGGCCCTGGAGTAAATTCGAAAAAACCGATGTTCTACAGTGTGCCCTACAAGGATATAATCCTGCTTACAAACAATTGTTAACAGACCATCAAACTGAAAGTGATATAATGGCATTTCCAGTTGAAATATTTGTTAGAATATTTGAAATTTTGAATGACTGGGGCAAGTTAAAACCAAAGTTTATGCGAGTGTGTAAGTTGTTTTATTTAATAATACTTCCTATAATCTATAAAACTCCATATTTAAGGGCCACAAACTTTTTCAATTTTGTCGATAGCATAGCAAGTAACAAATCACTAGGGAGTTATATACAGTCATTGGATCTTTCCTATATTATTCAATCTGGTAAGAATGCTTTTGTTGCAAAACTTTTGAAAAGAACAGGTAAGAACTTGAAAGAGTTTGTTGCCCCACAGACAAGTTTTGGAATTGGACCAATGTATGCATTAAAGAATTGTGAAAATCTACAAGTATTGGACTTGCGTCTTGTATCAGAAACACTAAATTTGGAAGAATTGTTCAAATCGATTCGAAGTTTAAAACAACTTACACTGTTGTCGTTCCCTAGATCATCTGTTGAGATACATGATTATGAACAGATCAAATGGCCACCCAAATTAACATTTCTTAGGCTCTCAGGGGGTATAAGTGATGATTTCTTATATGAATTGGAATTTCCCGAACTGATCACTTGCTTAGAATTTGCCCATTGTCCTGCTATTAGCGATATCGGGTTCCGCCAAGTTTTATTCAGAATAGGAAGAAATTTGAAAACATTGAAAGTTCAGTACCCAATGCCAGGGTTGAAAGGTGATTCCTTGGATCAAGTGTTTATTTACTGCCCTAACTTGAGAGTACTTGAGATCACTGTGGATTATGTTTCATCAATGTTTTTCGACGAACAATATTTGGAATATACAGATACACCTAGACCATTACGAACATTATATGTCAATAGTAGTGGTATGTTGGGGACACTGAGTAGGTTGGATCCAATTGATTTAGCCGTTGCTTTGAATGATGGCCGGTTACCCAATTTAAAACACATGCAATGTACAGCTAAATTGGGCTGGAATCCAGATTCTGATGCTGTCGGGTATATTGCAGATGAGCTTGATGAGCGTAAAGGTGGTTTATATATAGGTTATTAATAGAATAGTATTAAACAATACCCTGGAAATTTATGTATAAAATCAATCAAACACGTTGCGTCAAAATCACTACCGTCGAACAAAAACAACACGACTGTAGGAAACAGGGAGGAAAAAAATGAAAAAAAAAAAAAAAAATACGCCAAATCAAAAGGTACCAGATTAGACACTTGAAACACCTTTCATCCATTCTCAATACCAATAACAATCATGAGTCTACGAATAATATTCCCATTACGAACTATAGGTACTGATAATACAGATATACCTACGATCTTATCCAATATTCAATCAGATGATGTTAGAAGAATAGTTTTTTTTGATGAACATATAGAAGGGTATATCGAATACAATGGGCAGCTAGATCACAAGAAGGATTTTATTAAATTAGAAATGGCAATATTACCCCTGGATGTTCTTGAAGAAAGTGATCCACTTAGCTATACAAGTTCAGAAAGTAAGATTGAGTTGGTTTTGGGTGAACATAGTGTGGTACATGCAAGTGATTCGGCTAGTATTTGGAAGTTTGAACTTCCAGTTACATATCCTAGAAAACGATTAAACAATCCACAACTTTATGTCCGTTGTGCATTAGTGGATACTAAAGGAGAGAAAAAACTTGAGAAGGACGAAACGCTGAATGTTGTACAACCAGCAGAGGAGACTTTACCGAACTATTTCCCTTGCATGAAGAGAAACTTACTTTCAGAGCTAAATCATCAACTGGATTTCATTGAAGCACCTGCATTAACTACTGATAATTCTAGTTTAACTGTACAGGAGAAGTCATTTGTTGAAACGACCATTGTCCAAACCAGCATTAGCATACCCGTTACTATTTCGTTAGTAATCAAACTCAAGTCTACTAAACCAGCTGGAAGAAATAACATGCTTCTTGCCACTCTTAATGTTGAATGCTCAGAGGAATTGGCAAAAGAGAAAAATGTTGAAAACTTCTATTTTGATATAGTAGATTTAAATGTGGGGTTTAAGTCAGGGTCTGTTCAACCGATTAGCCAATTGATACCTTCAAAGATTGGTTACTCCGATTCTTTGAATTTGACTTATAAGTTCACTAATTATGAAGCTGATTCGAAAGATAACAATACCTCCAAACCAATACACATAAGCTTAACCTTGCGGGTTCAAGAAATGATACAAGGGAAACTCTTGAATATTAGTAACACAATCCAGACAGAGTGGTCACCGTACCTTGATTTTGGTTTAATTGCTCCTCCAATCAATAATGCATTGAAAACTTCCCACACCAACAATTTGTCACATATTCAGACTCAAGGATCAGCTATTCCTATTAATTCCAATCGACAAAAGGCACTTCTGAATAATATCTACAAACTCAAAAGTGCTAGTATGTCTAGTGCCAGTAATGTTTCTAGTGGTGGATCCAATGTGAGACGATTGAGGCAACCATTGATTCATCCTAGTGGACGATCATCTTCTGTAACTGTGAATCTAACTACTGCTACTAGTTCAACTTTGTCAGGATTGAAATTAACATTCATTGGCAAGTTGGATATAAAACTTGGTGAAGTGGTTAATTGGAAGATACAAGCAATTAATAATTCACCCAATAGATTAAATTTATCATTATTGGTCCAAAATCCAATTAACTTCAACCCCGTATATAGTGGAACTAATGCCACCACAAATAACTTTTCGTCGTCAAATTTGCTTCACAAAGTTGGGAAGGCCAATAGTCGAGGCGATGTTATAATCTACAATAAGCTGCAGTTGAACGCTTTATATAATTCATTGAAGGCTGATGGAGAAGGGGGAGAAGGTGTTTTGATTCTTAACAATGATATTAGAATTGGTCCATTGGATCCTAACACTGTATTTGAAACTGAAATACAATTGGTTGGAATTTCCAAAGGTATTTTTAACTTGGATGGAGTCAAGGTCTTTGATATTAACAGTGGTGACGGTTTAGATTTTGGTAAATTACTTGAAGTTTTTGTAGTATAATAAACCTCCATTTGAACTATTCACACACACACACACACACTACATACATGTTATTAGATTAGATTACAAATATATATATATACAGAAATATCATCCACCACATTCACTCTTTTCCACTACAAGTCAAACTTTTTGGATCGGTTTTTCTTCTTGTCTGATTGTTTCTTCTTGTTAAACTTCTTCCGTTCCTTGAAGTCCTCCTCCAACTGTATCCATTTCTCCTTGTCCTCTTCACTTGCCTCACTGGCAAAATAAACCTTCGACTTGATCTCCTCGAGAAGTCTCTTAAAACACAACTCTGCATTCATGTCTCGGTTTCGGCTTGTATCTGACTGGATTAGTAGTCCGCCAGTCTTGGTCACATACCGAATCCCCTTGTCTCGCAATTGTGCCTGCACTGGCTTCGGGATCCAGTAACACACCTGTGCACTCAACCAGAGACCTGGCTCTAACGACACCGTGGCTTTCGACGATGTTTTGTTGACCTTCTGCCCACCTGGTCCGGACGATCTGCTGAACGAGATGTCAAATACATGTGTTGGAATCTCGGTGTGTGTGAACGTGTCAACCCATTTCTTGGCCAGTTCAATCTCTTTCTCTGAAAACTGCTGAGCCGTGGAGTTGTATCTGAAATACGGTAGTCTGATGAAACAACGTGATGTAAGACCCACTCTGATCATTGTAGAGATATTGACAACGCAGAGATGTGATGACAGAAGTATAAAGTTTCAATCACTGTTTGTTTTTTCTTTTTGTATTTTTTTTTTGTGCATTAAAAGCAAAATCAAATACATACAAATACAAATACAAATACAAATACAAATAGAGACATGGGCTAGTACAATCACACAGATCTAAGCTTCATCCAAGACTTTGGCCGCAGATGAGACCTCCACAGAGGTGTTATCTGGCTCGACAAAAGTTTTCTTGACTTCACCATCCTCAACAATCAAGGCGTATCTCTTGGATCTCTCGTTACCGAAAAACTTGGAAGCATCAAACAACAAGTCGAGATCCTTGGTGAAGGCACCAGAAGGATCAGCAATAAATCTGATTTGTTGACCAGCAATTGACTCTAACAATTGGTCACCCCAGGCTTTGGTGACAAATGCATCGTTCACGGCAACAACAAAGAATTTCTGGTAGCCCTTGTCGTTGAAAGCACGGACATTCTTGATGAATCCAGGCACGTGGGACTTGGAGCAGCCTGGTGAAAATGCTCCTGGGACACCAATGACAATTGACTTGCCAGAGGCGGTTTCTTCGGCCAAATCAACTTCGTTTCCTGGAGATCCTTCGTAGACAGTGGTGTGGGGGATTTTGTCACCTACAGCAACATAGGTTCTTAAAGAATTTCTAAAAACATTGGCAGTTAATTGAACTCTAGGAATTGATCTGGCTAATGAATACATATTGGTACGGGAGAGGGAATGGGTAAAGTTGTTGTGTTGGTGGGAAGAGGAAGAAGACGCCTGTTTCCAAACTGGATTTTTCTTTTTTTTATTTGAATAATGAGAGAAAAGATTCAACACGGAGATAAATTTTAGATTAAGCTTGCTTAAGGAGAAAAATCGCAACTTCACATAAACGAGGCTTAAAATATTACATGAAAAATCCAAATCTCAAATCATATGGATTCGTTATTCTAGGAGGGAGGAAAATACTACAGTTAAGCTAATGATTTACGTTAAATTTTAACGACAGTCAAGATAAATCAATCTTGTCATCGAGTCAACCGGCTGAATACGTCGATCATTGAACCATTGATGCACGAAATTGTTTTATCTCTGGACAGCGCGAACATGAACCAGAAAAAAAAAGCAATGAAAAAAATTATCAACAGTAAAGATTTCATTAAAAAGAAGAGTGTCGGACCGCCACTACGATAAAATCAACTATGGGCAGTAAAGTAAAAGAATCATCAGACATAAAGCAGGAGAAAATTACTCGAGAGGAAGCACTCAATTTATACACCAATACATTAAACTTCAATGTGATCAGTAGGTACGATCCTGCTATAAAACAATTGCTATGTAATACCTCCCATTGTGTATTGTACAATTTCAATGACGAAACTGAGGAATGGGTCAAGTCCGACTTTCAAGGGACACTTGCATTATATATTAGAGAGTTTAAGGTCCCAAAATCCAATTCTGAGCCACCAACTTATCAGGATTTGCAGGACCTTTTTTGCTACGGGCTTGTGCTTTTGAATAGAAATAACCCAGAGTGTTTTTCATTGGGATTGTTGCCAAACAAAGTTAGTGGACATTTCTTTCCTAATGGGTTGAATAACTCGTCTATTCTGGAGATGGATGTTGAATTGAATGATAATTTGATCATCATACGAAATCTTTTGGGTGAAATTTATGGTTTGTGGGTTTTCAATGAAAATGACAGAATCAAGTTATTCAAGTCTATAGAATTTTGTCTTAACAGCGATGCTAATGTAGAGTAGGATAATAATTTTAATGTATGTATCTTCTTGCACCCAAAACTACTCACTTTGAATCTCACATAGTGAGAAGCCTAAACAGTGGAGTCAGAGTTTTTGATTTTCTTAGAGTTCTTGTAAACTCAAGACGAAAAAAAAAAAAAAAAAAAAAAATAGAAAACAACACAAGATAGTATATCTAGACCCCTTGATCAATCAGTGCCATTATTTACTTCTTGTTCTTTTGATTTTGTCGATAAAATTTGATCGTATTTGTTAATTCTTATAAGTTTTTCTTCATTCTGAATTAGATCTGAAAACTCGTACACGACAAACAAATTCCAAATCTGAATTCAACGAAATTGTATGAACAATAATTTCCATCAAACGAAGAATGATCAAATCTGAAGTGCTGAATGGTTCTGTTTCCACAGGAAATGGAAATTCAAATCATAATCTTAGTCCAGCTCAAGTTCAAGAAGCAAAACAAAACCAATTACGACAACTTCAATTACAACAACAACAACAACACCAACAACAGTTGAAGCATAGAGCGGCTCTCCAAAATCACCATTTTACCTCCACTACCGAAGAAATCCTAAGAAAATATTCTAAATACCCAGCCTCATTGAGTTTGCATATATTCGAGACACATTATCGTTTTAATAATTCCCAGGATTCCCAAATCATTCCGAAGAATTCTCCAATGATGAAAGATTTCATGCAACATGTGTTGAAAGAAGAAATCCCAATTGAAATGTGTGAGTTGATCAAAGACTTTGCGATCAGGCCGTATGACGGGTGTATAATTTTGCAGGTCTACGATCACAGGAATATGGTGAAGACTGCGGCGTTGCCAAATAGAGCTGCAGTATCGCCAACCAAAGATCAAGAAAACAAGCAGCCAACCATTGTTTTGAAACCTAGATCATATAGAACATTATTAAAGCCAACCCCGCTTTCGATTTATTATGATTTGCTTTACCACACTGATTCTGCGCTTCATAGATTTACGGATTATTTGTCCCTCCAGATGGAATCAGAAATCTTGACTGTTACCAACAGGAAGTTAAACTTGGATGTTCCGTTGAATCCATATAATTACGAGCATTTGAAACCTGAAACTGAATCACATGTGAAAGATGGAATTCAAGATGATGAAGAAACTACCGAATTTGTACACAGACATGCTGTCCAACACACGCCTCGTAAGATTCACCAGGACGAAATGGTCTTGCACAAGTCTTCTGAATACGAAGAAATTATGTTACTTTTGTCTAATAAGAGCAGACGTCCAGATGAATCACAAGATAAAAAATTGGTTGTTGTCAATTCTTCAACTCTACCAACTACGTCCACGCCCACTGCTGCGCAATCAACTAAACAAAATGGTTCTGAGCCAACAGCTAATGCTGAGACTAAATCAAAGAAGGGTGAAAAGACTACTTCCACTGCTGCTAGTACTGCTGCGCCAACTCCTGCTCCTGCTCCTGCCCCATCTATTCCTCAGAATCCAGTGAGAGCGACAGGGCAATTTATGAGATTGAGGTTGATTGAAGAGATTAGAAAAAAGAGAGAAGCAGAGAAAATTCAACAAGAAGCTAAGATTCAAGCACAAGCTAATGCTGTTCAAAACGATTCAGTTCAACTGACACAACTGGCACCACCATCAAGTGTTGCTAACTCGCCATCATTGCCTGAACAAAGTAAAAGACCTTCGCCTGTCACTCAGAATCAGCCGCCTCCTAAGAAACCTAAGAAGGAAACCAAGAAGCAGCTTCAGGCCAAAGCTCAGGCTCAAGCTCAGGCTCAGGCTCAAGCTCAAGCTCAAGCACAGGCTCAGACACAGGCACAGGCACAAGCTCAAGCACCAGCTCAACCTCAAACTCAAACTCAGTCTCATGCCCAAGCTCAGGTACCTACTCTGGCTCAGCCACAAGCACAAGCACTGAATGATGTTCCACTACGCACCCCAGTTCAACAGTCTCAACAACAGCAACAACAGTCATATCCGAACCAAGGTTTAATGCAAAACTCGTCACAATTCAATGGTCAAGGTATGCAAGCTGCAAGTGGAGGCTCTCCATTGATGAATAACCAAATTCCATTTGCACAATCTCCTCCAATGCAGCAACAATTGAATGTGGGTACTCCTGGTCCTCTAGCAACTCCTCCGCAACAACATGCTCAGCAACAGCCCCAGTCTCAAACTCAGCAACAGCAGCAACAACAGCAACAGTCACGACCACAACAAAATCCTCAATTGACTCTTCAACAGCAACAGCAGCAGGCCATCTTCCAAAGCTCATTAACGCCAGATGAACAGAGAATATATAAGCAAATGCAACAGAAAATGGCAACTTTGGCAATGATGGGTCAATCTGGTGTTACGCCTACTGGTCAACAATTGACTCCACAACAAAAGCAACAAGCTATCCAGCAAGCTAAGAATTTGCAGCAACAGTTATTTCAAAGGTTCCCGCTTTATTTCCAGAGATTGAAGCAATTACAATTAATTCACCACAAACGAAGACTACAACAGCAGCAGCAAGCTCAACAACAAGCACGACAACAAGCTGCTGGAAGTTTAGGTGGGTCTGGTTCTGCAATGCCAAATGGAAATGTGCAACCAAATACTGGTCAAGGCTCGTCACAAATTGGTGGTGCTGCTGCTGCAAACAATGAACCTAAAAAGAAAAGAACTTATAAGAAAAAGAACAGTGTTTCTAATGCAAATAATAATGCTAATGCTAATGCTAATGCAAATGCAAATGCAAATGCAAATACTAATGCTAGCGCCAATTGACTTTTTTCTTGAATTTAAACTTTCGAAATATTGTAATAATAACTTGTATAATTTATTCTTTTTATATGTTTTTAGTGTAGCATTAAAATACAGTGTTTGTTCGTATTCCTTTTTCAATTGTTATTATAATCAAAAGAGATAAAGAAATAACATACATTCAAAACAGAATTACAAACAATATAAAGTGAGTTATATAGAATTATGATTCTTAAAAAAAAAAATAAGGCGACCGGAAGCACCCCAAATAAAAAAATGGTATACTAAAATAAAAAATTTAAACAAAAAACCTTGTCACCAACTAGAGCAAAATGATGAAAGAATAGAACAGATAAAAGAGAATTAGACAAATCAATTATGTAACCAAATCCAATGAAACCAAAAATAAAAACCAAGCATATCGTCAAGAAAGTAAAAAAAAAAATTGGACAACTAAAGTATGAATAAAAACTGAAATAAAAAAAAGCACCTGTTAGCCGTGTGTTGTGAACCTCTAATTCTCTTCGTCAGTCATGGTACTTCCATAAATCCCAAGAGCTGCTAAGGTAGCCAAAACGTAAAATAATCCTTTCCCAACTTCTTTTGTTATGGTTTTCCATTTAGATTGGGATGTCAAAATCTTCTTTCTTGGAGGTTCTGGGACTTTCAGATTCACTTGTTCGACAGCTGATTCCAAAGTTGTGTCTTCATCATAATCGATATCATCTTCCATTTCATCAAACGATCTCTTTCTAGAGCAATCGCTGTTCAGTAATTCACATTCGGTATCTTCAATTGCATAGCATAATGGTGCACAGTGAATACGATAGTTGTCTCTTGCATAAACATGTAATTCTTCTTCGTCGTCGTTGACCACTTCAATACTATCATCACTGATGCTGCAGATTTCAGAATCGTCGATACTTTGATCTGAGCTATTTAATGTATCATCATCATCAAATTCAGATTTGGTTTCATTGTGATATTCGATATCATTAATATTTGCATCAGATTCCAAAACGGAGATGTCATAATCATCTGAATCAAATTCAGATTCAGAAGTATTAATTTCTTCTTTACCTTCATTTAAATACCTGGTTTCTGAGATTTCCTCGTCTTTGTCATGGTTATCTGAATCATCGACACTATAGATAGAATCAACTTCGTCATTGTAGTCATCATAGTCGCCGTAGTCAACCTTCCCATCTGCAAAGAGCTCTCCATCGGATAATTTATCAATGAAATTTGCATCATCCACCTCGGAGTCAAAATCATAAACAATGTCAGATTCGCTGGGAGCATCATCTGAGCTGTGATATAATTCCTTATTGTTCAATTCACCATCGTCATCTTTTTCTTCTACAGCGGCCACTACTGATGTTGCAACTGCTGCCTCGGTGACCCGTGGTGTGTTATCTGATAATACATTGGCCTCTTCATTAACCACATTTGAACTCTTGGATTCATCTCCCTTGGAGTTATATTCTTCATGCACATCGAGTCCCTCTGGATCAAATTTATCATCGTGAACATCTTCATCTGCCTTATCGAATGGCGTCTCCTCCATAGCCCTAACCGTTTCTTCATCTAAAATTTGAATTTCATCATCCTCTCCTTCCTCATCTTCAGTACCAGACTTTCTAATTTCGTCAATTTCCCTTGTCTTATCTTGTGAGCTTATAAAACTTTCATTGACCAGCAATTCCTTGTTTGGCTCAGAGTTATCATTCTTTTCGCTAGTACCAAGTGGTACAAACCTTAAGAAATACCCACTAATATCAACCACAAATTTCATTGCAATTTGAGGGCTGCCAAATTCTTCAAGTAGTATAATACTCTCTGAGCCACTATAAGATTTGAAAGTCTTTTTAATTTGCAGTGAAGGTTTGGACATTATGAACCCAATTTCATCGTTATTCTTCAATGGGAACTCGATATCTGGAATTAAAACCTTATCTCTATTAAGAACAGTACCAAAAGTCGAGTTTGTATCCTTTATAAAGAAACCATCATTTTCATCATATCTAATAATAGCATGCTCTTTCGATAAATGATTGTTTCTAAAATACAAATTGGTTAACTTGGCAATGCGATCCTCTTGTTTAAGGGAGGACCTTCTAACTGGAACAGATTGACCATGGCTAAACATAATAACTCTTTCATTTGTGATTGTACCATCAGAAGGAACTAAACTTTGGTCTGACAGTGTCGGAACTAGTCCCACAAATACAGATCGAGAAGGAGTGGTTGGATCAGGGACTGTTGCAAACATAATACGGACTTTTAATAACAATTTACCTACGACTAATACAGATTAAACAAAGAAAAGTAATATAACAAGAAGGCAAAAATTTTTTTGATCGTTTTTTTTTTGGATTGGGGGGATTGTGGGTTATTAAAAAGAGTGAGAAAATTGTATCAAAATGATTGTATAGAGTTATTACATAATTACACACAGTCTCTCTCTCTCTGTCTCACATTTTTTTGATCCACGTAGTAAGTCGGGGGGTTATACCACGGAGAAAATTTGAATGAGGGTTTTTAAATTTTTATTTTATTTTATTTTATTCTTTTTTTTTTTAGTGCTTTGTGTATGTGGGTGAGGGTGACTGTGCGTAGGAGAGTTGCGATAACGCACGATAAAGAAATTTTGCTACGTTATCAAGTATCAAATGTGTTTCAGGAACAATTTTCATATATTGATGTCAGAAGAACTTTACTAATTGATCTTGAATAAGTTTTAACAACACTTCTTACTTGACCTAAGTATAATTTGTCAAATTATTATGCTTCAATTATTTACTTGTTTATTTTTCTTTATTCTCTTTGTTTTTTCTTACTTTTATTTATATTTGGTTTTTAGAAAGTTTTCGTCTGATAACGAAAAAGAAAAAAAGAAAACGTGAACAGTATCTTATGTAATCACCCGGTTACCTCACAACTTAGTTACACTTTACAACACAATTATTACCAAATGTCATTTGATTTCCTATTTGCAGTTCATTTTAAGTAGCTTTCAACATAACTTCTGTAGAGATGACTAAACCGAATTTATATTTGACAGCTCTTTTAAGCGCTTCCCTTCCCCTTAATTTTAAGAGTCATTATTCTTCTTTTTCCTCCACTCACATAATCTAAGGCTGTTTGCATAACAAACCAGAAGTGTCTGTTCTTCATCGCACTTAAACATCATTCTTTTACTAAAAACAAAACTGGTTTGTTGATTAAAATTCGCTTATAGTTGATTTTCGGGTGGTATTTTGTTGTTGGTTCTGTAATGAAGTGTATAACGCGTGATTTTTATCACGTGCGATTAATATGCCGGATTTTCTGCTATTCATGTTTTTTTGTGAGTTGTAATCGACTACAAGTTTTTTTTTTTCCGTTCGTTGTTGACTGCCCTTCAATTTTCTTCCAATCTATTATCCTAGTGATTTGATAACCCATAAAATTGATAAGCATTATCTGTCATTATAAATAGAATCCATATTGCATATCATTCTAGATTTTTTCCATGTCGTTACAACAACAATCATATTCAGTTGTTCCCAGGCGACCTCCAGTTCAGCCTTTGAATGATAAAATGAGACACGGTTTCGATGTTGACTATAATTCTGAAAAATTTCTAAGTTCATTAGCGAACACATTCTATATATACTTTGATGACAAACGACAAAACACAAATGGTAATCCAATTACTGATGAGATGAAGGCATCGCCAAAGCATTTTAAGAATTACCAACCAATATCTGACTGGAAAGTCATGAAAGAACGTCAAAAGACAATCAGTGCAATATTGGTGTTGTGTCTAAATCTAGGAGTTGCGCCTCCAGATGTGATGAAGCCTTCTCCATGTGCACGCTTTGAATCATGGTGTGATCCATCTTTATTCACTGATACAAAGAAAGCAATAGAGAATATCGGTAAAAATTTACAATTACAGTACGAAAGTATATCGTCAAAAACCAGATATAGATTGTCCTTAGACCCTTGCGTTGAAGATATCAAACGTTTCTGCAATGCTCAGCGAAGAAATGCCAAGGATGAAAGAATATTGTTTCATTACAATGGGCATGGTGTTCCTAAACCGACTGCAAGTGGAGAAATTTGGGTGTTCAACAGGAACTACACACAATATATTCCTATTTCCTTATATGATCTTCAAACTTGGCTTGGGGCCCCTGTGATCTTTGTCTATGATTGTAATAGTGCAGGCAATATAGTTCATAATTTCAAAAAGTTTGTTCAAAAACGTATTGATGACGACAACGAGGGTAATCACGATCAAAGTGCTCCTTCGCCTTCTTCAGCGTATTTAGATTGCATACAATTGGCAGCATGTAAAAGCAATGAATTGTTACCAATGAGTCCTGACCTACCGGCAGATTTGTTTACTTGTTGTTTAACTAGTCCAATAGATATTAGTGTCAGGTGGTTTATTCTTCAAAGTTCCTTAAAGAAAGGATACTATGATGCTTTACCTAGGAACTCAATAGGCAATGTCATTATTCCAGGTAATTTAAATGATAGAAGAACACCGCTTGGTGAGTTAAATTGGATTTTCACAGCAATTACAGATACTATTGCGTGGACCTTGTTATCAAGACCAATTTTCAAACGCTTGTTTAGACAAGATTTAATGGTAGCTGCATTGTTCAGAAACTTTCTTTTGGCAAAGAGAATCATGCCTCATTTAAACTGTAATCCAATCAGTGATCCACCATTACCAGAAGCTGTTAGATTTCATCCAATTTGGGATTCGTGGGATTTAGCCATAGATCAAGTTCTTTCAAAGCTATTAAGAACTGCGCAAGATGAGGCTGCTGTTGCTGCTGCTGCTGCTGCTTCCACCACTAATGGTGTCATACCTGGTTCTGTTCCTTCTAGTACAACTGCATCAAATTCATTAGCTCCAAATGGGACAGCTAAATCTGACGGACATCAAGGTAATGGTAGCGTTTCACATGTTCCTGCTGCTCCTCAGAATTCAGGAAACTACCAATATACTACTTTTTTTGAACAGCAATTAACTGCGTTTGATATATGGTTAAAATATGCTGGTCCTTCAACAAAAGAGCCACCACAGCAATTGCCAATTGTGTTGCAAGTTTTGTTGTCCCAAGTCCATAGATTGAGAGCATTAATATTGTTGTCACAGTTTTTAGATTTGGGACCTTGGGCTGTCTATTTGTCGTTGGCTATTGGTATATTTCCGTATGTTTTGAGGTTACTACAAAGTCCAGCACAAGAGTTGAAGCCAGTATTAATATTCATTTGGGCTAGAATTATGGCTGTTGACTACAAGGGAACTCAACAAGAGCTTTGTAAGGATAAAGGCTACAATTACTTCTACTTAATATTAAATTCAAACCCTACAAATAATGTGAATGGTTCACACAATCCAAATAACGCAACTGGAGCTGGTGCCATGCTTATTAATGACGATCACAAGGCTATGAGTGCGTTTATTTTAACCCTATTTATCAAAGATTTCAAAAATGGGCAACGATTATGTTATTCCACAGAGATAATTAACAATTGTTTGAAATTTATACAGACCAGTGATAATCCTTTACTTAGACAATGGTGCAGTTTATTGTTATCTCAATTATGGAATAGATATCCCGACGGTAAATGGATAGTTTACAAGAATGGATATATAAACAAATTGTTGACATTAATTGATGATCCTATACCAGAAGTTAGAACATCCATCTTGGTTGCGTTGACCACCTACCTTTCTGATCCACCACATTTAGCTGCACCACAGCCTACAAACCCGGTTGCAGTTAATACTACAGATTTGAGAAAAGATGAAATTAGACAGCAAGACTTAAAGTTGGCCAATGCTGTGCTTGGGTTATTAGGAGATGGTTCTCCAATTGTTAGAAAAGAATTGGTATTTTTCATCAATAAATTTGTCCAAACATATTCTAAATTTTTCTTGATTGTTGCGTTTAATCAATTACAAGAAGAAATTGTCTTAATTGAGAATCCAAACTATTTGAATGATTTTAGAAAACGCTCACCGGCCTATGGATCAATATTTAGTTCAATCTGGAAAGCTTTATTGATATTATCAGAAGATCCCCATTGTGAAGTCAAACAACTCGCAGAGACATTAATCGATTACGTTATGGTCCAATTGAATGAAAGTGAGTTATCTGCTTTGGTCAAAGAAATGCAAGATTATTTACTAAGCAAGTCAACTATTAATATCAGTGAAAGTTTCAAGCCAACAAAGCCACTAGTAAATAGACAATTGGGTGATAAGAGACAGGTTTCAAGTGCATCAGTGATGAATAGAAAGAATGTCTTAAAAATAGATGGTTCTTCTTTAGTAACAAGATCCGCTTCAGCTAGCAATCTCGGTGGGAATAATGCAAATTCTGACAATTCAGATGCAGAATCTATAACTTCTAAATTGAAGAATTTATCTGTGTCTAAGCTTTTCAAAAGTTTTCATATCACAGAAGAAAATGATTTGAAGAGTCTAAGCAGAATATTAAACCCAGGACCAATACAGTCAAGCTATGGTAGTGAGTATGTTCCAACACCTTCTTTTTACAAGAAACGTGATTTGACTGAACCGCCTGAATTACCATTTGATTCTGGGTTCTTTGAATACAGTTGTGAATATTTCCAAGAACCTCAAATGTCAAGAAATGAGATTGATGAACCTGGCTCGAAAGAATATGTCAAGAGACTATGGAGAAGAAATAGAAATGAGTCTATCATTCAAGAAACTCAACCACAAAAGGAAATGGCATTGAGAGGCGAGTGGAATAAAGATATTCAAATTCTTAATAATAAAACACAGCCTAAATGTATCAAATTCACTCAGTTTGAAAAAATCTTAGTTGCCAGTGATGAAAAGGATAATATCACCGTTTGGGATTGGGAAAATAATCAAGTTGTAAAGAAATTTTCCAATGGTAATCCATTCGGAACAAAAATCACTGACATTAAGTTTTTAAATGAAGATGATTCCCCATTAATGTTGACAGGGTCCTCTGATGGGGTGATCAAGATTTATAAAAACTTCCATAATTACGAAAATTATGGAACTACCTCGAATGGTGGAATTATCAGGGATGAAGACGGAGATGATGATATTGAAGAGGAAGAGAAGAAAGTGGAATTGGTTACTGGGTGGCGAGCATTGACTGATTTGTTGTTGACTTCAAAGAGTACTGGGTTAGTTTCAGAATGGCAACAATCAAGAGGTTCGTTATTGGTTAGTGGTGATGTGAAAATCATTAGAATTTGGGATGCCCCACGTGAATTATGTTTGCTGGATATTCCTGCTAGATCGTCGTCGTCAATCACCTCTTTAACTTCTGATCAAGTTGCTGGTGATATTTTTATTGCTGGTTTCGATGATGGTACTATCCGAGTTTACGATACCAGATTGGACTCACGAGAATCAATGGTAATGACGTGGAAATCACCAAGACAACAGCAACAACAACAACAGCAACAAGGTCAGCAATTTATTGGAACAGGCTCAATTAGAAATGTTCATATGCAAAGAGGTGGTTTCAGAGAGTTGATTAGTGGTTCAGCTGATGGGTATGTGAATGTTTGGGATCTTAGGTTGCAAAATCCAGTTTTGACTTACACCACCCCAGAGAAATCTATCCGAAGTATGGATGTTCATGAACACGCTCCAATTTCCATGACTGGTGTTAAAAATGTTGACATTTGGTCTACTGCAGGAGAATGTTTGACCACATTGAATAATCCAAATGGTTCATCCCACAAATCATTGAATTATTTATCAACCGCAACTTTCCATCCACATAGAATGATGTTTGCAACAAATTATAATCAAGACGGTCATATTAACGTCTATACATGTAAAGATACAATAGTGCAGTATTAGGTTTATAGTATTCCTATTAATATAGTTATAATTATTGTGATCTGCTTTTGTATATGGTCTGCACATTACTTGTTATATATCACCTTGTATATTTGTTGGTTTTGTGGGTTTTATATCTCGCTTGTGCTATCTGTTATCGAACGGTATCGTTATTCCCAGGCTCGGGAAAGAATGTGAATTTTTGGACTAATTTGATTGAATGCGCGAGAAACCCTCACACACCAGGACGAGAACCTCAGAGAGAAAAAAAAGAAAAAAAAAAATTGAATACCCGCAGAGAATCTGACTTGTATCGTGGAATAATTTTTCACTTAAACGCTTCATATTCTTAAAACAAAACAAAAAAAAAAAGATCTTTCAAACTAGACTAATTTAACCGTTGATTGATTGCTATTAAATATATTTGTATTTGTATTTTTTTGGATTATAAAAGTCACAATTCTGAATATCACCAGGTGAATACAATAAGATCACGTTTACCAAACCCCCCGTTTCGACATCCGAAAGGCAACAATTTCTGTATTATTCCTTGAAAGTAAAGTTTGAAGAAAGGTAAAATTGCCCCCACTTCCAAATGTCTTTATCATCAGAAATAGCAGCAGGAAATGAAGTATATCCAAATACGAATCAACCAAGAATGCCAAAAGAAGAAAATATATCTGTGACTCAAAGAATGATAAGTGCATGTTCAGGATCACTTATAACTTCATTAGTTGTTACTCCATTTGATGTGATTAGAATTAGAATCCAACAACAAGAAATACTACCGCAAGCTCAACCATGTTGTCAAGTTCATTTTCCAGAACATACATTATCGCCATCTCCAGCAACACTTGCTGCTGAAGTATCTGCATCTGCTTCTACTACTACAAGTACTGTATCAGCAAGTGCACCGGAATTATTCTGGATTCATAATAAATATTGTAACACGGCAGAAAATTGTACTAGGATCACATCAACTTTTCAAGGTTTCAGTACAGTGGCAAAACATGAAGGAATAAGTACATTATGGAGAGGTTTATCATTAACATTATTGATGGCTATACCTTCAAATATAATTTATTTCACCGGGTATGAATATATTAGAGATCATTCTCCTATTGGTAATCATCCTTTGAATCCTTTATTTTGTGGTTCTTTAGCAAGGACAATGCTGGCTACATTTACTGCACCTTTTGAATTGATTAAAACTAGATTACAAGCAATACCTACTGATCTGAAAAGTTCACATCATGTCTTGAAAAATTTATTAAAAGATCTGATGGGATTAGTTAAGAAAGATGGTATTTCTACATTATTTAAAGGTTTAAGTATAACATTATGGAGAGATGTTCCATTCTCTGGAATATATTGGTCTAGTTATGAATTTCTTAAAAAAAGAATCTCAAAAGGATTAAAAGTTAATTTTGATACTGCTCATACAGATGATGATTGGAAAGTTTTTATAACTTCATTTTTATCAGGTTCTATATCAGGAGCTACAGCGGCATTTTTCACTAATCCTTTTGATGTAGGTAAAACAAGATTACAAATTACCATGGATGAAGGAAATCATAAACTTAAACATAGAACTAATATGTTTAAATTTTTATTTGATATATATAGAACTGAAGGTGTTGGTGCATTATATGCTGGGTTTCCTCCAAGAGTTATGAAAATTGCTCCTGCTTGTGCAATCATGATTTCATCATATGAAATTGGAAAAAAATTCTTCAAGAATAATAATTCAATCTAGCTTTGGGTTGATTGTTACTTGTATATATATATATATGTATGATTCCTTTGTTTTTTTTATATATTATTTATTAATTTATAGAAGTCATTCGGGAAAGGAATTATACCTGTTTTTATTTTATCTGTTTTTCTTTTAATTCCAATGATCACTAAATGGTATAGAATGAGTATCACCACCAAGTCGTGATGGATATATTGGGATTTCATTGCGAGAATCATCTTCAATTGTTGTTGATGAGTGTCGATGTTGAATATGATCTTGTTGCAAATAATGTTGAGTAGTTAATTCCGGAATAGGATGAACTTGAGGAAGAATTGGAATATGAGAAGTATTGGAGGAGTGATGATGATTATGATGTTGTGATTGCAATTGTTGCTGCAGTTGTGGCGGACCATGAGTTTGAAAGTGTGATCCTGATGGTTGTTGTGATTGTTGTCGTAAGCCATCTTGTTGGTGTTGTACAGGAAGATGTACTACTGCAGGTTGTTGCTGTAGTTGTTGTTGTTGTTGTTGTTGTTGTTGCTGCTGATGTTGATGTTGTTTGCTAGATCCTTCAGTATGAATACAAGGCGATGCTTTTTTGCATTCAGAACACAATGATTGAGGAGTAGGTAAATTATAATTTCTCAACTTAATCAGAGGATCACCAAGACTAAATCCAGGTTCTAAAGGAGGAAATTTACGTCTTGATAATTTGGAGTATTTATTAGGTGATATTCTGGCCAATTCATTTTCTCCAGAATTATTATTCCCACTAAGTAAATCTTGTTCAATTGAATTCAAATATTGAACAAACTCATTTGCTGTATCGTATGATCTTTTGCTAGTTGCAATTAAAGTGATTCCATATTCCATTAATGAATCTTTTAAATCATTGGCTATAGTTCTAATATATTGCTGTTCTGTTACTTGTAAAGTACATTCAGTTTGTTCAAGTTTTTCACTCAATAAGATTGAATTTGAAGCATTTGGTCCATATCTCACGGTTGCGTCCTTCAATTGTTTCTCTAGTTTTGCTTTTTGTTGAATTAACTTGGTCCGTTTCTTTTCTCTTTCATTCACAAATGACAAACTTAGTTTTATTGCTTCATTTTTTTCATGTAGTTGTGATTTGATATTTGAATGGATATTCATCAATGCACTGAACAGTTTTATATATAGCGAACTTTCCAAATTTGGTACACATTGACCCCATATATTCAAAGAAGTATTAAAGTCAGCTTCCATTTGTCTTATTCTATCATCAGCTTTCAAAATTGATCTTAGTTTGTTATACAATTTCTGTGATGAAACATTTGTGTTGGTACTATTAGTTTCATCATGTTGCAGCTGCAGTTGCAGCTGTGTAGTGGCAGTAGCGGTGGTGGTGAAAACTGATGATACTACTTTATCTAAAACCCGCTGCAATGACGTCGAAGGGCGAGTCAACTTATTTGGAAGTGATTTGTTACCACTCATCTTACAACTCTGATTTGGTTGTAAAAAATATATATATACATAAAGAAAAAGGTGATAAGGATAATTGAAAGATTACAAAAAAAAAAAAAATAGAGTAAACAAAGAGAGAAACCTCGGAAAAATTTCTTGCAACCAAAACACCAAGTTTATATGTGTATATATTCAAAAAGTAGATTTTCTATTTCTTTGAGACTTCTTCATCAATGTTCAAACCGGTGATGTCAGCAATTGATTTTCTTAAAGAATGAACAGAGTTTTCAATTGATTTCTTACCTGTTTCAGTATTTTCTTCAATCTTGTGAGCTAAATCAAGGGCACTGTTGTAAGCAAATTTTTGATGAGCAGCAATTTGTGGGACATTTTCTTCTTCCAATTTCCAGACAAATCCAGTTGTGTTTTCAAAAGTTTTAGGTAAAAAGTATTTAAAACTGGCTAATCCAAAAACAGTTGGGAATACAGCTTTGGCAATAACTCCTCTGGTTCTTGCAGCAATAGTACCAGTTAAAACTGCAACCAAAATATATAATGAATTTGGTAAAAGATCTTCAGTCTTGTTATGTAATCCACTTACTGTGTTCGTGACTTGTCTCTCAGTTTCATTATATGTAGCGTATTTTGAATTGGCCCAGTTACTAAGATTATCAAAGGTAGATTCAGTATATTCTCTAGCACTTTTGAATAAATTTTCAGTGGCTTTACTAGAACGAACTGAAATACCATCAATTATTCTATTATTACCTAATGATTCCAATTCACTTGCTGCAGCTGGGATAACAGTTCCGGGAATAGGTACTACGTTTTCTTCATCTTCATAAAATGAACGTTTTTTCGATTCGTTAAGTATGACCGCTTCCGCTGGAATAGTTATTATAGCACCTGCAGTAAAAAATGGAGTCAATAAACGAATACCTCTAAACATTGTTTCACTGGGATCAATATGTTGGTGACTATGATAGATCTTGGAAGTTTGTTCTCTATCTTTTTTTTTTCTTTCTCTCTTGACTTTCGATTTTTTCTTGTTCCTTTTCATACACTTCTCATTTGCTGTGAAAAATTAGAATCTATTGAGTGAGAAAAAAAAAAAAAAGACAATGCGTGCAAAATGGCAAGAAAATTGATAACATTGCAAATGCAAAAAAAAAAATTAAAGAAAAATTTCACGATCTGTTTAGCCTCCATCATCTCTAAACTACTGTCTCAAAATCCAACCATGTTTAGAAGAGAAATAGTACTAAGGAGTAATCTTCGATTTGTGGGAAATGGTATAAGGTATAAAAGTACTATATATCCTTCTCCTAAAGAAAATAACTATAGTGATTATGATTTTTTAAAAGAGGAAACAAGATCACGTAAAGATATAATTAAAGATCATCTTTCAGAAGAACAACTAGATTCATATGATCAAAAAGAAGGAATATTATCTCAAATGGAAATTTCAAAATTTAGAAATAGTGATGGGTCATTCATCAAAGGAACTACCTCATGGGAAGCAAGATTAGATGATCGTACATTACTTGGAAAACTGGATCATTCAATATCTTTCTTGCCTAATAGATTGGCTAAAGTAATACAAAATAATATTATCAAATTATCCATTCCAGCAAGATTAAAAAGTAGAGTTGTTGGTATATATCAAAATTTAAATAAGAATCAAATTCAGCAACCTCCTTCTAATCCATTGGATTGTAATGCTCATATTGCCGCATTATTCTTACAAGATTATAGTCATGCAAGACAAGTTTTAATGGAATTACAAAAGAGAGTTGGTAAAGATAAATTCAATCCACAAAGAGTACTAGATATTGGATATGGTCCCGCAACAGGTATGGTTGCTTTAAATGAAATCATGGGTAGGAACTGGGTTCCAAAGGAGAAAGATGCTTATATTGTTGGTAGAAAAAATAATGAAATGAAGAAAAGAGCCAAGATTCTATTATCAAGACAATATAATGAAAACTTTACTGGAGAAGAAGTGTTACCGGAAGTTGAACAAAATCTTAATGAAGATGAACTAGTAGAGGAAGTAGAACAAGAAGAAGAGATGGAAGAAGATGAGGAGTCATCTGCGGAGACTGATTATGTTGGACCGATAGATGTTAGAAGGTTAAATGTCAGAACCAAGTTAAGAGATACTTTACCAGTCACTAAGCAATATGATTTGATTATAGTTTGTTCCTCATTATTATCAAAAGAATTCAATTTCCCTAAAGATGTTGATGAAAATATTCATATGGTTTTGAAACTTTTGGCTCCAGGTGGACACATTGTTTTAATTGAACGTGGTAATGCTGTTGGGTTTGAAACTATTGCAAGAGCAAGACAACTTATGATTAGACCAGAAGCCTACAAGCATGAATTAGGTAAAATCCCAAGACCATATGTTAAAGGTTCTACTGGTAAACCACAAAAGTTAAAGAAAGAAACCCAATTTGTCACCAATGATGACATTGAATTTGAAGAAGAAATGTTGGCCAAACTAGACTTGGAAGAAGAAATGGAAAAGGCACGTGAATTAGGAGAAGAATTTGAGAAAGAATTAAATGAGAAATTTGGTGATGTTTCTGAGGAAGAGTTGAAGTTTGAAGATGAACAAGATATGGAAGTATTTGAAGTTGGTACACCTATTGAAAAAATGGTTGATAAAGTCGACTATCATTTGAGTATCATTGCTCCATGTGCACATCATAGAAAATGTCCATTACAGTTGGGTGATCCAAAGTTTTATAAGATTTCTAACCATAAACACAGAATGAATTTCTGTTCTTTCCCAAAAGTTATTAAACGTCCAGATTATACTATGCAATTGAAAAAGGGTAAAAAATTAGCTGTTACTTGGGATAAATCTGCAGAAAATGGAATTGGTAAACTTTCCAAAGGAGAAGCAAAACTGTTGGCTGGTACTGGTAGACCTGGAGGTAATGATACTGAACGTGGATCTTATTCTTATTTGATTGCTGAAAGAAGTTTGAACGATTCAAAAACTATTGATAAGATTGAGCAATTGAGATCGTTTAGTGACAATGTTATTGATGAATCTGATCCAACCAATTGGCCAAGAATTATTCTGCCACCACAGAAATTAAAGAAGAATGTCAAATTGACCGTTTGTTCAACTGAGGGTAATATTGAAACCTGGCAAGTGCCTAAATCATTAGGTAAACAAACCTATCACGATGCCAGAAAAGCACAAATGGGTGACTTGTGGGCTCTTGGTAAGAAAGCAAGAACTATCAATAAGAGACTTTCTGATGAAGTTAAAGAAAAGTTGGAAGTTTTGTATAAAACTAACAAGAAAACATTCTTGAAAGAACAACAAAGAAAACGTTGGAAGAAGAAACTTGGTACTAGTGTTGACCAATTTGATGATGGATTTTTGGCAACAGAAATCATGGCTTCTCAATTAGAAGAATCAAAGAAATATAAGAGACAAGCAAAGAAAGCTAGGTTTGAAGTTGACCCAAGTCAATTTGATGGTAATTAATATGTATATATGTAAATAGTTATATCGGTGTAATTGTAAATAGATATTTTTTTTAAAGAGTAGTTTACAGAATGTTTCTTTTCTTCTTTATATAAATATCGTACTTTAAAAATTAAAAATATGCAAATAATACTACTAATACTACTACTATGTACCCAAAAATGCTAAAACATAAACCAAAAATATGCAAATAACGTAAAAATCCATTAGATTTATAAACAATGTCATCATCGAAATGTACAAGAATAAAAAGTAAAAATCTTCTAACAACATCATGCACTACTACCTGCACTTTGTTGGAGATTTTCCCTCTAATCTTTAATCACATCACTAGACAGAAAAATAACAATAACAATTTTGATACAATAAAACAAAATAATCCATCATAGTACTTTTTCTACCCCGATAATGTACTCAAGAAATGAAGTAGCTAACAATCAATATAAAATCAAACTATAGCGTCCCATTATATGAAATGAATCAAAATTATTTGACTCTAAAAGAAGCACCTTCTGTGAATTTAGCTTTACCGCCAGTTGGAGTACACAATAAAGTTGAACATTTGTCACAAGCAACTGCAGTTTGAGCATGGCTGAATACAGTTTTAATAGTAAAACAACTTGGACATTTTATATCAAGGAAATATGAGTTTGGTCCTTGCACCAATCTTTTCAATTTATTCTTTTGTTTTTCAGAACTTGGATTTGGGTGTAATAAATCTTGAACTAAAACCATTTTCTTTCCTTTTAAAATAAATGAATAACTATTCTAAAACTAAGAAAGAGAAAGAGAAAAAGAAAAAGAGGAGAGGATATGAAAATTCTGAAAAAGTGAGGAGAGAGATGGGTCTATTTATAATTGAACTGATTGTGGCAAACTAAGGAAAAAAAAAATTGTGTGGAATTGATAAGAGAAAAAAAAAATGTAAGTGATCACGTGCCTGTTTGTTTCTTTTTCTTTTTTTTTCCAGTTTATCCCTCGGGAAAGTACAAGATTGCTTTAAAATTCACTCACAAGAGAACTAATTGGAATATTCCAAAGGTTAGCCGTGGGTCCTGATATTGGTCATGTCAAGAGTTATAACGGTGGAAAAAGAAATTATAAACGGAGATATATGTCCCTGAAGATTGTACTCTTATCTAGAAAATAGGAGATTTCCCTAAATTTGTATGCGCAAAAGAAGGAATAGAAGACAGAAGAACAAAAAAAAATACTTTGTTGATTGCCATCAGAAGTGCTGCATCGAGTATTTTGCGTCTCTTTTTTTCAGGGAGCTCGTTTCTTTTGTTGTAAAGCTGACAGGAGATTCAAAGTCGCCACTGGAATGTCTCGTAGGTATAGGACTACGGTAAGTATCATAAATCTGTTAAGAAAAGAAAACACACATGCTAATGATAGTTGAAGGGTTTAGAATTAGAAATCGCTTTTCTTTTATTGGTTTTCAATTTGACTGCAAAAGGAAATCTGGTTTGGTGGTGTACACTGAGGGAAAGAAAAAAAAATTTTTTCAATTAGAAACGCGTCTGATTTTCATTGGTATCGGTTGATCTATCTCAACAATGAGCTCTGTGAGTAGTAATTGTAAATTGAGCCCGATTCGGTTACAATCTAAAGATGATTACAAGTGTGGATTTCTTCGCTAGATGTAAAATTCTAATAAATCATTAAATAAATTGATGAGAAACCATAAACTTTAAATACCAATTTTTACTTTAAACTAAAAAGGTGGGAACAACGCAGTGATCAGACTAATCAAAGTATAATAGTTACAATGTCTAAAGAAGAAAACGATTTTCATTGGACTGAGCCTAATCCAAAGCGAGGCGTGGATAATCAACGTGACCTACACAAAATATTCATTACTAGTTGGCAACGGTCTCGATGGCTCAATTTTTATTTTATTTTTTTTTTTTTATTTCTAGTTTGATTTGGACATTGCATATAGCGTTGCATGCATTGTTTTCTCGCGACGAGCTTCTTGTCAGTAATGGTGATATTAATGGTCTAAGGTATAAAGTAACCAAAATAACATAGATAAAAATAATAACAAGGGATAATATGATGTGTGGGATATGCTTCTAAAATAAGATAGTAAACAAATTTATCAAAGCCAAGCTAATCTTTATCATAGTGGGAGATTATAGATCATTGGAAGAATATAGGACAAAATCAAACAAGAACGCACACACATACACACTTACACACAAAATAGAAAATAATCTTACTATTATTATTTTAGATGTAAGAAAACGCATATCTCCTTAATCAAAGAAATATCCTTTCTTCTATTGTTTCAAGTGTGTGATGCTCCTTCATCATCAATGTAGACAAGACGAGTAAGAAGGTTTAAGATAGATAGAGTCTGTGTGTGGTGTACAGGTGGGAGCGCTAAAAGATAAAAAAAAAATCGAACGTACAGACAACAAAGAGAAAGACTAATCAATTTCAAACACCAAAATCTAAATCTTCAAGTATCAAACTACAAATTCTAGGTAAGTTATTTTTACTTTTATGCAGTTCCTTTTATTTTATTTTGATATTCTTTTGTTAAATTTTTCGTAGATTAACAAGTATTTTTCAGATTCTATTTTTTTTTTTTACTCATTTACTTGATTTTGATTTTTTTATTTATTTATTTATTTTGCAGTTCTCCTCATTTTTCTATTTTTTTTTGTTTCTTTTCTTACCTTCATTATCCACAGATACTATACACTCCCCTTGACTTTACAACCAAATTCATCTCCTTAACCACATTTTTAATTTTTTGTTAGATATATAATTATACAGAGAAAGTGGTTGTTTTTCATTTTATTTATTATTATTCTTTTGATATTTTATATATATATTTTTTTCTTTAGCTTTATTTTTACAACCAATTCTTCCTCAATCAAAACTTTTACATCACTTTCCACCTTTATCATTGTCACCACCACCATCACTATTTTCAATATAGATCTATAAATCGCCTCGTGTATCATGAGTAAAGCAACTATCAGGCCAAATAAACCAAAGCCCATGTCGTCGAAATTAATTGATCAGACAATACCACCTGTCCCCAATAGCTCACAACAACAAAGTCAAGTATTTCCTCAAAAACTAGAGTCATTAATGAAGCCAAACGAATTTCAAGACTTTCTATTCAGATTATTCACTTATACCATTATAGTACTACCTACCTTAACATCGATCCTTTTCCCAATTAGTTCTTCCATATCCACAAGTGAACATGTAGGGAATTTAATCATTGATTTATTGACTGTCTTGTTATTAAGTATGGTTGTTAGATATACAATGGAATGGCCATACAATTGGCTAAGGCAATTGCAAAGAACCAAAATCACATTGTTGAAAGAAATGAATCAAGAGAACACTGAAAGAACAGTCTTGTTGGTGCGAAAAATTTATACTTTTGAAATCATTGCGTTATTTTCGTGTTTGATCTCTTCAGTGTTCAGTTCAGCATTGTTAATTTGGACTCGACAATACACCATCATAGATCAAAAGAGAAAGAAAGTAGTCTTCAATAATGTCAACGTAGCTTTGTTGCAATTTTGGTCCATCTTCAGAATCATAATTACATTCACCGATAGTTTACAAGAATCTTCCTTGAACAGTAACCAGTTGTATTGGGAGACTCCACAATTAAACAGTTGGTATCATGACTTGAAACATTATTTTTTACCAAATGCAAGTAACCAAATTTTGTTGGATCATTTACAACAGCACAATAGACAATTTGATCAATTGAAAATAGATTTAATGAATTTACAGAATGAAATTGAAGACCTGAATAGAAGAAATGTCTCCAAGGACAGACTTAGTAACCATGCGTTTACACCTTACCCATTGAATGTTACTTCATCTGCTCCAAATTCACCAGTTAACACTTTCGATCAGTCTGTATTCGCATCATCTCCTATGAATAAAGCTTTTCCTCCCAAACCAAGTTCATCCTTTTCACCACCGGCTGGTAAAAGGACAGCTAATGGGAAGCCATCTTCTAAATCCAAGACTAAATCTTCATTGAATACCATAATTGAAGAAGACGACAATACATTGTATGAAACAATGGAAAATTCATATACCAACTTTGACGAAATCATAAGTACTAGAATAGATTTCGATCCAATGCCTTCAATTCTTGAAGAACTTAGCTCTGTTATTAAAGCAATTTGCAATCAGGGTTCCATATTTGAAATAATCAAGCATCCGAATAATTTCTGCCATATTTTGATGAAAGAATTAGCAAGATTATCAAAACTCCCATTTGAATTTGGGGAATACCAATTTATTAAATTGCTAATTTCTGAGGTGTTTGATAAATATATCCTTGATATATACCAACGAGTTCAAACTCGGTTACTAGCTATAAAAGATTATCCATTGTATCACATTCGAAAATCAATAGTCTATTTCGCTTTCAGATTGCCATTTTTGGTTGCTTTTTATACAATTAGTTCAATGGTGTTTATTCCACTTTTCATAATAAATTGGGTATTTATAAAACCAAACTTGTTAGCATTACATATTGCTTGGTCCGTATTGAAGTTTATTTTTATAACCAATCCTCCGGAGAGATCACCATCATTGATGCTGCCAAAGATACTCTCCCCAATCTCTTCTCCGTCAAGAGATAAAATACCACTGAATCCTTTACCAAAAGAAAGCTTGGAAAAATTTGCTATTAAACCATTTCATTTATCTCCTACTTTGAATAATCTGGCATTATTTGAGGGTCCAATAAAAAAAAGAAAACCTACTACACTTTCATTTTCAATGCCTGTTACCAAACCGTTAATTAATGTGTCTCCCACTTTAACTGATTCCATTAGTGGTGGATTTAGAAATCATCGGACACATAGATTCCAAGATAGTAATAACTTTACATTATATGATGATTAGTAGAAGAGATTCCTTTTTTTAAAAGATATATATACGTGTGTTCTTTTCGTTTATTTTTTTTTTTTTGATATTACTTTAATATATGTTGTACATATTATTTTGATTGTGTACATGCTACAGAACATAATTTATCTTTCTGTTTGAAATACGTTAAAATTATTTACATCATTAGTTATTTGTGGAAATTAAACAACGATATGTAATCAAAACCTCTATCTCTCTCTCTCTCTCTCTCTCTCTCTCTCTCTCTTTCTCTCTCTCTCTCTCTCTCTCTCTCTCTTTCTCTCTCTCTCTCTCTCTCTCTCTCTCTTGTTGTCGTAGTCGTCGTCGTTCAACCTCTTCATCTTCTTGATATTCTTACCTCAACATGCAGTATCTACTTGATTTGTTTCATAATTGTTTTAGCTTGTCAGTTTAGAATCCAGACATGGCATTGGCGAATTGTCCGTTACTACCACCAGATTGTTGGTATTCCATCATGAATTCTTCCAAGATGGCAAAAGTAGAAGTGATACCGACAATAGCAGCAACACCATTACCTAAACCACCCAAATATTCACCAACTAAAGCAATAACACCTAAAAGGAAACCACCACTAACTGAAGCAACTGGAATAACTCTTCCCAATTCTTTAGCAATTGAAATGTCTCTTTTACCAGATAATGAAATACCTTGATCTTTAAATTGTTTGGCGATATCTTTTGGAGAACCACCAGAAATGTAACTCCATTTAAGGGAGAACCAAACAGATAATAAAATGATTGAAACAGTATAAATGGTGGTTTTAATTGGAGAAATCAAAGTGGACAAAATAGAAGTTGAACCTGAGAAATAGTTTAATAAACCAGATGATAAAACCAAGTTGTTTGAAGATGTGTTGAGGGCATATTTACCAAACCATGAAGTAATCTTTTCAGAAATTCCAAATTTGTTAGCAATGGAAATAATCAAGTATCCCAAAACTTGAATGTTTGCAACAACAGTGAATGCAAACAAAACTGGTAAACCACCAGTGTACAACAATCTAATTGGATAAACATTGTTCATTCCTCTAACTTTAGATGATCTAATTGGCAATTCAATACGGAAGTTTTGTAAAAGAATAACAGCCAAAATACTCAATAAAGCAATATAGAAGTGAGTCAAATTTGGTAATTGAACTCTAGTAAATGAGTGCCAGATTTGATTAATGGTTTGAGATGGATTGAATAATGAGAAATTTCTAAACAAGTTCAACAAAGCACCATAACTTTCATATCTATTTGAGTTAATAATTGGGAAATTTTCCAATCCCAAGACTTTTCCAATAAAATCACTTGAAGATTGAATAGCCAAGAAACTTAAAACACCTGATCCAAAACTATATCCTTTATCAAAGATTTCAACAATCAAGGTGATAATCCAAGACCAAATGGTAATTTGTAAAAATATAATTAAATATGAACCATATGGAAGAGAATCACCTTTCAAGATATCATAACCTCTAATGGCATTATCATAATATCCCGAATAAATCAATCCAGTAGCAAAAACAGCACTTAAAACAAAAGCAGTTAATTTTTGACCAGTTTGGAATAATTCACGATCATATCTTAATTTGAAATTAACATTAATTAATTTCAAACCAGCTAAAATTTGCCAAATAAAAGCTGAAGTAATAACAGGTAATAAACCCAATTCAAATAAAGTTCCTTTATTCATGGCAAAAATAGATCTAAAATTATAAAATGGATCATTGATTAAAAATTGACTATTTGATTTCAATCCATAAATTGGCAATTGGCCAAATAAATAAAGAATAGCTGATCCAACTGTATAAACGATCTTTTCATCAAATGAAATCTTTTCAAATGGGTATTCAATCTCAGGTAAAATAGGCAAGAAAAACTTAACCAAATCAAGAAGACGGACTAATGACTCGTTAGTAAATCGTTCTTATATAATATCATTCACCATTCATTTGTTAATATTAATACATACATCCACTCATGGTTGTGTGTGTGTGTTTTTATTTTTCAAGAATTAGTAATATTACAAGTGTATGTGGATGATTTTATATTCTCTCTCCTCTATTTGAAAATTTTTCGTCCAGAAAAGGTCGTTGAAAAGAAAGAGAGAAAAAAAAAATTTAATTTAGTGAGAAAATGTCCAATTTATTTTTTTGTCTATCCGTTTTGTGTGAGCCCTTTCAGCTGATTGCTGGTTGTCCTTCTTGGGCCAAATGAGAGACTCGTTGTGGCACGGCAAAACATCGCTACAGCGAGCATTGTTGTCGCCTTGATAAGAGAACGAGGGGAGGCAGGAACAATAACGACAAGATTTGGACTTTAAATTAAAGATACAAATTGAAACTACTATTAAAAAATAACAAAACACACACATGTACATATACAAATTAACCCCTATGGACAGACAACCATTAACCATTCTATTATACAAATCAAAAAAAAAAAAAAACATTAAATCAACAATAAAAACCAAGTACACCCAAATGTAACTTTTGTTCATATATCGTTCCAACTAGTAGAACCTCCATATCCCACACCACCACACATGATCAAACTAGATCCTCCACCAGTTGTATCGGAGAACGTGACCGGTTCAACATAAGTGTTCTGTGGAATCTTGTCTTTAGTCAAGTAATTGATATAATCAGTAGTACCAATATTGAACTTTCTATGAAGAAGTAAATCACATTGTTTACGTTCTTTTAAAAGTAATACTCGATAAAGAAGTTGATCCAATATTGATGAATTATTATCATTCTTATTCAATAAATAATTTTTTATGTCTGTCATTTTATGGAATCTTTTAAACTTTGCAATGTCTTCTTGATCTAAATATTTAAATAAATCATCCCCATAGAATTCTTTTAATATTGTTTTACTTTCTTCCAACAGTGAAACTGTTGGTCTTGATTGTTGTTGAAGTTGTTCAGTTTCATCTTCATCTAATTCCCAACTTGCAACCTTTTCATCTAGTAAATGGTGATTTGATGTCACAACATTAGAACTGTACCAAGAATTGATTTTATTAGATAAATTGTCTCTATCAATTACATCCGTTCTGTTGAGTTCATCATCTTCTTCTTCTTCTTCATCGTCTTCTTCCTCTTCTTCCTCTTCATCATCCTCATCCTCCTCATACACGTCACTTTCTGCTTCCGTATCAGATTTGTATTCATCTTTAGATGTGTTTGTAAGAGAAAGAATATCTGATTTAGTTTGAGCTGACTTGGGATTAAACAAAACATACAGTGATTGTTCATCCAAAATCTCTAATTCATCATAGTCCGATAAAATACTGGATGTGGCGTCAAATGTCTGTCTCTGTTGTTTTTGTTGCTGCTGTTGATGATGCAGCTGTTGTTGCTGTTGAGCATGATTCATAGTTGTAGTATTAAATAAACGCAAGTTGGGAATAGGTGGCATAAGAATATTAATAAATATTTATATTTTTGAAAAAGAAAGAAAGTAAAAAAAAAAAATTAAAAAAACAGGGAAGAGCAAGATAAAAAAAAAAAAGAGAACGTAATTGTTCCATGATATATATATACACATAAATATAATTTATATTTGTTATCGTTCTCTCAACCCACTGCACAACTAACGGAACGCACTACCACAAAAAAATAAACTGTGATGGGGCGATGTTTCAGCGCGAGATAATGCGAAAGAGGATCCGGTTTAAACCTGAAAAACACGGAGTAACATGATAACCAAAGGGCGAGCAATTTCAAAGAACAAAGCCAAAAAAAAAGAAATGAAACATGATGAGTAATTCTACCCAATTACAGTAGTTGCATGGTACTAGTGTTGTATATCCGAAACAGGAGGTGTATAATTTGATTGAAAGAATAGAATCTTAACAAGACAAGTAAGAAATCTTTTTTTGATTTAGTTCTCGTATTGTAATTATTATAGTCGCACGCCATACCTGTTGCTCAGAATTATTAAGAAAGATAAAGATTGAAAATAATTGTAAATCTGCAACCTCTCCTCAGTTCTGGTCAGTGATCTTAATTTGATCTTTTGGACTAGAGAAGTCCATTATTTATTTCAATGAGGTTAAAGAAGAACAACCACATCTCCCCCTCTGTTGTGTGCGCGGAGATGTGTTCTGTTCTGTTCTGTTGGGCAACTACGTCATTAAGTAAGATTATTAGTCACGAGAGAGGGGAGTAGAGATAAGTGTATATATGCAGGTTAGTAACTACTCACGACATGACGACATCGTAACAGGTTCAACGGCTAAAAATTAACTACGTGGTCAGAGATGCAAAAAAAAAAAAAGAAAAAAAAATTCAAACAGGTTTGGAACAATTCAAACTCGGTGAATAAAACACATGTTAAAAACGTTGTCGCTAATGATGATCTGGCATTCTTGAACTGAATCTAAAATTCTCAATTCAAACTGACCACTTCATTCTTTGAGATTAGATCGGCAATTAAACAAATGAATACTCTGTCAATTCTGTAGATTAAACGTGTTAGTAAGATTGATTCTTTATAACTTTCATATAGTTGTTTCAATGATAAATCAGATAGGGGTGAAAGACTATTTTAACATTAATGTTTTGTATATACATCATTTAAGCAATAAGCAATAAAAACACATCATCATTTTGAAAACCATTAAAAACAACTTCAAATAATGTAAAATTAATAGTGGAAAAAAAAAAAAACATACTCATTATTAGATATACATTGACTTAAGTGTTGAATAAGAATGGTATCATCAACAAATTAAAAAGAAGATTTGCTAAGGAATGAAAAAGAAGAAGAAGAGGAAGAAGTGAATTGTAAAGATGAAAAATTTTTCTTTCGTTGCTTGTAGATGAGATTTTCTCGTTTTTCCGGTTAAGAATCAGGATGTGGAATTTTTCAGTGGGTTCTGTGTCGATCCTGCATTGTCCCAGAAGTCAACAACAAAAAAATTAAAAAAAACTATAAATACCCTGGCAATTATCACTTTCCTATCCCTTTTTGATAGATTGATATTTCAATTGAATAACTACAATAAATAAAACCAGTATGGCTGTTAAAGGATTAGGAGAACTTGACCAAAAATACGACGGTATGTTATAATTTCCACTTCGTTTTTGTGGACTTGAGGCAATGTACTAAGAACTTCATGATTACTAATACTATTAAAATAGGTTCAAACTTAAGAATTGGTATTCTTCATGCTAGATGGAACAAGAAAATCATTGATGCATTAGTTGAAGGTGCTGTTAAAAGATTACAAGAATTTGGTGTTAAAAAAGAAAACATTATTGTTGAAACTGTTCCAGGTTCATTTGAACTTCCATATGGTTCTAAATTATTTGTTGAAAAACAAAAGAGATTAGGTAAACCATTAGATGCAGTTATTCCAATTGGTGTTTTAATTAAAGGTTCTACTATGCATTTCGAATATATTTGTGATTCAACCACTCATCAATTGATGAAGTTGAACTTTGAATTGGGTATTCCTGTCATTTTCGGTGTCTTGACTTGTTTGACTGAAGAACAAGCTGAAGCAAGAGCTGGTTTAATTGAAGGTAAGATGCACAATCACGGTGAAGATTGGGGTGCTGCTGCCGTTGAAATGGCTGTTAAGTTTAACTAAGTAGATAATAGATGATTATGTTTATGGTATATTCTTACAAATGTAGTTGATTTTACTGGACTGTTTGTAACTAATTGTCTGCGATTTATCTCTATGAAATTAGTTTGGTTGTTATCATTACTTGAAGAAATAAAACCAAATTGAAGTTGTAGATAAAATTTTAATTGTAATTTTCAACCAAATCTTACTAAAAAAAGAATTTCCCTAAAAATGTGTATTAATTAGCTACAAGTCTCTAATTAATATGCATCTGACACATATAGTTGCATAAATGCCAGTATTTGTGATTGGGAGCTATTATAACAGGTTGTCATGGATATCAAAGTCAATTGTTTGTTGTTAAATCTCTTTTGAAACCTAAAATCTTAGAGCTGCCACAATTTTCCACTTCCAACAATTCGACTGGGTGGCCAAGTTGGCTAAGGCGTGAGACTGTTAATCTCAAGATCGTGAGTTCGACCCTCACCCTGGTCGTTTTCATTTTTTTTGCAACTTTCGCGAATTTTAGTATTTCCACCAACAGAGACACAACGTTTTGTTACGTCGTAGCTTTTCTAATAGTATGAACCTGAGGTTAGAAGACTAGTATCCTTTTGATTGATAGGTTTGCGCCAGCCGCATATTTCATATTCATGAAAAGAAACCCCTTAAGTAGAGCTTCCACATGGAAGAACACATGTACTTACACGACATATTCTGATAATCTACACTGAAATCCAATAACATAAGTGTAATCATAATAGAACCACCAAATTTTATAGTATTGTTCTTTCCTCATGCCCGGCTTGTGCGAGTTTACAACAATGTGGGCAATTTTTTATTAGTTCTAAACTGGTTAGTTCTCGGACTTCTCCGGGGTGTTTTTAATTACTCAGCGAGTACTACCATCCATTTCAATCATCCTGTCTTCAAAATAAATATACTAACATTTCCAAGGTGGATTGGAATCTCTCTAATTTGTCATCAAAATGAGTTTGTTTTCATTGTTCACGGGTTTATACTTGATTTGGCTTTACGAGCGGAATTCTTACAACTATTTCCGATGAATGTACTCCCCACAAGTTATTCCTAAAAAAAAAAAAGAAAAATTTTTCTCTTCAACTTTTGTACCCTCCATTCTTCAGCATCAATTTTTTGAATTAATATTTAACATAATTTATATCCGGAAGTAAAAAAAGAAAAGATATGAACAACTCTATCAAACTATAACCTAAATTAATAATGGAAACAGAAAAGTTAGATCAATCCTCACTGATATCCAACATTTTGTCTGACAAACCAATTGAGAGTCCTTGTAGTTCAAAAGATCCCCACACACAGGACCCTAATATAGACGGAGGATATGCCTGGGTTATTTGTTTTGCTTGCCTACTACTTAATTTCAATATATGGGGTGGTAATAGCGGGTTTGCAATATATTTTTCTGCATACCTATCACAAAACACATTTGAAGGAGCTACAAAGATGGATTTTGCTTACATTGGGGGTTTAGCAATCGGGGTAGGTTTCTTATTTGCACCAGTTATTAATGCATTACTAGGTATAATTGGATTTAGAGGTGTTTTAATAATAGGGAATTGCTTACAATTTACTTCGTTGATGTTAGCAAGTTGGTCAACAAAATTATGGCAATTGTATTTAACCCAGGGATTAATGCAAAGTTTTGGTCTAGCTTTTCTTGCTGTTCCAACTAATACAATTATACCACAATATTTCAAAAAGAAAAGAGTTTTAGCAGGAGGAATTGCCACTGCTGGTTCTGGATTGGGTGGGATTGTTTACAATTTGGCAATGCAAAAAGTGGTTGATACAAAAGATGTGCATTGGGCTCTTCGTGTCCAAAGTATAATGGAATTTGGCATGGTTTGGATATCAATATTATTAGTTAAAAGTAAAGCCAAACAACATAGTATTCAATTTAATTTATTTGATATCAAAGTCATGAAAACAGCTCCATTTTGGTTGTTGTGTTTTTTCATGACAACCTGTATGTTTGGTTATGTTATCGTATTATATACATTGGCCAATTTTACTACAAGTCTAGGTTACTCAGGGAAACAAGGGTCGTATGTCTCGGCTATGGTTCAAGTTGGTTCAGCAATTGGAAGACCAGCAGTTGGGTATATTTCTGATAAATATGGAGGGGTTACTGTTTCTGCTGTTGCATACTACCTAGTTGGTATATTTTCTTTGGCAATGTGGATTCCAGCAAGAAATTTGGCTACCGTGATTGTGTTTGCCATTATTAGTGGGTCCATGATGGGGTCTGTGTATGGTATGATTTCACCAGCCATTGCGAGAGCTTTTGGTATTCAGAAGATGAATGTAGTTGCTTCCAAAATTAACATTTTGTTGGGAATGTCAGCCCTATTCTCACCAGTCATTGGTATGTCACTCACCAAAGGAAAAGCAGTTGGTGTTGATCCTTCAAGATACGTCTACTGTTCGGTTTTCACAGGTATTTCTTTTATTGTATGTGCAACTGCTTTACTCATTCTAAGAGGATATATCAAAGCTAGAGACCACATAATGGAGAAACATGGACATAGTGATTCAGATTTAGCTGATTATACTGGAGTAACGGTTCCATTTGCAAACGTTTTTGGTAACATTTTTGCTAAAAGCAATGAAAAAGTATAGATATCGAATCAACATTTTGTTTTGGCGCTGTACTTAGATCAATATTAACCCCCTTTTTGTAGAAGAAAAAAAATACTTTGCAACCTTTTGGTTGCTTTTTTAATTGTTTCTTTTTTTTTCTTCCACTTTTTATTCACTCATCTCCTGGCCAACTCACACGACCAACTTTAATGTGCGAATTTTTTTTTTTTGGTTTAAAGGAAAGTCATGACTTGAATGAAAGAAAAAAAAAATACAAATCATTTCTAATCAGACCTTATCACGTCCATCGTTATCATCATCACATACACCAAACCCCTTTTTCCAACATCCAATCCATTACATCTTCATATACTAACTAACTTATCAATTAATATAGCTTTTAATTTACCTATTGTACCGTTAATTCGAGTTCACAATAGTTTCACATCATATCTTCAAATAAATAATACAACAAAAAAAAAAAATAAAAATTAGTCAATTACTAATCATCAAATAAATAATACCCAATATGTCCCCATCAACATCTACAGCTGTTCAAGAATACGTTGGACCTAATTTAAATGTTACCTTGACATGCCCGGAGTGTAAAATATTTCCACCAGATCTAGTAGAAAGATTCAGTGAAGGTGATATTGTATGTGGTAGTTGTGGATTAGTTTTAAGTGATAGAGTAGTCGACACTCGATCCGAATGGAGAACATTTAGCAATGATGACCAAAATGGTGACGATCCATCTCGTGTAGGAGATGCTGGTAATCCATTGTTAGATACGGAAGACTTATCCACTATGATTTCATATGTGCCAGATAATACAAAAGTTGGAAGAGAATTGAATAGAGCTCAATCCAAGTCTTTAGTGGATAAGAAGGATAATGCATTAGCTGCTGCTTATGTCAAGATTTCCCAAATGTGTGATGGTTATCAATTACCAAAGATTGTCCTGGATGGTGCCAAGGAAGTTTACAAGATGGTTTATGATGAAAAACCATTAAGAGGTAAGTCACAGGAAAGTATCATGGCCGCTTCTATTTTCATTGGTTGTAGAAAGGCAAATGTTGCACGTTCGTTCAAAGAAATTTGGGCCTTGACTAATGTCCCACGTAAAGAGATTGGTAAAGTTTTCAAAATCATGGATAAGATTATTCGTGAGAAGAATGCAGCTAATCCAAATGCTGCTTATTACACTCAAGATAGTATCTCAACTACACAAACATCTGCGGAAGATTTGATTAGAAGATTCTGTTCTCACTTGGGTGTTAATGCACAAGTAACCAATGGTGCGGAATACATTGCGAGAAGATGTAAAGAAGTTGGTGTGTTGGCCGGTAGATCCCCAACAACCATCGCTGCTACTGTCATATATATGGCTTCACTTGTCTTTGGTATTGATTTACCACCTTCCAAGATTTCAGATAAAACTGGTGTTAGTGATGGTACTATCAAAACCTCGTACAAATATATGTATGAAGAAAAAGAAAAGTTAATTGATCCTTACTGGGTTGAAAGTGGTAAAGTTAAATTGGAGAATATTCCTAAAAATTGATTGGTTTGTTTGGTTATAGAGATAATATGAATTGAGGGAAAATGGATCCAATTTTGTTACCCATCATATGAAATATCCTTCTCTTTTTGTTTTGTATGTTTGTATTATATAATTAATTAATAGAGATTTTGAAATATGTAAATGGAATGAGTCTTGAATGAATTGGCAATTTTTCATAAAGTGGGATGTAATTACTGGCTCTTTCTCTCTCGCTCTCTATACGATGAACTATTGCACCAAAAAAATAAGGCAACAACAACAAGTAAAACCACAATGAAGAAAAAAGGAAAAAAAGAAAAAAGGATGTACGAAAAATAATCAGTCGATTCTATTTGAAAAATACTTCATTTTCTACCAAACCAACTTACGATTCAAGAGTTGACTCATGTTTCCAAGATTTATTAGAACCTTAGCCACAACTACCAAACAAGATGTGGTTATAATTGGTGGTGGACCAGCAGGTTTAACATTACTTTCAGCTTTAAAAACCTCACCAAAAACTAAACATTTAAAGTGTACTTTAGTAGAAGGGTTTTCTTTAGATAATGTTCGGAAATTTCAAACAGATCCACCAGAAACATACACTAATAGAGTTGTATCTGTAACACCCAAGTCAATTGAGTTTATGCAAAATAGAATTGGAAGTTGGGATTTTATTCATGAAAATAGAGTTAAAGAATATGATGGAATTATTGCTTATGATTCTCAAGATGCAGATTCAAGAATAGAATTTGATGTAACAAGTATTGGTAAAGGTGTACTTGCAGCAATGATTGAAGTTATAAATATCCAAAGTTCTTTATTGGCTAAAATTGAAAGTCTTGATGATGAAACAACTACAATTAAAGATAATACCAAAGTTGTGGAAATTATCAATCCAAATGAACCAGATTTAGATAATCATGATTTGAATGAAATTGATGAAAAAGTAGGAGATTCAGAATTAGATTGGCCAATTGTTAAATTATCTAATGGTGAAACGATACAAACCAGATTATTGGTTGGTGCAGATGGATATAATTCACCTGTTCGTAAATATGCTCATATTGAATCAAGAGGATGGCAATATGATAGATTTGGTGTTGTTGCTACTGTTAAAATGCAATATGAAGATTTTAGATCTGTTGGATGGCAAAGATTTTTAACTACTGGACCATTAGCTATATTGCCATTAACTGAAGATAATGCCACTATTGTTTGGTCAAGTACTCCAGAATTGGCCAACATTCTTTTGAAAGTTAATGAAAAAATATTCCCACATCTTGTTACTGCAGCTATGGTTTTAGAAGAAGTTGATTTGAATTATATTTACAAGGTATTGGATGAAAATCCAGACGATTTTTCTGTGTTGAAAGATATTGAATGGAGATTATCTAAATTCAATACTGAAGAATTAGAAGAAAAATATCCATTACCAGTAGTAGAAGTTCTTTCAGGATCTCGTGCTAGATTCCCATTGAAAATGTCTCATGCTGATACTTATGTTGCTCCAAGAGTTGCATTAATTGGTGATGCTGCTCATACTATTCATCCATTAGCTGGTCAAGGTTTGAATATGGGACAATCTGATGTTGCCGCTTTAGTTGAAGCCTTAGAAAAAGGTATGGATAGAGGAATGGATATTGGATCTACTTTGGTTTTGGAAGAATATGTTGCCAATGCTTGGCCTGCTAACCATGCTATGTTGGGAATATGTGATAAGTTACATAAAGTTTTCTCAACTGATTTCTACCCATTGGTATGGGCAAGAGGATTCGGTATGAAATCTATCAATTCCTTAGGTAGCCTCAAAGATTTTATGATGAAGAGTATCAGTGGAAGATAAATGACAAATAGTTGATATTAATTCATTTGTGTATATATTTGTAGAAGTTAGGAAAATGGAAAATGGAAAACAAGCACGATAAAAGATTGTATTATATTATGATTATTATCAACTGATTTTGTGCCCACCACGACTATATAACTCTTCACAAGCTTTTGAGATTTCACAGCAATTAATTTTTTTTATATTGCTACAAAAAAAAGAAAAATAAAACAATGAACGAAAAACTTGTAGCAAATGATTTCTTATATCAAATCAACTAAAAATGCTTAGAACAGTACGATATTACTCGAAAGTAATAAACATTAAAGATAAAGGAGAGAAAGCTGCTCGAGTGATTCGTTCAGAATTTTCAACATTAAAAGAACATTATGATGCTCCAAAATATCCAATTGTATTATGCCATGGGTTTTCAGGTTTTGATAGATTAGGACTTTTCCCACTTCCAAATTTATTAAATGATACAACTAAGAAAACAAAAGAATTGACAGAAAAAAGTTTAATTGAATTAGATTATTGGTATGGAATAAAAGAAGCACTTGAAAAATTAGGATCTACTGTATTTATAGCAAAAGTTCCAGCATTTGGTGATATTAAAAGTCGAGCAATAAGTCTTGATAAATTCATTGAAAAAAAATGCAAAAATTTAAGAGAAACAGAATCAAAATCATCCATTTATAATAAACCAAATGAAGATGAATCTACATTTAAAGATAAACAGGAACCTATTAAAGTAAATTTAATTAGTCATTCAATGGGTGGATTAGATAGTAGATATTTAATTTCTAAAATTCATAATAATAAAGAAAATGGGAATTATAAAGTTGCATCATTAACAACAATTTCAACTCCTCATCATGGATCTGAATGTGCTGATTTTATTGTTGATTTAATTGGGAAAAATCAAATTTTAAAACAATTGTGTCCACCATCTATTTTCCAATTGACTACTTCTCATATGAAGAAATTCAATGAACTTGTTCAAGATGATCCTACGGTACAATATTTTTCATTTGGTGCTAGATTTAATCCACGATGGTATAATTTATTCAGTTTGACTTGGTTAGTGATGAAATATAAAATAGAGCAAGAACAGGCAGACAAGTTTCGTCAATTGATTGATAATGATGGACTTGTCAGTGTAGAGAGCTCGAAATGGGGTCAATACATTGCTACGTTAGATGAAGTAGATCACTTAGATTTAATCAATTGGACAAATAAAGCAAGAAGTGTATTTGATAAAGTTATGTTTGCACAAACTCCAAATTTTAACCCAATCGCATTGTATTTGGAAATTGCAGATCAATTATCTAAGAAAAATCTATAGAAAAATATGGACTGAGATTAATAATCAGCTGTGATTGTTTTGACATACAGAAAACTGTCAATTCCCCAGCGACCATTGAATCTACCAATACCACTAGACTTGACACCACCATGTGGAAGATGTGGTTCATCATGAATGGTAAAATTATTGATATGAACACCACCACTTTCAATTCTTTTAGCTATGTTTATAGCGGAAATTATATTAGATGACCAAATAGACGTTTTTAATCCATACTCAGTATCATTTATCTTATCAATTGTAGCATCAATATCAGAGAACTTTTCAATAGCAAAAATTGGGCCAAAACTTTCTGTAGTATAAAGCTTCATCTCTGGAGTCACATTTTCCAAAATCAAGGGGGTAAAAGTATTGTTCTGTTCTACGTATTCTTTAGAATATTCTCCAAATACGATTGATGCACCTTTGGCCAACGCATCATCAACCAATGTCACGACTTTATCTCTTCCTATAGGATCTCGTTCGGAAATCAAATTATCAGGATCATTCACCATTTCTTTAGCACATTTTATCAATTGCTCTTTATATGATTCATACACTGATTCATGAATATACACGTGATCAGTGCTCATACAAATTTGACCCTTATGTGCCCATGCAGCCCAATTATCCTTTCCAGCAGCTTTGGAAATATCTGCATCTTTACAAACAAGGGAAATATTCTTCCCTCCTAATTCCAACAAACAAGGAACCAAGTATTTTGCAGCAGTGACAGATATGCTTTTACCGACGGCTGTTGAACCAGTAAAATTAATCTTTTTAATAGTGCCTGTGGCCAAGATCTTTTCTAAAAATTCTGGATTATCTTCAGGTTTTAAATGGAGCAATTGAACTGTATTTGCAGGAACGCCAGCTTCAAGCAAATACTTAATCAACAAATGTAATGGTTTAGGAGCTTTTTCAGGAGACTTTGCAATGACCGAACAACCCGCTGCTAAAGGAGCAAGAATACTTCTACCACCTAAAATCACCGGAGCATTCCAAGGAGAAATAGAAAGAACTGGTCCAATAGCTTGTCTAACAGTTAAAGCGAATTCGTTTCCCTCTGAATGGAATAATTCACCTTCGGAATTACTAAAATGTCCAATATATTCCTGAACTTGACCAATAACACCATCAATATTGACATTGGCAAACCATTCCGGTCCACCAATTTCTGTATGAACTTTAACAAATTCATCTCGGTGTTCTTGTAATATGCTTTTAAATTTATTAAAGATTTCGATTTTCTTAGCCACGGTGACACTAGCCCATTCTTTGAATCCTTTCTTGGCATTCAGAGCAACCATTTCAATGGTACTATCAGCTATTGGCAAATAACTGAATTGATGAATTACTTGAGAAGGATTCTTATGACTATAAACAGGGAATACATTCTTCTCATCGACAATTTCTTCTCCTGATATTATGTATGGGACGATCGTTGTCGGCATTTTGTTCTTGAAGATCTCTTTGTTTCAAACAAACTACTTTTCTTTGTTAAATGCAAGAAAAAAAAATATAAAAGGTGAAAATGAAGAATAGATTTTTTTTTGCCTTTAAATAAAAACTGATAGAAAATGACAGTGATAGGAGAATTAAAGAAAAAGGAAATGAATGAAATTGATTAATCAATGAACCGGTTGACGTGTTTGAATTCCTTAGTTGAAACGACAACTATAGTGGGAAAGTATATCGTCGTCGTTTTTTTTGGTCCAATTAATTTTTTTTTTCTTTCTCTCACTGTTTAATTACATTATGCGGGAGTACTGAAATCTGGCGTCAATTTGCCTTACCTTACCTTACATGGCAAAATCAAAATCATTGGTCCCGATTGTTTGAGGGGACGTTTTAACCTTTTTGTGTGTGTGTGTGTGTCAGGGCCATTGTCCAGTAAACCTTGATTGTTTGGTTAGGATACCACGGAAAAAGCTTAAATGCCAATTTCCGATATTTAAAGTAAAAAAAAAAGAGCTCAGAACTTAAATATATGTCATCAATGCCAACTAGAGTGAACATGATTAGAGAGGTAAGCCTGAAAACCTAGCTATTCAATTCTAGAACAGGAATGATGTATTTGTGTTATATATCTTTTGTGTATTTACGGATCCGATAAAAAAAAATAGTAGAAAATTGTCTATTGTCCAGTATAATTGTCCAAATTCCAGAACATACACACAATGAACGAAAAACCTATAATAATGCCAAAAGTGATTCTTTACAATCTAAACAATATTCATTGAGGTATTGAAGCCCTTCAATATAGGATTCGTCTTGGCTTATTTGTTGAACAACATTGTCCCTTATGTAATCACATCTTTGAACTTCACTTCTTAACCAGTTTTGCCATTCTGCCAATGTGATTTCATTCTCCATTTCTTTTAAAATTTTCAATTTTACCAACAATTCATGACGCTTAACTCCAATGTCTTGAAAGCTATTCCTCAACAGTCTAGCAACTTCCCTACTATTGCTGTTGAAATAATCATTCCAGTCTGTGTCGGCATCAAAATTAAAGATAAACGATTTTTCCTTGAATTTTGTGAAGCATTTACTGTCGATTGAAATCGATGCATTATCATGAAGCATATCTTGAATATCTTGCAAATATATTGCTCGTTGTAACAACCATGGTTCTTTTGTTACATAGTCGTATGCTAATTTATTTGCTCTTCTAACTGTCCAATAACTTGTCGTTGTCTTACCGATAAAGAATACATTTAAAAGTCCAAGAATAATGATAATAAGTACCAAAAACAAATTCATTCTTAAACTCTTAAGTAACAAAAGCATCAATTGGAATACGGTACGTACAATTCTAACCAAGGATTCATACGTTTTAATAACCATTTTCCCTAACCCCAATTTCAAAAAGAATCTCAAGCTAAACTTGAGTGTGGAACAAGGTTCAGCAACTTCTGGATCATCTGTATGACTCAATTTACCGTACAAATAAACAGCCTTAACAATCTGACTATGATTTCCAATTTCTTTAACTGCATCTTTGATACCACTGTCTAACTTCCCCAATTTGTTGGCATCAATTTGTGCACAAACCCTTTTAACAATAGGGTTCCATACAGAAGCTCTATCAAATGTAACTTTAGAGTAAAAAAATACTCTGGCTCTTCGTCCAGTATCTCCAACAATGACCAACTTGTAATCTAAAGTGTATGGAGAACCAACCATAAATTCAAACTTAGACATTCTATGATTGAATGTATAATAAGTATTATCTTCCATATTGTCAATTTCCTGTCTCACACTAATGTTGTACTTTCTACCATCATAAATACACGGAATACTCAAATCACGGTACATCGTTTTATTAGGAGATGTTTTCCAAGGTTTGTAAACAAGATACTCAGTACTGGCAAATGAAAATTGACTCTTCAAGAGTGAGGATTTGTCACCAAGAAGAGCATGGAATAATGCTTTTGGCGGTAGAGGATATGTTTTTTCACCCACAAGAACATATTCTGAAGTGAAATTGATTTTGTGTCTAACAACACCAGTTCGTGGTGTAGGTTCCAAAGAAGAAGTGTCACCACTAATATAAAATCTTTCCTTTTTCAAACTTTTATTAGAAAGTCCTCGAGAAAGTTGGTTAATCTCTTTAAGAATCTTTTGATCCATCATTTGTATTTCATTTTCTTTTTCAATAACGGTGAATGCTGCCAATATTTCTCTCAAATTTTTAGGCTGTTTACTCGTCATATTGTTGATAAGGTATACCAATTTCTTTTTGATCAAGCTGGCATTTTCTTGGTATAGCTTCATTTTGATGACACCATCCACATTATAAACCTTCATCAAATCATAATTACGTTGCTGAGTATAGTCCACAGAGACCAACTGTCCTATGAATCCTTTAAACAATGCAACGAATCCCAAGGCTTGCATGTAAAAATATACATGACGATTGGTAATAAAACAACGACCACTCAACTCTTGCTTGGAATTTGGTGACCACACACAACTAAAAGACAGCACCAAATACTCACCAGGTTCGACAACCGTTTGAAACAATGCCTTCATTTGAATATCCAAGTTGACTAATTCGTTTGGATAAAATTCAGGATAAACTTTGTCGACACCGAGATGCTCTTCTTGAAACTTTACCATTTCCATATCCTGACCTTCATTATGAGTAACCAAGTCGTCACCAGTATCATGAAGATAATAGAGTCCCCAATTTACAGACCCCCAGATATTTGCTGTCAAAGCATTTGGAATTGGAGTGGCAGAAGTTAAGCAATATGCAATAATCGAAGATTTTGTTGTGTCTGTGATGAATGGAGGATGGATTCTAGGTATTTGATAGTACATATGTCTTTCAAAAAACTGTTCAAATTTCTCAATATGACCCGATAACGAACTCGACGTAATGATTTGACCTTCTGCATTGACTACTTTTGTGTTTGTTAATTCTCTATCAATTACTGTATTGACGGTAGATGCAAATTCGGAAATTATTGGTGGGAATCTGCTCGAGGCAATATGGAATAACCCTTCATGGACATTCCCACCACCAGAAATTCTATTCTTTTCATTTTCAAACACTTTCAACCATGACTTCAATTCAATCAATGTTTCAGCTTGAAAAATAGCAGTAAACTCACTTGTTCGAATTTCAAAACAAAATCGACGATCTTCATTTGGGGCATACCTCACGTTACACAACAATATACCGATTTTATCACTCTCTTGGACAAATGTTTGAGATGGACTGAGAACCAACAATCCAAAAACACCATCTTTGATGAATGCCCATCTTTTGACCCATAATGGTTTTGCTGATTTTTCACTCCAAGTCTTCATGAATAAATAACCATGTTTTTCAATACTAGGTTCGTCAATTTCGTGTAGGGTTCGACTATTAATACCAGTTGCCCTGAAGTCATTCGGGTTCAATGATGGTTGAAATTGTAAGTTGCAGCCTTCTTCAACTTGGTTTCTGGCAGCAACCATATCTGACGATAATCTTTCAATTGCTAAATTATAGGAATCATTCCAAGCTTGAATTCGTTGTATTTTATCCCACTGTTCCTTGAATTGATCACCTGGACCACCCCTTGGGGAAAACATATTCAACTTGTTTTTCCAAAGGTCTGTATTCAAACCTATCAACAATGCATTTAAACCTTTGGAAAGATCCTTAATTTCAATGACAAGATCTAATGCAATATGTATATACTCTTTTCGAACAAGGAATAACTGTTTGGCATCCTCCATAACAACCAAAGGATCTTTTGATTTTGAAGTAGACACATAAATACTCAAGTACTTATCATATTTGGATTGACATTCATAAAATCGTCTTCTTAATTCTTTATATTTTGGTATATGATTATTCTTGAACTTACTAAGTAATTCCAATGACTTGGTATTCACATTTAACGCCTGTAAACTCATACCCCAGATAGTTTTTAAACCATCTAAAGTTGTATGTAGTGCCGTGACAGTATATTCTTGATCAATAATACCATCTTGTAAAAAAGTGGGCACCAAATGCTCCAAAAATGAGTTACATAACCCTTGAACTTCTTTGACATATTTGGGGAGTTTCTTGAAGGTGCTACTTAATGCAGTTAACCATTGTTCAATAGTAGTTACCTGCAAGTCCAAATGATTTATACTTGCTCTAAAACTGGGACTATCTAATGCTGCTTCTTTAAAATTCACTGATATTAATTTAAAATGACGGAGTAATGTCTCTGGTTGAGGTTTCGCAGATGAAACCATTCTCCGCAGTGTTTTGTCTGCTTTTGTCTGTCTCACCATTGATGAAATAACCTCGGCATTGGGACCATTTTCATCTTGAATAGACGTTGGCATGGTCGAATCTATAAGTAGGTGATGCTGATTTTTGTTTTGTTTTTATTAATTGATAATGATTAAAAGGTTTGACCTGGGTTGGATGGGGAGTGCTGGATTTTTCTTTGCTTTTCTTCTTTTTTTTTTTTTTCTTTGCTTTGCTGCCAGTTTCCGTTTCCCGCTTATTTTAAGGCTGTCGCCGCAGTGTAGTGGAATTTATAGAACAAAACCAAAATAGAAAGTGGCTGTCTCGCGGCGTAGCCGGGAGAGAGGGAGACAGGTGGATGAATGTAAATTTCATCAGTACTAATCATTAGTCAAGAACAAATATTATAAGTCTAGATGTACACAAAACAGCCGTGCTTACAACGAAATAATAATAGGAATAAAAATAAAATACATAATTTATCATACATTTTCTGTGAATGCCTATAGAATTGAAAAAAAAAAAAAAATAAAATAAAAGGAAATTGAAATGTAAATATCATGAGCTCAACTTCTTTGGTTTATACATCACTTGTACGTTTGTAGGGAAACGATGAATAACTCCTGATTTGTTAGCCTTTTGCACCTTTTTCATGTCATGTGATGGGTCATGACCTATTATTGGGGCAAAAGTTATTTGCATTGGTGGTTTTGAGGGTTCTTTCAGGTTGGTATTTGATTGTTTTGTGACATTTTCTCCTAGGTTCACGTTTTTCGAAACAGACATCATTGGATTTGGTGGAATCACACTCATATCTGACACAACCTGCTGAAATTGCATATTTGAACACTGCTGCTGCTGCTGCTGCTGCTGCTGTTGTTGTTGTTGTTGTTGTTGTTGTTGTTGTTGCTGCTGCTGTATCATCTGTTGTATCAATTGTTGTTGTTTCACCATGTCGTTATTTCCAGGAACCATCATATTTGGATTTCTAACTTGTTGAAATTGCATTTGTGCAGCCATTTGCATAGGAACTTGTTGTGATGGTGGTGGTTGCATGGATGCGGGAACAATTTGTGGAGGCAATTGATTTTGAAGACTAGGAGAAACTCTCTGTTGATGCATTCCCTGAGGTGGAAATTGCATTTGGCGTGGCATTTGTTGTTGCACTTGTGGTTGCATTTGAGGTGAGGAAAAAGTCTGCATTTGAATTTGCATCTGTTGTTGTTGTTGTTGTTGTTGTTGTTGTTGTTGTTGTTGTTGTTGTTGTTGTTGTTGTTGCTGCTGCTGTTGTTGTTGCTGCTGCTGTTGTTGTTGAACTTGTAATTGTTGTGCCCTTGCCATGAACAGCTGTTGTGCAATTTGGTATGGTGTAATATTATCGGTTTGTGGAATTGGGTTGGATGATACAATATTGTTTCCCAATGGAATCTGTCCATTTTGAAGTTGAGGTGAACAAGAAGGAACAGAATGATTTGATGGAATTGGGTTTGGAATCGGAGATCCATTTTGATTGTACGAGGACAAATTTAAATTGGATACCGATTGAGAATGCATTAGTGGTGGACGGGAAGCTTGGATTTGAAGTTTCAACCTTTCTTGATCGTCAAGCATTTTTCTATTGAGGATTTCAGCATTATAAATTGGGGCTGTCATTGGACCAGCATTGACACCCATATTTATATTGGCACGGCTGGCATCAATCTTCAACCGTGATTTACTTGGAGTATCCCAGCTTCTTGAAGAGTTTGGAGACATCTTATATGGTGAAGAATCAGCAAGCACAGTTTCATTATCGTCAATCTCTACTGGAACTTCTGGCTGAGGTGCTGGTGATTTATATACCTCATGAACGTTAACAATATCAATCTTTGAGTTTCCAGATGTTCCTGCCATGTTTAATTCATGTACTATGTACGCACGAATTTGAGAACGTTCCAAATTAAAGTTCATATCTTCATTCTTGATATTACTGTAGATAATTTGCACAATTTTTAAATCTTCTTCTGGAGTTATTGCTCCACCATTGATAAGGAATCCAATATATCCAATAAAGAAGTTTTTCAAAAATGGAATTTGCAATGTATAACTTTTGGAAGATTCACTAAAATACCCATTAACCACATCTACGACATCAAGTAATTTTTCACCCTTTTTGTAGACAGTCAACGAGTTTCTCCAATTGAGCATGGACTGGGATCTCTCTTCACAGGACACATCAACAATCATATATGATTGGAAAATGCCTTTAGTTAAATTCATATGTTGCAATTGCATTTGATGTGGTGGTTGATGAATATGAATTTGGGATGCTGTTGGAGAAATTGCAGATCGGGGTGTTGAAGTGGCGACGTGATTGCAATTTATATTCATATCATGTGTTATAAGCCAAGTTGGAACATTCATTCTTCTGAGTTTTTCTCTAACTTTAGCCTCAATAGGAATTGTGATTGATTTTGTAACATTTATTGATACCAAGTTTGTAAAAGTATGATTCTCCTGTGCATTCTTGAAAGACATTTTAAAATTTCGAACACTCAATCTGTAGGACATATTTTCAAACACTTCTTCCAATGGTGAAGATGCAAGTAAAACATCCAATTCATTGTCGATCACTGCATTATGTTTTGAAGAATCCATCGATCCTTGTACATTAATCAAATCCTCTAATGGAGTAAGCATTAGATCATCCACTTCTTCATTACTTGAACCAACAGTTTGAGGAGTTTTATTGTTTGAATCTTTGAGTAATTTACCAGCTTTGGACAAGCGGAATATACGTGAAGATATTTGTTTTGTGGTTCTCAAGACACCAGTCTTGTTGAATATCATTCTTGAAATAACTTTATTTTGAGACGTTTTCTTCAAAATAGAAGTTGCATTAAATGATTCTGGATCGTCTCTAAATTTTCGGTACTTGTATAATGAATTTATTAACACATCATCTAATTCAGGCCACCAAACTTTTTCATCCATTCCATTGGCGGTTGTTCCCGATTGAGAATTTGAGGTTGAGTTTCCTGTAGAAACCTGTAAAGAATGTGCAGTACTAGATCTTCGACGATTGACTGGAGTTTGCATAGTTGAGTCTATTCGTGATGCAATAGAATTGTTTGGGGAATCAGTTACACCAACTGACAACTTTCTCTTTTTAACCACATGCAAATCATCATTTGTCCTAGGAGAAATTTCGGCAGCTTTTTCCAAGACAGGCGATACTTTGGCTTCTTCAGTAATTTTCCCAAGTACCAATTTGTTTGGAGTTAAGAATGCGTTTCCTGGTTTCGAGTCTCCAGACTCGTCATCATAAATAGATGTTTGATTTGTAGAATTATGATGAGCCTGAGAAGTATTTATATTAGACCAAACATCTTCATCATCGTCTTCCTGACCATGGCTGTTGTTTTTAGATGACGAATTTCCATCTTCATCATCATCGTCGTCCTTGTCGGTATTACGAATGTTGGATTTCTCCATGGATGACTTTGTTAATGCTTCAAGGAATTTATTGTGTTTTGTGGATACAGTAGGAGTTGTAATTAATGCAGATGGAGTCTTATTTAATGCTCTTGTAAAATTTAAAAAGTTCCCTGGAGATACACCTTGAATGTTCGGAGAATTGAAATTGAAAGAAGGCAGAAAACTCAATCCAAATGAAAATGATGGTGTGATTAGGTTTCGGTTTATACTCCCTTGGTTTGAACTTGAAATGTCTTTAGTTTTAGCACGTGGTGTCTCAGGTGGTACCTGAATGCTTGGAACGTTTACCATATTTTTCGAAGCTATATGTCTAATGATGATGATGAGCTAGATGTTGTTGTTGTTGTTGTTGTTGTTGTTGTTGTTGTTGATGATGATTTTAGAAATGATAACGGGCCAAGTTCTTTCAATGTTGCGAAAAAAAAGAACGACAAGAAAGTCAACAAAGGGACAATAAGGTTTGTTGATAGATTATTAGAAAGATGATATGACCAATGATCTATGTATAGCAGAGACTTGATTTCCTGTTAATATGACTTTGATAGAAAAAGGAATAGATTAAAAGAAATGAAATTGATCTTTTACAAATAAATAAATAAAAAAAAAAAAAAATTGAAAATCAAATTCTTGATTTACGTGAAAATGAATTTTAGTTTTGCACACCATAAAAATAATTTTCAAAGGGGAGTCTCCTCCTCCTCCTGCTCTAATGCGTGAAACACGTAAGAAAAAAAATTCGCGTCTCATGGTTTTGTGTAATTTACGCCCAATTAATTTTTTTTTTAGTTCCGAACAACGCAATCAATTATGTATTACATAATCAGTTTTTTATTCTGTATAAATCCGAATATATATAGAAACAATGGTTATTCTTATTCTTTCTACTATTACGGAAGAATAGCATTATAGTTATATATATATATATAATTACTTATTTAGCACAGAATCACGTGGCATGTTTCATTATTTCTTCAACTATTGCAGTGCAGAATCCTGGATTCTCTTTTTCAAACTTATAAACATCATTTATAAATTGTTCAACTCCCAACTTTGTACTTTCGCCGCGTGCTCGAAGATGAACCCTGTGTAAACAGCTGAATAACAACTCTGCCTTACTGTAATATGATGATATGAATGAACCATTACCACCAGTATATGATTCATTAGTTTTATAGTAACTACTTCCACTACCTCCACTAGCTGAACGTTGCATTCCTTGTTCCCGTGCTTCTATAATACTACGTCTTCTATTTCGTGAAGTTGCTGATGCTGCAGATGATGATGATGTCGATGAAGATACAACAGCAACTGGTGTGGAAGATAATATCAACTTTGCATCGTTTTGAATCAAGGTTTCATTGAATTCCCATTCAATTGAAGTCTCTACATTTTCTTTATCTTTATCCAATTTACTACTGGCAAGACCAAATCTTGGCTTATATCCTGGTTTATGACTATCATGTGCCATTTTCTTAGAAATCAAACGAACTAGTTTATTTTTTGCATTATCTGGAGAATTGGAATGAATATTATTATTGGCATTATTTCTAGTTAAAAAATGATGATGTAATAAAAAATTAGCCCCCGGTCTTTGTTTTGGATCTTTAATCAAACAATATTTGACAAAATCTTTAATAAGACTACTACAATCAACTCCCAGTAATGTTGGTGGCCTTTGTTTAGGTATATCAAACAAAATTTTTAATGGATCATATTGTGCAAGTGGTGGAGCCCCAGTTACTAATTCTATTGTTGTTATTCCTGTGGACCAAATATCTGCTTTTTCATCGTACCCATCAGCATCAATACTACTACTACCATTATTATTATTGTTATTATTATTCCCAGTTTCACTTACTTTTGCTCTAGTTATAACTTCTGGAGCCATCCAAAATGGAGTTCCAACAAATGTTTTCTTTTTCATTTTAGTCATGGTGATTTCTGTAGATACTCCAAAATCTCCTAATTTTACTTCACCATTTTCCGTCAACAATACATTGGCCAGTTTAATATCACGATGTACTTTATGTTCCAGATGTAAATATTTTAACCCCATTAATACATGTTTTATAATATATCCAACTACATCTTCTGGTAATTTTCTATGAAATTTAAGTAAATCAGAACATGATCCACCTGCACAATATTCCATAACGATATACATATTATAATCTTGAGAAAAACTTTCAATATATTGAATAATATTTGGATGTCTTAATTTTGATAAAAAATGAATCTCTTTAATAATTTGTTTAACATCATCAGGTGAATCATCTAGATTAACAACTTTAATTGCAACTATTTTGGATGTGGTTTTTTGTTCAGCTTGATAAACATCACCAAAATTACCTCTACCGATACATTTTGATAAACAATATCTAGATGCTTGATTTGTATTGGGAGTTGAAGTTGATGATTCATGAGGTGAAACCGGTTGTCTCTTTTCTCTAATAACCCTCATTTAATATTACTGTCTCAGGTGGTTTGAATATCAAAGTTCTGTTTGTGGGGGTTGAAAGTAAATTGAGATTGTATACTTTTTTTTTTTGTTCTTTATTTTTTTTTTTTTGCAGCTAAATTATATAATCTCTGAAAAAGGACGGAAAAAAAAGTAGAAACGAAAAATTAAAATCAATAAGAATTAGCTATTAAATTATAATAATACAGTACAATGCTATATAAATAGTTAAACCACTTACCTACTCACACTATTTCTACTTCTCTCACTCACACACTCTCTCGTTATTCGTGTATCCTCTATTAATGCAGCCTGGTACCACTGAGCTTCAAACTTCTGATTTTCCAATACTCAATAGCCGCATCCGTTAGACCCAAATCCTCCTTTTGCAAATCTTTGATATGTTCAGACACCTTACATCCATTCAAAATCAATAATTCGGAAATTATAAATAATTTTTTGGAAGTTCCACCAAATGGCTGGCCATCCTCATCAGTAATCTCGATATACTTTCGTAATGAGTATTCAAATAATGAAATTACCAAATACTCATTCTTGTTCGGAATGTTAATTTGAATATTCAAATTGATATCACCACCACAAAGAATGTACTTTAATACATCAGGAATATTTATCTTCTGAATAGCCCTAACAAGCAAATTATTGATATCAGGAATAACCGACTTGTATTTCTTTTGCAAGTATTTGTTCTTGATAAATTTAAGTCGGGTTTCATCATTAGCTTCGGGCTTGATCTTTTCTTCAACTGCCAAGTTCTCTTCTAAATATGAATTAACTTTACGGTTATTAATGTATTTTAATAATAATTCTGTTTCATTCTCAAATTTGTCCAACTTCAATGACCGAATCTTGGTAATGTGAGAACCAATATTACGGTGACATGAAGCACATTTAACACAGAAACATGACAACGTGTTTATAGAAATCCACTCCACCAGCTCAAGTGATCCACAATCTAAACAGCTATTATTATCACTATTAGGAATGGATCTCACCAAATGAAGATAGTCCTTTTCCACTGGTTGAGCTTTCGACGTCAACGAAATAGGTGATATTGATCGATCCTGACCAGGAATAACTGGTTTCTCTTTAAAGTCAGTGATTAATTTACCAATGGTTTTCTTTCTTCCTTCACGTGCGATGTCTTTACTGAAAGATTTTTCCAATCGCAGAGTATTGACTAATTGACCCGCATTGTACAACGCTTTCACCCATTTGTTTCGATCGTCGTTATCAAATGCTTGAAATACACGTTTTGTACCTGTAGAAGTTAAAACTTCAAAACAAAATTGACGCTTATCATATGTTGTAGCTTTAACACTAGCAATTGCTATTTCAATGGGTTTATTAATTGGAGTTCTTCCCTTTCTCCAATCAGCATACTCAATCAACTGGCCCTTTTCCAACACAACCCATTCTTTGTGCCATCCTTGCTTCTTCTGACCCCCAAGGGTAAATAATATTCCTGATTTTTCTGCGTCATCACCACTAATCTCATTGCTTGGAGGTTCAATATCAGAAAATACCAAATCAAAGTTCTCTTTAGTAACAATGAACTCGTCAATTGCCGACGTAATAAGATTTGAAGATGAATTGGTTGCATTTGTAGATGGAGCTGAATTTGATGTGTTTGCCGACTTGTGATTTAATATGTTATGACGAATCAAATTAGTCAATTCCTCATTTGATTGACACGCCTCGATCATTTGTCTAAACTGATATTTTTCACTATTGAATCGCAACAACACATTAAGATAAATCTGGTAGTTATCACCAAGAAGACGTTGATTTGATTTTTTATCTTTGAACGAGCGATAATCAAGCAACCTAGGATGGATTTCATCATATTTTAAATTGAGAAACTTGAATAAATTTTCAATCAAGACATTCACATACTGATTATTTGTAACTTTACTAAGATTATTCAAATAATCAAATTTCGAAAGTTCAAAAACTTTTCTTTTCGCCAATAATTTCAGCTCGGGTCTTTCTTTTTCATTAGAAAGATACTTATTGAGCCAACTATAATACTCTTTAGAATCAGACTCAAATTTCCGTTGCATTTCAGCTTGTACATTGATAGAATCCAGTTGTTTCAAACCGATATTATTGTATACTTTAGTCAACTGCTTGTGATCACAAATATTCTCAAAGAAGAAACTGGTATTCTTTTCAAATGGTTCAAAGAGTGCTCGGAAAACAACATGAAAATCATTTTGAAACCCAAATTCTCTTAGCAAGGACGTAGACTCTAAATCAATTAACGAGTCAACTGCTTCCATTATTTTAATCTTAGACGCGGATATTCTTCTGACATTAGATTCCAATAGCTTAAATTCGTCAATCAAGGAACTATAAATTCGTCTAGCTAATGGTACTGAGTTTTCCAATCGTGTTAGCGTCTTTCTAAAATCTGGACCATCTTCGATATCAATGCTAAATTCTTTACGGAAATCGCCCAAACTGAATAACTTTGTCTCGGGGGATTTATCTTCCAACGGCTGACCTTTCGTTGTCAATGAGAACAGGGATTTATTGATTTTCTGTTCAACCACTTGCAATTTATCTATCCAAATACTAAAATTAAAAAGATGTCTGAAATCATTAGATTCGGAATCGTGTTCCCACATAGATATTGTCAATTTGGTATCATTCACGATTTTGGGTTCGAAAAAATCATTAATTATAACCTTTTGGAATACGTGATTGTTGCCATCAATTGGCAATTTCGAGTATTGTAATCTTGACAATTCAGTTCTAGAACTTTCAGGACTACTATCATCATAAAGTTGGTTTTTCAATATATCCACATCTGTGATGCCAATGGACTTGACAATCACAAGAGATCGCGAGGCAAATCCAGTCTCGGGTTTGATGGATACATGAAACTTTAATTTGTTAAACTCAGGACTGATCTTGACTAGTAATGGAAATTTATCTTTTTCTTCTTTATCTGGATTTTCAATATAAGATGTTAGATGTTGAATTGGTTGTTGAGTGGTTGTATATATCATTTTAAGGGAGTCAAACTGTTTCTTGTCATTTAAACTCAAGATTGCACGTCTTGAGTCGAATTCATCTGTTAAAATCAATTTACTCAAGGTGGCATTGGAGTCTTCATCCTGGACATAAGGAAACGCAAGTTGACCTAGTAAATCCATCTTGTATAGGGCTTTTATAATTCTTTCAAAACAAACAAGAAAAAAAAGAAAAAGCAAGTAGGAAAGGAAAGGAAAGAGAATTACACTGAATACTTTGTGGTTGGATGTTTTTTTTTTCGGTTTTGGTTTTTTTCCCCTTTAATCGAATGTTGCGATTATTTTTTTTTTTTGGTTTTGATTAAACTGTAACCACGGTAACTAACATTATCATCAATCACAGTTGAAACCTCCCGTTATCATTTTCTCTTAGATACTTGTGAGTTATACATATGTAAGTCAAAAGTTGTAGCATTTATATTACAACTAGTAATATGGGGAGACCGTAACAACGTCTTTCAACTGTATTGTTAAATTTAGTTCAATTTGGTACATAAACTAAAGTAAATTGTTCAATAATCCAATGTACTTTATGGATGAAAGAAGAAAATAAAAAAATACCAACCCCAAAACCATAATATCAAGAATTGATGCAAAAGAAACCTGTATCAATTGAATATTTTACTGTCAAGATATAAGAAAGAGAAAAATCAACATTTAAAAAGAGGTATTCAAAAAAAAAAAAATGTCTCTACTCATCAATGAATCATACGATCACCGGTGTTTGTGTGAAATGCTCATGATAGCATTTGTTTTGGGAAGTTACTCTGTTGTTGTGATACACCCAATGGAAGTTGATAAAGAGTATAAGAAAAAAAAAAATAGGAGATAAATCAGTTGATTGATGCTACAAAAATGTTGGGTAATATCACCGTGGGCGGATCCTCGTTGACTTACCGTTCCAAGCGTGATAGAAATTAGTCGCGAACTCTCTCCGATCTATACAGTCAAAAAAAAAAATCAGCACCTCAAACTAAAACAAAAACAATACCAAACAGCAGAAAAAAAAAAATTCAACTGAATAAATATCCGTTTCTGGATAAATACTTCTTGATTTGATCTCAAATTTTAGTTATTTGTTTTTTTTTTTTTTTTTTTACATTTCTTTCTATCGTCATCCTAAGGTCTTTAGTTTATATTTTCCTTTTTTCTTTTTTCATTATCATTAGTTAGTGTTTACAGATATTCAATTTCAATTTGCCCTTCCATTATCAGAAAGGACATAGAATCATCAGGTATACATCTGCTTATTAACATTATAAAGACCCTTATATTCTTGTGAATTTCAATAAATTAGCTATCTTTACAATCAACAAGTCACCAATGGCCCTTACTTTTCTATTTTCAAAACTCCCGGTCATTACCGAAGACCCGTTCCTAAAATATAGACCTTTCCCAGAGAATCCAAGCAATGAAATTGTTAAACATTGGCATGAAATTGCTGTTTCATTTGTCTTTTACTGTTTAGTGCAATTGTTATCTAAACCTGTCTTTACCGTAATTATGGGTTCTAAATATACCAAGTTGTCAAGAGGAACTAAAGTCAATTTTGATGTACACGTAACCTCAATGGTTCAATGTTTTATCTCAATCGCACTTTTGATTCCCCACTTGAACAATCCCCACTTGGCTAATAGACATGCAGACCCAGTCAACTCATTATTGGGAAAAACTGACTTTGGTGGATTAGCCTGTGCATTGACAGTTGGATACTTTATTTGGGACATTTATGTTTGTGTAAGATACTTTTCATTATTTGGTGTTGGGTTTTTGTTTCATGGTATTGCAGCTATGTATGCATTCCTTTCTGGGCTCTTCCCTTACGGACAACCATGGGCTGGTGCATTTTTGGCATTTGAATTCAGTACTCCATTTGTCAATCTCAATTGGTTTGCTTCCAAATTGCCAGCAGGAACTTTCAGTGACAAGTTTGTGATCATAAATGGTTTATTGTTGATGGCCACTTTTTTTGTTGTTCGTATTTTGTGGGGATTCTATGCTGTTTACCAATTTGCTCTTGATATTAGATACTCTCTTGATATTGTTAGTAAAGCTTTGCCATATACTTTGTTGGGGTTGAATTTCTTACTTGATTGTCTCAATGTTTTCTGGTTCTACAAGATGGTTATGATTGCCAAAAAGAAAGCAGGTGGTTCCAAATCAACTAGACAAGCCTCTGTTGATGTAGGAAAGAAAGTAGAATAGAGAAATAGAATTAGACACAACCACCCTACATAACTAAAGACTTCATTGCTATATACTCTTAACATTACTAATAGTAAACTGAATAGGAGAACATGTATAGTTCCAGTCGTGTGAAAGTGGCTGAAAATGATAATGTGAGTCGTGTATTTTGTGCAAGTTCTAAGTGTAGCGAAGTGAGGCACACATGAAACTCTCACAATCACTGTAATCTCTTAATTCATGCTCTCTCTCATTTTTTTTTTTGGTTGTTGTTGTTGCCATTGAAAACGAGAGTTTGCCCAAATCGTTCTTTTTTTTGGCTTTTTTTTGTACTTTTGTTTGCTATATTTACTCACATCAACAACTGTTCTTTGTTAAACAATTTTACAGTTGATCGATATAGATATTCATTTCATTTAACATCCATCTTTAGGTAGATCTTCTTTAGTATTGTTGATTTTTTTTTTGTTTCAATTTGTATTGTAAATACAGGAGCACAAGAGATCACATAAATTAACCAAGGTTTTAATATTTTTTTTTTTTCTGCTGTTGTTTGTTTCCGTGTCATCTATAATTTTTTCTTTTCCTTCTTTACTTTTCTTGATTACAGGTATTTAACTACTACAATAACAGATAGACATAACAGATATGAATAACGAATACGATTATTTATTTAAATTATTATTGATTGGTGATTCTGGTGTTGGTAAATCCAGTTTGTTGTTAAGATTTGCTGATGATACATATACACCAGATTACATTTCAACCATTGGTGTTGATTTCAAAATCAGAACTATTGAATTAGATGGCAAAACTATTAAATTACAAATCTGGGATACTGCGGGTCAAGAAAGATTCAGAACCATCACCTCTTCTTACTATAGAGGTGCACATGGTATCATTATTGTTTATGATGTAACTGATCAAGAATCATTCAACAATGTTAAACAATGGTTACAAGAAATTGACCGTTATGCCACCGGTGGAGTAATGAAGTTGTTGGTTGGTAACAAAGCCGATTTGTCTGATAAGAAAGTTGTTGAATACACAGCTGCTAAAGAATTTGCTGATGCTTTGGACATTCCATTTTTGGAAACTTCCGCCTTATCTTCTACAAATGTTGAACAGGCATTCTACACAATGGCAAGACAAATAAAGGCTCAAATGACTAGTAATGCCAATTCAGGAAACGCTGCCAATGCCAAGGGTAAATCCAATGTCAACTTGAGAGGTGAATCCTTGACTTCCAACCAATCCAATTCTTGTTGTTAAAGAATACTGATTCTGGAAGAATCTCAACTTTTGGAACGAATGTAAATGTTGAAGAAAGGAAATGCAAGGAAGATGAAGAAGAATGAATAAATGAAAGCGTGGTTCTGGTTTTAATAAATATATATTATATACATACTGTTTTATTTCAATAGGTAATAATCTTATTTCTACAAACTAAAGTTTTTGGTTGTCACTGATGATGGACACTAGTAACCTCGCGTGAAGCTCACTCTTATATATATTCCTGAGGAACGACAATTCAGTTCAAGCCAGACAAGTATTCAAATGAACTGGGCATAGCAACACATTACCCAATTGCTGTGACAAAATAATATATTCATTGCAGATAGGAAGACACTGAAATTAATGCAATTAGGATTGTTATCTTTGTTATCAGATATTACATCGGTATACCAAGCTAACCAACATAACGCCGTGCTTTTAATCAAATAACTATTGATGCACGAGATCCCATCATTTGTGTATTAGATGCCGTCGAACCGCATTGCATTATTACTTACTCATACAATTTTCATTTATTACATTAAACTAGATTAACGAACTACGTAGACGTAATATTGAACGTAGAGAGCACCATCGCTTGGGCTTCTAGCAAATCTACCCTTACCAAACAAGTTTTCTTTTTCAACCCATCTGAATTTGTCTTCAACTTTGTCGTCAAAGAAGAAAGTTGGGTTACAAGTAACATAACTTTCTTCAACAGTAGCACCTTGACTCTTTTTAGCAAAAACATCAGTAGATGGTTGAGTCAATTGAACTCTACCTGGGTAGTAAATTCTAACACCACTTCCGTTTGGAGTCTTACCAAACAATTGACAATCCAAGTAAGCAGTATTAGCAGAATTTTTGACATTCAAGTTATCGGTACCATATAAGGAATCGATGTCCAATTCAAGACCAAACTTATTTGGAACAGTTTTAACATCACCATTAATGATAGTAGCCAAGTTTAAGGTTAAGTCAGTTTTTTCTGACAGGTAAATTGGAGCTGGGTCGTTGGCCAATTTAAGGTTGATAGTGAAAACTGGAACAAGTTCTGGGGTTTTTGGAACTTCTGGAACAGGCAAATCAAGGGCAGACATGTTGATAAATTTGTAAAATGATATTGATTGAAGAAAACAAAGAAATTAAATATCAATTGAATCTGAAACAAGAATAATACTATAATCTTTTTGAATGGAATTAAAGGGAATTATCCTCGTTTATATAGTTGATTTTTTTTTCCAACTTTTTTTGGGGTTGATTAGTTTGCACAAAACTGGGTCTGAATAATCGCATAGAATTGTGGTTGGGTGACGACGTACCCGCTTTTTATTTTGAGTTTACACACGTTACTGATTAGCATGCTGCTATTCGTAGAGAGTCAGACAATTTTTTGCAGTAAGACGAGTACATGTAGAATATAATTTACCTATCGTATTAATTGATCAACGAACCAAGCCATATCATTTTGGTTTCTATTGAAACCATTGATCTTTTGTTAAACTCCGAAATTTTATATCCACGGAAAAATTATTACTCAACCCCTCTGTCTCAACACAAGTAGGAAAGCAAAACGTTGGGACTATCAGAAAGACAAAAATCAAAAAAAAGTTCGTAAATTGAAACACAATATTAGTCAAAGCATTTTATGCTCTTGTATTAACATACTCTATATTGTGACTTCTTCCTTTTAGGTGCTGATTACCCGTACATTTTGCAGCTGACTAATACAATGTCTCAAGTTCCGGAAGAGGTCTATACTACTAATATCAGAATATCTAACAGCCTTGTGATATCTTTCTCTTGAAAATTTCCATACTAAGAGAACTTGTGGTAAACTGAAAAATACTTCTACTCATCACTGGTTAGGTTTTAACTTATAAAATATGATTGATATGACTTTTTTTTTTTTTGATTCATATTGAAATTTTCTTGAAGCAATGGGTCGAAATATAGATATCTAAAGTCAACCCCATTGGTGTATATTCATCCATCACAGAGTTTATCTTTGGAATTACCAGATATCAATTGTTCCAACGTATAAATTTATGGAAGGGGGATATTTACATATTTTACATCTTTAATCCACCATCTTCAATTTCTAAACCACCGTTTTCTGCTTTTGATTGTTGCTTCTAATTACACGTTTAACCTTGTAGCATTGATGCTATATAAACCTAAAGTCGTGCACATAACAAAAAATTTGTTTGTCGCCACCAAAGGAGTGAATCAACGAGAGTTAGTTTGAAATTTTTTCTTTTGTCTAATGTATTAAACTATGTATAAACGTATACCTTGTCCATATAATCAACGTTAACCATGACTGAATCAAAGGATGTTCATATGAAAGACGCTCAGGAAGACCAATCTGCTTCTGAAGTTGAAACTTTAGTCAAAGAAATTGAGCAATCATTTACCTTATTGGGTAAAGTAGCCACAACATTTGATAACAGATACATTTCTAAAGTATTTAGAGATTTGGGTCCATTGAGAAGAAAGTTAGTTAAAAATGGAGATTCTGTTTTACCAATTGTTATAAAAAACACATATAGTCAAGATCACCCATCAAAAAACTATTTGTTAGAATACTTGGGTGCTTCGCCATCATCGGGCAGTGACAAAATGGATGTTGATAATACTTCTATTCTCCCTGAAGTTGAATTGTATTTACACCTTTTAGTACAAGTGTACCTTTTGGACACAGATAAATTGCAAGCCTTGAACGAATTAAGTGAAAAAGTTGTTCAATTGATGAAATCCTTCAATAGACGTTCCTTAGATTTTATTCAAGCCAAAGTATGGTTCTACGTTTGCAGAGCTAAAGAGTTGATTGGGGATTTATATTCAATCCGTCCAGAATTATTATACAGTTTGAGAACTGCCACTTTAAGACATGATATCGAAACAACTGCATCTATCATCACATTACTATTAAGAAACTATTTATTGTCTCATGATGTGAATCAAGCATCTAATTTGGTTGAAAAAGTCGAATTCCCTGAAAATGCAGGTAACGCATTAGTTGCAAGATATTACTACTACTTGGCAAGAATCAATGCTATTCAATTGGACTATTCCACTGCCAATGAATGCGTCATTGCAGCCATCAGAAAGGCACCACAAACTTCATTGGCCAACGGTTTCCTTCAAGCTGCCACAAAGTTAAGCATTGTTATTGAATTGTTGATGGGTGACATTCCAGAATTGAAAGTTTTTAAGAATAAACAAGGAAATCTTGAGCCATACTTTAACGTTACAAAGGCTGTCAGATTGGGTGATATCAAATTATTTGGAGAAGTGTTGAAGAAACATGAAGCTGATTTCAAGAGAGATGATAACTTTACTTTAGTTTCTAGATTACGTCAAAATGTCATCAAAACAGGTATTAGAATTATTTCATTATCATATGCAAAGATCTCATTGAAGGATATTTGTATAAAATTACATTTGGACTCCGAAGAATCTACAGAATATATTGTTTCAAAAGCAATTAGAGATGGTGTTATAGAAGCCAGTATCAATCACGAAAAGGGATACATGCAAAGTAATGAATTATTGGATGTTTACTCTACAAAGTTACCACAACAAGAGTTTGATCAAAGAATCAAGTTTTGTTTGTCATTGCATAATGAAAGTGTCAAGGCTATGAGATATCCAACTGATAATGAAAAAGAAAATACCAACAAGGAGGTTGAACCAAGTGATGAAGTTGAATTATTGAAAGCTATTGAAGAAGGTGATTTAGATGATTTTATGGATTAAGTAGTTTTAATTTAGAAGACTAATAGTTTTAACAAAGTTTCAATTCAATTGAAAAGATTGACGTAAAGGAATCTCTCTGATACTGTTTGAAAATTCGCGGAATTAAAAAGCAGAATGAACGTAGTAAAACGTGAAGAACAAAACGAAAAAAAAAAAAAAACAACTAAAAGAAAACAAAGACATACTTTCTCCAGTGAATCTACACTGTCAAAGACAATGTCTGAAAAACAATTCAATATAGACTTAGAGCTCAACCAGGGCGATCACATTGATCCATTTATTCAAGATGAAGATAAACTTAAACTAGAGGAACTTATACCGAGAATATTAATTGAACGGAAATCATTTTTGAATGTGACTGAAGCATCATTACAACAAGAAATTGAAAATTCAAACGAAGAAGCACAAGTCGCGACAGAAATAGACACATCAGCTATTGATGTACCGTTAGAAGAAGACGAGGACCAACAAGAAGTATTCAACAAACAAAAATTCGAACTATCCAAGAATATCAACTATGCACTTAATGAAACACAGCTTTCACTTGATTTTATCAGTTTGTTGATAGCATCTGTGAAGCCCAACTTGGCCAAATCTACAATTTCACCTCATTTATCAAAATTTGTGAAACCAACATCTTTAAATTCCGACAGATTAGGACAAGAAGGGACTGAGGATAGTAATAATAACAACAATTCACAAAGTTCAAATGTGGGACAAGGCTGGAAATTAGAATCGTTGAACAAAATTACTGATTTATTTAGAGAAGCAAGTGTTAATTTGAATGACCAAGTTATTAAGGAAAGACGATACTGGAATATGATCAATTTGGTATTAGCAAATGGAGAAGCTTTGTTTAGAATGAGAGATCCTGAGAATAATGCCAGAGCAATTGGTGTGAAATATGGGTATGGTGATTCAGGATCGAACTATCATGATCAAGGGTTGGCCTTATTAAGAAAAGACAACCAAACTGGAGAGGTCTCCTTCCACCCCATTACATCGTTAAATAATGCAAAGATTGTTGGAAAGATAAACAAGTTTATCAGAGTTAAAATTTTAAGTCAAATTGATGGAGATTATATGCTTACTGGACAATCAGTTTTCCAATTTGATTTCAAATCAAGCAAACAAAACATCATAAATGATATTGAAAAGGCTAGATTTTTTCTATTTGAAGAAGATTTGTTTTATCAATTGATCCGTGAGGCGAAATTACTTGTCAATTACAATGTATCCATAATTTCAAACAAGATAATTATTGAAATTAACAATACTATCATTGAAATTGAGTCTATCATTTATGATGAATTAAACGAAGAGGAATTAGAAAATTACTACCAGAATATCAGTGAATATTCTTCATTGAACAACAAGAAATGTCAGTTGATCTTGAACTATTTAAAACTTATGCTTTGCTGTTATTATCAATACAATCTAAAATTAAAACAAAAGGTTCCAACATCTTTGACTAAATGGAAGCAGAGCAACTCACATCCATTGATTTTACGTCCATTAGTCGGAAACATGAGACATGAATTGAATTTGAGCAACATGGAAAGCATTTTGAGGACATTGGCTGCCAAGTTTGGTGAAAAGCTCAAAAAGAGCAAACTAAATGTTGACAAGTTTACAAACTTGGCAGTTAGGTCCAGAAAATCAAACCCTTTCCAAAAATCTATTGAGAAACCAGTATCCAAGTTCTCATTGGTATTAGAGAATGGATCGGCACAAATAATGGTTGTCAATGTAACTTTAACCACCAATGAATTGTTTGTAAACTTGATAATACATTTGAGACTTATTAGATTTAATACTGTGGAAGATTTTGAAGGTAACGTTAATGGTGTCAACGTGTTGCAACTTGGATTTAGTGACTTCAATGAAATAGAAGAGTGTTTGGATTGGTCAATACAAAACTTTGTATAGTATCACTATATACATCTATGCAAATATAAAATGTATAATAAGTAAACTGTTAAACCTTCAGTCACACTTATTCTTCTAATTCTACAACTCTAACCTGTTCATCACGAGCAGCAATGATTTCCTCTTTATTTTCTTCGACAAATTTCTTCATACGATAATATTTTTCATCTCTCAAGTTATTGTAAATCAAAAAGTTCCCCCAAATTTCAAACATGACAAAGGTGACAACCAAACTGTTGCTGACAATACTAGTTGGAACAAAATAGATATAACTAGCCAAAATGAAATAACCTGATAATCTAATAGGAATCAAGTTTTCAAAATATGACCAATTTTCTGACAACAATGGGATCAAATCAGAAAATGCTGATGATACAACAATAACAGCGGTCAATCCCAATATTGGGTTTTCCGGACTTAATCTGATGAGTGGTACTTGCATTGCTTGGCCCAACAATACTACAAACCCTACCATGGATAATGCATCTGGATCTTTAATTAAATAAAACGACACAATCAACAAACATATTATTCTAATATATAATAAGGATTTGGAAGATAAAAACTGCATTTAAAACTTTGGTTCACAATATAGATGAGTATTTGTAATTAGTCTTTGCTCCTTTTTTTTTTTTTACTTCTTATTTCTTTTTCTCTAGGGTGCCGACTTGACACCAAGAAGATCAAGTTAAACGCGCGACTGTTGCAAAACCGGATGAATTCATTTTAGAACTACTTGTAATCAATTAACTTAGTCATCTTAATGTTTGCAATATCAGCCATTGGTTTAATTCTTCTTGGAATATCGTTGTTTTCAATGTTTGTGGTAACATGTATGTGTCTGCTAGATTGATTGATTGTATATTTCAAGAGCATTTTACTAACTGGCATTAGGTATCATTCTAATTCCGGTAATATTTGTAGTTGAGATTGTTAGTGGAGTAATCTACATGATTACTTATCTTGCCTCCTTTGACATAATGCAAGGAAGTGGTATAGAAGGGGCAATCTTAAGTCCCAAGATCAATGAATAAAACCTGATTGTGGTCGTGTATTATTACCCAATTTGCTGTGACAAGGCGAAGGAAAAAAACAGAAAATGTCAAGGTTGAGTTTTCTCTTTTGAAAAATTTCCAACCACGTCAAACAAAACCAACAATACTATTTTGCATCATACTTTAGAATCATACATACATACATCGTCATGAAGTATTCCGTATTCATTGGTTTGTTAAGTTTATTTACATTTCTGTTAGCTTTTTCTGATTTGACTGGTACAATTAAACTCAATGGTAGGAAAATCACTTTTGGCGAAATCAACACCCAAGAAGTTAAACAGTTATCAATTGAATCACCAAAAGATGTTCTCGAAATTAAATTGAAGAGTAAAGATGTCGATGGCAAACCCGAACAAATTTGGGTTAGCTTAGCTGATGCTGATGATCAAAGTATTGTAAAACATTATGTTCCTACTGTTAAGAAATCTGATATCACTGCTAACATCAAAGCATCAACACTTCCAGATGTTTTGAAATCAAAAGATAAATTGGTTTTAAGTATTGTAATTGCTGATTCCAAGTCTAAAGATAACTTATTGAGAAGATTGGTAGAAATTTTGCCAAGTGAAGAATTCCAAGCCACTAGTAAATATCAACAAAAGCCTAGAATTGGTATTCAACCAGAAATCCATCACGTTTTCAGAGGAGATGAAAAAACTGTTAATCCACTTATTCCGGTTGTTTTTATTGGTATTGCTCTCACTTTATTTGTTGGATTAGTAGGTGCCTGGTTTGGTTTCATTGGTGTTAACAATTTGTTCAGAACTTTCAAAACTATTACAACGACACAATTGTTATATAATGTCAGCTTTTTAATTTCCCTTGTTGGTTTTGAATTGAACTTCTATAAATACTATTTGGGTCAATCAATTTTCACAACTTTGTTTTACGGATTCATTTTAAGTATTCCATGTGTTTATTTTGGTGTTAGTGTTTTGAGAAGTTTAGCTACAAATCGTGCTTTGGGTAAGCAATAAGTAGTATTTAGTTACTTTTACTATAGTATTGTATTATGCACAAGAATAGTTATCATAAATACATAGATTTTATTATCAAGGAGTCTCGTCTTTCATTGTATTTGTTATCCATCGGAAATTGAATAGATCAGATAACCCACCATTCATAGAATTAGCAGCAACAATCTTCCCAGTAATAAGTCCCATAGGTACTACACCATATGATCTTGAATCCAATGAATGACATAAATTATCTCCAGTACACCACACATGACCTTCTGGAACTCGTATGTATTTGTTATAACCATCGTGCTGCACAATTTCATTTGTAGAGTTTGTCAACTCTGAAGAACTTGATGGATCTACCAAAATTATATCTCCTGGCATCCCTGTGATACGTTTACATATTCTATGATTTGGATCACTTGGTTTGATAGCGACTATACAATCACCCATTTCTAAATTTCTTCCATATTTGTATTTTTTCAAGGCGTGAACATAATCATGTTGGTTTTGTAATGTGGGTAACATTGATTCCCCTCGAGTTTCTGTGAATTCATATACATTTTCATGAATTAAATGAGCTACACAACCTGCTCTAAGAGTCCACGATAGCGTTGAACCAATAAACTTAAGTGATTCTGGGAATGTCATATTTTTGTCTTTTATTGGGAAATAAAGTGTGGAAAACAGGGTTTTAATACTATGTGAAAACATAAACGAAAATTTTCTCTCATTCTGAAATATTTCTGCACCCCCCCAGACAGTAATCCCGCGCGACCAAATTGATTCGACAGTTCGTTCTACACTTTAAGAAGTATACATACAACTTTCACTTTCATTAACTACAAAATAGTATTCTCGAATATTTAATATTTGTGAAAAAAAAATTCATTTTATTTAATAAAAAACCCTTTTTAAAAATAATATACAGAAGTTAAAGAAGCAAAAAATGATATAACCTATTTTTAATTTTTTGAAGAAACATTAAAAAGAAACACAATTAGTAAACGAAACCCAAGATTTTACCAGAAACGTGCTTTCTTCTAGCTTCTTCGTGGTCCATAATACCAGCAGAAGTGGTCAAGATAACGTAACCGAATTGTCTAGCTGGCAATAAGTTATCAGTCCATCTTTCAATGTCATTGATTTTAACATTGAATCTTGGTTGAATAACACCACATTTGTTCAATCTACCGTTCAATTGAACAACAATCTTACCGGATCTGTGATCATCAATGTATTCAAATTCACCAATGTATCCTAAAATAGTGTTAGTAATAATTTCAGAATAATAAGACAAAAAGGGGTAAAAAAAAAGCAAAACAAGTTTAATAATTGTTGTTGAGAAATGTCCAGGAAAAGTAAACGATCGACACAATCGAAAAGATGTTATCCATCGTGTAAGAAGCATTTCCTAAAGGTTGTTTTTCCGAATACTTAAAAGACAGAAAGGGACTGAACGTTTCTTCATTAATGAAGAAAACACCGATCAAACCATCCAGTTATCAATTCGGGACTTGGTGATTAATGAAAAGAATAAAATCTTATCAAACTTGTAAAACTTTTTGTTTTCTAATTGGGAAAATCAATACATACCGTGCTTTTGCATAACAGTTAAAAATTTAATAATAACCTTGGAAGATGGTCTAATCAAAACTTGACGTTTACCAGTTTTTTCAGCATTGTTAATAGCGTTTAAAGCATCAGCTAAGACGGAAGTTCTAGTCATTTTTTATTTATCTAAATAACATACAAGGTTAGTACAATTGGAAACTAATGAGTCTTAATTTTCTTTAGATTAGCCACATGAGTGTCCAATGAAACATTGGAGTCATGAGCAGTAAAAAAAAAGTACAAGGAGTGTCAATACTCTCTTGGAAACTATCCTTACGATGTTGAAGTAAGGTATGCTTCCATGATTTAGATGAACTAAATCAGATATTTCTTTACAAGAAAGTCATCAATGTATACAACTGATACACCGACATGTTCTCATTGTAATGAACCATCAAAGAATGTACTGATTCCAGGTACCCATTCTGACAAGTTAGTAGTATAAAAAAAGAAAGACTCAAAGTGTAGTATTTACTTTTTCATGTCCATGGGGCAATCTATATGTTGTAATATTTCAACATACTATTGATTATTGGTGATGAAACAACGATTAGACGGTTGGTAATATAAGAAGAAAGAAAAGAAGAAGTGAACATTAGAAAAGTGAAAATTTTTTCTTTTCGTTCTCGTCATCTTTCTCTCATTCAAGCACACGCACACACATTTGACAGAAAAATTCTTTTTCGGTCGTACATGCAGTCCATGGTCGATGTACACGACATTTCTATTTAATTATACTGGAAAACTAATTAGGGTTGTGGTTTATACTCTCTTCTTGTCCTAGCACCCCCCTTTCCCCCGCCATTTCACTACCATGGCTTCGATTTCAGATGAATCACAATACAATGTCAATGAAACTGAACGACTACTATCAAAGACTTTATTTGAGAAGGTAAAACCATTCTGTGTTGAATTATCTAACATTGCCTTAGAACAACCATTCAATCCACAGAAAATAGTATCACTATTGATTTCCATTGAAATTGCCCTCAACAGTCATCATGATGAATACAGCAAAGGCAAAGACTCTTTCATATATCAATTATCTCCCAATATTGCCGATTATATTTTTTTCCCGTTGTCAAACCTATTAAAGCAATCAAACTTGGATGACATTATTATTCAACATTTGTTTGGAGTCATTACATTCTTGATAAATTATTCGTGGAGTATCAACGTGAATTTTTCCTTGATTGATCAATTGTACCCATTGATTATTTATCTTTCTACTGGAGATGTAAACAAAGAACCCCCAGCTATTTCAGTCAAGTCTACAAGTTTTAAATTGGCAACTGTAAAAATATTCACAAGTCTTATCAATTCGTTAGATCGGTTTTACTTTCAAGAACAATCAGAAAGACGTTTGGTGCTACTAAGCAATACAGTCACCATTGGATTGACCATAATTACATCAACGAAGCCGGATTCACAGGAGTCAATAGAAGTTATACTTCAAACTTTGATGGTTTTATCAAAAGTAAGAAGTTACTTAAGCAATGACCAACAGGCAGCGATTCTCCCTGGTATAGTTTCAGCAGTGACAAAATTTACGTCCCTGAATCCTAACTTGAATTTCCAAATCATTATACAATTATTGAGATTGCTATCTAGTTTAATCTGCGCGTCCTTTAGTGACAAAGATTTGGGCGCTCAACTTAATGTTGCTAATGGTGTGGAAGATCTTGCTGAGATACATTTATCCTGGGATGATGACACGAAAACATTGGATGATAATGCATCTATGTCGGATATTACAATCTCAGAAAGCGATCAGAGATCTGCATTGTGGCTAAAAGCAACATCCAAACAGTTGAAGATTTCATTGATGATTTTCTTCAAGACCATCTTACTTGGTCCAAGAAACAAGCAGCGTCTACAAACACGTGAAGAGTTAGTTATTGAAATTATACACTTTGTGGAGTCCATTATGAATAATTGTTTTATCAGTTTACATCAAGAGTTTGCATCTTTAAGTATTGATATTATTTCAATACTTGCAACATATGATCATCAACAAGTTGCTGATCGCGTTGCAAATTTGAGTAATTCATATGTGCTTACAGTGGAAAACCAAGAGAATAAGGAGACAGTATTATATGAAATAGTGAAAACAAAATTAACGGCCTTGGTAGATAATAAGCTTTCAACTGTTATATTTTCCACAGACGAAGAGAAGATATTAATGAATATATCTGCCCTAGAATTCAATTTTAGCCTACTTTTGGAATTATCAAAAAGAATCAACCCAGAGTTTGATGATTTGGATACATTAAAACAACGATGCTTGGCTTTATTACAAGAATATATGGTTGATAATTTTAAATTTGAAAATAGCAAGAAAATTCTAAACACATCAACTAATAACAAAACGCTTCTTGAATCATCGGCAAAACTGAACCAACTTGACTCGATTGAATTACCTGAGTTTGTTAATACAAAAAATATTGTACGACAAAACAAGACAGATGATAATGGTTCGTCTTATATTCATAATCTAAGAGCTATATCTCGAGAATGGAGTTCTTCTGAAATTAAACCTGCTAGTCAGAATCCACAGATTGGTATTGCTACATCCTTTTTGGAAAAATCAATAAGAGATTTTATCCAATTTTTATCAAATTTGAAATATAGATCTGGTGAAAGTTCATATATTAACGACCTAGAGAGAATCCTCGAATCTTCAACCGATGACTTAACTAGTAAAAGTGTATCACTTTGGGTTGCAAGTAGTTATGCTAAAAGTAATCTTTCAAAGATCAATAATTTCGACCCGAATGACTTTTTGGCCCTAGATGATGATATGGATATTGACGATGAGAACGAGAGTACATATTTGATATTATCCAAAGCAGAAGAGTTAATCGATGATGCCAGTCAAACTCCTGAGGAGAATCATCTGGTGTCAGGTGCGTTAGCGTACACCTCAGCATTACTGGCAATTCAAACTGTAGCAGGTACTATTACTTTAGAGCAGTTTAGATCAAGTTTTTTGATGGATTATTTACTTTCTATGTTTCAAGCATTAACGTATAATGATGTTCCACAAATTCAGTTACAAGCACAAGCCACTGTGAAGGAAATATTGGATGTATATTATGATGGTTCCATTGTCAATTTGATATCTGATAATCTGGATTATTTAATTGATAATATAAGCTTGCAATTATCGGTGGCTAGCAACTTGACACCAGCATTGCCTGGTATAATGTTGATAATTGTTAAAGTAGCTGGTGTGCAATTATTAAAGTCAAACCAGTTACATGATATTCTTACCGACATGTTTGTTATTTTGGACTCGTATCACGGATACAACAAAATTGTGGAGAGTTTCTTTATTGTTTTCGAGTCGTTAATTGATCAAATCAAAAAGACATATGAAGATTCACTAAAAATCGAGACTCATATTGATAACGCTGAAAATACATCCTTGTACAAACCATGGGGTATGTCAAATAAAGAACAGCTATTAGCATTCATTGATAAGTCTAAAAGATCAGATGACATAATCGAAGACTACGATCCAAATAAGGAGTATTTTAAGAGAAAGGAGGATTTACCATTTTCCGAGTTGGATAAAGATTCAGATGACGAAGATGATGAAGAGGCGTCCCCCAAAAATGATGAGTCCGAAATAGAAGATGAACCCTGGTCATCACCAATTCCAAAGAACGAATATGAAATATTAAAACGGATTTTCAACTATGGGTTCACATTAGTTTCTCAGCCATCATACTCGTTAAAAGCACAAATTATCAAAACTTTAAGGTTAATTTTCCCACTCGTTTGTACAAATTATAAAGAAATTTTACCTGTTCTTGCTGCTAATTGGCCAATTTTGATGACCATGATTACTGGTTCCAAATCCTTGTCCACCAGTATGCTGATGAACAAGGGCTATTCATCCGAGGAAGTAAATATTATGATTGGTTCTTTTCAGCTTGTTACTGATATCTTGAAGGAAGACAGAAGAAGAAATGACTTTTTCTTCAATAAAAGATTTCAGGATACTTGGGAGTTTATGATTAAACATACAGAATTGGTAAGTTCAGAAAAGTCTAATCTATCGAATCAACAAGAAAATCTGCTTGTTGTATCAGAAAAATCTGTTTATGCATTTAGAATGTACCCTATGTTGAAGAATGCCTTGGTCACATTTTTAATCATTGGTGTTCAGAATTATGAAAGAATGATTCCTGATCTTGTTCGATATGAGATTATCAAAATGTGTGCCAGATTAAACATTCCAAATGAACTAGAGCTTTCACGAGATACTAAAGGTGTATTGGAAGTAATTCGTTTACAAATAGAATAGATTTTTCTTTTCGTTTCTTTTGTTATATTTTCTGGTTCTATAGAAAGTAATATACATAAATCAATCCTTCATTATGACATCCTTGTCAGCATCGGTTTCATCATCTCTAGTAACCAAATCAAGAATGGAATTTTTCTGAGTTCCTTCTGGTTTTTGAACCGAGTTTGAGTTAGCAATTGGGAAATTCAACGTTTGTTGACCCTTTGGTAAGATATTCTTAGGACGAGCACCAGTAGGAGAAGAAGCACTGGCCACCGGGTCATCAGATGTACCATTAGTTGAAGGTTCTGAAACTTTAGAAGTTGGTTGTTTCACATGAACCTTTTTCTGTTGAACCAATTCACCAATTGGGTGAGTTTTTGGGACAGTATCACTTAGGAAATTTAATGAATCATGAGCTGAAACTGCATTAGCAAAATCTTTATATTGAATTTTCTTACGTTTATCCATTTTAGCTAATAAACTAGCTTGTTCAACAAAATATTGTACAAATAATTCTGTAGCTAATCCAGCTGTATATACAGCACTGGCTGAAGCACCAGCGTAATCTGGGTCCAACTTAAAAATTCTTTTTATTCTGGCAATTGGTAACGTAAGATTACTTTGTGATTCGTCTTGTTCATTATTGGATTCGGATTTGTCCTGTTGTGATGCTTTTTCTTCTGTTTGAGTTTGTTCTTCTGGTTGTGATTGTTCTGTTTCTGGTTGTGATTGTTCTGTTTCTGGTTGTTGTTGTTGTTCTGCAACTTCTTGGTTTGTTGATGCCTCTGGGTCTGCTTGTTCGCTAACAGATGTAGCACCTTCATTGGTTCCAGAAGGCTCACTTACATGCTCTGATTGTACTTCCACTGTTTCAGATGGTTTCTCTACTACTTCAGGTTGTGACATATTTGATGTGATGATATTGTTGAAAAGATGTAGTAAACAAGAATTGGATTTGAAAAAAAAAAAAAAAATATTCAAAAGAAAAGACCAAAAAAAAAAAAGTTAATACGCGTAAGCTTTGATGGACTGAATATCGTCGCTTCTATTTTAGTTTTTACGACTCAATGTCCAATGATTACCTTATATTCTACAAGTGACTATTTACAATAAATTAAATACAACCATACGCATTTTGTCTCTACTCTTGGGTCTTGATACCTTCTGTCAAGTTTTCCTTTTGTTCAGCTTCCAAAACATCTGGATGGACAAATTTATGTACATATCCTTCTGCTTCCAAATCCACCTCACTGTAATTAGGACCGATTTCAATAAACTTCTTTACATTATGGAAAGCTAATTCTGGACTCTTGAACTGATCATTATATCCTATAACTTTTTGTTGAAATTGTGGTGATTTTGGAGATACCAAAGCTTTCAACTCAGTCTTGTGCAAACCTTCTGGGACAACATATGTTCTGACTTTTTCCCAGTTAACATGATATCTTCCTCTTGTATCTAAGTGACCTATACCTGAAGAACGGGTACCTTTATAAAAATCTTTATTACCCTGTTTGGTGGTTAATGGATGTCTCTTGGTACCTGTTTTCAATTGACCATAGAATAATGTACCATCTCTAAATGTTTGCCAAGGTCTTCTTAATGAATTAGATACTGTGGATTGGAAACTTAATACCTGAGAAGCTCTCATTGTTGAATAGGTTTTGTATTGATAGGTTTGGTGGGAGATACTTAGATTTGATTGGAGACAAAGCGAAAATTTTTTTTTTTTTTGTTTTTCTTCTGATGTTAGACTTCCTCACTTTTTAGCACATTACAATCCCACTAACCGTTGATTTCGGTTATGATTTCCATTCTACATTTATGCTTTACATCAAGAGAAGTCCAAGTTAAACTATATTTATCCAAATGGCTACTCGAAAATATAATATTTCATGTAATGCTAATTGGACTTTTGACATATATAAATGTTTGTACCCCATTAATTTAATTTATTTGATTTTTGACATCACGTGCAGTTCACATCTTGAGACTGTACACGACCTGAATTTCAGTCAAAGCCGTCTGTGAAACAATGCTAGCAATCAATTTAATTAAAAGCAAACTTTATCTAAAAATTCTTCCAATGATTAGAAAATAGTTATTCTACCACCAATTGTCATAACTTTGAATTGTTAATACACTAGAAGATGAAAGCCCCACCAGAAAAGCCACAAAATATGGGATCTTTCCCACCACAAGCTGGTTACTCAACTGATCTACATGTTGATACTCATACATATTCCGACAAGCCTACACCGATTTCACCAAATGAAAACAAAACTCAGCAATATGTCTCCGAGCATTTTGATAGCGAACATAGAAAGAAATATGCCAAAGAAGGAGGAAAGAAGTTATTCCAAATCTTTTTGTCATTCTTATGTAAGTAAATTGACTTATATACTATGAACTATGTAGATTTTCATATTGAATATATAATATAGCTTATAATTTGGATTTTCCTTTTGATAATTCGTTTTTCATAATATCAATAACTTTGTTGGCCAATCCAAAACTTCCTTGGTATCCACCACCACCAGCACCATAATTGTGAATTAACCATTTACGCTTCTTGTCCAATTCAACTCTAGCACCATCTTCTCTAAATGGTCTGAAACCAACATTAACTTGAGCAATTTCAATCTTCAGAGGATTGTTTTTAAAAGTTGGGTCAACCAATTCTGGAGCGTACTTAAGAGCTCTTCTGATAATTCTTTCGGTCAACTCCTTATCTTCAGCAGTATTTCTTTCACCAGGAAGGAAACATCCACCGACAATGGTACCTCCTTCTTTTCTTGGCATGATGTAGAGCAATTCGTTAGGGAAACCTGGGAATCCATGAACATGATACTGGATTCTAGCATTGTTCTTAAGAAGCAAAACTTGACCTCTAACTGGGAAAGTAAGCTTATCATCGTCAACACCTTTGATGGTGGTTGCATCTAAACCAGTTGCATTGATGACATAGTCGGCTTTTTTACCAGAACTATGGAAATCTCTGGCCGATTCAATGTTGTAGATGATTGGAACTTTCTTAAGTTTGTTACCTATTTCTTTGTTTTGTTGAACAAGGTATTTCAAGTAAGTTGGTACGGAAACAACCAATCCTTTGAAACTATGTCCAAAAGCAATACCTGCTGGCAATTTCAGGCTATCAATAATTTTAAAATCATCAACAAAATCTCTATACCAAGGGATTATTTCCTTGAAGTTGCCCTTTGCTGCAGAAACTTCATAGTCGGTGTAATAAGAAAGATTCTCAGTGGCCCAAACACCAGCTCTTGGGTCAGATTCAGCAAGTTGCAAAAACTTCTTATAACCTGGTTTGTCAATTTCTTGTAACTCTTTATCTTCAGGAGAAGCAAATGATTGCCAGTTTGCTCCAGCATAAGGAGAAGTATAAGAAGGATGGATATCTCCTGGCCAGTGGTGAGCGGCAATAGTGATATCCAAGTCAGGATTCCAGCGTTTTAATTCCAAGGCAGTTGTTAAACCAATAACCCCTGCTCCTAATACGACTACCAGTGTCATTGTATAATGTTATATTTGATATATGATACAAGTGATAAAGAAAGAAAGAACTGAAAAAGTTATATCAGCTGATAAAATTTGATCAACGACCGAAAATTAAAAAAAGCACTCCTGAGCGGGTAAGATTATCCGGGGAAAAAATTGATTGAAAATCTGCATATAAAACAGAAAGTCGACTTCGTTGTCCAATCAGAAGTTGTTTTTTGAATTCCGTTGATAACCATGTACGAGTCTAGATATTGGTGGATGTACGTTCTATACTTTGAACAAAGATGAAAATTTCAATCATAACTGTTATTTTATCTTTAATTGGTCTTCTTATTTCACGCTAGGAAAATTTCTAATCATGTCTATCAAACCTTACAAATGAAATTGTACTTTAACAAATCAAAGAGTCATTCCGGCATATAATCCAACGGAGTTTGTGTCATAAAAATCCAAATTTTATCAAAAAAAAATTGGAAAATGCGGCTTTGATTTTTTTTAATTTCCTTTTTCGTGCGATTTCGCGATTAACGGCTGCCAACCGAGACAACCAGCCAGCCATCACCAGAAAATGATTTACTTTAGCTCATCATCTTTAGGTGATGATGTAACAATTCTTAAACGGTGTATAAAACGATATTCTATGATGATATGAAGAAGTGATTTACCATTTTATTGGCATCGTCAAACAAGTGTAATGTTACTCGCTGTCTTTTTGGTTCAATGTGGCTTATTATGGTGCAAGCAAACTCTTCATAATATTCATTCCACGCCTCTAAACATTAAAAGTAAATTGATGTTTGTTTCTTTCACATGAATATTATAGTGCAAACAAACATGACCCGATTTGGTAACCATAGATCCTATTTTAGCTTCAAGGTTGTATTTTCTATTCTTATTCTTCTCCTGTAGTAAATTATAATCAAATCTGTAGACACATGTATGCAATATTATTGTGAGTGCACACAACTACAGAAATAAAAAAAAATTTTATTGAAAAAAATAAGTACTCTTAACTTGTCTCACATTTCCTCTCTCCATCCTTATTTTTGTGGAACACTAAAAGTAGAGCTGGTCGAATCATTCGACGTAAAAGGTACACAAATATCAACAATTTGATTTTGTTGCTTTGCTCGTCAATCAGAATTACAATGCAATGTCTTGATTACGAAAGAATTAATGCTGGTCAATTATAGTAATTGAAAAATGAATATCCGTTTTGTGGATCATTACGTGTCTTGAACATTCAATTACTGCAAACAAAATCAAACTCCGCCATGAAGTTTTTTTCTTTAAGATCAAATGATTTAAGTTTTATTGTCTAATACAATACAAGACGTCATGAAAGTTAATGTACAACTTGCCACCAAAAAAAGACTATTTCGATTTCCCAAAATGGATGATCCAGCGTCAGATCTTTTAGAAGCCCTCAAAATGGTTGCACTTTATTTTTTTTTTGTGTGTTTTATTTTCTTTGCTTGTTGCTTAGATTATATATAATTTTTGAGTATTATTTGCTGGGTTATAATTTACATCAACTGCTATGATATGGTTCTTCTGCTTGCAATAGTGACATCTCAAGTCACCAAATTTAGAGATAATTCAAATGCTATAAATATCAACAAATGTTCACCATTTCGGTTCGTTGTTCAATTTTTTCTTTTTGATTTCAGCAAAACTCTTAGTCTATACCAAATACCTACCACTATCATTATATCATAAATTGAATTAATCATGTTATGGAAATCTATATTTGCGACTGCTATACTAGCAACTAAAGCACTCACTGAAGCTCAAGATGTGGTTACGGTTACTAAAACTGTGTATGAAAGCAATCAATGCCTAGAGGATTATGCAAAGAAGATTCTACCAAACAATCCTACAGGCTTAACAACAGGTATACCGGTTGTTATACTTTATGAGCCTAAAACTGAAGAAGGGCAGAACCAACAACATCAGTCAACACAACAACAACAATCAACAAAACAATCAACACAACAATCAACGCAACATCATCAATCAGTACAACAGCATTCCAACCAACAAACCCATACATATTCATTCAAAGGTAGCAACTATGTGACCAAGTCTACCAATAAAAAGACCAAAAATTTAGTGGTTACAAGCTCACATACCACCACTGCCATTGCTTATACTACCATATGTCAAAGAAATGGTTGCGAAACTAGCACATACACCACTGTCATTACTGATCCACTGATTTTCAGCACCATTCATCCTGTTTCTGAAACTGGTACTAAAGAGGTCACATTCCAAACCACAAATGTTAAAACAGCTGAAACTACTACTTCAACTATTTTCAGTGCCACAACTACACCAAATTCTACATATACTCCATCAACTTCAATGACTGTATCATCTACTTCCATTGAAAATCCAGTTAGTTCACAGTCTGTTGTTAGTTCTAGCAAATCTGTTTCAATTGACATATCTTCAATTACTGCCCCAGTAACAGTCGGTGGTGAATCGACCAAATCCAGTTCTTCTAACTCAACCACTTCACATTCCGAGTCATCTAACCATGCTGTTGCCACTACCACTTCAATTGTTTCATCTTTAATTGAAACAACTGATAGCAAAGGCTCAACTTTTACTACTGTCTCATCTTCTACTTTGACTATTGTATCAACCAATACTCAAGCTGCTACAACTAGTTTGACTTCATCATTTGAATCATCCAGTACTTCAAGTTTGTCCTCAATTATAGGTTACTTGAATTCAACAAGTGAAATGGGAACTTCTTCAATGGTTAGTTCTGAATCATTATCCGAAATTGAATCTTCTGCCTCAGGTTTAACAGTTTCACCTTCGGAATCTAGTGAGATTGTTTCATCATTATTATCTGAATCATCAATGTCTTCTCAACCATTAATGTCTTCTGAATCAACTGGAGAATCTTCAATTTTGTCATCAACTGTTTCTTCAGTAGCATCTAGTGAGATAGAAGAGACTAGTTCCACTCAAGAAACAAGTTCTGCTCAAGAGTCCAAAGAACCAGCAGTTGAGACACATATTTGTTACTCGGGAGATTTGTTTAGTGCTGTCGATACCAGTGCTCCACCATCTGTTTTTTCCAGAAATCAAATCCCATTATCAATTCCTTCGGGAGTTAACAACAATGGAAAACCAATTGGAACAAATAAATTCTACACTAATTTGGTTATTAATAGTCAAGATCTTATGGTATATCCATTACCATATGCACTTTATTGGAGTAAATCTAACTATTACGGTTTTGGTGTTCAACATATCAACTTGGACCAAAGAGTCTTTGGTACACAGAATACAAACAACCCTGGAGTTCCTTCATATTACTATGATCCAACAAATAACGGTGAAATTATATTTTCTGCTACTTCCTTTGATGAAGACTCTATGGAAATGAAGGTTACTGATATGAATGATATGTCTGCTTTGGTCAGTTTATCTAGTTCAGCCAATGATGAAATTAATCACTTGGATATTCCTTTGGTTCAAGGTATGGGTTTTGCAACTGCTATCTACAATGGTAATTTGAATCCGTTATTGAACTCCTTATATGGTTTTAAGGAGTTGACTTTAGAAAATTCTGATGCTTTATTATCCAATGTCCTCAAATATCGTGCAACTTTATTGAATGATATTGAATGGTTGATCTATGTTACTTTACCAGAATCTGATCTGGACTTTGAATTGGAAGTTTCCAACACTTACAGCATTGAAGGTACTGGTTCTGTTGATGGTTTAATTATCCAAGTTGCAATTGCTCCGGAAGACAGTGATAAAGATGCTTATTATGATGCAGCAGCTGGTATTTATGTTACTTCTGCTAGTGTTCTGGGTAGTGTTGTTTGTGATACTGCTGCTAGTTACAAGATTGGTTATGAAACCAAAGGTTCTTCATCTTCTGGTAAGCCACTTATTTTTGCTTTACCACATCATTTAGATGCTTTAACTGGAGATGTTCTTGGAGCTGCTACTGGTATTACTGTTGCATCCACCACCAAAGGAAACATGGTTGGTTTCTTAACCGATGAATTGGCATTCAGTGAAACTATTAATTACGATGTGGAATTTTTACCATGGTTGCCAAGTTTAAATGGTCCATTGACTTACAGTGAAGAACAATTGACATTATTGGCTTCAAGTGCAAACCATGAATTAGCCGTTGATATCAAGAGCAGTGTTGCCAATATGAACTCCAATTACTTTTCTGGTAAAGTCATTGATAAGTATGCTCAAATTTTGTTGGTTGTTAGTGATATTATCCAAGATGAAGAAGTGACAAAGGATGCTTTGGATGCTATGAAGGAAGCATTCGATGTCTTCCTCAACAATGAACAATACTACCCATTAATGTATGATACTAAATTTGGAGGTATTACTTCAACTTCTGCTCAAAATGGTGATACTGGTGCTGATTTTGGTGCTGCCTACTATAATGATCATGATTTCCACTATGGTTACTTTATTCATGCTGCTGCTGTTGTTGGTTACGTTGATAAAAAGTTGAATGGTACATGGGCTGAAGATAATAAAGATTGGGTTAACTCATTAGTAAGAGATACGTCAAATCCATCCACTAATGACGTGTACTTCCCTGTATCCAGAATGTTTGACTGGTACTCTGGTCACTCATGGGCAACCGGTGTCTTCAACACTTACAAGAATATAGAATCAAGTTCTGAATCTTTACATCATGCAGCTGCTCTTAAATTATGGGGTAAAGTTATTGGTGATCAATCATTAGAAGCTAGAGGAGGTTTGATGCTTGCAATTATGACACGTTCCTATAATGACTACTTCTATTTCAAGAGTGACAACACTGTTCAACCACTGGAAATTTTACCAAACAAAGTTTCAGGCATTTTCTTTGAAAACAAGATTGATTACACTACATTTTTTGGTACACCAGACCAACATCCTGAATATGTTCATGGTATCCATATGCTTCCAATCACTCCATCAACTGCTTTGGCCAGAATTCCATCTTATGTTCAAGAAGAATGGAATGAACAAATTGAATCATTTATTGACAATGTAAGCGATGGATGGTTGGGAATATTAAAACTCAACCAAGCATTTATAGACCCAAGATCTAGTTATGAATTCTTTGCTTCAGATGACTGGTCCGACAGCTACTTAGACAATGGTCAAAGTAGAACCTGGAGTTTGGCCTTTTCTGGTATTTATAATAGTTTATAGTTCTTGTTTTGTTATTTACCTTTTAGTTCTTTATTTCATTAGACTTTCAAATTCATAATTTTATCTTTTACTAAACAGTTTGTATTTTCACTATGTAAACTGATTGCACCAGTAGTTTGCGTGTACAACTCAAATTTTTTTTTTTGTTGTACGAACATAAGATTCTTCCACCTTTTTTCTGGTGTGCGTTTTGTATTTTTCATCGTTCATAATTTTTTCTTTAGATTGAAGGGGAAAAAGAGAAATTGAACAGGTTTACATTACTGGCCAATTTTTATTACAACCAACATAGATGTTTTCATTTGCAAAGAAACTTGTTGATAGATTAGAAGGCAATTCGTCTCCTAATTCCAATGTCAAGGATTCTTATTTTAAGAATGCCACCGAAATAAATAACAAAGGATATGCCCTTCGAGTATTGAATGTGGTCCCACATTCTATTGCTCACGAGAAAGGTTTCGAATCTTGGTTTGATTATATTATCAGAATCAATAACCATGAATTGCCAATGCTTTACCCACAATTGTCCAATTTCTCATACTCAATTAATGAAGACGGGACGATCAATTATGGTGGAAATGCAACATCTCAACAAGCAGCAACTATTAATTTCGAGTTACTTATGCAAGAAATAACCACATTAGCTAATCACGAACAAGATCTTGTAGTTGATGTCTGGAGTGCAAAAGGTGGTATCATCAGACAAATTGCTTTACCATTGAAGAAATTTGAAGCTAGTGACAAATCTGAAGAAGACAATGAAAATCAAACAGTACACAAGTTATTCGTTGACAATTTTAAACAATTGGGACTTACGTTAGAATCACAACATTTGAATACTGCAACATATGTTTGGAGAATTTTAACCACTCACCAAGGATCACCTGCTTTTATGTCTCAATTAGTGCCATATTCAGATTATATCATTGGTTGTGATTCCGCCTTCCCTACTGATATCAATGGTAAAGGATTACTTGCGACTGGTGGAGAGTCCTTATTATCAAAGACGGTATTAAACTATTACAACTACCATTATGCCTCATCTAGTGAAGACAATGTCCCAATTACCCTTTATGTGTATAATCATGATTATGATATTTTAAGACCAGTAACGGTTAATCTTTCTCGTAGTTGGGGTACTGGACAAAACAAGGGTATTCTAGGATGTGATGTTGGTTATGGTTTATTACATAGAATTCCTGAAGTTGTTGGTAAGTTTCAAAGTGATTCAATTGTTGACGATGTTCTTTTTGAAAATAACCAGAATGTCGGATTTCAACCTCAACAAAGTTTACCCCCACAACATTCCACGTATGTTCCACCATCTCCTGAAAATTCACAAGAAAACTATATTAATACTGCTCCACCTCTTCCAACAATAGGTTCTGTTCCACCACCACCTCGTGGAGCAGCAAGAAAGAAAAAACACGTTGTTGATAAGTCTGCTGTTGAAGGATTAGATGATTACATGAATGAAGAATTAGAAAAGTCAAAGAAATTGGATGTAACTACAAAACCAAGTAGTGCTTCATCATCAGATAATGTTCCTCCTCCTCCACCTCCAGCCGCCAAGTAAGTAACTAAGTAGTATCAAAATTAAAAAGTGTAAGGATATATATATAATATATAATGTATAACATATAATAACTGATCACATCTATTAATGTTATTTTGGAATCAAAAAAAAAAAAAAGAATAATTAAAAACAAAATCACAACTGCAAAAATTTGCCCACTGTCGGAATCGAACCGACGATCGCTCCATCACTTATCTTATTATACGAGTGGAGTGCCGTAGCCACTTGGCCAAGTGGGCTCACAAATATCTGTTTTTCCGAGCAAGTTGAACCACTTGTTGTAAAACGTATTATTTTGTGTAATCATATAAATAGTAACATGATTTATTATCCGATTATAATGATGCAGACTAACGAATTTTGTAAATAGTGTTTAATATGTACTGCTGAATACAATTACTGATATTTACAGATTCTAGGGTATTGTTATTGGAACAAGCAGATTATTGCATTTACGATTGAAATATATCACGATTCTCTTGAATCATCATACCAGAAAAATAATAATAATAATTGGGAAATATGAGCTAACAATTCAAATAAACAGAAAACTATAAATAAGGGACGTGCTTCCATTAATATGATTATTTTTAGAGTATTTCCTTTCATGAATTCGCAAGGAAACCAATGATCGTACTGTAGTATCTTACTAACTTTTCTTTTTCCTTGAGATACTTTTTTTGATCTAGTTATAGTTGCGTTGTTTGCATAGTGCCTTAAACATCAATTACTAACAAGTCAACTTTTAATAGCAATTTTTGATGTATAGTATAGAAATAAACAAAATGTAATACATTTTTCACTTTAAAATAAAAATTTGTAGAGTTTATACATTACTTGATGATGAGTTTAATGTGATCCGACCCTTTGCGACCCAAAATATGATTCTTACGAAACTTAATATACGTTTTGAATTTAATTTACTACTATTTGATGCCACAGTAAATTGACAGGATATTCTCAATAACTTTGCAAAAAGTCATCATTGTATTGCGAAAATGTATTAAAAATGGAAGTTCATTCCGCGTCGCGAAAAAAAAAAAAAACAATTGGAACCCCAAAACCGGATTTAAACATTGATTTGGAACCACATTTTCTAGAATGACTAATAACCTCAATCGAATGACAAGATGATAGATTAAAAATATTAAAATAACGTCTTATTGTCTGTTATTTTGTTGATACTTGGTGGAGAAGAAATTAGCATTACATTGGTAAAATCGAGTATTTTAAAATTTATTGTTTCGGAAGTTGAGCCATACTACGCCCGATTATTTTTTTAGTCTTTTTTTTTTCGGTTCAATTACAGCGCTAATCAATGATTCTGTCATACATTGGTTTTTTTTTTTTAGTTTTAAGTTTTGTTTTACTTACTTTTTTTTTCTTTTCTTTTATCTTATCTTTTTCTTTTTGAATTAGTTAAATAATCATGACAAATTCAGGGACTAAGAAGCTAACGTTCAGGGAACAGATGAAGGGGTTCCCTGTTTGGCAAATGATTGTCATTATTTGTATTCGTTTTTCAGAACCTATTGCATTCACATCATTATTTCCATATGTATATTTCATGATTCGTGATTTTGATATTGCCCCATCCGACGCTGATATAGCCAAATATTCTGGTTATTTATCTGCTTCATTTGCATTTGCTCAATTTTTATGTTGTGTCCAATGGGGGAAAGCATCAGATAAATATGGTAGAAAACCAATTTTATTATGTGGATTAGCAGGAACTGCATTTTCAATGTTGATATTTGGATTTTCACCGAATTTTTGGGTAGCTATATTTGCCAGATCCTTAATGGGGTGTCTTAATGGTAATATTGCTGTCTTGAGAACAACAATTGGTGAAATAGCCACAAATAAAAACCATCAATCAATTGCATTTAGTACTTTACCATTATTTTGGAATTTTGGAGCAGTTATTGGACCGATAATTGGAGGTTCCAAATATTTGACAAGACCTAGAAAGAGATCAAACGAACCACCTCTGCGTATTGAAAGTTTTTTCATGACTGCAGTTGAAACCATAAGTTCGAAGGATGATTTGTATAACAGATTTATGAACAAGTATCCTTATGCTTTATCAAATGTAGTCATTGCAAGTATATTGATGTTTAGTTTTGTTACTGGATTTTTATTCCTTGAAGAAACCCATCCCAGAATGAGAAAGAAGAAAGATTTTGGTTTGGAGATTGGTGATTTTATTCTAAGAAGACTAGGATTCGATGTTCTAGTGAGACCTTGGAATAAGAATAGAATCTCACATGTGCCACAAGAACAAGAACCATTGATTACAGAAGAAGAAGAAGAAGAAGTGTCATCATTAGGAAGCGACAGTGATCTGATTGATAACCATAGTGCTACCGTTACTGATCCACAACCATTTTATAGATCCACTGATAATGGTAGCGAAGTCGATAATGAACATAGTGATAGTGATGCTGAAACATATACTAATCCAATTCCAAGAAGATACTCTGATGCTGTTGTTAGACGCTATTCTTCAACGCAATTGGGTCCAATGTTGTCACGTACCACTACTTCAAACTCAATAATAACTACAAATATTGAACAATCATTTTCAAGAGAAATTTTCACACCTCCAGTTGTTCAAACCATTGTGGTCAACTTTTTGTTATCTTTCCATACAATTGTATATTCCGAATTTTTACCAGTTATGCTTGCGGGTCAATTACTTCCAGAAAAACTGTCTTTCCCATTTAAATTGGTAGGTGGATTTGGATACACCAGTGATACCATTGGGAAACTTTTATCATTTACTGGTATTGTTGGTACTTTATCTGTCATGTTTATTTTCCCTATTCTTGATAGAAATTTCAGAACAATTTCTTCATTAAGAGCATCTCAGATAATTTTCCCAATTGCCTATCCTATTTTACCATATATTGTGTTTACACATGTTGCATATAACTCATCTAATCCACCATGGTTAACTAGGACTTTACTTTATGGACTTTGTTGTCTTATGACAGCCTCAAATGCTGTTGGGTTCCCCAATATTTTGGTGTTGATACATAGAGCCTCGGCTCCAGAACACCGTGCATTCATTAATGGTACAGCATTAAGTTTGAATTCTTTGGCAAGATTCTTGGGTCCAATGATTTGGGGTTATGTAATGACTTTCAGTGAAATATTTGAAGTTGGAGAAGTATCTTGGCTTCTTTTGGGATGTTTGTCATTAATTTGTTGTGTTTACACTTTTATCATGAAAGAATATGATGAAAATGGAAAAGTAGTAGACCATAACGTTTAGCATAATTTTATATAGAAGTACATTGTGTATGTAGTGTAATACTAAAGAGTATGTAATCATTTTTGCAATAAGATCTATCAAATCCGCGAGCAGTAAAGAAGAAAACCTGTTTCCAACAGAAAAAATAGGAGAGAGATAAACCTGCCTCCACCACCACTATCAAAAAATCACAACCATTACCAACGAAACCATGTCTATTGTCACTACATTGGGAATGTTCATTATAGATGAAAATAGATACTTAGATACAGATGAACCTCCACAAGTTAATATAATAGGTGGTGCAGGAACCTATGCTATTATAGGTGCAAGAATCATCAGTCCATTATCTAAGGCAAATAAAATTTCTGGAATAATAGATATGGGTACAGATTTCCCAATTGAAATAAAAAAAGAATTAGATACTTGGAAAACAGGTACAATATTTAGAAATAATCCAGATAGATTATCTACTCGTGGAGTAAATATATATCATAATGGAATAAGATCATTTGAATATCTTACACCAAAATTACGAATAGAAACTGATGATATTTTAAATTATAATGATTTAAAAAATAGTAAATCTTATCATTTAATATGTTCAATTGAAAGATGTAAACAGATTATTCAAACTTTAAATAAAGTTAATCCTAATGCTATTTATATTTATGAACCATTACCTGATGATTGTATTCAAGAGAATTTTCAATCTTTAAAAGAATTATTACCTTTGATTCATATTTTCACTCCAAATTTAGATGAAGCTAAAGAATTATTAGGTGTTGATACTAATGATTTAAAGAAAATATCTCAAAATTTTACCGATTTTTTAAAAATCCCAAATTCAGGTACTGTATTAAGATGTGGAGCTAAAGGGTGTTTTATAAATACTATAAACGGTGAAATTATTGAATTACCTGCATATCATCAGAATCAAGAAAATGTGATTGATGTAACTGGAGGAGGAAATTCTTTTTGTGGTGGGTTTATAATGGGATTCTGTTTAAGTAATGGAAATTGGTTGCAAGCTGGTGTTGCTGGAAATATAAGTAGTGGATGTATTATAGAAAAATTAGGAATGCCTGTTGTTGATGGTGATTTATTCAATGGGAAAACACTACAAGAAAGAGTTAAAACTTATCAATTACAGAATCCTACATTGCACATAGATTTAGATTGGTCATAAATCATTTAATATTATACACTTAATTTTTATATAAGCATTGTGTAAAAATAATTCAATCCTGTTGAACAGTTGTATTTGCGTGAGTTAAATCGCTATCTGTTTCATTGTCTAGCTTGTTTCTAGATGCCACACTAGGTGGAACATTTTCTTCGTGATATAACCATCTCATTGATTCTGTTTTATCGGTCCAATGTCTAAGCTTCTTTCCGTAAACATACAATGGAATTGCAAATAAACTTACAAATATTTGAATTCCTCCGTAGGTAACGTATGCAGCACGGTAACCTTCGTCATCAGCATATCTGTTGTTGAACAAGGAAAAACAAAAACCTAATAAATTTTTCAAGAAATTGAAGGAAACCAATGCTTCTCCTGCAAAGACTTTATAAGAATCAACAGCAAATGTAATTGCAGTGGTTGATGCCATTGAACTTCCAAATGATAATGATCCAAAAAATAAAACTGGTGCAATCCATGGGTTTGCGACTTGTGCAGACCATCCATATCCCATAAGACCAATGGCAATAAATAATGTTGATGGGATAAGCATAACTAATCTAAATTCTGGTTCATAAACACCTTTATTTTTGGAAATGAAATAACGACAAACTCTATCAGATATCAAACCACACGATAAAGATCCCAAAATACCACCAATAAAAGGGGAGATATAAAAGAGACCAACCGTCTGTTGATCATACCCATATGGTGGGTGTCTAAAAATTTCACTAATGGTTTCAGAAATCACAATCAACCAAACAACAGCAAGAGAGTATATGAGTGCTCCGAATAAAATTGAAGGGTATGAATATAAAATGAATGGTCTCAAAGCAACCATCCACCAACTGTCTTTGGTGTATCTACCACGGTAAAGTTTTATTTCCAGCCAATAAGAATTTTTGGGTGTGAGATACTTCAGGTGGTTCTGTTGGTTCAGTTATACCAAACAGGAGTTTCGCCGACTCGTTTATCTTCCGGGTTCGTCTTGAATGGATGACGATTAACTTTTGAATGTCAGTTATGTTCATTTGTGAAGGACGTGGTAATGCAAATGCGTTTGTCTTTGTGATGGTGGATGATATGTAGCAACACTTTGAGCTAATTTTCGTTTCTTCCAACGATCTTTTTGGAAGGAACAGGATTTCTATCCCAAAACGTATCCGGGACGAACAAAATAGTGGCAGCTAAATTGAAACCCAAAAACATTGCTAAAATCCAGAATAGCCAATGTCTATCCAAGTATTGAAACACCAAACCTGATAATAATGGAATAATGTTTTTACCACCCAACATCAACATAGTGTAAATTCCCACTCTATAAGCACGTTCGTGGGCAAAATAAATTTCAGCAATAGTTGAACTAGGTAGACATTCAGTAGGTGATGCCCCAAAGGCTGTTATAATTCTTGCCCCCATAAGATTGCCAAAGCTATCTGCAGCACCACCCCAAATGGCACCCATCATGAAAATAAAGATACCTGCAACATAAACAAGTCTTTTACCATATAAGATAGCAGTGGGACTGGCAAATACTGATCCAAACCCCAAAGCCAACATAAACGCCCCAACCAAATAGGAAATTGTAGTTAATGATTTATTGAATTCTTGTGATAATGTATTCATACCAGCAGCTAAAAATGGAGACATACCACCTCCTAAGAAACTCTGAAACCCAATGATCAATAAACAGATATCACGTTTCCAAACTGGCCAATTTAAGGGATCATTCGGAGAGTCATGTGGCTGTGGATTGAGAATGATTCCCTTTGCTGAACGCTTCATTGATTGTGTGTCATCGTCCTCGTCGGGATCATCCAACATAATGACGGTCCCTGTAACCTCTTTAACTTGCGGCTGTTTAATACCCAAGTGGGAACTGGGCTGATCTCTGGAAGTAGCAGCCATGAATGATGATAAATGATATGAAGTGTAGTGTGATCTAAAAGGACAGCCTTAAAGTATTGATCCGGGAAAAAAAAAGTGGTTAGTAATGGATATGTTTTATATTTGAAGGAAAAGTTGATGTGACTTGATAATTTCTGTAACAATAGCCCTGTGTGAGAGAGTGAGAGTGAGAGATGGTTGATAACAACAACACAGAAGCAAACAAACCAAACGAAAAAAAAAAATATCCCGAAACTGCGAACAATATTTTATTTTTATTGTAAATTTCTTTTGTAGAACTTTCTTTTGTGGTCGAGAATTCTCAGACAAGGCGGAGATGAGGAAAGATTATGTATCACCAAAATTGTAAGACAAGTGCCAGGTTTAACAGGACGAATCTGTGTGTTGGTACTTTATTATACAGATAATACCAAATAGTAATCGAAAGATATTAATTTGAAACAAGTTCGTTTTTCTTTTATCTTGTTGATGGGAAAGATGAGCATATTTCAGTGGTCATAATTTTAATTTGTTTTTAGTCAATCACGTCGTGGTACCTTTCCTTTTTTTTTTCGTCGTCGTCGTCCGTCGTTGTCGTCCGTCTCCCGTCGTAGTAGCTGCAGCAATTTTCTTGGCTGATTTTTGCTGATGTGTTTACGTTTTCCTAATTTTAATTTTCTGAATGGTCAAGTTTAATATTTTTAGGTATGATGTCATAGCTGCATCCTCGACTTGACTACTAGAAGAAGAGGTGTCTATTCTTATCTGTTTACCTATTCTATTTTTTGTACTATAGATATGTTGTGTGGGGAAGATTTGATCCAATTTCAAGGTGTCGCGGAGGGGGGAGGGAGCGTGGCTTTTAAATGATAGAGTCTTTTTCATCTGAATTTATCCACTGGTGTTGCAACGTGGTGCAGCCATTTCTCGACTTTAATTCCTAAATAAAAACAAGATAGAAATTTTAGTGTGTTTTAATTTCTCCTAAAGCGAGGATCATCAATCAATCAATCAATCAATCATTCAGTCAAAGGAAAAAAAAATTCGATTGCATACCCCGCCCTTTAATATTTGCGGCAATCTGATGCGTTGTTGTGATAACAAACTAGACCTTATTAATTAGAGATCAGGATGAAACCTACACAATATTCAAATTCTTTTATCGACTTTTTTGCAAATGTTCTGCTATGTTACTTGTCAATTTAAACTTTGTATGTGGCTGAAACAGATTTTAATGTAAAATTCGTTTAAAAACTTACTTAAAACAATAATTAGATTGAAATAATAGAAAAAGTATAAAACAAATACTACTTTGAAATTGGCTTGAATGTAAAATATGTTTTTGCAATCAAAACATAAAAGTTAAATTTATTGAATGGATTCTTGTAGAACTACTAATACCAATAAAGGTGAAATACAATCACATCACAATCACAATTACCGCACATGAAACATTAATTCGAATCTCACATTTTCTATAGAACACCTTGTCCAATGGAACAGGAAATAGAACTTACAAGCTTTATTACAGGTGGTATCTGGGTTTAACTATTAAATGCTAGTTAATTTTGCTCTAATTTTTCCCAATTGGGAAACGCGACAGACAAATTGATTTGTCGGATAAAGCATACTATAGAAACTGATTACTTCCGTAAAAACACATGACTTACGATGTGTTCAAAATTAGAACATATTATCAACAAACGTTTCGGATCTTATAAAACCTCAACGCGTTCAGACCATTGCTAAGTACAATGAATTAACTCTAAAAATGAATGCAACGCGTGTGGGTGGGCGAGAAGGGACAAAAATAATATAGCAAGAAGTGAGAAAAAAAAAAATTGTCCAATTCCCATTTTTATCCCGCAATTGGTAGTTCTCCCATAGTTAAGGTATCTTAGTAAGTGGAAAATCAAAGCAAAAAAATTTTCGATTTTCTCACACAAATTTTTTCTCTTTAATCACTTCATTTTATAAGGATTCTTTTTTTTTTCTTTCCAAGCAATTAATCTCAGATTTGAATATCATTCGTTCACCTCCCCAATTTACTCCGTTTCTGAGTACTTGAAAGCTAATTAGTATCACATGTCGGGACCTCCACAAGTATTTCGAGCTACTTACTCGAATGTATGTACTTTTTTTTCATTTATTTATATGTTTCATAAGTTGTTTTCCGAGTTACCGTCGGGGGTTGAATATTCTAGTGTCCTAAATTTTTTTTATGCCTCCTCATTTCAACCAATGAAATATGGAAAGTGACGCGTCTAAACCAATTTTTTTTAGATATATACTAACACAACTATGGCTAGACGGCAGTATATGAATGTCTAATGAATGACTCGCCTATCATGAGAAGATGTAAAGACGATTGGGTGAATGCTACCCAGATTTTAAAGTGCTGTAATTTTCCCAAAGCGAAGCGAACGAAGATTTTAGAAAAAGGCGTACAACAAGGGTTACATGAAAAAGTTCAAGGTGGATTTGGAAGATTTCAAGGTACTTGGATTCCTCTTGAGGATGCCCGTAGATTGGCAGAAACATATGGTGTTACTAAAGAATTAGCCCCAGTGTTATTTTTAGATTTTAACGATCCGAATTTGATTATACCCGAAAAAGTTAAGCCAGCCCCAAAAGAATCTTCAGGTGGAGTCAAGAGAAAATACGTCAAGAAACCAAAACAACCCGGAGACCCACCAAGAAGGTATAAAACCGGTAAGAAAGCGGCACTCCAAGCAGTTGAAGAAGCAGCTGCAGCTGCCGCGGCAGCTGCCAATTCTACTACCGCAACCACTGGTGGTGAAGGGGGTTTAAAAACAGAAATATCTCGAAATCCTTCATCAGGCGAAATTATACCTATTAGCGGTCCACAAGCAAATCATAATGTTCGAAATGGAAGCAGTATGAATGGGCGTCCTGCCAATATACAACCACCAAGTGGGACGATACAAGACCAGTTTGTAACTCAAGGAACATTTTCCACTTTACAAAGACATAATTCTTATATTGCACCAAGCAGTCAACAATTCCCACAGATGTACAACATGTCTCAAACAGCAACAGTCCCACCACCACAACAAAATGGAAATAATACTTCATTACCACCAAGAGGAATGGGTGATTCATTTACACAAGCCGAGTTTCAACCAATACGATCGAATAGCATGCCAGCATATCCACCCGAGATACAAAATTATCAGGCCATTCAACAACAACAACAACAGCAACAATTACCACCTCAAGCATTACCTCCACAGCAACAACAACAACAACAACCACCACCACCCCAGCATCATAAATTCTATCAGAATGCAATGTTACCGAACACTATTCCACAACAAGTCTTTTATCAAGGTAAACCTCTGTCATCACAATCATCTAATGATAGCTCATGGTCAGTAGGTAATAACCCAAAGGAAAGTGATACATCTGCAAATTCAAGTACTGATGATCCAAAACAGATTCAACAACAACAACAAGAAGAAGACTCTAGTCCTCAAGGCGATAATAGTTATGCCGCACAATTATTGCGTTTTTTCAGTGATGATAATGCAGCAATTCCATATTTTATCATCTATCCACCTGTTGATTTTAATATCAATGAACCAATTGACGACGAGGGCCATACCCCGTTACATTGGGCAGCTTCAATTGGTAATTATGAAATGATCCATTTGTTGATGTCCAAAGGAGCAAATCCATTGGTGGTAAATAGCTTCGGATTGAACCCTTTATCTAAGCTCATGTCCTTTAATAATTGTTTTGAATTGAAAAGCTTTCCTAAAGTATTGGACGATTTGGAGTTGTGCTTAATAAATACAGATATAAATGGACGAACTCCATTACATTATTTATCTCAGTTTGCCAAAGCAAGAGGAAATGCAGATAGTTTAATGTACTATCTCAAGGTGATATTGAGCAAGTTAACCGTATTGTCCAATCAAAGTCAAGTTCGACAAATCGATTTGATGAAGAATGTGTTGAATCACCAAGATGTTCATGGAGATACTTGTCTACATATTGCTGTTAGAGCTGGTAGTGCTGATCTTGCCAAATTGATACTACAATATGGGGCACATGATGATATAGAGAATATCAACAGGGAAACAGCTAGACAACTAATAACGCAGTATAACCTTATACCTAATTACGCGAACGTTGGACCTACGCAAGCTACTTTACAACAACAATTACAGTTGGGAATGGGAAGTTATCAAAACTATAATGGCCAAGCTAATAATACATCACTTGTTCCTGGGTTAGCTACTCCCATCCAACCTTCATACACAAAGGCAGAAACTCCAGATACACAAAGAACTACTGTACAAGAGGATGATTTGGATGATGAAGATGGAAGTGTAGTTGCTAGAGTGGACAAGAGCCACATTGATGCTTTAACTGATAACAAAGAGAATATTTTCGTCGAGAAGCAATTTGAGAATATGTCAACTCCGGTTAACAAGAAGCAGAATGTTACAAATGCACACCAACCACTTGCTGTTATTTCAGAAGTAGATAGCTCAACAACCCCACCACAAGGACCAGTACAACCACCTCAATCCCAACAAGAACAGCAGGAACAACCAGCAGAAGTATCTACACTGGTTTCAGAGAGTGTCAAACCAAAACTCGAGTCTTCAAATGGTCCCCAACTGTATAATCCTAAACCACCAAAAATCAGTGATGAAGGAAGAATTATTGAAGAAGAAAAAGTTGAAGATAGTGATCCAAAACTTGCTATGACTGACTTATCATCAATGATTTCCGGTATGATCAATTCTTTGTCCGACACATACTCTGCCGAACTCAAAAAATTGGATGCAGAAAAGGAACACTTGCAACAATTGATCACTATCAAAGAGGATGAGAATGAAGAATTGTTGAGAAATTTCCAACGAATACTAACTAGCACGGGTATTCAAGAACCAAATGTCGATTCAATAGAACAAGGACAGGCATTGGTGGTTGAGACCATAGATATTTGTGAACGAACAATTTCTGAAAAGGAACAAGCATTGTTACGCGTATTACAACGTAACCAAGCATACAAGTTGGCAAAATTAGTTGAAGAGCAAGAATTGAAACATTTAGAAGAACATAATGAAGTTGATGACGGCAATGATTTAATCAATGAAAGCCAAGTTGATTATGCCATTGAATTGTCTGAGTTACAAATTCAAAGGAATCAATTGGTTAGTGATATTGCTAAGAGAACCAAATTATTTGGTATTGATGAGAAAATGTATAAATATAGAAAATTGCTTAGTTTAAGTTGTGGTGTCAGAGTTGAAGAAATCGATAGCTTGATAGATGGTATTGCTGAATCTTTAACTGAAGGTATGACATGAGTATGGACGTATGTAAAAGAAACAAACAATTGTAATATCAATTTTATTTAGAGTATCTGTATTAATCAATATTAGCATTTTTCTATATTAATTGTCTCGCAGTAACTGTAAGACGGATGTCGCCCTAATACCACACCAAAATTTGAAAACCAGAAACCGAGAAATGTTGATGATGACAAAAAAAAAAATAAATAAATAAATAACCAACACAATTGAAACAAAAACTCCTATCAACTGTAACTACTCATAAACTTAATAATAACAACAACAACGTAGGAGAAAGATGGCCAGAGAAAATCCATATAAAAGACAGAAATTAACATCAGGACAATTTCATAGAGCACAAGAGATTTGTTTATTTCCACCAACAAAATATGAAGAATCAAAAGCAACATTAAAAAATTTCCCACTGTCTATAGTAAATGGAGTTACAATGGAAGGAGGATTATATTCATTAACTTTTAAATCTATTAATTGTGCTACATATGTAGAAAATAATGAATTAATGAAAAGAGTATTTAAAGTGAATCCATTAGATTTACCTAAATTAAGTGATGTAAATTTGGAAAAATTGAACGAATCTTTGAAAAATGATATAAGCCAAGAAAATGAAAAAATAACTACAAAGACTGAAAATCAAGTAAGTGAATTACAAGACGATCTTCAATCTTCTATGGAAAATGGTCAAGGGTTAGATAAATTTAAGAAGAAATTTCAAGAACGTTTTGGAAATGGAATTTCTTTTACAAATGATGATTATAAAAGAGTTTCAAATGTGAAAATCCCTGATTTGAAAGTCGACAATATAGTAGATGTCAAATATCTAGATATTACTCCACATACAGTAGCTCAACAAATGGAAGCTAATGGTCCAGAAAAATCCGAATCTGAATCTGAATCCGAATCTGAATCCGAGTCTGAATCTGAATCTGAATCTGAGTCTGAATCTGAATCCAAGGATCAAGTTGAAAAACAACCAGAAAGTGCAACCAAAGAACAAGTTGAAGAACAACTGAAACCTAAAGAGCCAGAATCAGTTGAGAAAAAACTTGAAGAGGAAGAACAAACACTGAATGATATTGTATAGATAAACGTCCTTTGATTTTCTTTTCTTTTGTTAGAACTGTACTGTATAAATAAATAATGAATACTTAATCTTCAATTCCACCAATGACTGCACTCTTAACAATCAAATAATCACTGACACCGTATTTTGAACCTTCTCTTCCAAATCCAGATTCACCAATACCACCAAAAGGTAATGCTGCCTCAGAAATAGCACCTGTATTTACACCCATCATACCAACATTTAAAGCTTCCGCAATTTTGAAAATCTTGGTAATATCATTAGCAAAGAAATATCCAGCTAATCCAACTGTAGTATCATTAGCCATTTCTATAACTTCTTCATCAGTTTTAAATTTAATTAATGGAGCAACTGGACCAAAAGTTTCTTCATTAGCAATCAACATATCAGTAGTAACATCACCCAAAACAGTCAATTCATGGAAATTTTCTCCTAAATCTGGGCGTTTATTTCCTCCATATAAAATACTTGCACCTTTTGAAACAGCATCATCGATATGTTGTCTTACTTTCTTCATTGATCTATCATGAATAACTGGACCATAATTAACTTTTGGATCAAGACCATTACCTAAAACAACATCTTTGGTTAATTTTTCAACCAATTTGCGTGAAAATTCATCATATACTTTTTCATGAACAAAGATTCTATTTGCACAAACACAAGTTTGTCCACTTGATCTAAATTTTGATGCAATGGCACCAACAACAGCTTTATCAATATCCACATCTTCAAATACCATAAATGGTGCATTTCCACCTAATTCAAATGAAAGTTTTTTCAAAGTTGAAGCTGATTGTTCCATTAAAATTTTACCTACTGGAGTTGATCCTGTAAATGAAACTTTTTTAATTAATGGATGTTCAGTAATCAATTTACCAACACCTGCAGCATCGGAAGAAGGTAAAACATTAATCACACCTTTTGGAAAACCAGCTTCTTCAGCTAAAACAGCCAATGCAATAGCTGACAATGGAGTTTCTGAAGCTGGTTTGATAACTGTAGTACAACCTGTTGCTATTGCTGCACCTACTTTTCTTGTAATCATTGCTAAAGGAAAATTCCAAGGGGTCATTATACCACAAACACCAATAGGTTGTTTAATAGTCAATATTCTGTTTTTTCCATTTGCTGAAGGTATAATATCCCCATAAATACGTGGTGCTTCTTCTGAAAACCATTGGAAAAATGAAGCAGCGTATGAAACTTCACCTAATGCATCAACATAAGGTTTCCCATTTTCTAAAACAACAATTTTTGCCAAATCTTCTTTATTATCTATCATCAATTGGTATAATTTCAATAATAATTCTGATCTATGTCTACCTGTGGTATGTTTAAAACTATTAAATGCAATATTAGCAGCTTCAATTGCTGAATTAAAATCTTCTGATGCCATGGATTGGACTGTAGCTAGTTCACTTTCAGGTTTAGGAAATGTTGCGGGATTAGTTACTTTGAAAGTTTCCCCGGATGCACTGGTAACCCAATTACCATTGATATACGCATCTGTCTTGACAAGAGTAGGATTCTTAAGTGTTGCCAATACCTTTGACGATGATTCAATTGTGGAATAAAACCTTCTAGAAATCATCTTTTATAATATGGGTATTGAAGAATAGATGATATATATAATTTGAATTATTTTTGCTTGCTTTTAAATTTATATCTGTTCCAGGAGAGTCGTGGAGAGGGAGAATATGGCGGTCGGTACCCGAAACAGGCGCACTTGCAACAGAAGAAATGCTTCTATGCACAAAAAAAAATATAAATCGAGAATAGATCTCTATTTAGCGGATCACTTCCTAATTGGGGGGAGTAGTGTCTAGTGTTCTTTCAACATTTAACCTATTGATAGTCTTCTATTTAGGTTCAGCTGTTGTTTCTTTAGCACCATCTGTAGCAGCAGTCGTTAGTCTCTTTATCCTTTTATCAATCAATTTTTTAGGATTTAATGCAAAGAAACATTTTTTGTCAATTTCTTTACTTGCTTCACGATCAGCAATTTGTGATTGCTTTGCAATTCTAATACATCTTCTTATCGATTTCACTAACGTTTCATATTGTTCTCTGTTTGATGATTTTATTTTTGGTTGTACTTGTGCTTCGCCATCAGGTTTTTCATTTGATTGTGCATTAGACTTATCTTTTGATTCACCTTCTTGTTTTGGTTCCTCGTTTAGCTTTGGTTGTTCTTGTTCCTCTTTAATAGCGTCCAATTTAGGTTCATCTTTTAAAAACTTTCTTTTCAAGTATCTCTCCGTTATTCTTTTATCTGTGTCATACATAGCAGCAAGGGCAATTTGTGGAGGTGTAAATAAAAACGCCACATCACTAACCATGAAATATTTATTAAGCCATTCTTTAGCTTGATTATATAGATTACCCAAAGTATCAACGGAAACATCATAAATCACTTGTTCTGGATGTAATAATACTGCTTGGAAATCAAGGAAAAACCCATATAATGGACGAATTGGATGATGCACTAGTAATGTAAATTTCAAGCTTTGTAATACAATAAATTCCAAATCTAAAATATGAGATGCATCTGTTCCTTTCAATGCTTTAACATAAGATTCAATTGATATGAAATAATTTTCTGATTTTGCTGCCAAAAATATACATGTATACAATACATTCTTAGGATGAAATTCCATTACTGAATTCACTAGATAAAACTTTTTAAAAAATGATGCAGCTGTCAATCGTACTTGTGTAGGCATTTTGAAAAAATTACATGTTGTAGTTATATTCTGGATATAAAAATCAAGATATGTAGATTCTTCTTCAGGAGTTAAAATACTAATCATCGATTCATTCAATTCTTCAGGGTATTTTGCAAATACATCTGGGTTTTCCTGTTTTGCTTTATTATAAGCAATATCAAATTTTTCTTTAGAGACTTTAGCTCCCTTTTCATTTGCATGTCGTTTAGTGTCTTTAAGATTATCTGGAGTGAATGACCATAGTTCAAATTGTGTTGAGTTTCTGTACAAGTCATCATTGGTAATTCTTGGTTTCTTAACAGGTGGTTCTGTAACCTCAGGTGATTTAGATGGTTCAGACATATAAAAAAAGGGAATACACGCGTAATACTCGAATTATATGGACTAATTTCAAGTTATAAATGGATAGTATGTGTACTAAGACTTGGGAAGATCGGTTGGTGTCTTTAAAAGTAGAGATGAAAAATAAAAAATAAAAAAAAAAATTTGAACAGAAAATTTTATCGTAAATACTGTTCAAAGGTAGAAATGTCGTGTGAGACATTTTTTTTTGTACCTCCACATCTTACTTCTGATTAGTGATCTATTTGATTAGAAAGAGAATTATATTAGGATGTATAAATCTATACCCTATATAGATTAGAAACCAGAGAAGCGAAAACAAAAACCATTCTCAAGTTCATCTGTGAAACCATACAACAAGTAAAATAATAATAAAAAAAATCAAAACAGAACAATCCAAGTAACCTTAAAAGAAAAAACAAATCAAAAAAAAGTATAAGATATATATGTGACCGGTAAACCAAAAGCTAAACATTTGCAACTTGAAGTTGCGTTGAAAGAACAAATAAATCATAACATAATGATATAAGCAATAGCAAAGTTCAACATTACTAATGTTAAAAATACAAAACAACCCGAGATAGATTTACATTTCCATTTCTCCAGCCATTTCATCATCCTCATCCTCATCATTACTTGATAAACTGCCAACATCACTGAGCTCATCATCTTCGTCATCATCATTTTCATCTTCATCTTTGCCAATTACATCGGGATTATTCTTGGCATATTGTTGAACATATTTCTTTACTGTTTCATTATATCTTGATTCATCCTTTGTCATCAAGTTGGAGGCTTCAGTATTCAATGGATCACTTGGGTTAGCATATCTTAACAAATGAGGCAAGAAATTTTCAAAAATATTCAACAATCCAAACATAGGTGACCAAGTTTGATTTATAACATCAAGACAAACCGATCCCGATCCTTCATCAATATTTGGATGATAAATCTTATTAGTAAACCCGATAGAAGGCGATTTGATCGGATATTGATCCGGTAATTCTACCCTAATTTTCCAAACACCTCCTTCGTACGGTGTATCTGGAGGTCCGTGGAATATAACAAAAAACTGTTGAATCGAGTCATCAATCAAAGTCACGTCATGATCACTCATCATTAATTCCATAACATCTTTCTCGATACGTCTCTTTGGGGAAGTCATTATCGTCGTAAATTAGGGGGAGGTATTAATTTCAATAGAGGTAAAACAAAAACCGGTGTTGTCTATTAATAAGCGTGTGATAATAATAGATCTTGAGGTATGGTTGGGAAATAGGGAGATTATAATTTTTTCAATTCTTTATTCTTTCCTGGATCCTTTGGGTATCAATTATAAGGATTCAAGTTTCGTATTTCAACGTCGATAAATAGTAGTAGTAGTATATGTGAACAGTGTAATAACTAGTGGTGTTCTTTAATTCTTTCTAAGCAGATATAACAAAAAGGGGAGGGCGTTAAAAGAAGTAAGAAGAAAAAAAGATTGGGCAAGTATGTGGTGGTTGTCATTTATTTTTTTTTTTTTTCTTCTTCCCTTTTATGCTCATACTATTTCACACATTTGCTTATCGGAAACTGCGAGACGGTTACGCTTCCTGCTCCTTCTGATCTTCCCCCATATTCTTTTGTATAGTATCGGGATCAGAGGTGAGAGGATTTTATTGTTGGTGCTACAATGATGGCAACACCACCAGAAAAAAAAATACCATGTCGTATGTCGTTGCAACCTCGGCGTCAATTACAACCGATCAGTCAAACAACCATATATGCGCTAAAGTTGACAACCAAAAGTTCATCGTTCTACTCTTTAGTTAATTCAGACATAAATATTAATGCAACATATGCAGAATAATACAACTATGAATATAGCAAGGACCAGCGTGCCAACTATTTAAGCGTCTCTATCTATTTGACGTTGTCTCGATGACACCTTAATTATCTTCATAATCTTCATCGTCATCGTCAACTTCAAATCCACCAATTGCAGGTTTAGTACCTTTCTTTACCACTTCTAATGTCCACTTGTAACTCCATATAGGTTTACCTTCTTCTTTAACTATGCTCTTAGCCTTATAATCGCCTCTTAAAAAGGATCCGCCTGGAACACCGGATGGAGGGAAGGTTACTTCGTGAAAATCTTCATCATCACCATGTTTGTTCACCCACGCGTCTTCAATCATAGGCAAATTTCTATCATCTACAGGTATACCTTTTCTTTTTATTGTTTGATGGTAACTTAACACTCTCAATGGTCTCGCTTTCACTTTATATCTTATAGTCAATTTATAGATTGAATATTCAGGAATAATGAAATGGAGTTTTTGAGGCATTGGGTCCATAGTTCTAGAAAACTCCAACGGTTCATCAAAACCTACAATCTTAATAGACATAGATTCGAAACGGAGAAGATCATTTTCGAAACCCGCCAATATCTCTTCTCTCGTCTTCTTGCCTTTGGTTTGAGAACTTGTTTTCGGGGCACCGAGTGCATTTGATTTATCACTCATGCTTTCTCTTCAAAAAAAAAAGTGGGGTGAATGTAACAAACGAAGTGGAGTAAAAATTGAGTAAACAAACAGCGTAATTAAACAACGTAATTAAACAATTAGAGCAAACAGGGGAATAATGATAATTAAATATAAATAAAAAGAGAGGGGGGAATGTATGTCCTTATAAACAAAAAAAAAATTGTTGAATTCAGTTTAGTACGAAAATGAAAGACGGCAATGTTTATCCACATTAAATTGTATATTTCTCTAAACAGTAATAAAAAAATTTTTCTATTTAATAGCAGGGGCAGGGAAATATGCACCTAATTTTGTTTCCCCTTTTTGCTCAACAAAAAATGAAAATAAAATTTTCGAATTTCCATTTCCTTTGTAGCACAAATCACAAGTTTCACATTCGTTATTAGAATCAGAGTTTATTAGATTGCACTAGATCGCAACCCACTTAGATATCACGGATTTAAGCATCACACATACAATTACACACAACTCAACAAAAACTAGAAAAAATTAAGTATTGGCAACTTAGATATCATGTATGGTTCTATTCAATTAGCATGAGATGACTATTCCTGTGATTTGTTAATCACTATCGAATCGACGATCCTTCAACTAAAGTTTCTATTATCTCAATCACCCCAAAAAAAAAACAACAACATTACACGCTTTGCCTAATTCTCAATTTTCAATCAGCACCTCACCGTATGAACCCTTTGAAATCTCCTCTTTAACTTTTCTAATAACCTCTTGTTCTGGTTCATCCAAATCATTTATTTCTTCCTCAGTTAGTTTTTCTACTGATTGCAACAATTTCACATGGTCCAAAGTTAAGTCATTCAATGGCATTTGTTTCTTGTTCAACGTTAATTCTATCAATTCTTGATTTGTAGTATTGGATAATAGTCCAAGTTCAACTAATGCCAAACTTAATTGTGGGAATCTTTCTAATAACACTTTTGTACTTTTTGGATTTTTCTTACTCATGGTCTGGATTTCCTTCATGATTTGCAAAGCCGAGTTTGAATCTATATTAGATAGTATACTGGATATAACTTGTGATGCATTTTGATTTGGATGTATTTGGATCCCTAGTGGCAATGGAGGTAATTTGACACTTTCGGAATTATTCATATCATAATCAGTAATAAATGAACACTTTAGAAATCTACCATTTGGTAATGTCATATAATTCAAGTTTCTAACAGCAGATGCAGCTGTTTCATTGTCACCATAGTTTATAATAGCGTACCCTTTTGATTTTCCTGTCAACTCATCAAATAACAATTTGACGTCTAATACCGGACCAACAGAGCTTGCAATATCTCTCACTTGCTCTTCGGTATAATCAAACGGAAATTTTCCAATTGATACACATGTACTTGTACTGTCCATTTTCTAATTTGTTGATGATTAATGCAGTGAATGATACTTGATCGCTGCTCGTTCTGGTGATGGTTTGCCAAAAAAAAGAAAAAGTTGAAAAATATCTTTACACTCAATTTGTCTTCAGACAACAAAGAACCAGACAAAAAAAAAAAAAAAATCAAAACAGAAGGGAAAATTTTTCTAAACAAACGCTTCTGACAAATTATTAATTTCTTAGATTAGCATACACGTTTCTATTGTTTTTGTTGTTTCTTGTAATTAATATCTCACTTCATCATGGACACCAAGGAAATCAGATCCACAATTTCAAATCTTGAGAAGGCTGCAGATGATAAAACTATTTTGAAGTTGTTGAACATCTTGAATGATGGAGTTACCCCCACGGAGAAATTATTAAGGGAAACCAAAGTAGGTGTCACCGTAAACAAATATAGATCACACGATAACACCGAAATCAACACTTTAGTTAAGAAAATGATTAGAAACTGGAGAGACGCCGTCCAAGCCGAAAAGAATAACAAGAAGAAATTAGCTGCTGCATCTAGTTCTAACAATTCACCATCTTCACCAAGCAATGGTTCTTCAAAACCAGCTACATCTTCTACTACCACCAGTTCCAACTCCACCACCAGCACCACTAATAAAGCTGCACCACCAGCACCACCAGCTCGTACAGGTCCAAGAAATCCAAGAACTGATGGAGTCAATACCCAGATCTATGAAAATGATGTTAGAAATGCTTCAATCGGTGCATTGTATACATCCTTGGCAGTTGATCGTGAAGATTCTTCTCAGCACATTTTAAAAATTGCTACTGAAATTGAATCCGAGGTATTTAAAAGCCAATATCTGAGAGTTGATGATACTTATAGAAACAAATTAAGAAGTTTCACCATGAACCTTCGAAATAAAAAGAATCCTGAATTAAGAGAAAGAATCTTAACCAAGCAAATAACAGCTGCTGCATTTATTAAAATGACTCCTAAAGAAATGGCACCTGAAGCTTTGAAATTAGAGATTGAAAAATTACATAAACAAAACTTGTTTGACGCTCAAGGTGCTACTGAAAAGAGAGCAGTTACTGATAGATTTACTTGTGGTAAATGTAAACACAAGAAAGTTAGTTACTACCAAATGCAAACCAGATCTGCGGATGAACCATTGACTACTTTCTGTACCTGTGAAAACTGTGGTAACAGATGGAAATTTTCTTAGAGGAAAGCATTTTGTATCGGTGTTGTTTATATTTGATAATTTTTTTTATCCCCTTGTTCAATATTTGCTATTCGTTTCTGTATTATAATATAGTGAAATTTTCATAAAATTAATATTATACACACTCACACACACATTAAAATCTACCTATTAAACTTACAATAATGAGTTCTTAGCCAAGTATGAAAGTAAATCGACTTTGGTGACAATTTGGACTGGTTTCAATTCTTCATCAGTAATGATAGCATTGGAGTTAGTTTCAAAGAATTTGTTTAAAGTGGCCAAAGAAGTGTCCAAAGTAATTGGTTCGTAACCTCTCTTGGTGAATCCGGATTTCTTTGTAATGGTGAAAGATTTTTCGAAATCTTCTAATTTTCTGAAATCAATAATAATTGAATTGATAGAATTTGTCATTTGAATTTTTTTAGTAGACAAAGCTTTCAAAATTTGTGATAAAGTAATCAAACCAACCAATCTACCTGCTTTGTTCAAGACTGGCAATTGATCAAAACCATTAGATTGTAATAAATCAAAGGTCTTGTTAACAGTATCAGATAAAGTAACAGTGACAACTGGAGCTTTACCAGCAACCAAATCTCTAATAGTTTTATCAGCCAAAAATTCATCGGATTTGTTAGTAGATTTAGTTTCTTCAACTTCGAAACCATTAGAAACCATCCATTCATCATCAGCGAATTTAGACAAGTAAGATCTGATGGAATCTGGGAAAACAACAACGACAACATCATCTTCAGTTAAATCTTTGGCAACTTGTAAAGCAGCTTGTAAAGCAGAACCAGAAGAACCACCAACCAAGATACCTTCTTCTCTAATAATTCTTCTAGCCAATTTGAAAGATTCAGCATCTTCAGTTTTGATCCAATCATCAACATATTTTCTAGATAAAACATCTGGGATGAAATCGTAACCAATACCTTCAACCAAATAACCTTCAGTAGAATCGTTTAAAGATTCAGGTTGAGCCAAAATGGAACCCTTTGGATCAGCACCAGTAACACGAATCTTTGAGTTTTGTTCTTTCAAATATCTAGAAATACCAGTGATAGTACCACCAGTACCAGCACCAGCAACTAAATGAGTGATTTTTCCTTGAGTTTGTTCCCAAATTTCATAACCAGTACCATAATAATGAGCATCTGGATTAGCTTCATTACTATATTGATCCAAAATAACAGAATTTGGAATTTCTTTTTCTAATTTCTTAGCAACTCCAATATGAGATTCTGGAGCATCCCAAGCAGCTTCAGTTGGTGTTCTAATAATTTCAGCACCTAAAGCTTTTAAAACTGAAACTTTTTCATTAGACATTTTTTCAGGTAAAGTAATAATTGTTCTATAACCACGAACGGCACCAACTAAAGCTAAACCAATACCAGTATTACCGGAAGTTGGTTCAATCAATGTATAACCTGGCTTAATTCTACCTTGTTTTTCAGCTTCTAAAACCATATTCTTGGCAATTCTATCTTTAATAGATCCTCCAGCATTGAATAATTCAACTTTAGCATAAACCTTAGCTTTGATACCTAAAGATTGTGGGATTTTGTTCAATTTGACCAAAGGAGTGTTACCAATAAGATCTAAAATATCTTCTTTCAAAGCTGGTGGTGGAGTTTGAGTGGATGACATTATTATTAATTATTAACAATTATATTGTTGATGATGAGGATGTGATGATGGTTACTAAAGTGTGAAACTTTTTTTTTTTTATTTTGCATTTTTTTTTTTCGGGTCTCAGCTCATAAACGAAAATATGTGGCGCCAAGCGTTAACAGAACTCACCTTTTGACTGTGCGAAAGTTTCTTTTTTTTTTTTTTTGTTTTTTGGATTTGTAGTTTGTTGTCAATCTCGCATATCAATTGCCGTGTACACGTGAAATGGTAGCATTGTATTATATAAGTATCATGACTTGAGTAACTTCTCTGTATATTTTCTCTATAAACTAATAATCTTACATTTAATAACATCCGGGTCTTTACCAGGAATACCTTTCGTGAAATCAAAAACTGAAAATACCCCTCTTCTATCTAATGCAAATACTTTACCCCCATCTGAACTAAACACCACTGAAGCTGCTTCACTGAATCTTTCAGCATTGGCAACCTCTCCAAGTAATACCACAATTTTCTTGTTTTTAGAGTCTGTTGCACTGATTCTTCTTCCTGGGTAAAAATTAGGCAGTGAGACCAAATATAATCTACCATCTTTATCTAAAAAGACAATACCATCACCTCGTGGAGATATGGCTACTTGATAAATCAAGGAACCAATTTCTGTAATTTTCATAACTGTCTCTGCCGATACAATTCTCGAGTTCTCAACATCGTCATCAACACTGTTTACACTCTTAATTTCATTCCCGGACATATTAACTGGTGAATCAATTTGACAACCTTCTAAACGAATCAATATTGGTGGTCTATTATTTAACGCACAGGATGTTGAAATAACCATGTTTGAATTCATAATTCCAAATTTCACATCTGTGACTCCTTCTTTGGATAACATTAGATCATTTTCAGCCTCAGCACGTTCATCATAACTTGAACTTGATTGATTGGTATTATCCATGTTACGTCTCGACGTTTTATACATCAAATCCGACCAGATTAATCTTGGTTTACGATAATTATCACTTTGGTAAGAATCAGTCAATTTAATAATCAAGTACCTATACTCCCATGAAGTAGCTATGACTAGATGAGTCGATGAAGCATTGAAATTAATAATCTTAATCGGATCTCTTGTAGGAATAGTTATCGTAATAGGATCGACTGAATCTAGGTATAAATCTTCCAGCGTGATCAATCTATGGAGAATCACAAATGGTTGTTCTTTTCCAGAAATTCTTTCTTTAGCAGTGATACCACATGCAATCAATGAACTATTAGGAGATACTGCTATACATCTGATTGGGAAATTCGTAATATATGTATAAATTGGTTGTCCAAATTCATATGGTGAAGATTTGTTAACATTAAAGACCCTCATAACACCTCTAGTACCTGATATGATCAAATAATTTCTAGTCAATTTACAGTACATTTGATCCCATGAATTCAAAATTTTCTTAAAATCGGCATCACTTCCAGAAGTTGTGTTATCTTTAGCACCAAAATCATTTCTAATGACAATTTCTTTAATTGAACTTTCACCTGAATGTTTTAAATTATTTGCATCTTCACCAAATTCACCCGTCAGTTTACCACAACAAATCAATTGTGGTTTGATTTGAGATATATCCATATCACCCATGGGTACAATATATTCATATAATTCCCATTTCTTTTCATTGATAATAGCGAATTGGGTAACTTCAGTGCCCATGGCAAAATCGAGATATGTGTATATCGATGTACTTATTGCTCTTTTTATATACGAGTTTCCTGACAGTTTAAATGGAACCATTGATGAAAAATTTAATTTCAATTGTTGTGTTGGAAATGTAGTCAATTTACGATGAAATGGGAAACATTTAGTAAAATTAAATTCTTTTTGTTCACTTACACTTTCTAATAAATTGATCGCTAAATTAGTTGGATTATTCCTAATTGTTGATGTATCCAACTCTGTATTGGTTCTTTGAACAACAGACAATGCCGAATCCATTAAATACTTGTGATTTTGAGGTGAAATAGAAGTTGAATTCATCAGGAGAGAAGAAGGATAAGATCTATTCAATTCAACATTAGAAAGTTTCTTAGATATTTCAATTGGTTGAACATTGACATAATCGGAGATTGCCTGTTCTTTTGTCTTCCCTACCGGCTGTTGTTGTTGTTGTTGTTGTTGTTGTTGTGGGGTTGGGTGTTGTTCTTGTTGTTGTTGTTGACGAGATGGAGGTTGTAGTGGTTGAATAGGTTGTGATTGTGATGATGATCTTTTAACGTCTTTATTTTCCAATTGTTCTTCTTTAGCAATTTTATAAAATAAGCTAATTAAGTCGGTTGACTCACCAACTGGATTTGCTGTAGTACTAACATCATCAAATCCTCCTTTAAAACTCTTTTTTGACGACGATCTACGTCTTCTTTCCTGTTGTGGTTGATACTGTTGTGATTGCATATTTTGAATAATACTATAAAGTTCTCTTAATGGTTTGATAGGTGCCAATATGGAAACATTATCAGTATGACAATTGGGACATATCTTGGATAGATTTTGATTATTGAAAGTGTATTCCGAAGTTAAACATCCACATGTTAGAACAGATGCATCAAATATTAAGTTCATATCATGTCCAGGAAACCTAAGTAGGTCCTCTAACAGAGTTAGCTTATCCATTGGTATTGAGAGGGACTTGATCAAGAATATGAAAATTACCAAAGTTGTGACGTATGTATGTATGCATTTTTCTTTTTAGATCCCACTTTTTTTTTCCGTTCTTATCAAAATAAAAAAGAAGTTCCGAATTGGTGAAATCCGCAATCACTTCACCAACTTCCTCAGTGGAAACCATTAGAAAAGGTGGGGAATTACTCTGGAAACATTGGAATTATACGAATGATTTAAAATAAACATTAATTATTATATTCCACAACTAATAGTTTTATAAAAACAAGAACCTAAATGAACAAACTACTTAAATTGGACTATATACCACTATAATTCATCGCTTTTCTTATTCTCATCATCTCCTTCGTTCAAACTAAGACTGTTACCGTTATAGGTATCTATATGCTTTTTGTCTTTAGTAGGACTAGTAGATTCGATAGTTTCATCATGAATTGTTTGGATTCTTCTAGAAGATTGTAATCTTGGAGTGGCTGAACGACTTCCTAATTCTGAAACCAAGGAACGCTGTGCATGATGGCCATCAATAGATCCATGGGATGGAGTGAGGGGTCTCGATAAGTTTGAAATGACATCATCTTCCATATTGGAGTCAATATTAATCAATAAAGAAGAAGCCGATCTATTATCGAAAGTTAAAGCACCAGGAGCAACAATAGCACCAGTGCTACCTAAATCAAATTGCTGAGACTCCGAAAGAGGACCATGTCTATCATCAATATCATTACTTCCATCACGACTTAAATTATCAAGTCTATTATGGTCTTGAGTCAGCTGCTGTTGTTGATGTTGTTCTTGTTGTTCTTGTTGTTCTTGTTGTTCTTGTTGCTCTTGGAGGTAAGGCGCATCTACACCATAATCAAAAAACGAGTAAAGAGCACTTCCCACTTTTCCAACACCAGAAACAATACTTCTAAAGAAACCAGTTCTTTCACCACTTGCATTTGGAGTATTTGCATCTGCTTCGTCATATATTGGTTTCAAAATCAAGGCAGATCTAGGTGTTAACTCCAAGTCTTTCAAACTAACCGATTCTTGTTCCTCCAGATAAGTTACTCGGGGTAATACCGGACGATGGAAAACATATCCAGTTGGATGTAAATATGCAGAAGTTGCAAATGATGGCATACTACTTGCTGGCCTAATAATTTCAACCTCTGAATCTAGCCATTTTCGGACATCACTCAAAGTATCTTCAGCTTTAAACTCGTGTTTCATAGTGCTTCCATCAAACAACTTGATTGACAAGAAACAGGACAGAGTAGACGAGAAGGAGGATTTCGTAGTTGCTGGACTTGATTCCTTAAACTCGGCATTTGGATGACTGGATCCGGTAGCTAACACTTCTTCTTTCATTCTCAGTGCTCTTTCTCTTCTGTCTGCTTCTAGCAATGCTCTTAATCTCTTCTTTTCTTCTAATTTTTCACGTCTCATCTTTTCTACTTGCTCTTTATACTTTCTTGCTGATTCATCATGTTCGGATAATGATGTGCGTCTACTAATTTCTGGATTATTTACGGATGGAGGTGTAGGAACAACTTGTGGTTGGGTGTTCCTTGCAGTGGGTGTATTACTTTGCAGTGGAGTGTTAATCTCGTTATTTGGTGGTGGCCGTGAATCTGCTGCAGCGACGTTAGTATTGCCAAATGTATGAATCAACACTAAAAAATCATCCTTATCGGATTCAGTGGATACAATGCCTTCAATTTTCCCCAGATTCACAATATAAAAACTTGGAAGTTGCCCAACTTTGAACAATTGGGTGAAATAACCAAAATCAGGAGTGTTTTCAACCAACTTTAATAAAATAAAATTCCTTTGTAGTACTTGAGTAACTTCTTCATCGATAAATTTAGATAAAAATGCATTTCCATCTTCTTGTTCCTGATCAGGTTTTGTCAAGTATACAAACAATGGTTTCTGTTGCTGAACGGTTAAAGCAACTGCTTGTTGAACTGAACTACTGAATAGATGATCTATATAAGATGTCATTTTTTTGTAGTAGTTTGGTAGATGATATCCCTACTGAATGTTATAAATACCGGTGGTTGGAAGTTTTGCCCTCTTTCTGATCCTTTTTTTTTTTTTTACTTCCGTTTTGGTTGTAATATGGCTTGCCGTGAAAACGAGAAAAGTGAACACTTTATTTTAATTATTGTGTAAACTGCGTACAAAAAAAAAAAAACAAGAATGAATCGTGTGTAAGTTAAGTTAGAGTGTGACTGTTTGTGCGTGCATGCGTGCGTGCGCGTGTGATTATTTTCACTTCCTGAGAGCTTTCTTCTCTTGTGTTCTTTCTTTCTTTCTTTCTTAATTTTGTGCTGGGGAAAAAGAGGCGGTGGTGGTAACTGGCTTTAATGGAGAGTCCACAATAAGAAAGCTATTTCCTATTTCCGATATCCGAAGAGGGAAAATAGGAAATAATGATACGTTCTTCAATATATACACATCCTTCAAAGGAAATCAATTACTACACCTGTCACCAGATGAAGGCGATAACTAAACTAATTCCCTTATATTGATACTAATGAGGACCCCTTCGTACATATGCAGTACTGAAGAAAAAGAGAAAAATATAATAACCAAGTTAACGATCGTATGGTTAAAAATTCCCAGTTAAAATCACCTACACACACTATGGAATAAAGTATTCTATTTTTTGCTCTTTTTCTTCTTAGTCTTATCTTCGAAATTAATATAGGATACAGGTACCCCTTTGTCCTTCAACAAGTCAATGATTAACTTTCCATGAGGTCCCTGAACTTGTACATCATTATCAACAATTGTTGATGATCCAGAACATTTATTTCTCAATTCTTTAGCCAAGTTTTCAATTCTAATATCAAAGGTTTCAAAATTAGATACTCTTGTGACCACTTTTCTACCAATTTTCAATTCAGTGACAATTTGAATTTTTGGCGGAACACCTTTGTGAATTTCGGATTCGTTGATTCTATAATATGGTGAGAATTTAGTCAAGAAATTCTTAAACACTTGTTCACGAGTAGATTCTTCTTTGTTATATAATTCCACATCTGGTTTTACCTTTTTAGGATCAGCTGCAATTAAAGAAAACTTTTTGATATATGCTTCAACCATACTTCTAACTTGAGCAGCAGTGTAACATTCATCATATTCGTATTGAGCATCATTGAGTTTATTGAAAAATGCTCTGATATTCTTAGTTGGCTTATAAAGAGGGATAACTTTAAGGGTTGTAGCAGATGATGTATTGTTAGATTTCTGTTTTGGCTTAGCAGTAGATGCCGTGTTTGAAGAGGCTTCACCCTCGGCATTACTAACATTTCCTGTATTCAATTGAAGAATAGATAAATCTTCATCCTTACCTTTGACCTTAATAAGATTTTGTTTGGCCATTTCTTTAAGAAATTTAGATGCCTTTTTCCAACTAGTCTTTTTGATATTTAGACTTGATGGAACATTCTTATTGACATAAGACATAAATGTAGATGCAGGAGTTGGAAGTTCAATGTTCTTGATCGATTTAAGTGACTTGATGAATAATTGATCAATATCTTCTGTTGTCAATTCTGGGAACTCTTCTTGTTTCTTTGTTGGCGGAGGAGTATTCTGTTTTGAATTTGGAGATTCTTTTTCATCATCAGCTTTTGAATCTGCTACTTTAAGATCCTTTTTTTCTAATAAAGTATCATGTAAATGATGAACAATTTCTACAGCAACCCCTGATCTACCAACGACGTTATCAAATTGGGTCAAATTCAAGTTACAGTGACCAATTGCCGTAATTTTCTCTGGTTCATCATGACTAACAACACCAACAATTGCTCCTTTAGTTGCACGAGGATCAAATGGTGGAATTGTACCTGGCAACATCAAATCTGCACCCTTCGCCAATACTCCAAGAACATGAGGATGTGTTTTAATAGTCGGTAATATAGAAGGATACTTCATCAATGTAAAAATAGTAGGATAAATTTCAGAATCACGAGTATGAAACCAGACTGGAATTTCATTTTCATCGAAATATATAGAACCTGAAACCTTTTCAAAATTTACAAAAGATGCCTTCTTGATTGTCGGAGGGAGAATCTTTTCAATCTCTTCTTTAGGCAATTCATTGAGTGGGATTGAATATGTTTCTCCAATGATGGATAAAAGCTTCTTTCTTTCAGAGGTTTTGATATTGGAGGATGGTTTTATCTGTGCTGGTTTCTTAAACATTGATGTAGGACGGGAGAAGCTGATGATGAATAGAAGTCAATGTGAATCTAACATTTTTTTTTCTCGTAGTCTTTTCAACGTTTGCCAACGCATTGTCGCAATCCCTAATAAAGTTGCTGCAGAATTGAGTTTCAACAAGACAATAAGATTCATAAAAAAAATATACTTAGAATGGTGAGAATTCACTATGTATAATGAGTCATTATGAACTTCAATTGAATTTGTAGTACTAGTTGTTGAGATGTCTTGATCTATCAAAAATGATTCATGGAACACGTGATATCGGTAAAGATTCTTTATAGTTTGGAGAAAATGTGCCTCCAATCGACAAATCTAATCCAATAGATCATCAAACAACAAGCAAATATATGTATATATTGAATGGTTACAACTAATGAAACGGATGTTAACTATGTAAGTTGGACTATTGGATTAGAAATTGCAAAATTAACGCGATATGTGAAACAAACAAACAAACAAAAAAATAGAAAGACAGCAAGATAGTAGTTTTTTTTTTTCTACGCCAGAAAATTTTCCGTCCAATCTCATCTCATTGATTAATAACATCAAGAATATTTTTTTCAATTAATGTCAGCTACTAAGAAGATCAAATTAGATAAAATGGTTAAAATCTGTACACATTCCGGATCATTCCATGCTGATGAATCCCTTGCTGTTTATTTATTAAAATTATTACCTAAATTTTCCGAAGCTGAATTAGTTCGTTCAAGAAATCCAGAAGATTGGGAATCAAGTGATATTGTAGTTGATGTTAGTGGGAAATATGATGGAATTAAATATTTCGATCATCATCAACGTGAATTTAATACTACTTTTAATGATAAATATCAAACTAAATTATCTTCTGCTGGGTTAGTTTATAAACATTTTGGTAAAGATATTATTAAACATGTTTTGAAATGGGATGATAGTAATCCAAATGTTGAATTATTATATGATAAAATTTATAAAGAATTCATTGAAAGTTTGGATGCTAATGATAATGGTGTAAATAATTATCCAAAAGATATTTCTCCAAAATTTACTGATAAAAACATCACATTACCAGCAATTGTTTCTAAATTAAATCCAAGTTGGAATGAAAGTTGTACTGATGCCGATTTTGATCGTCAATTTTTGAAAAGTAGTGAATTAATGGGTACTGTTTTCTTAAATTTATTAGAAGGTTATGGTAATAGTTGGATTCCTGCTAAAACCATTGTTGCTAAAGCATTTGAAAATAGATTCAATGTTGATAAATCTGGTGAAATTTTAATCTTGGATCAATTCTGTCCATGGAAAGAACACTTGTACAATATTGAAAAAGAAAATAATGCTGAAGGTGAAATTAAATTTGTATTGTTTAAAGATTCTACCGGTAAATGGAGAGTCTCAACTGTTTCTGTTACTTCCACTTCATTTGAGTTCAGATTGGGACTTCCAGAAGAATTAAGAGGTTTAAGAGATGAAGAATTGAGTAAAGCTGCCGGTGTTGAAGGATGTATCTTTATTCATGCCGCTGGTTTCATTGGTGGTGCTCAAACTGAAGAAGCCGTTTTGAAATTAGCTAGAATGTCTTTAGATAAAAAGAACTAAAAAAAAAGAAGTGTACCTGGCGAATGATACTTTCATGCGCATATACACTTTATTATGTATAATTAAGTCTAATTCAAAAAAAAGAATAACCATAGTTTATTATTTATTTTATGTTGCACACTCTTTGATGATATAGTAATGCTTTTATTGTCTTCCCTTTGACAGGATTACAGTGTAAGGTAGTACGTGTAAATACCAATTACGAGTGCCACTCACAACTCCTCGCTGACGTGCCTACATATTTCGCAACACTCATGACTACTCTTTCTTTATAGTTCCTATACTTATTAAGCCAATATAAGGTTTCAAACCTAGGTAAAGTTCCTCTTTGGGGAATTCTTATCCTTACATATAGTAAATATTATAATTGTTAAAAGACAGGAGGGAATGCCAATTGTGTGCAGGGCGAAAACGAAAATTCTCATTTCTGGATGCCCTGAATCTGAATTAAGATAACGCAATATAACAAAAAAAAAAAAAATGATATCCGATTTCTTGCACGGCAATCCCGAAGGAATATTGGGCAATTGGACAAAGAGGTACAATCGCTTATCAATCAATTAATTTTCATTTCATTCCAACCAATAAACATGTAATAGATATTCTTAATAAACGACACGGGTATGTCAGAAAGGGGACGATTCTTTTTTTGACATATTATTCATTGGTGTAATATTTCTTGTAACTTGAATGTTCTTGGCCAACTGGACAAAACGGGAAATGCTTGTTAAACGGGTAGAAATTAAATTGTAGAACCACCAGTGTAATTGTCCCAGAAAGCATTCACTAATGGAGATCTGGATTTGACATACAACGGGATTCATCTCCCCCATCTCACATAATCTAATCTAAAGACCAGTATATAATTTTTACTATCTTTTTTTTTTGCTCATTGCTTTGCTTTTTCTGAAGTTTCACGTGATGTTTTGTGTAGGATAGTACTGCATGAATAGGTGGAGAGTATTGTGTGTGTATGTGAAAAAAAAAACCAATTTTGCGCTTATATAAAATAATGCATTTGATTACTTTTTGTAAACGAAGTTGTGTCGGGAATATAGTTCCGCAATATAACAATGTGGATTTGCTATCAAATAATCAAAACTGTTACAGAACAATTAAAACTCGGGTTGTTGGAGTATGGGAAAAGTTTTGATACAAACAAAAATTGGAGAAGATGGAAATGGATACTTTATTTAGAATAATTTCCGCTAATACACTCTATTGTTCTGTACTAATATACCCATTTCAAGATAGTCAATGCGAACCAGAACAATATGACACTGTTGAAAATGTAATATTTCATTTATGAAAAAGGCTTATTAGAAAAACGCAAATTCATTACATGCCTGAGACGCAAAGCATCAGAAAAAAAAAAAAATCTTGAAAACCTTCAATGCCGAAATTATTCGCCAATTTATGAGCAATTTCGGCGGAAATGTGCGTGAACATGAAATAGTCTTACCTCATGATTTTCAAGTTGTAATAGTATCTCGTCATTTGATAGGCAAATAGTTCACGATGTCATCGATAATATTTTAACGTAAAATATAATCTACAGTTGAATTATAGTCAGTATCTTGAAAATCACTAATAACAGCAAAGCCCATTCTGTTTTCCAAAAAGAACAAAAACCAAATTGCGCTTTTGAAATTGAAATTACACAAACATACAAATAATAAGAAAAAATAAAAGCAATATGGTGCGCAAGCTTTTGTACAATATCGATTATCTGTGTGGCACACGACCGCCGTATGATTTTTAGATTTTTTTTTTTTTTTTCCTTTGAGCAAATCTTTGAGAATATTTATTTAAGTGACATTATATTCCAGTATTTCTACACAAAGTAGAAAAGAAAAAAAAAATCATATAGATTTTTCCTTTCACATTTTCATCTAAAAAGGATTTATTTATTTATATATTAGTATTATGGAAATCCTCTAATATCATAGTTCATTATTCATTGTCATAATTTTTAATTCGTCATGAAAGAGGAAAAAGAAGAAAATCATTTACAACTACAACCAAATAGTGTATTAAACATCGCGGAAGATCAAAGAGTTGGATTAAAAGTACGAAATTTAACAGTATCCGTTAAATCCCAACAACGAAAAATTCAAGATACTGAATCAAATGAACAAATAATTTCAAATATTCTAGACAATGTATCATTTGATTTAAAATGTGGTCAATTAATGGCAATTATGGGTGGTTCAGGAAGTGGGAAAACTACGTTATTAAATACATTATCTCAAAGAACAAATATAACCAATAAGAATTTACAATTTTCAGGTACAATAAATTATGAGACTTCATTACTGAATACTACAAATGGTCATATAAAACATGCTTATATGTTACAAACAGATATTTTTTTACCTGGTTTAACATTATGGGAAACATTATCAACACAAGCTGATTTAAGATTACCTCCACATGTTAGCAAGACAGAAAAAATCGAATTAATAGAATATATATTGGATGTATTGGAGTTATCTAGACTTCGAAATACTCAAGTATCTTCATTTGGAACTCATGGATCAACATTATCTGGAGGCGAACAGAGAAGAGTTTCTTTGGCTATTCGATTATTATCAAAACCAGCAATTTTATTCCTAGATGAACCAACTACTGGATTAGATACTTCTTCATCATTGAAATTAATTCATGTATTGAAAAAATTAGCATCTCCTGAATATGGTATTACTATTATATTATCAATTCATCAACCAAGACCAGAAATCACAGAATTGTTTGATAAAATTTGTTTATTGACTAGAGGTGGAAGATTAGTTTATTTTGGTAATTTATCTGATGCAGATAGTTATTTTAACAATATTGATTTCTTGAAACAAGAAGAACAAGATCATTCCAAGAATATACTTGAATATATTATGGATTTATCAGTTAAGGATACTACTTCAAAAGAAAAAGAACTACAAACAGTAGAGAGAATTAATAAATTAGTCGGGACTTGGAAGTCTACTCATCCATTTACTTCAGAAATTGAAAATGATAATAATGGTGGTCGATTTCATAAGAACTTAAAATTATTCACTAAACCTAAATCAGATAAGATTTCATTTATAAGAGAAATAACTGTTCTTACTGAACGTACATTTAAATTAACATATCGTGATTATAAAGCTTTAACTGTGTTTAATGTTGGTTCAATTATTCTTGCTATCACAATTGGATGGATGTTTTATAGACCTAAACATGATTTAGCAGGGATAAGATCATTAATATCTACTTTGTATGTTGCATTAGAGGTTGTCGGGTTTGTTCCTATGTATATTGAAATTGAAAGATTATGGACAACAGATGGGGTTTTCTTTTATAGAGAATATCTGGAAGGACAAACAAGTATATCTGGTTTTTTAATATCAAGAAGATTGGGTAAATTATTTTTGGAAGATATTCCTATGACTTTATTGTTTTCTGTTATAACCTATTTCATGTGGGGATTACAAACTAGCAATGGTAGTCATTTTGGTATTTATTTTACTATTATTCTTTTAATTGAATTTTGTTGTATGAATGTTGCTATGCTTGCATTTGCAATTGCTCCAGATTTTTCCATTTCTTCATTGATTATAAATATTACGTATCAAATTCAAAATAATGCATGTGGTTATTTTGTTAATGCTGCCACTATGCCAGTATATGTTAGATGGACAAAATACTTGGCTTATTTCTGGTATTCTTTTGGTGCATTAATGAATAATCAATTTCATGGATGGTTTGGTGATTGTCCTTATGAAGGTGGATTTAGTAATCCTCAATGTGAAGAGTACACCGGTAGTTATCAAATTAAATTACTTGGATTCCCAACTGGATGGATAGGTGCACCAATTGGATATTTATGTATCTGGGTCGTGGGATATTTAGTTGTCGCAGCAGTGATTTTTAAATTCAAATCACATGACATAGGTATGGCAAAAATCAAAAAGAACAAAATTGGTGGTGAGGAAGAAGAAGAAGATGAACATCAAAAGAAAGATAAAAACACCGATGGAGAAAAGGATTATATCACCGATAAACATGATTTGGAAATTAATATCAATGACATTTACTTGGAGATTAGAAACAAGAGTTTCTTTGGGAAAGTCACATCTACAAAGACATTATTAGATAATATCAGTGCTACTTTTGAAGCAAATAAAGTTAATGTAATCATGGGTCCATCCGGGAGTGGTAAAACAACTTTGTTGAATTATTTATCCAATAGACTTTCACGTACTGTTAATTTTGTATCAAGAGGATCAATTAAAATCAATGGATGTCAAGAAATCAGTAGAAAAGAGCTTGCTAATGTTTCAGCATATGTTACCCAACATGATAATGCATTAATTGATGTATTGACAGTTAGAGAAACTTTATATTATCAAGCAAAACTCAGATTACCGTTGGATCAACATCATAATATTCCAGTTATAATTAATAAATTAATTAGACAAACGGGATTGGTGGATTGTGCTGATACTTTGGTTGGATCAGAATATACTAAAGGTATAAGCGGTGGTGAAAAGAGAAGACTTTCTATTGCGGTACAATTATTAAGTAGACCAAAAGTTTTATTCCTTGATGAGCCCACATCTGGGTTAGATTCTGCTACTGCAGAAACTATATTATTGTTGTTAGATGATTTAGCTAAAGAGAATAATACTACTGTTATTTTAACTATTCATCAACCTAGTGAAAGCATGTTTTATAGATTTGGATCATTGTTATTATTGGGGACTGGTGGTAAAGTCATCTACGATGGATGTTCTCAAGGTATTGTTGATTATTTAAACCATTTAGGATATACCAATCCAAAGGGGAATAACATTGCTGATTATATTTTAGATTTGGTCTCCAAAGGTTTAGAAGAAGACAAACAACAACTGGATAAAAGAATTGATGATTTGATTTGTCATTGGAAGAAAAGTGGGTATAAGATCAATCAAGGTAGTATTGTCACGTATCTGGAAGAGGTTATTGATCTTCCACAATATTATTATAAAAGATTACCTATATTTGTTACTTTCCCAACCATTGTGAAACGTCAGTTATTAACTTCTTATCGTTGTAAAGATGTTGTTATTAATCGTGCCGGTCAAACTATTTTCTTAGCCATTGTACATACATTATATTTCACCCCATTAAGAAATTCCCAAGATGGTATTAGTAACAGATTAGGGTTGGTTCAAGAAGTGCTCAATTTGTATTTTGCAGGGTTGATCAATAACATCACTTTGTATCCATATGAAAGAGATTTATTTTATCAAGAATATCGTGATGGAATCTATGGAGTTTCTGAATTTGGATTATCATATTTCATAAATGAATTACCTACAGAAATCATTCCATGTTTGATATTTTCTGCTTTAATTGTCTTTGCTGTTGGATTACCAAGAACAGCCGGGATGTTTTTTGCCATGTTTGGTGCGGGATTTATATCCATTAATTGTGGTGAATCATTGGGTATTTTTGTTAATAGTCTTTTCAATCATCTTGGAGTTGCAACGAATGTTTTAACTACTTTGGTGGTATTGGCTATTTTCATGGGTGGTACTATGTCATTACACATGCCACATTTTTTCAAAGCATGGAATTATCTTAATCCAATGAAATATGCTGTTGCTATTTGTACAAATTTAGGATTTAAGGATCAAAATTTTAGTTGTCCAGCAGAAACATGTTTATTGAATACTGGTGAAGATGTGTTGAAATATTATAATTTACAACAAAATATGGGTGGTATGATTGGTGGTTTAATTGCGTGTTTTGTAATTTATAGAGCAATTGCCATCGCTTCCATCTATGTAAGAGTTAAATGGTTTTAAATAGAGTAATAAATAAGACAAAGTCTATTGTGTAAACATCATGACGACTATATAGCATATTTGCAACAGGTGAAACGATACACGTGATAAATTGTTTGAAAAAACTCCACACTACAAAGGAAACGACGCGTTTTATTTGTTTATTATTAAGTGGAAGGATATCGGTCGGAGTACAGACAACCAAAAAAAAATAAACAATCAATTAATTAATGATTGATAAGAAATTATGCATATCCACATTGTTCTTCATCCTGCAACCAACTAACCAAAAACAAAATACAAAACAGAATATAATTTGAATATCAAATAATTAATCATCAAACGTACTATATCAGAAAATAACAACATGAACACGGACACGTAGAGTAAGGACAACAAAAGAGGCAAATAGTAAACATGAAAATTTTAACAGGAGCTATTGTTTAGTTTATGGGTTTAGTTCACGTGTTTTATCATGATTTTGTGTGTGGATGAATATTGTGTACGTATGAGGGAAAGTGTGGGCTTAAAATGTGGGCAGATGATGGGGGTGAGGATAAAGGAATCAAGATACATCACCGAGATTGGAAGGCGTATATTCTTGATCTACTGTACATACATTGAAAGAAAATTAGACAACCTTTCATTGTTGTTGTCAGGAGATACAACCAATTTTCCTGTGGCAGCAAATGATTAATAGAAAAAAAAAAAGGGGGGAAGGAAAAGCAAAAAAAAAAGATAAAGATAACATAATCAGCAATACAACGAAGGAAAGGAGAAAAAATGGAACAGCAGGGAAAGCTGAGCAAGTGATGAAATATATTGCAAGATGTAAGTTGGGGGATACCAATTCAGTTGTTGAAGGTTAACACGATCAGTAATCATTCTCTGGCATTGATAGTGATTTGTCCAGTAGCGTGTGTAATCTATTTGATGAGGAGGGGGGCGGGAGAGGGGGAGGAGGAGGTGCGCTAAGAAATTAAGCTGCATGAAGATTAAGACTCGTACAAATTTTTGTGTTATCCACTGCACTACGTAAAGAGGGAGATAATAAAAATTTATTTATAAACAATCCTTAAATTTTATTACTATTATTATTATTATTATTATTATACTCTTGCTGTGTGCTCCCAAAGAATAAAAGCAACAGGGTAAAAAGAAAAAAAGAAAGTGGGAAATTTAACCACACTCACACGTACACATGTACACTAATAATTAACACACTCACACAGAGAGAGGCACACACACACACACACACCATAATATCCGAATTGATTTAATTTTCTCAAGTTTGCTTTCACTTTTGATTATCAACACTTTTTCTGTTTTGTTTTTTTTTATTTTATTTTTTCATTTTCTTTTTTTCTTCTTCTTTATCATCAAGGAATCAAAAAAAGAATTAATTTTGCTTTATTTATAATCATCATAATATAATGACCTTGTATACTTATACAATTAGATGGTATGTTCACTAATACTCATTCAGTTCAATTCAATTCATTTCAAAGTGTTATTGCTGCCGATTGATTTTGTGATAAAGGGAGTGAAAGTGTGAGAAAGAGAGAAAGAAAAAGGGGGTGGACCATGAGAAAATCAAAGCAAATTTATCAAACCATTCCTGCAAGTTTGCTTTGATTTACAATTTGATCTCGTGATCGTATCATTTCTAATGACTATGATTCCAGATGATCCATCCTTTGATTCTTATGGTCCATCTCTCTCTCTCTACTTCGGAATTCGTTAAAAACGACAAAAAAAAAGTAAATATATTGAAACACGCAAAATACGGGCTCTATCACTTTTTAATTAGTCAGATTTACTAACTTTTATTTTTTCATGATAGGCCATTGACAGATGAAAATATTCATTCCATCCAGATAACTGGGAATTTTGATAATTGGTCAAGATCATTACCAACTATTAAATCTACTAAAGAATATTTGCAACAGATAAAATTAGATCACAAAGAAGATGTGGTATTTAAGTTTATTATTAATGACGATCAATGGATTGTGAATGATCAATTCAAAGTCACTCATGATGAACATGGCAATTCAAATAATATTATTTATGCTGATGAGCTTGTCGAAGAATCTGAAGAAGTTCCTGCTGAAAAAGAAAAAGATATTCCAATTGCACACAAAAAAGAACTGGCCCCAGTTGAAGACAAGGAACAAAAAGAAGAAGAGGAACAAACTCCAATTGAAGAAGAAACTCCGGTGGTCAACAAGGAGATTGCTGATGTTGAAAAGGATGTTTTAAAATCCGAAGAAAAGGAATTGAAGGAAGAAATCCCTGAAGCTGAAGAAGAACCAATTGCAGACGAAGAACCTGTTGTGCCAAAAGAAGAACCAATTGTAGATGAAGAACCAGTTGAAAAACCAATTGAAGAGAGCAAAGTTCCTTCTGATGAAGATATTTTTGTACCTCCAGTCTCAACTAAGGAAGAAAAGGAAGCCGAAACAAAATCTGCGAAAGAGGATTATGAAGAAAGAGGTTTTAGAATTGGTGTACCAAAGGATAAGTTTGTTGAAGAATTCCAACAGGAACAAGAAGTTCAAGCAGACGACTTTGTCGGTAAAAATTCTAAAGGTGTTTCCGATGATTATATGCCAGAACCTCAAATTGAAGAGGAAGAACCTCCTGAAGAGTTGGTTGCAGAAGATATTCCTAAAGATACTGTTGTTGTGAATGAAGAACATGAAAGTTTTGTTGAACCTGATGTTTCCCTGAAATCACCATCCAAATCAATAACTACCGAGGATGATATTATCTCCGATATTGATACTACTAAAACTAATGAAGATCTTCCTCATCCATCATCACAACAACAGCAGCAGCCATTGACTCAAGTATTAACTTCATCTTCATCATTTGCAGCAATTTCTTCTCCACCACTGTCTTCTGATTATGAACATCTTGAAAAAGATGGACAAAGAGAATTTGAAGATGATGATGATGAGACTGATTATAATACTGCTTCCAACTCTGGAATTTCTACTGAAAAGAAGGAAAATCCATTAGTTGCCGCTTACCAAGAAAACAAACCTGTTAAGCCAGTATTATTGACACATGTTTCTGAAACTACTATTGATGCCAGTGGTGGCGGTACTAGTAATGGAGGTGATACTACTCCTAAACTTCCTGGCCATTATCCAGTTAGCCCCGAACATAAATCTTCATCTACTACTTCATTATCATCTAATAATAATGTAACTCAAAAGGAATCAACATATACTGGAAAACGTGAAAGTTTGATTTCTAGATTTAAGAGTTTATTTAGATAATTATTATTATTATTACTGTACTGTACTGTTGTTCTTGTTATTATTATCATTACTTCTTCTTCTACTACTTCTACTACTTCTACTACTTCTACTACTTCTTCTACTACTTCTACTACTTCTTCTACTACTTCTTCTACTTCTTTTATATTTTTTTTTTGGAAATTTTTGTATCACACCTCAAGTACTTAATTGTTTAATACATAGGGGATGTATTTTGATTAATTGTGGGAGTGTGGCCTATTATAAATCTCTATCAATTCATTCATCATCATCTTTTTTCTATTATCGCTAATTTTTGTTTTATACTGTGTTTAATTTTATATATAGTTTATAATTCTTTTTTTCTTTTATTATTAGTAGTAACTATACACCTCTAATTAATTAATTCTTCTTCTTTTTCTTCTTGTTCTTCTTTTTACTTGATGAAGAAGTACCAGCATTTGCAGTTGAAGCAGAACCTGGTTTAGTTTCATCTAATTTATTAACATTACTTGAATCAACATCCATTGGAACAGGGGTATTTTCCAAACTTTGATTATTATTAGTAGTATTATCTTCATATTTAACATTTGTCATTAAACTAGCTAATCCTAAAACATGTAAATTATCATTATTTAAACCTTTTGGACCAATAAAATTTAATAATTTTGATAATTCTTTGGATTTTTTAGTATTATATTTAATACATTTACCTGAATTAGGTTCATAAAGTTTAAAATTAACTCCATGTGTAGATGATGTTTTTGATGACGATGATGGTTTTGAAGTGGAGGAGGTGGAGGAGGTTGATTTCTTTTTGGAAAGATTTGTATATGTTATACTTAATGTTGTTGTTGTTGGATAATTTAATAATAAATCAGTTGACAATTCTATAAATTTATCTATGGATGATACCGTCGGCATTGTATTTAATAATGATATATTGATGGATTTATGAACTCAATTGTTGGTTCTTTTGACATTGGAAAGAATTTTTCTTCTATTTTTTTTTTCTGGTTGACAAAAATCTGGATTGTTGGTTTTTTGATACTTGGTAAAGTCGTGTGAGATGGACAAGATCAATTTTTTTTTTTTCTATTTGAAAATTTAAGCAACAACTTGTATGACAACCAAGTAATTCAGAGTATGATCATCAACGTAGATCAGTATTAATCTATAATTTTTATTTATATTAAATATTACACTATATCAAACAAATCAATGATGCCAAACAAAATAAATCAATAATCAAATGTCAATAACAGTATGTCTTTATGATATTCAAAATAACACTTGACAAAAACTAAAATTTATCTATATCTAACAGCTGGACCTTTTTCTCTTCTAGCTTGTAATTTTTGTTGACGTTTACTGGTAGCAGTGTTGCCACTAGCACCTCTTTGATCTTGTTCAGCTTCTTGAGCAGTAGGGTTCTTATTCTTTTTAATAAATGGTAAGATGAATCCACTTAATTTATAAATAGCAAAACCAGGAATAACTAAATATAAATACCATACTTTATTAGTACCAAATATAATCATTAAAATATCCAAAAACCAAGTAATATAAATAACATCAAAATAATATTCATATAAACTTCCTTTTAATCTAATATCTTCTCCACTTTTAACCAAGTGTTTTTTACCATTATTATCTTTGTCATATTTAGGACGACCATTTGATTCTAATGAATTATGTAAAAAGAAACTAGGTAATGACCAAAATAACCATGGTTTAAAACTTGATGGACGATGGAACTTAAAAATTACCAATGCAGCAAAAAAGTTTATTATTGATGCAATTATTGATAATTGATTTAATATAGAAACATTAGAAGCTGCTAATTTCTTAGCTGATGCAGATGCCATTATTATTAATACCTAGTGGTTGAAGAGGGTTTGTTGTTGATCTGGTAATAAGAAGAATGATATTCAATTTAGTAGTAATTTTTTTTTTTATTTTATTTTTTTTTTGGTGATTGTTTTGTTTGTTGAAATATTTAAAGTTTTTTTTTTATTATTATTATTCCTGGTACTACTGAATGGCGCGAAAATGGAATGAATTTCTACCACGAGATTTAGTGCCAGGATTCAATATTGCGATATCAGCAGATGAGTGAGAAATAAGGCCACCTATACATGCATTACACAATAAATATTCAACTAATCATCATCAGTTGATTACTCCTTTATTCAATCACTGAATTCAGAAAAGGATCGATTCATTATGACATACCCGAAATAACTAATGAGCCTCTGCTCTTTTGAAACGCAAGACAACATTACTAGAGGTAAAAATTGGCTGATAATATTAGATGAAATATAATAAGACACACAAAACATGACGGAAGATCTAATTCTTTTATAAAACCACCACAGATGACGATAACTATAATATTTTTGAAAAAGCGGAGAGCTGATAGCACTTCGCGGAATAATCTCTTGGATGAAGATAATGGCAGATTATATGATCTAATACTTATGTCAATTTTGATCCTTTTAGGTTGGTAATTTATAATATCATGGTCCTTATTGTCTCAACAAAATATCTCAGAACACATTAAACATATGTTTGACTTTTTGACTGGAATATGAGGTATACCCCCCTCCATGAATATTATCAAGACCAAAGTATATTCAAATAGTAGGGAATACTAGACACGGGGTCATGGTTTAAAATTACGCAACACTGAAAATAAACGTGGCTCTTACTATACTTTAATGTCACTACAAGAGTATTTTCTGGGGACAGTCAGCATTGGTGGGAGTCATCTAATGTCGAGTATGTGGATGAACAACTTATCAATGATTCTGCGTGTAGTAAAGTACTAATTAGTCAATTGAATTAGCCTCAATAACTACTTCATCTCAAGTTTCCATAGGTACAAATTCATCTGTTATCGCCGCTCATGGATTAGTAATTCAAGCCTATGATTTATTGTTTAAAATTTACATGACGTTTTATATTTTGACTTTATTGTTGAACTTTCAAAGCAATTGCAAAAAAAAAAATTTAGTGACCATTTTTTGATTCTTGTTTTTATTGTTTTTTTTTTCTTCGGAATTATTCCCCAAAAAAATGCAAATGTCCCTTGCCAATGTTCCTAACCTTAAATTTGATTGAACCTTTTATTTAGACTACATCGTATAAGAAATATGTAACATTTAAATTAAGAGACCCCCGAGTAATTAGAATGAACTATACTCCCCTCTCTCATTTGAAACATAATCATATCATGAATATTTGACTTTGTTTTATACCCGTCAATAGAGTAGTAAGTCATTTCAATTGAGTATCCAAGGGTTCCAAGGATAAAGGAAATAATAATCCAAAGAAAAAAGACAAATAACCTTTGATTAATGACGATAATAATTCAAGAGGGAGCAGAAGCTTGAATATTGAATGATAAAGTGGAGATTTATTAACATAAACAATACAAACGTAATTATGTGTGATCATCTGCAAATGTTGAATAATTTTTTTAAGTCTTTTCTTTTTCTCAAAACAAGTTTATTGTCTTTAGCAGGATTAATTGGCTATTGTGATCCTTTTTTTTTTGCATCCACTCACATGTTTGGGAATAAAATTATAATCATTCTTAAAAAAAAAATATTCTTTACTAGGATTTGTTAACTGTTTGTTTGTTTTCATCCCCTTCTCTTTGTCATTTAAGTTTCCTTTAACAAGAGAAAAAGGGAATAACTAATCAAAATATAATGTAAAATTGCTAATCCCTTGAATTGTCATTTAATCTTTCTCTATAAATATTCCTATTCTTCTACCCCTATTTTTTTTCTCCTATTTTCTTGCTTTTATAAATTTCTATTACCAATTCATATTCAATTATTCCAAAAATTCCGTGTTCCCTGTTTTGTATCTTTGATTAATCCTGATAGGTTTATTTTGCAATCAAAAAAAAAAAAAAAGAAAAAATAAGAGCTACCTTTTTTCTATATCATTTTTCTGATTTGATTCACAGAATTTCTTTTCAATAATGACTACAACAATTTATTCATCTTCAGAAGCAGTTCCAGTATTTGCTGAAATTTTTAAACGTAATAGAGCAATTGACGTTAATCCACCTAATCCTGCTGTTACTTTTCATCTTACTGATCATGGTAGTAGTTGGTTATGGGCTGCATTTTCATTATTTGCTTTATTTGCAGTTATTCATGTTTTAATTTATGCTTTTACGAGTGCAAGAAAATCAGGTTTGAAAAAAGCATTGTTGATTATTCCTTTATTTACTAATGCAATTTTTGCATTTGCTTATTATACTTATGCTTCAAACCTTGGTTATACTTGGATTCCTGCTCAATTCCATCATATTGGTTCTGGTAATAGACAAATTTTTTACTGTAAATTTATTGCTTGGTTTTTGGGTTGGCCATTAGTTTTGGCAATTTTTCAAATTGTTACAAATACAAGTTTTAGTCATGTTGATGAAAATGATAATTTATTTAAAAAATTCCTTTCATTATTTGAACTGTTGTTTGCTAGAGTTTTGGCTATTGAGGTTTTTGTCTTGGGTTTATTGATTGGTGCTTTGATTGAATCTTCTTACAAATGGGGTTATTTTACTTTTGCCGTTGTTTTCCAATTGTTTGTCATGTACTTGGTTGCTAAAGACGTTTTTTCTTCATTTGGCTCATCAACTCATTCAAGTTTGGGAAATTTACTCATAATTGCATTTTTCATTGTTTGGATATTGTACCCAATCTGTTGGGGTTTATCTGAAGGTGGTAATGTCATTCAACCAGATTCCGAAGCTGTATTCTATGGTATTTTGGATTTGATTACATTTGGTATAATTCCAATTATTTTAACTTGGCTCGCAATTAAGAATGTTGATGAAGATTTCTTTTCTAAAGTCTGGCATACAAGTAGACCAGGTTCTACTCGTGGTCATGATGTTGATGCCCCACATCCAAATGATTCCCTTCCAGACGCTGAAAAAACCGTTGGTGAAACTCCAAGACATTCTGGTGATACTGCTGTTGCTCCATCTGGTGTTCCTGAACAAACTGCCAATGATGCTGAACGTGCCGCCGATCGTGCTGCTGATCGTGCTGTTGATGATACTGCCGCTGCTGCAAACGCTGCACGTACTTAGAGTAAGGGTGAACTAACAATGGACAGTAATACTATTTGACTAATGTTTTAATTTTTAATGTATTCTCTTAATAATTAATTAGTTTTTGTTTTCGGTTTCATTTTTAATGTTTAGTAATTTTTCGGTTTTATAGTATTTTAATTTAATGAAATGATGTTTATTATATTTGGTCATTGACTGCAAAAAACGACAACCAAAAAAAAAAAAAGAAAAAATTGTGGCGGGCTGAGACCAGGAATTTAATATTTTTTTGATCTCGGTGCACGTCATTATATGCCGACGAAAATGAAAACAGCAAACATTGAAATAAAACCGAAAAAAAAAATTCTACACATCCGGACTTGACAATCCGCCACCACCACTACTTCTTATCAAACAAGCAGGACAATGTCATCATCTCAACCTCAACAACAAGAACAACAGCAATCGGGATCTACCAATCTTAGATACCAACCACCACTAGAGGTTCTTACCAATTTGCTCAGAACTCAGCAATTCTACTGGTTCTTGGGTCATGTATTGGCAGTATTGTTCTTTGTCTTGAATTTCGTCACTGGGTTCTTCCGTCCTCGTTCATCTTTACGTTATTACCAATTCGCCTTGTTGTCAATCATATTGACTTATTTGATTGTCATCAGACAAGTTCATTTCAAGTCTGGGTTCAAGTTCTCAACCATTAACGCCAGGTTATTGCGTGATGAAAATGTTCAATACTTGACTTTGGCTATTGTATTGTACGGATCAAGTTTTGTCATTGGCCAAACTCAAGCTAGTTTATACTCATTTGTTATATTTTCCGTGTTCCATGTTTCCACCTATTTCCAAAACCATTTGTTATCCGTCTTCTTACCTAGCATTGGTGCCCAACAAAGAGTCAACTCTTTGATTACCCAATTCACTCATAAGTTCAACCAGCCGGCATTGTTTCTCGCTGCCAATGCTGAAATCATGATGTTGTTATTTGCAGGATTTCAATTGGCCATCAGTTCATTGTTTTTATTATTCAGATGGAACTTTGTCTATGTCGGTGTCCAAGGATTTGTATTTGGAGTTGTTGTTGCATTCAACAAGTTGAGATATGACGGTAATCAATACACCAAGACTGTTGTTGACCTGATGGATGCCAGGGCTAACCAATTTGTTGCGCAAGTTAACAACCCACAAGTCACTGAGTTGTACACCAAGATCAGAACCAATGTGATCAACTACATTAGATTGATCCAATTGCCAAAAAGTGCTGCCAAAAAGAACTAGTCATATGTCTTTTGTATTATATATAGAAAGAGAAAATGTGTCGAATTTGTGTGTATTTTTATTTTATCTATGCTATACATTCTAAATTCTCTGGATCAAATATCCTTAATTCTAAGTCCATTTCTTCTCTGGCATTTTCAAAACTTCGTAATAATCTTGTTTTCTGTTTTTGCAAACTTGCACGCTGGAGTTCTTTATATTCTCTAAACAATAATTGATATTCATTAGTTATGAAATCAATATGATTGTTCAATTCTTTGATATGGCTATTCTTCATATTCATCATTTGTTTCAAATACTTATTCTCAAACTTGACTTTGTTGCTTTCTTTCTCCAAATATTCAATTATATTGTCAATAGGTTTCTGATTCTCAACCAGTGATACTGTCTCCATTTGTTTAAGTTTATTGGTCAATGTCTCAATCTCGTCTTTAAGAGAGTCAATAACCGACTGATCAGTTTGTTGCAATTGTTGCCAGTTGACTGGGACATTGGATAACTTTGTTTTGTTTGCTTTTGCTAATGTCTTAATTTTCTTAACTTCATTGGCATAATTCAAGGTTTGGTGAGACTCATCATAATCAAGTGGCGATACACAAAATATCATACACGTCTTAGAATTACCTGCAAGATTTTCTTTCAAAAGATACGTCAATGTAGACTCTCTATATGGGATCAAAGCCGTGGGATTAGAAGCCAACGTATTGATACATCTACCAAGTACTGTTAGGGATTTGTTAATCAAGGTTCCTTCTTTAATTCTTTCTTGTTGTCCATACAATTTTGTTTTTTGTAACCTTTCAGAACCTGCAAGATCGACAAGCTTTATGTTAGAAATCATCTCCTCACTAGCTTCTCCAATACTATTTACTTCATCTGAATCACCAGGAGTTGAATTCTCAAATTTGGTTTGCTTTAAAGTTAACGTAAGAATAGCATGGCTTCTTGAACTTTTATCATTCATAGACGTGGATGCAGTAGAACGATTGGAATTACCAAAAGTCAATAGTTTCAAGAAATGTTCATAGCTCTCAATAGAATAATCTTTGACATTTTCAACATAAGGTCCAGTAACTGGATGTTCACGAACTCGGCATTTTTTATTCAGGGACCCTTTTTCTAAAAGGTCTTTGACCTGTTCGTTATAAATTTCAACATACAGAAGTTTCAACTCACAGTTGATTTTCTGTTTGATAGAAATATCCATTTGTTTCAAAATATCGTGAAGTAATAATGGGATTATTCCTGGTTGCTCTCGATCACCCATCATTGTATAAGTCTTACCTGAACTGGTCTGTCCATAAGCCAAAAGACAAACATTATATCCTTCAAAGAAATGGGACAACAATTGAGGTCCTGTTTTCTCATAATATTTCAAATTATCAGTATAGTGTAAGTCTTTGGGATCGAATGACCATATACATTCATCAAACAAGTAACTACGATTATTATCATTGCCACTTGATTTTCCCTTGGGATTTGTCAATATAACCTTATGTGGTTCTGCTTCCGGCATGGAAATCAACGATTGAGGGAATTCATTTTCAGTTGGAAGTTCTCTTTTAAGTAATGGTCTAACTCTGACAGAGACCTTGATATTATTAGAAGTGCTAGTCATTGATGTGGTGTTAATTCGCTTAGTAGCCACAGTAGGTGTATAGTACCCCTGAATTTTTTTTTATTTTTTTTTTTGATCCAAAATGTAAACATAAACATAGGAAAACTTTCTGACACGAAAATGTGAAACACTTTAACAGATCACGTGAATCTCTACACGTGTGTATTGTTGTACATTTCAAAAAAAAGAACACATATCAAAACCATAACATTTAAGCATATCATAAAACAGCCGACCAGGGTTTGGAAATCTGTTCTAGAGGAATCTTGTTAGTGATCGCATGTTCGGTTTGTTGTCTTTTGTGTTGCAAGCTCGATCGGGTAAGATCATCGGAGGGATGGAAAATTTTTTGTTTTGAATTTTAGGCATTTGAACATTAGAGGGAATATCAACCACTGTGACATGGCGTCCAAATTTCTTATACTCAACCCATCACCGGATGCGTTAGATAAAGTTTTAGAGAAATCAAACTTACAATATACCAAGAATGGACCGTTTGAAGCAACAATTTTATTAGGAGATGTTTTACCGCAAGGTAAAAAATTACCAACAGTGAAAGTCATTGGGTCAACATATTTCACCGAAGGTAAGAATGGATTTTCTGAAGATATCAATATCGAGGATTCTAATTTAGTTGATGTGGCAGACAATCTTACATTTGCTAAACCTCCATTTAGAATCATTAAAACTGTTAGCGGATTTACTATCATGTTTGTATCTAAATTTGAAGATTTTGAACTCCCGAAAATAGATATTGATATATTGATAACTTATGAATGGCCCCAATCAATTGCCCAAATGTTAACTACTTTTGGAAACGACAAAGTTGATGATTTGGTTGCCAAAGTGAAACCAAGATATCATTTTGCAGTTGGAAATGAAGCAGGGATGTTTTTTGAATTGGAACCATTTGCTTGGCCCACAGGGCAAGTGACAAGATTTATAAGTTTGGGACAAGAAGGATCTGGTGATAAATGGTTTTATGCATTTAGCATTAGTAAGGTAGAAGATATCCCTACAAAATTGATTGACAACCCTATTACCTCAAAGAAAAGAGCAAGAGAGGAAGAGATCATTGAAGAGAAGAGTATTTCTAAGACAGAAGCTAAGAAGCCTAAAGTTGTATCACCAGACCAATGCTTCTTTTGTGTGGGCAATGCAAATACAGAAACACATATGATTGTTTCCATTGGATCAAGTGCATATTTAACCATTGCAAAGGGTCCACTTACAAGATCAAATAAAAATCTACTGTTTTCTGGTCATGGTATTTTGATTCCTATAGAGCATACAGCTACTGTATCACAAGATTCTCCTGTGAGAAAAGAATTACTTCGTTATCAAGATTCATTAGTCACTGCATTTGATGAACAGAAACCGAATTTAAAATTAATATTTTGGGAAATTAGTCGAGATACAAACATTCATCATCATATTCAGTTCTTGCCAGTTCAGGATACGTTACTTGGTAAATTTCCAAATTCACTAAACCTTCGTGTTAAACTTAACAATGAAAAATTCAAAAAGAACCAAAAACTCAACTTTCAAAAGTTTACTGATAGTTCTGATCCTGCGTTATTGAAAATCATAGAGAGTAATAACTATATGATGTTTACATTATGTGAGAATAAAACTAATCGTATTTACTACATTACTCCATTAAACGAAAACCCAATAGATATTCAATTCCCAAGAAGAGTATTAGCTCATGTGTTGAATCTTCCAGATAGAGTTCACTGGGATAAATGCCAACAACCAAAACTTAAAGAAATGTCCGATTGTGATAATTTTAAATCATTCTTTCAAAAATACGATTTTACTGTTTAATTACTATTTAATTCACGTATACATTTTGTACAACCACAATCAAAGAACCATTCACTTAGTTGAGCTCTTCGGATTTCAACTGGTTCATTTGTATAATTACCATAATTTATGCATAATTCTTCTCCCGGATTGATATCTCTTAACGTAGTGAATTCCAATGTAGCCCCCTTTCTAGTTTTAACTATATTTGGTTCACAACTATGGTTGAAGTAAGATGCAGATGGGTAAACTCCATAACCTAAGAATTCTTTATCTTCCGATGGATCGGAAACTTCAGACCAGATGCCAAAAGCATTTGATAGATTTTTCCCGATAATGGCTCTAACAATTGTCAGATTTATAAATGTTTGCAATTCTTTGGTACATGATATTTTAATGAATTTATACATATTGATATATGAAAATAACAAATAAGGATACTTTTCAACTTTTTCATACTCTGAAGAATACAACAAATCAAATAGTACCATTTCAACTTGATTTGCTTCTTGTGGATTGAGTTCAGGAAAATCATAATTTGAAATTTTTATGTTATGACATCTATACATGTTGAATAAAACTCCAATGACATATTTGATTTCTAAATATTCACTATCATCAATTCTAGGGATTAAATTTTGACGTTTTGTTGGTTTCATGGATTCAAGTTTAGATTCCCATGATGAAACTTTATCCCATTCTTCAATATATTCCTTTGACAATTCTTTAGGTTCTTTGGCTTCTTCTTCATGTTTGGTTAATCCTTGTAGATAGTTTTTCTCTATCTCAATCAAATTATCCAATAGTACTTCATTGACGTCATTACTTTTGAATTCTTTTAGACAATCATCATTACAGAAAAATATCGAATAAGTATTCTTGCCAATTTTTTTAGATACTTTAGATTTCATAGTACTTCCATATTCATATTTAAAACAATTTGTACAGACTTCTTTCTTGAATGGTTTTGCAATGGTTGATCCAACAGGTGATGAGCATTGATGAATAATTGTTCCCTTCGGAATTAAATCAGTTGCAAAACATCCTCTACCTCCATATTTTGTCTTTTCAACATCAAACCAAGGTGAAATTTGGTTTAATATGGACTCAATAGGATATTCATCTACTAAAGTAGCTTGTTCGCTCGATGTCATTTCTAAAAAATGGCGGTTTGTTGGTATTCCTGTTAACTGGTGATTTGAGTATTTCGATGGGAATATTCGTTTTTTTGCGAAGAGTTTATGCATCCGAGGAAAAAAATAATCAAAAAAAAGAAAGCAAGAGAAAAAACGTGGTCGCACTACCAATTGTAATTCGAACAATGCCACGTTTCATTCATACCTGTTTTAATCAGTTTATTGTTATCGTAGTTAATGTTTTAAAGTTGGCTTTTGAATGATGAGAGTTTAATTCAAAATTGGATGCAAAATGATCTTCAAGAGAATTTGTATACAAGTTAAGGGGGTTATATGTCCAAGCGTACCTTTTTTTTTTAGTAATTATTTTTTTTTTTAACAAGAGCCTGTACTTATCATACACAAAATCAATGTGTCTATTGTTATCTTATCTTATGTCTTGAGCCAAGAGAGTTGCAACTTAATCAAGTTATACATTCAAATAATCAAATTCAACTAAGAACAATATGTTATTTCACAGCACCGTCCGGTGAGTACTGGTCTAACTGGATTAAACTGAGATACTTGATCCCAGCATCTCTGATAACATGATAAATATATAATAATTGGGGATCATTAATCTGATTGACAATATCGTCAATTCTTGTATCTATCAGATTTATCACCGTATTAGTACAATGATTATCATCAAATCTTAATTTAACAAATACAACGAACACAACCACTACAAATAAATTTATTCCAACAAATTTCCAATCCCAATTGATTAATAAAAACACCAAACTAGTTAAGAATTGAAATATAGCTAGGAATAATGTAACAATTTCTCCAATTGCCGCAATGAATAATATAGGAAGATTAATTGCTGATATAATTCTACCAATTATTGAATCAAATCTTTCTTTGTCTTTAATTTTAGTTATAAATATTGGTGCTATGTGTTTTTGACAATATATTATTACGTGTAGTCCAGAATAAATTACATATGAATATAATCCTGATCTAATTTGTCCAATTTTGAAACTACTCCAATATAAAACCAAAGCTAATAAGAAATATTGAATATTATAATCTTTAATTGATGTATGCTTTAATTTCATAAACATTATTCCAGATTTAGGATAAATTTGAGCTATCATTAAAAGGTAGGATATTATAATTGATACTAACGAATATTGATAGTATCTTAATGAAATCCTATGATCTACAACTCCTGTAAGAACACTACATGTGAAAAATATAATAGTGAATAAATGACCTAAGAACCAATAAAATTGTTGGGTTTTAAATAATTCATCTATTGCTTCTAACGCAGATTGTCGTCTGATTGAATCATAAGCTATTCTTCGTTGTTGATACAACATAGAGGATGGGTTGTTGGGTATTAAGAAGAAAAACTTATTTTATTCATATGTATATTTTTTTCTTCTTCTTCTTTTTGTTTTTACGTATCAACACGAGTTAGGACTTTTGGTGTGGATTACCATCTGATTAGATAAGAATAATGACCCAAGTGTATGTGACTTTTCAGATTTTTCATTGTTCCAAAGTCATGTATTCGTAACCCGCGAAAACTGCGGCTCACTACAACTTATTATTTCAAATCCCCCGCTATTTTGTGTATTGGTCATACTTTACTCTACAAATCCCAGTAGCTTTAACTGATCAAATATATCATCATCGACAGATAGTAAGAAATCACCCATATCGTTGAAGAAATTCTGTTGCGTATGCATATAACCAATTAAATTAGCATCGGTATCACCAGTTCCTAAATTACCAAACTCTAATAATTGATCTTGATTTGAAATGTCTATTGGAAAGGATTTTGAAGCAGATTCATGATCTCCTAACACCCTATGTGGTTTTATGTCCTTTTCAAAATCATCTAATTCAGATAAATCGGAAACCAATTTATCTAGCTTCTGTAATTTTTGCAATGCCAGTTTTGCACTTGCACTTCCGTCAGACATAATTTTTAAAATACTTAAACCTTTCCTCAAGAATAATAATGTTGTCTCTGATCTATCAATTTTTAAAAAGACAAGAATGGCAAATAAAGCGATATTACAAACATTAATATCAGTACATGAAAACAATCCCAATTTGTTGTATTTTTGCAATTCAGATAACAATTCAACACAACAAAAAGCAGCATCGATACAAATTGAGGACAAATGATCAACAAATGCTGATTCGTATCCATTATTTTCGTTCAATCGTTTGTAGTTTTCAACTTTGTATAGTAGAAATGGCTTACCAATGTAGATCTTTGCCAAATAGTAAAACTGATTCAAATGAATGCAACCTCTGTATCTTGGTGCATTTGGATCAAGATTATCAATTTTAGCATAATCTGGAAAATTCAATTTACATTCTTCTAAATCTTCAACTAGTTTTCTTATAAGTTTAGGATCAATTGAAACTTTTGTATCCTTTTTAGATTTAGTTGTTGAATAAAATGATTGCATGATATCACGATATATGAAATTAATCTGAATGGTTGAAATTTGACTAAGATGATTACTGTAACCCAAGCTGTTGTAAAATTCAGGCATATCTTCAGGGAAGTCCACGGTAATATCTTCTGGTGAAATTGATTCTGCTTTACCAATGTTAATCCCATGTCGTCTTTCCATCGTATAACAAGTCCACCAAAGTCGTTTGTAAACTTCTTGATCAACTTTAGAATGATTCTTGTATGTCTCTTTCAAATGTAATTTATTTGCTACTGCAATTTCCAATGCCAAATTCATAAACATGTACCCACCATCAATCAATTGAAAGTTTTCTAATTTATTTGTCGTCATAAATACCCCAAACATGATCAAAGCTTGAATACTTTCAAGTGCTTTCAAGTCAAGTAAAAATCCAGTAAAAGGTAAGGCACTATAATAATATACCAATCCTGGAGTTGTATTAGGCGTTACTTTTGGCATTTCTGAATTATCAGCAATAAATTCAAAACCACTTGAAATAGCCAACATGATTAATAATAAAGCTAGAGTTGACCAATTTGTAGTCAAATATTCCAAATCTCCCAAGCTCTTTCTTTCTAAAAAATCATCCACCTCTTTGTAGAATCTCAGATGTTGAACATAAAAATAATTTGTCTCACAAATGTTTAAGTAAATCGAAATAAGTTTTCTAACTTGATCATCGGAAGGAAGTAATCGGATCGAATCAGTTACTAGTAGTTGTAAATTCCTTCTTAAATCATCATTACTTTTAGAAAAAACACAAGCAGGAATCATACACCTTTGACCTGGATCTTGAGTATTTTGTTCAATGAATTGGATAAAACTTTGGTCAGTAGTGGATACAAATGCCCTATCGAAATGATTCAAGGATGAATTCATCAGCATTTCTAAATTTTGCTCATCATGTTTATCTGAAGTAATAGGGATGGCAACATTAGGTAATCTCAGTTTATTAATGCGTACTTCTTTTTCAAATTCATCGGTATTTTCACGAAGATATTTAAGGGAAATATCAGGGAATAGATATTGAACTATTCGTTCCAATTTACAATTATAAGCTCTTGTTTTAGTATAATTCTCTTTATAGTCAGTAGGATTTATTGGTTTATCATCACCATGAGGAATTACACATTCATGCTTGGATTTAACACATTTCAAACATGGGAACCCTCCTTCACATTTGATCTTTCTAACTCGACACCTATTGCAACTGTTATCCGTGAGATAAGTTAGTATGTGATTGTAAGATAAAATGATATTTTGAATTTAAACATACGCAATAGTTACTCTTTTACGTTCATGAAGTGGTTTTATTCTTCTATTTCTCATTGGTTGTCTTCGTGTTGTAAATATTGAATTATCAAAACTACCTAGGTGGTACTAAAACCCAAAGAGGAGGAGAGATTTTATTGAAGTAATCAAAACCCAGCGGCAACGAGTTCCCGTGTTGTAAAAAAGAAAAAAACAGAACAAAAAAATTAACCATTATCGCCAACCCGCACTAAATGAAGCAGAAAAAAAAAACTGCGAAGTGGAGTCAAGACAGTAGTTTAATTTATTCGGATGTTTACACCTAATTAGGAAGAATAAACTAGGAAGATACCACAATGCAAATGACAACAACTAGAATTTTAAAGAAACAATTAAGAAAGCAAATCAAGTCGATATTGAAATCAATTACTCAAGATTCATTAACTCAACAATCTCAATTAATTCATGAAAACTTGTTGAGTCATAGTAATTTTCAAAATGCTAAATCAGTAGCCGTTTATATGAACATGCCTGATCTGGAGGTTCAAACCATAGAAGTAATTAAATTATGTTTTGAATTAGGTAAAAATGTATATTTGCCACGTTGTAATTATACACAAATCCCTGGTAGGAAGTTAAATTATATGTCAATGTTAAAAATGCCTGATTTCCAATCAGTTTTGAACCTTAAACCGCAAGGTAAATATCAATTATTGGAACCAACAGAAGGTGAAGACGTTATGGATACTGGTGACTTGGATCTAATTATTGTACCTGGGGTATCATTTGATAAAACTAAAAATAGAATGGGTCATGGGGCTGGATTTTATGATGAATTTATTACTACATTCAATGAAAAATTTAATAGAAGGCCATACTTATTAGCTCTTGCGTTACAAGAACAAATTATCGATGAGAAAATACCTACAGAAACACATGATTGGAAGTTAGATTCTATAGTAACTCCGTTGAACACCATCTATTAATTATTCTTTAGAATATATACCAACTATACAATTTTCCAACATCCTATCAGCATTTACCCAACTATGATATTTATTAAATAAACTGGTACCATCTTTCCCAGCACATTTCATAATTTCATCAACTCCACCAGGATGAAAATCAACATATGGAGTAATATTAAAAACTTTCCCATTTATACAAGTCCAACAATCATCAATACTTTTATGTTTTTTCAATTCTTCTTTATTTATACGAACATATTGAGGTGGTGGAGTATTTGGAGCTACTCCACGTAATTTATATTGGGGTTCTGTACGATTTATCCTGGCCCAATCTAATGGTGAATGACCTGGTTTCAAATGAACTTTCTTTCTTGTTTCTGATGCTGAAGATGCACGTTGAGCTGAATTAAGTAAAGGGAATAATCCTCTATTTGATCCGGACGCTGATGGTGGAGGTCGAAGTGAAGCATTACTAGGTGGTTTTAATGATGATCTTGATGCTAATCCTTCATTATTAGCCATAGAGCTATTCTGTAGTTTTTTATTCAATTCATCTATTTTTGATGTCATTTTAATAATATGGGGGGGTTTAAAGAAAAAACAGAAGTTAAGATTATGCAGTTAATTTTTTTAATTTTTTTTTTTTCGATCTCGCCTCCATTTTGACCTATTGACGTTGCACATTTAGTAATTCATCATTACATAATCGCCAACTATTATGAATGCAAAATAAAAATAAATCTAGTAAACACTTCTATATTTATATATATATATATATATATATATCTAACTTCTATGATGACGCTTGATCTGTTTTCTATCGACTCTTTCATAATACAACATATAAACAGTAGTTTCTTCTGATAAAACTGCACCTTTAGTAACTTCAGTAACTTGAGCATCACTGATTCTCCAATATGGTTTAGTGATAGTTGAAGGAATCTTCTTCATCTTGACCTTCTTTTCTGGTTTAGCATTGTCCTCCTCATTCACAGTACTGGTTTTGGCAAAGCTATCTTTGAAATTATGAGCAGCAAATGCATTTTCAAAATTATTTAAACTTGGATCATCAACCAATATTTCAGCTGGGGTTTGTAAACCAGATGAAATAATTTCTTCGACTCCTGAAGGATTGGCTTGGAATACTGAAGGTCTACGACCCATCATTGATGAAAATCTTCCACGGAATCTAGAATCCAGATCATTTGAACCATTACTACGAACAGATGATCTACGTCTGGTTCCTTTACTACTACTACTACTACTATTATCGTCAATTAATTCGGCATTTGCATGTGTTTCACCAGTTATATCATCATGAATTTCAGGAGATAATTTAAAAATATTACCATCTTTATCTTTGACAAATAATGGTTTATGTTTGAAACATTCATAATGCCCTTGAGTATGTGATCCCACATGTTTGATAACAGCACGCAATCGATACTTGTACAAATCGTTATCATTAAATTTAAATCTCTTGAAAATTTCCTTCAAATTGTCTGTTTGTTTATTGGATATTGGAGCCAGGTTAATAGAATGTTCATGAGATCCATTTGTAGAATCACTGCTTGGTCTTATTGTGCTGGATGTGGTGATGGTTTGTGGTACAGATTCCTGAGATGTCAATGAGGAACTATCTTCATCGTCTTCATCTTCTTCATCATCTTCTAACTCGTCGGTTGCATTTTCAGTGGTCGTTCCTTCATCAGTTACATCACCCAAATCCTCTTCATCATCTTCTTCGTCATCCTCTTGACCTCTTTCTTCAATATCTTCACGTTGAACATCTTCATCTTCCATATCGTTTACATCGGTAGTTAAAACTTTATTAGTCAATTTTTCCATTTGTTTCTCATCTTCTTCGTGAACCATTGCTTGGAATTGTTTCAATTTATCATGATATTCACTACCAATAGACAAAGTCATCTTATCATTAAATTCAACTTGACAGGAATTTCTCGTCACCACTTGACCATCAAATGAAGATCTTGAAAGATGCAAACCAAAAATCTTTGGAGGTTTTAAAATCTGGGACTTTTTCTGTACCGTTGATGTTACTCTGGAAATATCAATACCATCAACATTATAATTCTTAATGAAAATTTCCAAATCTTCTGGTATATCTTCATTAATACATAAATTTGGACTATTATATAAATCAAAAATTTGTTTAATAAATGATTCTTGATCTGATGGGATATCACGTTTCATTCGTTCTTCATTCAACACAATTTTCCCGACACGGCACTTAATACATTGGTAACCTTCAATTTGTTCAGATTCATTTTCATCCAACATTTTTTCCAATTTTGTGCTTGGAGCCAGTGGGACTGGCAATGTAAGAATAACGAATGGGGAGAAATTTGGTTTTGAAACTCCATTACAAGATAAACAAGTCATTTGACTTAAAATTAAACCGTCAAATGGGAATTCAGGAACAACAATGTTTTCTAAATCATTATAATCTTTAGGACTTGGATGATCTTTCAACATTTTATGCAAATTTAACATTAAAAATTTGACAAAACTTTTCAATTTCAAATTCTCATTTTCTAATGTTTCATTAATTAATTGAGTTAATTCATGTGCATCATGTTGAGATCTTGACATTTTTGCATTAAAAATTTTTTCCAATTCATGAAGAAATGTCCAAACACTTATAGTTCTTGAAGCTAATTCAATTTCTTGTAATTTTTTAACCATTGCAGCCATAGCAAAATGTAATGGGATATCATAAGTTGAATTCGATCTTTTAAATTTGGAATTTTGTAAAAATTTATTGGATTCCAATCTTAAATCAATCAATTTTTGTACATCGATATCGTGAGTTTCAATAAATTCCAGCAATTTCTTAAAACAAGTGATGAATTTATTCAAATACTCAGTTAATGAAGGCAATGAAGAATATGCTTGTAATGAAGAGTTGGCAAAGCAATCATTTCTTAAATTGATAAACCCTGTAGTGTATTTATCAGGACGTTTGGAGAACATTTCTTTCTTCTTGTAAAATGGCAATGAAGGTAATAAGATATAAAAAGCTGTTGATAAGATTAAAGTTGCTTGAAATAATAATAGTTTCTTTTGAGTATAAGATTTGGTGTTCCAATAGGTTAATAATGAATTTGGTATGAACAATGATAAAGTGGAAGTATTAGGAATGGATTGTTGTGGAGCTAGTTGACGATGATGTGGTTGGTTTGTAATTAAATACTTTAATTGGTCCAAAATATCACCCATATAATAGATAAATATACAAGTAGACAATCAAAATTAACACAATAAATAAATAAATAAAAAAAAGGGAATATCACTCAGCAATTGTGAAATCTGTTGGGTTTATATTAATTCAAAGAATAGAAATAAAATAAGTGGAGTAGTGTAATTTTTAGTTACAAAAAAAAAAAAAAATTTCTTTTCAACCTATAAAGTTTTGCTTTTATTAAGTGGGGAGAAATTGATTCTACACACACACATACACATTGAATAAATAGTATGGAATATTCGATATTGTGAAAGTCGTGTGTATAGTGATGAAAATTCGGGGCGGAGAAATTCAATCGGAATTTGTTGTCTCGGTTAGGTTACACTAAACAACCATCGGGAGAATTGTATAACACGTACACGTAAATTACGTCATGAACAGATTCCTACATTAACCAATTAACATTTTCTGATTCAATCGGGAATATTTATAGATAGAAGACTAATCAAAAGTACTATGAGGCCATAATGTAGGTTGCCTACATACACTCATAAAGACCAACTAATCTCCGAATATCAGAGCCGGACCAATTAATTTTGACACATATTTCGTTTTAGTAAATCACAAAAGTCGATTACACCTCTTTTGTCTTCAGTGGATCCGAATATCTGGGACCAAAGGGATCATCGGGTAGTTGTGAGTTGTCTATCCCAATTAAATCCACCCTGTTGATTTCTAACCAGAAAATGAACAATAAGATTATGAGCTATGCCTAGTTTTTGTGTCATACAGGTTACTCTACGATAACTACTCTGTATACATATATTTATATATATATTTTTTTTATATAATGAAAATTTTCTATATTTTTTATAATGATTTTTGGAATACCTTTTTTTGGCGAACTCTTCTTTTAAAAATGGATAATTTTCATAGTTGCATGGCCTACAGTAACAATAATAGCATATGCGATTATTGAAGCAGGAACACCAATTCTAATGAATGTACCCACAGTTAAATATGGTTTGCCAAATTCATCAGTCATACAAATAGCAGTGACATTAGGGAATCCAGAAGTTGGTAATCCCATAGCAGCACTACATAATAAGGCAGTAGACAAAATCAACATTCTTGGATGTGGATCTGGCATATTATTACCAATTTCACTAACCAATGGGACGACAATTAATGCAGAAACCGTATGACTAATAAATGTTGCAATAATCAAAATGAAAATACCAAGTGTTAATGTAACTCCCAATAATGATAAATCTTCAACTTGATGCTGAATTGTAACCGCAATGTTAGTTAATAATCCAGAGGATGCAACGGCTTTACCCAATGCAGTACCTCCCATGGCTAAGACAACAATATTCCATGGATAATTATTGAAATCTTCAGTGGTTAATAATCCAGATCCAAAGAATAATATAATTGGAATCAAAGCAATGATACCCATTTCACCAAAAACACCTGATAATTTAGATGCAATACACCAAAGGAATATAGTGACAAATGACACAGTGATGATATACCATTGGATATTGGTGAACTTATCATCAATGGTTCTAATTGCAACCAAATGAGTGTTTCTTGAATTACAGTTGAATGAAATCAACAAAAAGACCCAAATTAACAATAACGACAAAATACAAACTGGTAAAGCAACAACAAACCATTCACCCCATGATGGAGGTGGTTCCATTGATCCAATTGCAATCATATTTTGTGGGGACGCAATAGGTGAAGCCATACCTCCAACATTCGAAGCAAGAGCAATACCCATAATCAATGCATTAATAAATTGTGATCCTTTAGGTAAGGTTCTCAATAATGGTTGGATCAAGGAGAAACACAACACTGGGGCAGCGACATTGGAAATCCACATGGATGCAAAAAGGGCAACACCCATAATTGTCAACAACACAACGGATGGATTGGTACCGGCTTTAGATAAAATCCAAGTGGAAATCAATTTGGCAATATGGTATTTGGATAATGCTGCGGCTAATGTGAAACCACCCAATAATAACAAAATAACTGAATTCCACATGGTCGATAAGATAAACTTGGATGTGTCAACTGTATCCATGATTGTGCCATCATCATTCTTGATAACATTCAAAACAACAATCAACAATGGAATCAACAAAGAAGTAACAAACAATGGGATTGCTTCAGTGGCCCACAATAAAGATGCACAAATCAACAATGCAAAACAGTTTTTCTGTGCCGAATCATCAAATGGAGATACATTCAATAATAATACGGTCACAATGAAAATAACAACCAATTTCACCAAGACAGGATTCTTCAATGAAATGTTAAATTTATCAATGACTTTACCTTTACCTCCACCATCTTCTTTTTCGTCTTTTGATCCGTCAGCACGATTGATTAATTTTGAGTTGGCAGCATATGATTTTCTTTCCAACCCAATCATATCTCTCCAAACAGTATTTCTTTCCCAAACAACATGTTCACGTAAATGGATAGATAATTCTTGTTTAGCTGTTTCTAAATCATCACCATGATTACAAATTAAAGCATAAAGTTTAACCAACGACTCTAAACGTGTATCAACCTCAGTCATAGTAGATTTCTTGAAAACATATGATCTTTCTGGCAAGTTTTCTAAATACTCATCCTTAATATTGGTATCCAAAGATTTATCGAATTTTTTCAAAGCTTTTTTAAACCCAGTATAATTCAACTCAATGTATGATTTTAATTCAGACAAAGTGGTGTATAATCCAATAACACGCTTTCTTAAAATGATTCTACTTTCACTTAATAATAACAATTGAGGAGGAACATTGTTAGATAAAGTAGCATTAGTTAAATCTTCCCAGATCTTTGGAGATTTATTAACAAAATTATCAACTGAACGTCTACGACGACCTAATTCAGGGTTATGTTCATGAAGATCCGGAACTGAACCAGATCTTCTCGCTGTTCTTCTCACTTCAGTGCCTGAGGAATCTTCGGAACCTCGATATCTTCTTGTAATATCCTCATCGTCATCTTCCTCTTCATCATCTTCTGGTTGGGTGAATTCAGTATCTGGATCGGTGATATAATTATCATTAGATCCCATTGAATTTCTTCTTTGTTGATGGCTTTTAAAACTTTTGTTCGAACCAGGTAAAGATAAGGATTCATCAACTTCTCTTTCGAAATTATTTATATCAATCATCAATTCATCCATATTATTGAAAATAAATGATTCTTGTTGTTGATAGAAAGTATCAATCTTCTTCAATTCAGCATCAAGTGCTGCAATAAATATATTTGAAGGAGATTCACCAGGAGTAAGTTGACCAGTAGATGCATAATTATTAGAATCATTGATTAAATGGGAGCCTTCTAAATTAGCTTCATCATCATCTTGTTGATAACTTCTTCTTAAGCTATCTCTTTGTAAAGAATAAATTAACTTTTTCAAAGTTGTGTAAGCAATATATTTTGACGACCATTCCGGAACAGCATTAAATTGCAAAGAATGAGAAAACTTCATGGTTTAAGGAATGAAGATTATTATGCGTCAAGGATGATAAATGCAAAATGTGAACCCTGTGTGTGTGTGTGTCTGTTATATAGTAAATTCCAGTGGGTGTTGGTGATAAAATATATAGAAACAACTTTCGGATTTTAAAATTGTCAAACGTGTGTTGTTGTTGGTACGGTGGGTCGGTAGAGATGTTCGTGTGTCTGGTGTGTGTGTGTGTACAATTGCCCTAAAAAAAAATTTAATGAACAAAGAAGAGCAGAGGAGAGGAAAAAAGAAAAATCTGACTTTTTTTTGGTTGTCTAATTTATCTTGGTCGTGTACCAGGTGATGAATTTGCGATTAGACACACAGGAGCAAACATAGAGGCGGGAATCGTTCCCTTCTTCAAAGTTGCTACACTTACATAAGATTGGAAAATATTGATGACTAGATTTCTTGAATAGGTTGAGGTGTGTGTAGCTGTGGCTTATTGATATACAATTTTAGCGTATCCTTTCAAATTGACAACGAAATATCTTTTGTAAAAAAAAATGGTTTAATATGTATTAGTGTGTACAGACAATGCATAAGGCTGTATGACAAGTACACATCTATTAGTAAGATTTAGAAAGTTCGATCTTTAAAAATTTGTTGCAATTTGGTATTTCAATTTAGTATTAAATCAAAGAAATTCTATCAATGCAACTTTGATACAATTGAGTTACTTAAATGTAATCGGGTTAGTTAGATCTTAAATGGTTACGTGTGTGTTTGACTATTCATGGTTTTCCAGGATGAGTAAGTTGTCATGTGCGGTTAAAGGAATTAGGACAACCATTTAAGTATAAATTATTGGAATTGTCCTATTTGTATCTACCAAATGTATTCGACTTTGTTTTAGTTGTCAAAATATAGATTTCTAACCCCTTGATGAATGTCAATTTTTTATTGTGATGTGAATACTTGTATAAGCTATTCAGATGGTTGTATATTTATAGTGGTTATCGCTCTAGATGTTTTATTTTTCATTATTTAAAGGCAATAAATTGTCCTTTCTTGATAGTTTTTTTTTCGGTTCATTTTCATACAAATTTTTCAATTAAATGCTTTACAACTAAATTCTAGCATTTACTAAACTCATAAGAAATAGATTATATCGTGGTCAATATTAAAAACCAGAATGGTTATTTACCCCTGTAAAGTATCACAATGTGTTAGGGGGGATGGAAAATAATAATTTGTGCAAAGCTTCTAATTGATTTTTTATTTGTGTAATACAGAACCCCTTATCTGGTACACTTGATTCAAGAATTGGTTAGGCTCAATTGGTTCACTTTAAATCACATCAATAGATTGCAATTGGGGTAAGTCAACCATATGATATTTAAAGTCAGATAAACTCAATTGTAGAAAGTAAGAAAAAAAAATAGTGTACTGACGATAGGAGGCGATACCCAGAATTTTACAAACTGGTCCCACCATGAGGGAGTGAAACAAATTATGTAAGAACAAAGCGAAAGCAAAAAAATTAATTCCAACCAGCCTCGAATTGACTCTCAAATTTTTTTTTTGTTATTTTTCTCTTTTCCTACTTTCTTCTTTCCTTTCTTTTCCCCCCATATTTATACTTATCACTATCGCCACATATACTTGGTAAAGAAAAGATCATTATCAATTGCTAGTCTTTTTTTTGTTTGTTTGACATTCAAGTGCTAATTATTTAATTGTGAACTTTCTTTTGATTTTTTTTTTCGACAAGTGATAATTCTATACCTCCAATACCTTGACTGAAGTTTTTTTTTATCGCCTCTCCTCCCCCCTTTACAATCATTTTATTCCTCCACTTTTTATTTTTTACCCCAAAAATTTGAAAGATTAATCAAGAATGGATTTTTGTTTTTTCCTTATTGGCTGTATGTATCACTTTTTATTTACGGGTCAAACCGAATTGAAGAATAACTGGATTATAACCGATTAGACGGGTATTGATGTGACAAAGTGGGAGAAAAAGCTGGAGACAATGTGTGTGTGTGCAAGACTCATTAATTTTCCAACCAGCCGTGTCACCCATTGACAAGTCTTCCCCAATTCCGTCAATTCCGTCCAAATAGGTATCAACATAACTACCCGGTAATCATGTAAAGTTTTCAATCAACAATGAGATTCACAGAATAGATTATTATCATTCATCAAACCAGTTTTAAAGTTTTTTTTTCTTTCGTTCAGGTTGTGTGTACCCTTATTTTGTTTACTGTAGTTATTTATTTTTACTAACAATTTACTAATAACCTTGGTTATTCTTCAAATAGTTAAAGAATTCAATAAACCTTTAGCAGATATTGGCAATATCCCATGTTATTGTGGACATTGTCATAATCAAAGTGCTTTTGCCGTCAGAACAATCAATTGTGTGACTTTGTTTTTCATTCCTGTTTTACCATTCTACTATACAAAGAGATTAAAGTGCAATATTTGTGGCACCACAGGGGCGCTCGATTCTGCTGCGATAGATCGAATGAAACAGGGGCAACCAGTTGCAATTGCGTGAGTTGGTTAAATACTGTCATTGTATATGTAGAACATTTGCCAGTTTAATTCCGATGCACCACTTTCCATGCCTATTCCGTTATTCGGTGATAATGAAGATTGCATTGTTTAAGTGTATAAACGCGATTAATAATATTAATACAATATAAAAGAGAAGAAAAATAAATCAAGTGATTTTCGATTATTTGCCTAATTCTTTAAAGTAGTGAAAGTTTAACTTATCCGGAGTAGATGGACGGGATAGTTGAACCGGAAGTTACCAAGCTTCCTTTTACCTATTCTTATTTCATAGGCTTCCCAGAATAAGCCAAGTTTTTAGAATTTTCTATTATTGCTTTCTTTGTAGATTTTTCTTAAACCTTCAAGTTCCATACACTTCTCTTACATCATTATGTAAAAACGTTCATGATCACGATTTTACTAATCCGTTACTTCCATTATGTGAATTGCACCATCAAAGAGAAAACATGTATATACATCATTACAGGGATACAGACGTAGTATGAACGTGATACTTTTTATTTTTATTTTTTTTTTTTTAATTTTTTTTCTTTCAATTGCTATAAGGGGTTACAAGAGATAAGTTTAGTGATTCATTACAAAGGATGATTTATATGATCTCATCGGGTCTTTGATCAGTCTCCAAACTTACAACATCAATTAATTATCAGGTATTGGTTCATCATACTTTAGTGATTCTAATACCCCAACTTTTTAGTCGTTTCATTTTTACAGCCGTACTTTGTAATTCGAGACTTTCCATGAATTATGGTATGATACCTCGCCAGCCCTGGATGTGTTTTAAACCCCGTACCATAATCACACAACTTGTTGTAACCTGTTAGTGTGTGTTTGTGTGTTTGAAATAAAAACCACAATGAGGGATTTTTTTAAATTTAGATTTTTTAGACTTTGTGTGACCTGTTATAAGAATTGTGCATAAACCGAATAAAATTTCGCATCCAATATAACCGTGATATCCAGAACTTCACCAACTACTAACAATATTTTAATATGTGTCGTTTATTATAACGATACTTTTTTGATGTTGTTATTGTTGTAATTCTTAGGTTATCCCGACGACGAAGTGTATTATCCAAGGAGGAGGTAAAATAAAAACTCTACTTTTTTTTTAAAAATGTCTTATGTTACAATTTCTATGGATTTCCATGACTTTCTTAATATCCCTTGGTCTTTATTAATAGAAATATTACATTAGAAATTAGTCCTATAAATATCATGATAATCTACCCCTATTTTTCTCCTATTTTATTTCAATTTAATTTGTTTTATTCTATATCAATCAATTAACTCAACTCTATTATCGAATTTCAAGTTTAATTTCTTTTTTTATTAATTTTATTTGTTTGCTTATTAAATATTTTGCAATCATTTAATTATTCAATTTTGCAATCTCAATTAAAATGTTATCTGAAGCTACCGTTTATCTTTCAAATATTGTTAAACGTAACAGAGCAGTTGCTGTGAATCCACCAAATCCAGAAGTTGATTTACATATCACTGAACATGGTAGTGATTGGTTATGGTCTGCTTTCTCGGTGTTTTCTTTAATTGCTGTTGTTCATGTTTTCATTTATGCTTTTACTAGTGTTAGAAAATCTGGTATTAAAAAATCCTTGATGATTATTCCAGTATTTTTAAATACTGTATTTGCATTTGCTTACTATACTTATGCATCTAATCTTGGTTATACTTGGATTGAAACTGAATTCCAACATGCGGGTGAAGGTACTAGACAAATCTTCTATTCAAGATTTGTTGCTTGGTATTTGGGTTGGCCATTGGTATTATTGATTTTCCAAGTCATTTGTAATACTACATTCAGTGATGCTTCAGATGATACTAATTTATTTAAAAAATTCCTTAATTTATTTGAAGATTTATTTACTAGATTTCTAGCCATTTCAGTATTTGTTTTAGGTTTATTAATTGGTGCTTTAATTCGTTCAACTTATAAATGGGGTTATTTTACATTTTCCGTTGTTTTCCAATTATTTGCTATGTTTTTAGTTGCTCATGACGTTGTTAAATCTTTCAGATCTGCAACTCATTCAAAAATTGGTAATCTTATTATCCTTGCTTATTTCGTAGTTTGGATTTTATATCCTGTTTGTTGGGGTTTATCTGAAGGTGGTAATGTTATTCAACCAGATTCTGAAGCTGTATTCTATGGTATTTTGGATTTGATTACTTTTAGTTTTATTCCAACTATCTTAACTTGGATTGCTATTAATAATGTTGATGAAGATTTTTTCACTAAGGTTTGGCATTTCCATTTGAGATCCCAAGGTGGTGGTTCTAATTATGACAATGAAAAGATCATCGGTGAAACCCCAAGACATTCTGGTGATACTGCCGTTGCCCCAGCTGGTGTTCCTTCTACTGCTGGCCCAATCCAAGATGAAGAGCAGGTTTAGTTATATGGCTATGTTGATGTCCAGTTTTTTTATTTTCCAATCTCAAGAAACTGGAGTTCTTACGATTTTATTGCTTAATTATTTTGTTTAATCAATTGTTATTTTTTTTTAATTAATTATATCCAGTAATTTTTAATTTTTAATTTTTTTATATATTTTAAATACCTTAGTTGAATACAAATATCTTATGTTTTGATTATTGTACAGATTCGAGACTGTTGCAACTTGAACAATAATGATGCAGAGCGGGTTGTTATGCATCATGTATTACAAAACCAAACACGAGTCAAAGTACACGAAAAATTCAATCACTTACAAAAATACACACAAATTCGACACATTTTCTCTTTCTATATATAATACAAAAGACATATGACTAGTTCTTTTTGGCAGCACTTTTTGGCAATTGGATCAATCCAATGTAGTTGATCACATTGGTTCTGATCTTGGTGTACAACTCAGTGACTTGTGGGTTGTTAACTTGCGCAACAAATTGGTTAGCCCTGGCATCCATCAGGTCAACAACGGTCTTGGTGTATTGATTACCGTCATATCTCAACTTGTTGAATGCAACAACAACTCCAAATACAAATCCTTGGACACCGACATAGACAAAGTTCCATCTGAATAATAAAAACAATGAACTGATGGCCAATTGAAATCCTGCAAATAACAACATCATGATTTCAGCATTGGCAGCGAGAAACAATGCCGGCTGGTTGAACTTATGAGTGAATTGGGTAATCAAAGAGTTGACTCTTTGCTGGGCACCAATGCTAGGTAAGAAGACGGATAACAAATGGTTTTGGAAATAGGTCGAAACATGGAACACGGAAAATATAACAAATGAATACAAACTAGCTTGAGTTTGGCCAATGACAAAACTTGATCCGTACAATACAATAGCCAAAGTCAAGTATTGAACATTTTCATCACGCAATAACCTGGCGTTAATGGTTGAGAACTTGAACCCGGACTTGAAATGAACTTGTCTGATGACAATCAAATAAGTCAATATGATTGACAACAAGGCGAATTGGTAATAACGTAAAGATGAACGAGGACGGAAGAACCCAGTGACGAAATTCAAGACAAAGAACAATACTGCCAATACATGACCCAAGAACCAGTAGAATTGTTGAGTTCTGAGCAAATTGGTAAGAACCTCTAGTGGTGGCTGGTATCTAAGATTGGTAGATCCCGATTGCTGTTGTTCTTGTTGTTGAGGTTGAGATGATGACATTGTCCTGCTTGTTTGATAAGAAGTAGTGGTGGTGGCGGATTGTCAAGTCCGGATGTGTAGAATTTTTTTTTTTTTTACTTCGAAATTTCGTCTTGGGATTGATTGCTATCGGAAGAATCGCGCCGGATATCAAAGAACGCTATTACAGCCTTTTAACCTTGGGGTCGGGAATCAACTGAACAATAAATCTACAACATTATTGCTACTTGCTTTAACATATACAAAAATTGATATTCATTAATAGAAACGTTAAAATACTATGAAAAATTAAAAAAGATGAAATAGCAATCTAATTTGAAAAAACAGACACAGTCTATTTTCTTTGATTAAACAGATTCGGCTTTGGCTTCTGAGTTGGTATCTTCGTTCATCAAACCACCTTCTTTGTGTTCGACATCCATCTTTCTTGCCAATTCGGCGTCGGAAGCAATAGGAACATGTGGTTGCCAAGATCTTGATTTCCAAGCTGGAACATGTTCTTCCCACATTTGGCCAATTTCTTCCAATCTCTTGCCTTTAGTTTCTGGGAATCCAAAGTAGACATGAATGGCCATAGTGAAACACATAACACCATAGATAATATAAGTTCTCCAACTAATACTCTTGAAACCAGCTGGAGTGTACATACCAATAGCGAAATTCAAAATCCAATTAGCAGCAGTGGCAAGAGAGTTACCACGTTGAGCAACTCTGTTATCACCCCAGATTTCAGAACAGTAAATCCAAATAGTTGGACCCCAGGTAGAAGCGAAGGAAGCAACGAAAAGGTAGCAACAAGCAATGGCACCCTTGGAGGCACTCTTGTTATCTTCTGGGATACGAATATTAACAGAATCATTACCAGAATCAGTCCATGGAACGGAGTATTGACCTAAGATACCAGCAAGACCAAATTGGAAAGTCATCATCAAAACAGCACCAGTAATCAAAACTGGTCTTCTACCAATTCTATCAACAAAGAACAATGCTGGAATAGTAACACCAGTGTTAATAACATATTGAATAGATGAAGCAACCAAGTTAGCATTACCACTGTAACCAGCCATTTGGAAAATATAGACAATATAGTACATCATAACATTCATACCAGTCAATTGTTGCCAAATTTGAGCAAAAATAGCAGTAAAAGTTCTGAGCAAATATTTCTTACGGAACAAAGTAGCATAACTAACACTCTTAGCAGCTTCTTCGATTAACAATTGATCTTTAATTTCAGAAATTTCAATCAAAACATCTGGATCTTCACGGTTACCCTTGGCTTGAATTCTAGAAACAATGTATTCAGCTTGTTCCCATCTGTTTTGTTTAGCCAACCAACGAGGAGATTCTGGAATGAAGAAACAACCGATGAATAACATAAGACCAGGAACGATTTGAAGACCCCAAGCAATTCTAAAAGAGGCAACACCTTTAATGTGACCTAAACCAAAAGAAAGGTAGAACATAATCAAAATACCCAAAGTAACAAAGAATTGGAACATACCACCAATGAAACCTCTAATCTTTCTTGGAGCCAATTCAGCACCGTAAATAGTTGCAACAGAAGAACCAAAACCTACACCAACACCAGAAATGATTCTACCGATGATTAATTGAGCACGATTTTGAACAGAAGATTGAATAGCAGCACCAACCATCCAGAAAAAGGCACAAATGATTAAAGATAATCTTCTACCGAATGGTTCAGAAATAAAGGAAGAAGCAATGGAACCAAAGAATGAACCCAAAGCCATAGAAGAAGTAATAAAACCTTGGATATCAGAACCTGGAGAATTGAAGAAATCCATATAGGTTTCAGTACCAATGAAGGCAGACATCGAAGAAATATCAAAACCGAACATCATACCAGCAATAGTGGAAATACTAGCAATGAAATAAACATTGTAAATTTTAGGAAGTTTATCTAAGAATGTACTTATCTTTAAGGCAGTACCACCCAAGGCCAGTTCAAGCGGAGACTTCATGATTTATAGTAATAGTATAAAGTTGGAAATATAAAAGTTTGATGATAGAAAAAGAGAATGTAAAAATAAAAAAATGAAAGTACCCAAGGTGGGATATCATGTCCTTTTATACAAATTTTGTTTTATTAGTAGAGATATGTTTTGAAACATGATTAGTATTGAAACAACTAATCCTTTCCCCCCAGAAGAAGAAAAATTTTCCCCCAGGTTAATGTTTCTGCTGGTTCCTTCTTGCTATTTGTTGTTGTTGCAGTAAAACAAAACAAAATTTTACATTTAAGTTAATTTGCATTCATTGAGAAAGCAGTAAAAAAAGAAAAAACAATGACATTTTTTTTGTCTGATTTATTATATCGTGGGGTAAAGGAAAAATGATCACAATGCATATCTGGTTTTTGCATTGTCTTTCGCATACAAATTCGCCGTGTGCGTGTCTGCGTGTCGATTGCAAAAAAAAAAAGGAATAATATAGTTGTTCCTTTTTTGTGCTACAATAAATATTATTATTATTATTATTATTGTATTTTTAACTTTCTAAGAAAAATCCATACTTCCGAGATCTCCATCCCGGACAAATAATAATAAAGTAAAAGGAAAAACTAATTTCGCCGTAAGGCAGAAAAATTTGATATTTCTTTTTTGACGGTGATTACGTAGGTATGACCTGTTTTATATTGGATATAAAAATCTGATGCTTTATTTTTGTATTCCTGCTTCTCTTTTAAAACTAACAATAAATTCAAAATATGCGAACACTACTAAGATCTAAAATTTTCCCTCCCTTCTCATAAAATAAATAAAAGCTTTTTCTTGCGATACAATAATTTAACTATACAATAGAATATAGATTAACTTATTAACCGATATAACTAAATAGGGGATAACGGAAAATAAAATAAAAAGTATCAAATATTATTTAAAAGAGGAGAAACTAGATACCCAGGATAAATTAGTTTCCCCGACGAGAACTCTGACAATAAACCATAGTTTATGAAATTCTCTTACAAAGGCAAACAGAAAAACAAAGGTAAAGAGAAATAATAATTTGCAAACCACAAAAATTTTCCCCCAACACGGAGGCAATTCAAGTGTGGGGATAAATAAAAGGGCCGCCTAACCTTTGATGGGAGATGAAATTCCGGAAAGGAAAAACTTAATTAATCCACACGGATTAAAGAAAAAGGAAAAAAAATTTTCACCTAACCTCATAAAAAAAATTCTATCCAATCTTACGACACAAATATGTTTTGTGAATGATTTAAATACCGTTATTGTCCCTGGGTACATATGGCAAAAAAAAAAAGCCAACTGTTTAATTATTCCGTAAGGAAGGTGTTACCGCTTGACGATGTGTTTCTTTGTGTGTGCATTGAGTCATCTTTAAATTATCAAAGATATCCCACCTCGTATCAATCTTAAAACTATTATTCATCCCCACACACCTACACGAGATAAAGAAGTGTAAATTTAGAAATAATACAAGTGTGTGGAGAATTAGCACCAAAATCTCAATAACAAACTTTATTGTAGTAATTCTAAGCCATCACAAATATTAGAAATGATGGAAAAACTTCGACTCAGGAATATTATTTTTTTGATTACCCAATAAGTTTTCTTGGCTTGTGTAAGTTATCGGAAAAAAAAATATTGCTAAGAAAAGAAAAATAATTTATCCCTTGTTTATTGTTCCGGAATAAACGAAAACGTTTTATGATCTCCTCATCCCCTTGATCTCCAGTTCTACACCAGCCAATCAGATTTGTTCTAGGATTCTGATAATTAAACAATAAGTTGGATACCCCGCCAGATTTGTGTCTGCAACTTCTGCGTACACGCCCTTTATTGAAATACTAAACTAAAAAAAAACTGGAGTACAGGAAAATTCGAGATGCATGCATAATACCCTAAATTCTCAAAAAGGGAAAAACAAAATGTCTGAAAGGAGAAAAAAAAGCGTTCCAACGAAAAGCAGAAAAAATTGGCTTTTTCCGCAGAAAATTACACAAATTCAAATTGAAAAAACCGAAATGGTGAAATTAATTTGAATCATTATCAAAAAAATAAACAATGTGTTGCAAAACTGAGCAACAAGATTCATCCTTACACAAGATTCATCCTTACACGATGGAATTTGTTATCGCAAATTCATTTAGATTCATCCTTAAACAAGATTCATCCTTACACGATGGAATTTGCTATCGCAAATTCATTTAGAATCGATGGGGTATCGAATTTGCCAAGGCAAATTAGTTTAGGGGAGATCTTTCATTCCTTTCAACATCCTTACACAGGATTCATCCTTAAACAATTGAATTTGCTATCGCAAATTCAATTAGAAGCCTCTAATATCAATTTCATGTAATAATCTAACGGCAATATATAGCTACTATTTTATCTAATCTATGAACCAACTCTATAGCAATCATTCACATGTTATTTAATAGCGTGGTAGCATCAAGGCGATAACCAATGGGTGTGACTTTCTAAGCTCGTCCTGAATCTCATCAAGCATTAAAAAGCTTTTAACAAGGAGATGGAAACTTTCACAAATATCAATTCTGGGTGATATGGTATTCAAATTAGATGCAGCATCTGAATTGGCTGAAGACTTCGAAACTTTCAATGGATATTCACTTTTGGAAGGGGTTTTAACAGCATCTTGATTGGAATTATTGTTGACACAGTTCAAAATCTGTGCAGCAGAATCAACTTCAAATCCCGAAACATCCAATTTCAGAATAAATGGATCATTGGCAACCTGATTGCCAGACATATGGATATGGAGTGGACTAGTTTGATGGAGATGTACCTATTTTGGACATTTACACATAAATTATAGCTTTGTACAACATAGAAGACGTTAGTAAACTGAATAAAAGTGATTATTCTAACAGTAAATACTTACGAATACCTCTCTAATCACTTGTGGAGGAAATCTAATAAATAGTTTTGATAGGTTCTCTTTGTAACGAGATCTATTATCCCCATAAATTATTGGCAACCACTTAAAAATTCGCAAAAGTTAGTAAACTAGTCCAATAAAGGAAACTATTTGATTGATTTAACTTATCTGAGATAAATTGACATCATAAAGGCGATACATTTGATGAATTTGGATGGCAAATTGATGAAATAGGTGCTGGTTGTAAAAAAAAAAAGTGGTCCTAAAAATATATTTTTTGATTTGCGTCTGTGTTTCTTATCAAATCAAATAAACCTCGCATTTTTCTCGTTTGTTTACATTTTTGAATTTTGATTTGAAATGAAAAAATTCTAAATTTCAATTTTCGGAATTACCCTCATTTTGTCAGAATACACGACCAAAAATTTCTGCATTGCGTTGACACGCGAAAAAAAATATATATTTTTCTTCTAGTCTCGTTCTGGATGTATATGCGAAATTACAGCACTAATGGCACAGTACAATGGCAGCTTGGACTGTTTCACGTTTAATATCACACCATTTATTTTTGTGCCCATCCAGCCAATCCATATAATCATCGGGTTGTTCCGCAGTTCTAACCTTTCATCCGGATTTATTTATCCTGTAAGTTGAGCCAGACACAAATTTCCCCATGGAGTAATTAAAGTTATACTTTGGTGCATTAAGAAATTTTTGTTTATTAGTAACAATAAAATGATTTTTAGTAATATTGTCAATCATCATTCTTTTTTTTTTTTTGTCACTATTGTATTCACAGTTTTGAATTATTATTTTACTTGTTTCTTTAATTGCTATGAGTGGAGTTTACTTCCCATTGGATAGACAATTACGAGTTTTACTTTGTTATTGCTGATGACGTAGGCTCAAATATGAACCAAATAGTGTATTACAAAAAAACCCATAATGATGTAAGAATATTATCAAGCTTAAATATCACGTTACTTTACTCAAGAAGAACGAAAATTTTCTGGGTATCATTTAAAGATTTCTACGTTTAAATCGAAATTTCTATCGCCATACGTATGCTTGCTACACATTAGAATGGCTGAATGCTGCAGAATTGACAAAACCAGTCAAAATAAAAAAAAAGCAAGACGAGACCATTTTCGCCTGTTCGCGCCTTGGCCTTAACCATTTTCCCCGCCAATTGCTCACACCATTTTCAATTGTGTTTTGCATACGGGAGAATCATCTGTAATTTAGTTTCAAAATTATTAACGAGGATATTAATATAAAACTAATCACTTCACTTTGAATGACCTTCTGTTAATGGGGTTATTAAAAAAAATATATATATACCAAAAGAAGAAACAAAAAATGTCTAATTCTTAATTTCCTCCTTGTTGATTTCGTTAGTAGCACTTGATGAACTCTCCTGTTACTCCTTTCACGTGTGTACGTGTGTCATTGTTGTAATAATCAGATGATTTGTATAAATATTAATTAAGAACCACTTATAAACCATCACAAGTTGGTATTTTTTTGTATTTCCGTTTAATTTAAAGTTATAGAACTGTACTTTCTCTTGCGGTTTTGCAACTTTTCGCGGTGTACAAACCAAATCGCCTCGATAAAAAGGAAGAGGAAAATCAACTTCTCAGCCGTTGAATACTAACTCTAAAATATTCCAACTATTAGTAATGTTTTTTTATATGAAACTTTTCTTCACTTCCAATATTTCTCATGATTTGCTTTTCAGAAAAGTGTCCGAATAGTTTTTCCAGAATGTTTGTATTGGTTTTGAATTTTTCCGACAATGATAGTCCTGGTTGGTTTTCTTGGCCCCTAGTATAAAACACTTGTGAATAGAAAATCATTTATTACCCCACCATCATTGCAATTAAACCAAGAGAATCTCATATTCTACATCATCATCTGCCTCAGCTTACTTAAAAGAATCTGCATGCCATGTAAATATTGATCTTAATTGTTAAACAAGTTGCTTTGAATTGGATCTATTGTTTTCCAGTTAGTCTAAGTTTTGCAATTTCTCTCTGTAGTCAAATATATCACACAATCGAGGCAGAAGGAGCACGTAATAAAGAGGATGTGACTATCATAAACCTTAATGAGTCTTGTGTTCCGTATACACGGTTGGTACGTTCCTTTCAATCACAAGTTCCAACGCGTGCAATATTTCTTTGGCAAATATTACCAAAAGAATGTTATATCTTATGTTTCTAGAAGAACTTAAAGCTTAACTGGTAATTTAAGTTTTACACCTGTGGATTGTCATGTGATAATATTTCACGAGCCGTTGCTCATATGACAAATTTCGGAACTGCATTATGCACGTGTAGCTTTCCACGTGCTAACTTATCACAAGGGAAAAAAAATCTGTTGATGCAAAAGAAGGACAAACACACTTTTTGTTAAAGCCTTAACATGCATAATCTGAAATGGTGAAATCATACACGATGCCATCTTCGATCGAAACTTTATTTATATTATCTTAAAAAATAATTTATGATTATAAAATGTTTCTAGTCAATCATTTGCAAGTAAACATCCTAACCGTAGCGGATAAATCACCTAATATTTGCATTAAATCCGATATTAAACAACAAATTATAAAATCCACACTAACTAATTGTTTTATTTTACCCAAAATGGAATGAATTAACTCTTATGAAAATCTATCACTTAAGAATTTAACGAGTCTTATTCATTAGTTAAAAAGTTGTGTTTTTTTTTTGCCACATTATGAAAAATGTTACAATGTTTTACCTTGTTTTCCGTATTCTTCCATTTTTTTTTTAGAGTTCTTACGACGAAACCAAATATTTATCTCTTAAAACCTCGGTGCAAATGAGCAAAGGATTGGAATCACCATAGCCCTTTTTTTCCATTTTTAATGAAAAAATTAAATGCCTCAATAACATAAGCAATATTCAATTACGAAAATCAATGTTTCTAACAATAAACCAAACCACGGTTGAAATGGATATGTGTCAAGGCGAAAAATCTATATAAAACTCAGCTATTATTTGAAATTGTTCTAGAAATAGTCCGAATGGTTCTTTTCCTTAACATTTTTATGATTTGCATGTGATAAATAATAATAATAGAAAAGTCAACCCTTGTAAATCAATCCTTGTATCGATAAATATAATGGGAAATAAATGGTAGAGGCAAAGAGAGATAAGGCTATCCATAGCAATGAAAGAATAACCGTGTTCACACATACAACGAAATAAGGAAATGATGTAGACAAGAAGGAAATCCCTCACTTGTTATTGTTATTGGAGACATGGTTGTTGTCCTGTAATAGCTTAGAATTACTGACATGAATCTCTCTACTACACAATCAAGATATCATATTTTTTATGTTAATTCATATTCCACCGCCAGCAACTTCAACGAACTTGGTCCTGATTTTCTAACGTTACTGCGAATTTCTACCACTATTTTATTTTATTTTGCAACAAATCTACAATAAACAGTTTTCTTTTTCCCAAAAAAAAACCAATACGTAAAGACTTTTTATTTCTAAAACAGTAACCTCTATAAACATATAAACCCTTTTTTAAAACAAAAACAAAAAATTAAAAACCAACAAGAAATAAAAAAAAAAAGAAATTAATATTCATTTAGGCTAATTAATAGACTATACTATTATTTGGTGTACCTAAGGCATAATTAGGGATGGAAGTAAATGTAGTATGTGATTTAACATCGTAATAACAAGTGCCTTTAACAGAACTATCAGTTGTGGAAGTAGCAACAGTAGAATTTTCATCTTCTTCTACACCAGTTTCGTCTTCACTGAAGAATTCATCGTCACTTAAATCATCATCATCCTCTTCGTTTTCATCTTCATCCATATCACTAGCGTATGAATTATATGCTGAGGTTTCTGGAGGTGTGTACAATTGTTGATTCGTACTAGGTTGTTGATGACTTTTGCTTTTGTGATGATGATCATCTTTGAAGAAATCACATCTGATAATTTCCTTGTATAATGTGTGTAAATCAATTCTATCATTTGGATTTAACCTGAAAATCTTGTCTAATAATCTATTGAATTGAGCAGATATTGGAAGGATTCTAGAAAGGATATTCTTGTTACCGTTTAACATATAGTTTCTAAAGACATCGTTGTCATTGTTGCTGGATTCATTAAAGGAGGCTATTGGCCATGGGTTTCTTGAACAAGTAATGTTAATAAACAAAACACCCAAAGACCAAACATCACCAGGTAAGGTTGGCAAATATTTACAATTAGACGCAGTAACAGTAGTGCCATTCATTGGGATGGTTTCAAATTGTGTCATATCAATCATACGGTTGACCAATCTATGGGTGTTGTAGTTTGTTGTTCTTTCTGGAGCCATGTAGAATGAAGACCCACGACAAGCATTACAGCAAAAAAAGTTGGAATCCATAGCCAAACCGAAATCAATC